ACACATTCATGGTTTTTGTGATTAAACAGAATTAAAAGAGTCATCGTTCTGCACCAACTCTCAGTGTCGAAAATATATACAAGCAAATTCACAGTAAACAAAGGATTGCATAATACACACAACAACTGATTTATTGGATTTTCGTCCCAGAATCAGAGGATGAAATGCCATTACCATTTTTTAGACGTGAGGTGAATAATGCAAATAAGTAGGGAGTCGAATTGGATAAACAAGTCTCACACATACCAACATCTTTCATCCAGAAAGTTTATCCATTCCAAGGTTTACAATTAGGTCAATTTGTCTACGTTAATTTCTCCGGTGCGAACCGGCAACTCAATTTAAGAAATGTCAGTCTCCCCAGACATGCTATGCATACCACATTTTTCCATTATGTGTGCTACTGCTCTTTTTACTTATATTTTCACAATAATACAGTATTGTCCTGATAGTAAAAAGCCACACTCAAGGCCGGGATATATCTGTTAACGTACCGTTGTTTTTTATTTCAATACATCATTTTTTACTTTATCTGACAATCAAATCAGCCTTCAGCATATTCAATCTTAATAAAAGTGCCTTGGAGGCCTTTTCATATTCTGCACCAGCTACAAGAGAACGTTCAAAAGCCTGATCTCTCTTTTCCTTCTTCCTTGTACACAAGATCTAGAAAAATAAAAAAGGTAAATGGACTATATCAGCATTGTATTTTTTTTTCTACCTTTTCGTGGCTATTAATACGAGCTGCTATCTTTTCTTTTCTACTGATTAAAATGATTAAATCATCCTCCAGCTCATCAATAGGAATATTGAAAGAGGCAGCCATTTTTCTCATATCAACGACAGAGTAAGGTATACAATATTGGACCATGGCTTTTTCACGCACGAGTTGAATTAGTATATCTAAATGGGATGCGAGGTACATATCCAATTTTAATGAATGCTTGTAGTTTTCCAATAACTGAAAGCATAATGAATATTTTGACTTGTAAAATGCCTCGATCAATTCATGAAGTGCTGGTTCCAACGCCAAAAAACTCTTGAAATTCGTATTGTTCAATATTTGAGCCTGCAATTGACGACGATCCATCGAAACAAGAGCACATAATCCACCATAAATTGCTACATCATTTGCAGACATGATATCATTGAAATGGGGTGCGGATTCGAAAGAGACTTCTGTTAAATCGTTTGCTACCAAAGCGTAACGGTTAGGATAGTCAGATCCACCTAATAATGAAAGCGCATGGCAGCATTTTAATTTGGAAAGAATATCGATTTTGTCAGTAATGTTGGGTGTAGATTCTGCCCGGGAAATGTATGTTTGAACCACATGGGAGAAATTAGAATCATCTAAATAGACCTGGAAATTGCGATTGAGTTTCATAGAAAATCACCCTAATGCATAATCCCCTCTCCTTACCTTGATTGTATTGAAACACATATCAATAATATTTTGACTTGTAGCACAATAGTCTCGGGTACGTATATAATTTTTCATGGCAGCAGGAAGGTCACCTTTCTTGTAGTAATAATCACCCAATTTGGTATGAGCAACCTACAGACAAATTTAAAACAGAGAAAATGAGCTTGTTGTCACTTGTCTTGTTATTTTCAACAATCTTTACCCTAATTCCTTCTTTTGTAACACTTGTCTTCGCTGCTTTGAGTTCGTTTTCCAACGCATCCAAGGTTGCCTTATTTCTAAGCTGTGTTTCAGTGATCCAGTCTTGATCTGCAGGCAAAGTAGGACGATTTTGGCTACGCAAGACCGCATTCAAGTTGTCCAAGGTGTAATTATACTTGGTTGTGTTCATAGTGGTTGTCTTGATTTCATGAATGGCGGTTTTATAACCTTCCACAGCAAGTGCATCACAGCGTTTCGCAATGAACAGACTTCTTGCGATACGTGTAAAACCTGGAATGTGATTAAAAGCATGAACTATTCAACACTTATTTCCCATGGTACCTTCGTAACTGTTAATGTATGTCTCAAAGTCAAAATCCTCTGGTACCTCTACGCGTGCTTCTGTCATTTTTGTTCAGAAGAAAGAAAATGAGTTAAAAAGAGGGGGTAGGATTTCTTGCTTTGTCCGCCCTTCCTTTTTTTTTAAAGCTCCACTGATTTTGATCAAATCATGCTTGCTACCTCCCCTTTATATGCTAGACAATGTCAAATCGTATAAAAGAAAGTGAATGATAGGTATTTGTATATGTTTCTATTAATAAGATGAGATATGTATTAAGCTTGATTGCACCCTTATTTCTGTACATTAAAACGGCACACAGTGGTTCGTATATGTTAGATATGTAAAAATTATGAGATACTCAATTCATTGTAGTTGCGTTTTCTACACAATGTTGGGAAACTCTTAATGGGTAAGGCCTTTTTTATACATAAATAAGATATTTGTCTCAACAGGCTATGATAGCAAACAAAATATGTTTCACGATGGTATATGCCAGCAGATAAATGAGGTCAACGGGGACGTCGGCTGGCATACAATGGAATCGGATGACTGGATGTATTATCCTCAACAAACTGGTAAAAACCTAATACATTATTGTTTCAGTATCAATAAAAGCTAACCTTCTTGGATTAGTAAATGTGTCTTTGACTGCTGCCACGATATCCGCAGCATTGGGTAAAGAATGAAACAAGAGCTACATGTAATAAATTGACTGTCATCTTACTTTACTTATGATAGTCGGTGGATGTTGTGCCCCAAACAGATACAAGACGAGTGGATTTCTATTTCAAGATGATGGAAGCACATACTCTGAAACGGGAAATAAAATTGTTGCTATTTCCGATCTACCATTGATGCAGAACATTACAGTAACAGGCTGGTATATGAAAAAATTTGTCGATGATCATGCCATGGTAATGTGGTTAAAACGATTTTTTAGGATGTATTCTAAAGACTATTCTAGAACTTGACAGTGATACCATCCGTGCACCATCCCGACAAACAATCTATTTTTTTCGAAATCGCAGCTTTTGATCGAGGTATGATTATAAAGTATATATTTTATGATTATGAGGATAAAATGATTGGAAATCATTCCACTGGACTTTTGAGAAATGTGATCACAGTACCTGATATTACCGTGCCCAGATTTACACGTCGTGTGGTAAGTTACGATTTTATAATTTATGTTTATGATGTTAACAAAGTTGTCTAGTTGATTCAATTTTATGGATCGAGAGCCGATCCCATGTGCTTTTCATATCTTTACGCAGGCCTGTATGTATATAGCCCCTTTTCAACATTAGCCAATACATGTGCTAGGGTGGCAAATATATTACAGTATGTTTCACTGGGGAGCTTTGTGGTTATACCCATCATATTTGGTGTCATGTCCATGGTGTCCAGTTTTACTTTTCCACCGTAACTAAAATGACGATTTCCAAATGATCTTTCACTGTTCTTATTTGCTTTATATATTTAGACCAATCAAGTTCTTGTGCAGAACTCCGTCCCACAAGGTATTGATGTGTATCATTGTCATGCTTGGTGAGTGTTTTATGTAAGAATTGTAATATGTTGTACCAATCATTTTTAAAAAGGATCCTTTATTCTGAATCAAGCTTGGAATATACTTAATTCTCAGTCTAGTATTTTTCACGAATGGCTTCCGCGTGCTGCAAAAATTGTCGGTATGTATTATTCTTTCCAAGACTGATCTATCCATTGACTTTTACTGATGATAAAAATCAGAAATATTTCTCTCCTTTTTTTTATATGCTGTATACTTTTATCCGGTAAATGTTTGAATGTGCATAAAGTATCTGATGTAACTGACATTCTTTTACTTTTATAGGTTTTTTTGTGCTTTCATGCAAGCTATAGATTAAGAATAGCTAACCTGTTTGGAGCAATTACTACATGCACCTTGTTTGGACTTCGGATGGCACTGGATATTCCTTCTTATGCGATTACATTTGCAAGAAATCTACCCTTTCTAGTTATAAACTTACTAGCTGCTGTACCTACTATAGTTGCATACTCTGTTGTCTTACTTTATTTTGTAACAAGATTTATTACGTTTCAATCCTGTACAATGTGTAGTATCCGTTTTTTAGAGGTCCAGGATATCGAGGAAGAGTACGTCAAAGAGCTAATGAAGTCAAGAAAAAACGAAAGGAAAAAGGCAAGAAAGTTAAAAATTATACTAAATGGATACCAATGACTTATTCTGATAATAGAGCCGGAATCATGATTCTTGGTTTGCCACAGTTTGGACCCTCCTGACGGTAACAATTTGGCAAATAAAATTGTCATCTGTTACAGATATGGCCAAGCATCCAGGTGTGTTCAAAAAATATTTTAGAAAACTCTTTGGTCTTCATCAATACGTCAGGTGTGTTCTCTTTTAAGGATAAATTTAGTTAGTGAATTAAACAAACTTGTAACACTCATATTTGTAGAATTCCATTTGCAATCAAAACTTCCTTGTCGCTTCTTGTTTACTGCCTTGGACAACTGGTAAAGATATTCGTTAATAAAGATATGTAATACTGGCTTGGTTAATAACAGCAAAGTTTCTACTCCATAGATTCCTTTATTGCTCACTCAAATGATTGGTGTCGGTGGGGTTGTGCCTCGTCATATTTGTAGTTGGTCACCTTACCTATCGCAATTTCAATACCATCCTCAACCCATGGAGTTCGCTATATCGGCTTTCTTTTATATGCAAGTTTCAGTCTTTGTAGCTACTGTTGGAGGAGGCGGATGTAAATTACACTACTACTATTAATTTTGTCTATTTATTTTAACTAAGTACTGTAAAATAGTATGTATCATATACTCTCTAGGTATTATCCGTCGATTTACAAAGGACATACTTCGTCTACGAAAGGGTGATTACTTTTTGTTTAAAGGAAAACGGAACAATGGGTACGCTTTATTTAAATGTGCTGTACATGCTCTAATTCGACTTTAAAAACAGAATTGATTTGGATGATGCGATTCGATTTTTGGGTGTCGTGATTGGATTCGGTAAAGTAAATAAATAGAAACCCCATTACATAGACTTCTAACAAAACTGGTTTATTTAGGATTCACAGGAACACTGTATTTTATGGTGGAGATCTCCTTGATTGGCACGTTTGTTACCATGCTAATTTTAATGGACCGCTTCAGAGAATCCTTAATTCATCACTTAGGCTATGGTGTATTTTTTGCTAGTTTTTTCATTGCGTTTATTGTTCAGTTGCTGCAGAAATGTATTACCAACTTGATCTTTGTTGAAAGTCGCACACGGTTCAGTATTCAACATCGATCTCCCTTTTTACACTATTGGTATTTCATGATGCTCACATCAATGACCCGTGCTTTAACATCATACATTATTCGTACTTTGAAATTGGTCGTCAGATACCCTTTGTTCAGTCTTCGCGTAGATCGAAATGCAGAAACATGGAGTGTACGTCGCGGTGATGGAGGTAATATGCATATAAAATTGAATAGAAATGGTTGTACTAAAATTACGATGTAAAAAAAAACAGGGTTCACCGCGTATTGTGGCATGGTAAGCATATGTAATGAAACAATCACTAGGAGTTATTTTAACAGTAGAATAATAGCTTTTGGCGGAACATGAATATAACAATCCGGTAGTGCTTGCGTTTATAGAATGCATTTTGCATAGCACACAAAGTCTAAACTCCATGCCTGATGTTAAGACAAGTCAAAATACATTTTGCAGCCATCATAAAAAAAAGCTGATCATGGACCTGGAAAAAAGAATTTCGCCAGAAGAAGCATCCAGGGATATGAAAGGGTCTGATGCTACGTTAATTGCAGATACTAAAACCAAACCATGTCAAACCACTAGTTCAGCGAAAAGAGCGAAAGCACGTTGGTTTTTGGCCTACACCTTATCAAATAACCCAGGAGTAAGTTTTCTTTTTTTAAAAAAAAAACAAAATTAAGCGGCCCAACTAATAACCTAATATACATTGGACAGCTTCGACAATATCGTATGCGTGAAATGATCCATGAAAAGTCTTGATTTTTTTTATTTTTATCAATAAAACATAAATGTGATCCTCATCCCACCCCCTTTTTTGTTATACATCATTCCTTTTGATGGCAATAATCTGGATATCCCAGCCTCCGAACCAAGGTATTTGAAGTAAACGACAAATTAAACCTTGCTCCACTGCTTTATCTAAAGAGCCGATGGTCGAAGAAGCCGTAAAAGAAGCATAATACCTTTCTAACATTGGTTGCACCATCAACAATGCAAATACAACCGCTACACCAAGACAGATCAATAGTAAAAGCATCCCCTTACGCATCGTATCTGAGGACCTTCGCAACAATCGAATTTCATGCAGCGTCGATGATGAGCTAATCTTATACTTTTCTTCTCGAGAGAAAAATCGTCGTTTATATTCACTATCTTCATCGCCAGAAGACGCCATATCTGGTTCTTCCGGTTTTTTTTCTAACCAATGCTCATTGCCGTGATTCGAAATTGAAAATGTACGAGATGACCTAAAAGGATTCATCATTCGTGCACTCAAGTTCTGGTAATAATAAAGGGCACATCATTAATTATTACGTTTCTAATCAGATTCTCCAAGGAGGAGGAAAATAAACTTACATTCACACCGGCAGACACGTTTCCTAATGCTGCTGCTACACCGCCCATGTATTGCGCTCCTACTTCATCTACTGTATCCTGATCCTCACTTCCACTACTACTATTCGAATCATTTTCATCTTCAACATGTTCATTTAAATGCGATCGTATCGATTTATCATCAGGCGTCAAGACCGAATCCACATCCATGTCTTCTTGTAGAGACTTCAATACGATATCCGTTTCAATCTGTGCTTCCTGTCCATTGACAATGATCGTACCATTGTAATGTTCTACATCTTCACCCAATACATTGGACACTGTTAATTTCTCGGCTTTGGTACTAACGGTTTCTTCACGCACTGGCATCAATGAGAAATCCAATTCATAGATGGAGGTAGAGGAAGGTACTGTCATGTTAGCATGTATTGTAACTGTATGTCGCATCGGCTTCTTTTTCCCATCGATAAAATGAGATAGTAAAGGTTCAGAAATAGACAATACTAGTTTACTCGAGATATTTTTCCTTTTGGATTCGTCGGATATATCGTATAACTGGGCTACTATTTCATAACCTTTGGTAAATGCGCGAAGGTCGTAGGTTGCTTGTAAGAACTGGAAGGATTGTACGGAAGGTGCTGACTTGGGCTCATTGCTAGCGATTGTGGGAACAATGCGCTTTTTAGGAAGCACATTGACAGGTAAGGATCCACGCCGGCCAACAACATCAGAAGAGCCAACGATATGTGTACTAGGTCTACGCAATGGAGAAATCCCACTAACCCCACCTGTATCTTCTGATGCTCTCTTATTCACTTTCAATCGGTTGGTGACTTTATATTGATACTTGTCTTTATCATAATTTGTATGGATCAATAGCCACTCTTCTCCGTCATTCCCAGAAAGTGTACTATTGGAAAAAACAAGTGCTGGGTTTGGTTGTGAAAGGAAAGGTGGGGGACCCTTGGATTTCAAATACGCTTCAATTGCCTGGATCTTTTTAGGAGCCCAATTATTGGCTACGATATTACTAATGTACGAGGGGACAGATGTACCTAGATCGAGTGCAGTGACATAGGTGACTCGCACGGAGGGGATGGGGTGGTTGATGGTCGTGGTGTAAGGATCGATTGCTTCCAGAATCCAGCCTGACATATACAAGGTACCACGAGTCTTTTTACTATTCACAACAGGAAATTCAGGGATTGAACTTTCTACATACATGGTGCGTTTGTTGGGCGATGACGGAAGTGAGGACAGTTCTTGTGCAAGACATGAAGTAGCATACACTTCTCGGTTCCTAATATCGTTGATTTTTTTTTTAAAAAAACAATCGCTCCCTATATTATAAGAAAAAAGTAAAACCTTACTTGAATGGGAATATGGCCTTGATCGATTGGCTAATCACTCTGCATCCAGGATTGATTTGACGTACGAGATCAATATGTTCAAGTGTGTCATCATAACCCCTTCTTAAATCACTTATATCTGTCACAACTGAGGTCACTTCATCCACAGAAAAGTTTTCAATCACCTTGGTTGCTTTATAAATCATATAAGGATCGGGTACGATCAGTTTTGCGGCTGACATTGAATCCTCTATTGTTGGTGCCGCTACTTCCGATGCCTGTTCAGTTTTTTTCGGTGGCGATGATCCACTACTGGTCTTTACGCCGGACTTTTTACTCACCTTTAATCCAGACTTATTATTTTCGGATATCACTGTCCATCCAAATTGCTCATCCGTCTGCTTCAAGAAAGCCAGGGCACCTTGGGCTCGATCAAGAGGAGAAATCGGAAGTTGATCCAATGCTTGATTGACCTGTTCTTCTTCTGTCTGCATAGGTTTAACAGCTGGTAACTGTGGTGATGGCGGTAGAGCTGATGGTTGCATTTCCCTGACCCCTTCTATTTCTACACTTTTTTCTTCTTCTTTGACGATTTGTTTCGACACTGCTGCTTTCGGTTTCTCCGCAATGGGTACCGGTGATACTTCTTTATCGATGACGGTAGAAACACCATTGACATTTAAGTGGCATTGATTATCTGTGGTACCAGAAGAGACTTGGTCTGGTTTAATCAGGACAAGTATCTTCCCACGTAGAGGGATAATGAATTCCTCTGTATGCTCAATATTGAGCCAAACACCGTACGGATCGCACAACTTTTCCAATGCCGTGACACGAGATGGAGGTGGATCAATGACGATACTATAATGATTGTGCGAGGCACCACCAGCCCAACGTCTTTTATCAAGTCGGATCACGGATATCGTACTTGGTGGTACGACCGAGGTGTCGGATGTTTTCTTTTCTTCCTTTTCGGTAGTATCTGTTCTACGTGTATACTCGCACCTCCAATTCTTTCGTTCGTGATCATGTTTCAAATTAACCAATAAAGCGCAAGACAGGCTTTCGAGACTGGGTGGTGCGCCGAATGTTTGAAAATACTCTCTGGCTGATTGAACAGCAGCACATGTCTGAACCAAGAAACGGCTGGTGATAAAATTAATGACCCAAGTGGGGAATTGAGTGATTAAGATCTGTCGAGTAGATACTGTGTTTGCATCAAGTCGTTCTAATCGCCAGCCCATAAGGTCGATAGTAGCTCGAATATAACCCGAGGTTTCCTTGGGTAATGGTTTATATTGAAATGAATCACCTATACAAGATGTCTGCAAGAGATCGATACGGTATGCAGAGGTGTACTGACCATGGAAACAGACATCGTCACGTGGATTTACTGGCCAAGCTCCCTTCATCTTTGTATGCCAAATAGAGCTCGTGGGTGTCAACGCATGTAGAAATGTGGTAGATTCAAACGTATTGTCCCATATTTTTCTTGCTCCTGCACTTTCCAGTACGGCCTTAATGTCCCATATACTACAATCCTTCCAGGTCGATTCACTTAAAAAACCTCCCATGGGATGGTTGGGTATTTCTAGCTTCTTGATCGCAACATGTCCGTTCTCTTTTGTTGGGGCTTGAATAAGTACAGGTTCATAGGGTGGATGGATGTATTCCGAGAACTGCGGGTATATTTTCTGCAAGGCGACAGGGTCGTTATCAGGAAGGATGGTCTCAATTGCTATTTCAATGTCATCTGGTGGTGGAGGTGGTGGCGGTGGTATTTCAACATTGCTTATCGTCTCACTATATAATTTAAAGTTTTTTTTTTTTAGTCTCATGGGTATTAGAGGAGATGATAACAAAGAAGCTTACATATTTACTTTCTTGGGTACAGCAATGTGTTTTTGTTGTTGGGTAGGTGGGGATAATTTTTCCTTTTGTAAAAGGGGTGGCTCGACCAACAAGTGCTTGAAATCATTTGAACTTTGAGGCGAGAATTGTAATTTTGGGGGCGGTGTAATGATTGGTTCCACAACAGCTGAATCCATATTTTCCATGCCATCAACAAATATATCATCTTCTTCATCACTTGCACTACAACTTCTGTCCTCGTGTGTGGACAAGTTCCAAGATCTCACGGGCCATTCATTATCATTCACAATGAATTTATGCTGAGATGATGGTTTAAGTACCACGCGCACTCGAATATCCTCTTGTTCATCCAGTTTCATGGTTTCCTCCTGTTCCTCGTGGAAATACTGCATCAGCTTATAAGGATGCAAGATTTGGATGACATAACCAGCGGCCATGGGTCGTTTATAACATCGTACACAGAGTTGAGCAAATTTGTCGGACCATTCATGATTATCCGGTAATGAAATGGTTAATTCGGGAACATCATTGACTTCGATACGTAACTCATCTTTGAGTGATTGACTGGTTACTTTTAAATCCTCATCCCCTTCTTCTTCTTCATCATCATTCCAAAAAGGTTGTTTGTCTGGATAAGAAGACATGACTCTGGTGCGATTTAGTTTGGGTGAAGAAGGAAACAAAAGGGAAGAAGAGGACAGAAACTTGTTTTTTCTTAATGTTTGGTGGTTTTCTAAAGATTGATCCCATGACCTACTATGCCAATGATGGCGTTTGTTATCCAGTATGTCAACTGCAACAATCTGTCCGTTATCATAATTTTGTTCAGTAAATGTGTATTCCAGTTCGAATTGATTATTTGTGTAACTCGATGTTTGTATTTTAATGGCCTTATCGCATTGACTGATGTACGGGAAAGGCTTTAACTGGACAAGACCCGAAAGGAGAGTGGTTGCTATTGAATGACTGATGTTGTGTTGGTAATATACAGTTGCACGTGCATGATCAAATCGATTTTCAAAATGAATACACATGAAATAATCAGAGTCGTTGATTGAAGTGGATATATATTGAACATGATGTCTTTTTTTAATCGTTTGCTCAACAGATACAACTACCTCACTAAGCTCATTTAATATATTACGTCACACGTATTTTTTTTTTCTTCGTGCACGTACTTACTTTTCATCATTGGCAGTCGTCATTTTCGCATGAACTAGGCTCATATTCGAACTCGGTTGACTGGTTGAAATGATTTCTTTAAACAGTGGGCACCCTAACAAATAAAAGATTATTAGGACTCATACAATAACCACTACAAGTTTATTTACAGTGTGTTCGTATTCCTGTAGTCAATAGGGCAGCATACATATGTTGAAGGTTTGTTTCATATGTACTCAATTCTTTCACAGCCTTGAAGGTTTTCACCTGGCCTACCATATGAGTGTATATGTGCTCTTCATTATTTACAATACTCCATTGATAGTCTGGTATCGTTTGGAGATATTTCAATTGTTTTTCAGCACGAGTCAATGCTAATTTATATTTTTCAAAACTCGTCATTTCATGAGAAAAAAAATAAAATAAAAATGGAGAGAGAAAAAGAAAAAGTTTTTATGATTTGAAAGACAGATTTTGTATTTTTTCAATACTTCTTTAATGCTTTTTTGGCTCTGTCGTCTGTTCCGTCAAACTTTTTCTTCTTCATATTCATCAATATGAAGGATTTCTTTGCATATTCCTCGTCATGACTGGTATGTATATCGTTTTCATCATCTTCAAAGGGTAAAGAGGACAGATAAAATACCTCATCTCTGTCCTCCTCTTCATCCGAATCTAGAAAAGCTTGTATACTATCACAGGTCGTCACATCCACTGATGTATCCTCATCCACCTGTTTACGCTTGGTCTTCTCATCATCGGGCACAATATCGAACTCATCTTCCTTTTCTTCGTACTCCAAATTCTCCTCCAACTCAATAAAATCAGGTGCAAATGCACTCCAATTTTCTTCGTGTTTCGCTGTCCAAATGTAGATATTGCCAAAACTGCTTACGGATCCAATGATGGGTCGCACAGGATGCCACTAATACTAGAATGTTATTTTCCACGACCATGAGGCCTTCCCCCCCCCCCGTATCCTGTTTGTGACACTTACAGCAATATCGTCCAATGGCTCTTTGGGTCCCTCTAGAATTTTCACAAGGTTTCCCATATTTTTATCCCAAATGTAAATATTATGTTCGGCTTTATGTCCTGAGCCACCAATCACAAACTCACCATCTGCACTAAAGCAAGACTGGCTCCATTGTATGCGGTTGACCAAATCTTGAAATTTGTTACGCAGCTTGGGGATACCTGTTTTATCATCCACTCGGAAATATCGTATGACACGGTCATTTGCATTAATCAGCATATCACTATCATTTTTTTTTTTTTGTCATTAGATTGTCACATCATCTTACTCTGCCATTTTCACTTTACCGTCCATTCCTACTCCATACGATGCTTTTTATTGTTGTACTGCCAATTCGGGTTGTATAAATGATCTATCATTCCCGGTTATGAACGCATATGAGAATGCTTTTTTTTATAGGATTACTTACTTTATTTGTTGCAACATCGATAATGTTAAGATACCCTTTGGATGTACCTGTGTATAACTTGTTTCCTGTCTTGTTCCAAGCAACTGCTGTGACAAAAAATGCTGACCTGAATAAATAAATAAAAAAACGTATAAGTGATTCAATCCTATACGACATAGCATAAAAGCGTACGGCTTGATTGATTCATCTTTATCCTCAGGTTCAGTCGGCACTACTGTTTTCTTGATATCGTTTCCATTTATATCCACAATGACAGGATTTTCTTGAAATAACGCTGCCACAAATCGATTACTATGATAGAGGTTTAGCAACACGCCCATCCCACTCATATATTTAATACAATTTTTGTTCTCTTACTTGTCTTTTGGGTGCATGTGTGCCATCATCAAAGGTGTATCAAATCGAACCTTGACCTTCTTTGTGCCAAGTACTAAATCCCAATAGATACAAGTCCAATCTTTTGAAGCAGACAGTAGGTACCTACCGTTGTGTGACCAACTATCACATTGTTTTTTTAAGAAAAAAAAATATTTAATATACATGCATTGGTCAATTACCTTATACTGGCGACAGGTTTGACATGCCCCACTAAATTCCGTGACACACCCTTGGTGTCAAAGTCCCACACAACACAGCGTCCATCCAAACAGCCAGCTGCTAGTAATGTGCCGCGTCGATTGAATTTGCAATTCAACACATAGCCGTCTTCTAATGTCTCTTCAATAATTTGTGGGTACTCTTGTTCCCAGGGGTCTACGGCGGTATTAATTTAAACATCGTAAGCTCGCTTTGTTGGTTAATCGTTTACCTAATAATTCTAAATTCATGTAGGTTTTTTTTTTTTTTTTTTTTTGTGAAAGAAAAAAAAATAAATTTTTAAGCCGTTGATTTCTTTTTTTTTATGGTCAGCAGGAAAGAAATAGATGAAACACGAAAAGCATGTGGTTAATATCACTGCTACCGTGTAAAATGAGTTCTACTGATTAATGAAACTGCCTGTATAAAAAACAATATTTTAATTAAAGCATATCTTGTCAATGATAGCTAACAACAATTGGAAAAACAACGATTTGATACGGATAAGAAATAGATGCACAATTAGCTCTCAAACGAGAGTAACATCCGGGAATAGCTTGCATTATTATGCATTCCCTTTGTAAATTTTCTTGGCATCGGGAGACACGTTATCGTCAACAGCAAAGCCCATATTGTCCAATCAAACTCTGTCACTCGCAATTTAATCCAAGATGTACTACGCTTTAAAGAGGATTCCTGCCCGCAAACGAATCCACTGTGCCTGGTTATGGAGATACGTTTATGTGCTATTCTTAAAAAAGGAAGCCGTCGTGTATGTATAAGCGAAACAAAAGACGTGTAGTCGAGTAAAAGCTTGTTTCCGGGAGTGTGACATCGCAATCTAGCTGTCATTTGCATCCCTTTGATACTGCCGTACGAGGATTCTTCACGTTAAATAGGTTTCTAAAAACAAGTTTGCAGCATTTTCTATAGAACCTGAGCTTTTTTTAGCGCAGATGAATGTTTTGCCAATGCAAAAAAATATATAATGAAATCCCGAAAAAAGCGCGGCGTTTTGAAAAATGACGTCGGTTTCCCGTTACTTGTACCAAAAAAAAAAAAAAAAAAAAAAAAAAAAAGTGTTCTTTATACTTCTTTACTTTTTCTTTATACAATGAGTTTCCAAGTTAACTTTAATACACACGGCCCCGAATTAAATGCTGCTTATCAAGCAGTTATCAGTGAAAAGGATGATACCAACTGGTTGATTTATGCCTTTGATAAAGGCACTTACGACCTTCGTGTTCAAGAAACCGGTGGTAAATAAGCGCATTTAGAGATTCGTTTTTTCTCCATCTCTTAACCTATCTTTTTTTTCTTTCTGTCTGCAGATGGTGGACTTGAAGAACTTAATGACGAATTCTCGGACGGTAAAATTCAATTTGCTTTTGCCAAGGTCATTGACCCCAATACCGAACTTCCAAAGTTCGTCTTCATTGGCTGGGTAAAAAAAAAAAACTAGTTGCTGTTATCTATATTAAACTTGTTACTAACTTGCTGTTAAACAGTGTGGTAGCGGTGTTCCCGAATTACGTAAAGCTTTCTTCAATTCCCAACTAAGTGATGTTTCCAAATTCTTCAAGGTAATATATATAAAAAAGGAAATAAGGCAAAAGTAAAGTGACTCAGTTAGGATTGTAGAGTTTCCATGTTCAAATCAATGCTCGTGATGAAGCCGATGTGGATCCCGCACTTATCATGAAGCGTGTATCCGAGTCTTCAGGCGCTAATTATAGTGTCCATAAAGAAAGTTCAAAAGCACAATCCAGAGTTACACCTGTTGTAAGTATGTCCCCCCCCCCCCCCTTCAGCCCATTTTTTTTTTTTCGTCTGTTACTTTCATCCCTAACGGCCTTTATTAGAACTCTGTGTATAAAAAGACTGAAATTCCTGATATCGCTGCAATGCAACGTGAATCTATGACCAAAGAAAATGCTCCTACTCCCGTTGGTACCAATTACAAACCCGTACAAACCGCTCCCAAGAAAATGGAACAACGTTGGAACATGGCTCAAAACCAAGATACCGGTGCCAACGCTGTTCGTGCTGAACGGGAAAGACACGAAAAGGAAGTACGTGATCGAGAAATCGAAAAATCCAGACAAGTCTCTCATACCCCTCCTCCTGCTCCTGCTCGTCCCACTTTCCAACAAGATGATTTCGCTGCTAAGCAAGAGGCCGAAAAGCAAGCTGCCGCTGCTCGCGAACAGGAAGAAAATGAACGTCGTTATCAACAACAACAACAACAACAAGAAGAAGAAAATCATCGTCGTCAACAACAACAACAACAAGAGGAAGAAGAGTATCATCGTCAGCAACAGGACGAGGAAAGACGTAGACAAGAACAAGAGGGAGAAGAGAGACGTAGACAAGAGGAATCTGATAGATTGCGTCAACAAGAAGACGCCAACCGAAAGCGTCAACAGGAGGAGGCTTATAGATTACGTCAACAAGAGGAAGCTGACAGAAAGCGCCAACAGGAGGAGGCTGATAGAAAGCGTCAACAAGAAGAAGAGGAGGAGGAAGAGAGAGAGCGTAGAGAAGAGGAAGCTGAACGTCATCGTCAACATGAGATTGCTACTGCAGAACACAAGCGTCGTCAACAAGAGGAAGATCAAAAGCAAGCAGCACTTCAATCCCAATTAAATGATACTGCAGACCGTGCTGTTCATGCAGCCGCAGGTGCCGCTGCGGGTGCTGCCATTGCCAGCACAGCTAAACACCATCAAGGTGTATCTGCCACTGTTCTTTTTGCTTATGAAGCCAGTGAAAACAATGAGATGACACTTCATGAGGGTGAAATTGTGCATCAAATTGATCAAGTGGATGAAGGATGGTGGTTTGGTGTGAGTGAGGATGGTAAGAAGCAAGGTCTTTTCCCTGCCAATTACGTTCAAATCTTGGAAGAGGAGGAGGAGGAAGAAGTGCCTGTTCCTCAAGCTCCTCCTGCTCCTGCTCCCCCTGCCCCTGCCGCTCCTCCTGCTCCTCAACAGCAAAATGATGGAAATGTGGCTGTGGCTCTTTATGATTATGCAGCAGAAGAAGATAATGAGATCTCCTTCAATGAGGGCGATGTCATTACTCAAATTGAATTTGTGAGTGACGATTGGTGGCAAGGTCTTGCTGCCAACGGCAAAAATGTTGGATTATTCCCTGGTAAGTGTCCTATTAAACATTTTAAATTTTCATGCATGAAATTCTGACACTTTGAATCTTTAAATCATGTAGCAAATTATGTCGAGTTGCAAAAGTAAAAAAAACAAAAAATTAAATAAATAAAAAAATGTACAAATAAAGTAGCCTTTTCAATCAAACAATGCATTGTCTTTCAAATGTTGCTGTCTTTTGGACATTGGCTTACGTACGTCAATTCTCATAATCCTTTATACACCGGCTAAAAGTTGTAGGTGATTTAAGCTTGATGTCGCATATTGAACATTACAACTTGCTATTGCTCTTTTCAACAACTATTATTCTCCAAAACTATGGAAACCTTTACCTTGCTTCTTTTTATTCCCAACTACATCTATTACAAAAATATCGTTAGGCTAAAGATATCAGTATTTTTAAACACCCTTTTTTCAGTACCATCTTCACCGGCAGAAGTTGAACATTCTTCCGGTATATTCTCCCGGGTGATTAGGTACAACGTAGTGCTGCCATACTTTCATCCTGATACGATCTATGAGATAGTCCCTTTTTGTAAAACAAGAAGATGCCTGTCAGGGGTGAAAGAATAATAAGTGGACCCACGATTATTTTATGTAAAACGAAACTACATAAAGCAATGGCACCAGCCTCACCAAACAACAACCATGTTAGGACAGTTGTACATGAAAAAAGGAAGAGAAGATGTTTGATAAGCAAGAACATGTTTTATTTAATAAGCTATTTTCAACCTATGCCTTTTTCGTACATTTTTTTTTTCTGCATAAATTGACGTCATGTGGCTACTACACTCGAGCCGACGCTGTTATTTCCAAAGGTTAAGGTATATGACGAGTCACTTGCATCAAACAAACATGTAACAAGCATTGTATTTACATTAATTGTATGAATCACATTTGGATAAACATATTCATCATGTTGTATCGTCATTCTGACGTAGACAAGATATAAATATAAAAATAAAAAACTGAGTTATAATATCTCTGGTCTTTTATGAACAACAGAATTCTGAATAGAACAGCCCTGATCAATTTTCATTGTAGATATGTATGTAACTGCGCACCAACACATACTTCATCATTCAATGTAGGACAAGATCGATTGGAAGAATTTAGATATCATTTAAGAGAGACGGTTAAACAGTCTTCAAATAATGCTTGTTAAATTCTGGAATTGCGTTGAATATGACACACTGATCACGACTAGCAAATAAATTGAAGAGCCTGTTTGTAGTTTCTTTAAACTTTTGTACCCTCAAAGTGATTGATTTTCCTACATAATATAATACAAATAGCATAATTACTGGAAAACGACTGTACCTAGAAAGCCTTTCAGACTAAAATGATGGTGTGATTTGTTAACATAACACACCATTGAAATTTTCAGGTAGAATACCAGTATCATCTTTAAAAGTAAGTGCGGAGAGAAGCTTTCAAGTGATAAACACAAGAGACACAGGTAGTTGATCGAAAATAGTAACATAGAAATGCTTTTTTTGTACTACTGTAAGGGAGGGCCGCGTATGACATTATCAATATGATACTCTTTGGGTGTTTGTAAATCACGAAAATTAAAAAGTGACTTCTGTACAACCGTGTGGTTTGGTTGATAAACCCATCCTAGGTCTCATTGAAATCATACAGATCTCTTGCTGTGATGACGACGATAGGAAAGTATTTAAATGATGTGTAGATAGCGAGACGACTGACGAATGACTCACGGTATTTAAAGATATCAAAAAAAAAAAAAGTGAACACACATAAAACACAATAGGTTATTTGTTTGTGGACAAAGCGCGCCCCTACCCAAAGCAAGCCAGACCAAAATAAGGCAAGTTGATACTCCACACTAGTATGTTTTAGGCAGGTTTGTATTACCCACAGCAAGCCGCCAAAAATTTTACTCCTAACATCATTATTTTTTTTATTTTTATTTTTTCCTTTTTCTTTCCTAATAAAAAAAGAAATTAATCTAGATCATGGGACAAACACTTTCAGAACCCATTGTTGAAAAGACAACCCACGAAGGCAAGAACAGCAACTTGATGTATGCACTTTCTTGCATGCAAGGATGGAGACTTAGTAAGTTTAGTTGACGGGTGAATCTTATTCTTTCATCTAACTTTTTTTTATTGTTACTTTAAAGCCATGGAAGATGCTCATTGTGCCGAATTGGATTTAGATGGCACCAAGGCTAGTTTTTTTGGTGTCTATGATGGTCACGGAGGTAATACTTAAACACGCATAAAAAAAAAAAACTTTCTTTTGTTTTATCTGACAGACTATCCCCACAGGCTCCACAGTGGCGCAATATACAGGACAGACGCTCCACCACCGTGTACTTGAATCACCACTTTTTGGAAAGAAGTATTATACGACAGCATTAGTTGAATCGTTTATGCAATTGGATAGAGAGCTGATAGAAGGTAAATTTTGAATTGTGTGCGCAGTGATATAGTAAGGAGGGATCCATAGTAACACAAGTCATGATAGACCAAAACTTTTCTTATGATCCTTCTGGATGTACAGCAGTGACTGTATTGGTGACACCCGATCAAAAGGAAATCTACTGTGCCAATGCTGGTGATTCCAGATCGGTGATTAGTACGGCTGGAAAGAGCAAGCCATTATCGTATGACCATAAACCTACCGACCCCAAAGAGAATCAACGTATTGTGAATGCTGGTGGATTTGTTGAATTCGGACGTGTCAATGGTAACTTGGCACTCTCGCGTGCCATTGGTGATTTCGAGTTTAAGCAGAATAATACTTTACCCGCTGAACAACAAGCAGTGACTTGCGATCCTGATGTTATCAAACACACTATCGAGAGTGAGGATGAATTCATCGTCTTAGCCTGTGATGGTATCTGGGATTGCATGACTAATCAACAAGTTGTGAGTTATATCCGTCAAGCATTATCTCAAAAGACAAAATTAGGTGAGATCTGTGAACAAATCATGGATGATTGTTTGGCTGTGGAAAGTGATGGTGGTGGCTTTGGCTGTGATAATATGTCTGTTATCATTGTTGCTATTTTGAACGGTAAATCAGAAGAAGAATGGTATGATTGGATGGCTGCTCGTACTGCTCCTCCCAAGAAGGATGGTTTAGGCAACGATATCGTCATGACTCAACCATAAAAAAAAAAGAAAAGAAACCATTTTGTAATTAAACAACATACACACATTTTATTTTTATTATTTCGCCATGGGTATCACATCTGTCTTTAACACTCGGTTTGTCTTTTTACGAGGCACAGGAGCTGAAAGAAAAGGCATTTCTGTTAATTTTTTGTTTGCTCTGGCACTCCTTCTTTTTTTTTTGTCTTTACCATGCTTGTTCTCTCGGATGTAAAATTTACGCAACATTAAAATTGCTTCTTCATGAAAGAACCCACCTTCGGAAGGATACCCTTTGGATTGACTCGTATCCAATCTTGAGCTTGAGATTTTTTTTTTTAATTGAAATTTTCAAAATTGTACATTTCTCTTTGCTTTCTACTTACTCTGTATTGATATGAAAAACAGATCCATTACCACCAAATTTCTCATTCCCACATCCAAAATACACATGTCGGATACCCACCTGTCTTAATGCTGAAGCACACATCACACAAGGTTCCACCGTCACATACAAATCTACATTTTCAAAAACGCTACGCTCATGTTCTTTTAAAATCTCATCAATAGCTTCAAACTCGGCATGCCGTGTCGCCTATTTTTTTTTTTTTCTGCTTGTCAGTTTCTATCATTTCTTTTTCAAAGAAGAGGGACGGACCATGGCTTACATTGTAACTCTCATTAGGCTTATTACGACCTCTTGCGATAATGGTCTCATTGTTTAATACAAAAACGCAACCCACAGGCACTTCAGAGTGGTCATACGCATCTTGCGCTACAACAAGTGCTTCTCTCATAAATGCAGCATTATACTTTGACATTGTGTATTGAGATGGTTGAGTCAAAACCGGCTCGAGAAAAAGAAAAAAAAAATGGCCAGAAAAACCTAAAAGTGACTGTTTTGTTGCTTGCTTTATGTGTGTGTGTGTATGTAAGCATTGCCCGTGTAACGCTCTTGTTCGTAAGTGATTAACTACTTATCACCAACTATTCATTAAAGCTAGAAATATAAAAAATGCATTTGCATGACGAACAAATATCTGCTTATAAATAATATGACAAAATATCATATTGTTTGTCCGCAAAAAAAAAAAAAAAATTATCAGACATGGTAAGGGTCGAAAACTCTGCATCCATGATAGTGCTTAGCAACCCGATTTATGTCTTGATGAAACCCTATTCTTTATTATCAGCTTCATATTCTCGGATACCCACATGGGTGGGAATTCTCGACAAACTTCTATCCGAGCGAGGAGGAGTGAACCAGAATTCTCTTTCTCTACTGAATAATATAAACCCTTTTGACACTTTTCCCTGCCTATGTTGGCTCTGGGGATAGCACCGTCCAATGTTTGCAGAGAGAAAGATAAGCGTCCACTGGTATATTTTACAGAGAATTTTCCCTTGTTTTGAATGAGAATTTTCTAAACATCAAAGAGACCCTATCAGGGAAAGTAAACAGATATTTAATTGAGTCGATACTATTTGAACCAGAAAAAAAGAAACACTGGTTGGGAAGGACAGACTGAACTCAGGAATGACGCTATGGTATTGGTAGTTCGTTGCATGAATTGTGGCAGATAATACATTTGGGACCAACAAGCTGGCATAACCATACTTTGCTTTTTCATGGAATTCTTGTCTGTGCTGTCATGGATTTGTTGGATTGTTATTTCAGCCTCCTTTTCCTCCTCTGGTTCAGCTTACCCATATCACTTGCCAAGTTTTTTTTTTTTTTTTATATATATATCACTGGCCTTCAGGTTCAACATCACCTCGGTTTTTGGCTAATTAGAGATATTTGTGGATTAAAATGTTTTATTCTTTCTGTCAAATTTTTAAGTTTTGTCCCGTTGATTGTTGTACAGTGATGAAAATTCATTCTTCATCAAAAGGTATCTTCAGATACCTAAGTGTATCCCCTTTGAGGCACGTGACTGTACGTGCTGATGTCTACAAAGACACGGGTACAAACTTGTCGTAACAAGGTTAGAAGGTTGTAGGCTTATTTTTTTTGCCAAAAGAGAATTCGACCTCGATCCAAATCCTTCACGTTTGAGCATTTGGATAGAGGACTAGCAGCTATGATTATACTGCTTTTCTGATCTTTCTAGAGACCTTAAAAGCCTGATAAAATCTCCTTATAAAAGGGCAGTGTCCTTTTTAAACAGTTCTAAAAAAAAAAGGGACACGAAGCCTAAGCTTGACCACTTCTTGGTTACCATCTTTACGGACCTGTTCATTAGGGACCAGAAGACGCATTCTCAAGCTCTGTGAGACAGGAAAAAAAAGGCTAATTATACGCGCACCATACTTTTTGCTTGAAAAAAAAATTTCGCGCACCATACTTTTCTGTGCCGGTCAAATAATAAATTCCGGGTCGGACCAAAAATAATTTTTGCACATAGAATTTTTTTTCTAGCGCTGGCGGACCATACTTTTTTCGCTGGCGGACCATACTTTTTTTCGCTGGCGCACCATACTTTTTTCGCTGGCGCACCATACTTTTTTTCGCTGGCGCACCATACATTTTTTCGCTGGCGCACCATGCTTTTTTCGCTGGCGGACCATACTTTTTTTCGCTGGCGGACCATACTTTTTTTCGCTGGCGCACCATACTTTTTTCGCTGGCGCACCATACTTTTTTCGCTGGCGCACCATACTTTTTTTGCTGGCGCACCATACTTTTTCTCGCGCACCACACTTTTTTTTCCTTCATTCTTTTTCTTTTAAACTTTTATTTTTGAAATGAATTCAAACGATTCACAACAATCTTTGAGCGAAAGCCAATTGTTAATTAACAGTCTTTTATCTGTAATCAACCCTGCCGACGAACCCAAAGACAGTTTCGAGGAGACCTTTGACAGACAAAACGCTGAGCAAGCTATTGCCGAGGAAACAACGACTGATGACTACGACTGGGAATGTCTTAGTGAGCCTGAGGAGGAAGACGTTAGTGTCGAAGCCACACGACATGTCTCTTCTTTCGCCGAGACTGTTTCCATCAATGAACGAGTCATCGAATTGAAGGCTGCTTTCGAAGCCGAGTTTCCCGTGGGAAAAACCTTTGTCGACAAGGACACTGCAAGACTGGAAATACAGTCTTTCAGTAAAGCAAACAACATCCCCTTTGAGACTTGTAAAAGCGACAAATCATACATTAAGATGATTTGCAAACATTTTGGCAAATATCGTGCCGCAAAGAAGGGTGAAGGTAATATAAATTAAAATCTGCGATAAGGTCGTATAAAATAATTCGATAAATTAATTGCAAAACTAGATGAAGAGGATATTGGAACTGGTGAGGGATTAGAGAGTGTTGCGCAGCGTCCCAACCGAACAACTGGAAGAACAGGGTGCTCGGCATTTGTATATGTTCGTAAGGATGCAAGAGCTGTCGGACAGCCATGGACAATCCGAACCAGCTGTTTTGAGCATAATCATCCCTTGAGTGAGGATAGAAGAGCTTATCACAACAATCGCAAGCTCAATGCAGAAGACCAGGAGCTTGCAATCAGTCTTATGCGTGCAGGAACAACGCCCAGTGAAACATTGAAGGTAAGGTTGAAAATTGATATATAGAAGGCGTTTGAGAAATCAATAGTTAGTGAAGTTGTAGTCATAATAAATAAAATTATTTTGTGTATATTCTTTAACATATCTATGCCTCTTTGTATTTTGGCTTATAATAATAATTTTTCTTGGTGACTAGATGCTTGAAACAAGAGGTGTGAATAACCTCGTTGTAACGGATTTGACAAATATTCAACAGCAATTTTGTCGAGATAATCACACCAACATGTGGAATTTCATCAAAAATCTTGAATCCAGTGGTCATCAAGTCCGCTACATGACAAATGCCGACGAAAGGATTTGTTGTGTATTTTTCATACATCAACATGGCATTGATGAGGCTCGAAAGCTTTCCGAGTGTATTGTTATTGATGCCACCTACAAGACCAATTCACACAAAATGGTCTTGTTGAATTTTGTTGTTGCAGGTACTTTGCGATCAAAAGAGAAACCCAAGCAATTGGTAACAGTGCCTATTGCGGGATGCTGGATGGATCGCGAGACAGGTGACCGCTATCGTTGGTCTATGAACTGCTTTCGTGAGATTGTTTGGCCCGTCGGTGAAAGCGCCGGTAACTTACCAAAATGCTTTGTAACCGATAACGACGAAGCCTTGTTGGGAGCAATTAAGTCTGTTTTCCCTGAGAGTAACCAAATCTTGTGCTGGATTCATATCCAAAGAAATTTCATTTTGAGATTTAAAAAAAATTTGTCGAAAGAAAAAAGACAGGACAGTATGTTAACAGTTAAAAGACGATAAGAAATCCTTTTAAATTAACTTATTGTTATAACGCAGGAAACTTGATGGAAATGGAGGTCAAGTCCTTTATGGCTATCATAAAGCAAATGGCATTAACATGCGCAACAAAGCGTGAATTTTTGCTTGCTAAAGATGCGTACGAGGCCTTTGTGTCAACCAAGGGCATGTGTGTAAAGGGTGGTGCCCAAACGATGATCAAATACCTCCATCAGTAAGTATTTATGTTGATTGCAATTTTTCTATCTAGACCGAAGGCTATACCTGGATTATTAACGCAAAAATGTAGCATGATGATCAAAAAACAATATTGGGTTGGATATTACGTCAACAACTTGATGCATATGGGCAATAGAACATCTAATAGAGTTGAGTCTACCCATGCCAACATCAAAAGAAGTAACAACACTTCGTCTGGTAGCATGGCTGTTGTTACAGAAAAAATTGATCTGTGGATTAAAAAAAGAGTACGTAGTAGCTAAACCACAGTTTATATTTTGTTTACAATTCTAAAAAAATCTGTTTTTTAGGAAGACTACCGCAACTTACAGTCAATTAAAGAATCGGTCTCTCAACGACCAGTTTTTTTAGAACATGATATCATGGATAAACTTTCCTTGATAAAATTGAATGTTTCCAGCTTTGCTTTCGAAAACATCAAGAATGAGTTGATGGAAATGAAAGCATCTGAGGAAAACCCTGACCACGTAAGCCATGTCTTATCTGGTGGGAGCTGCCTCTGTAAGCTTAGAAGAAATTTTAGGCTTCCATGCAGACACATCCTTGCTGTCTCGTTCATTGATGGAAAAATTCCATTAAACGTAATTCACCAAAGATGGAGAATCTCGTATTTTGAGGGCAACGGTAAAAATTCAATGTTTTGCAAATTTTATTATCCTTCTTAAAACTAAACTTATAATAATGTACTTCATAGTTGCTACCGTAGCCGAAGTTTCTGCCGAATTGGCTAAAGGTTCTGCAGACGTATTGGACATCAATACAACAGACATCCAAATAAGACTGGAAAAATTAATGTCTTTGTGCAAGGTTTTGGGGAGCCAACAAGAATCCGTTGATCTCATAAAGGACATGGATGCTTTGATCAGTAAGTATTCAAACGATCGTTTAGAAAACACTCTCGCACCCAAAATTGTCGAAATACAGAAGGGCCGACCTAAAGGGACAAAAAGAAACAAGCTTGGTGTGGAACATGAAGATGAAAAAATCTCGATAGAGCAAAAAAATGCCAAAAAAATGAAGCAGGAAACAATAAAAGTAGAAAAGCAAAAAAAAACTAAAACGACCTTAAGTCTTCGCAAGCCATCAACAGCCGTGATCAAGCAGATCAAGTCAAAGTATTGGTCTATGTTATATTTTTAATTATTTTACAACAATAACACCTATTTGTTTTTCTAGATACGAGCCTTCCACTGTCATAACTCGTGAAGCAGATTACAGTGGTCTGTTTGGATTGCTAGATAATGCATATGTCAATGATGTACTTGGGTTCGTCAACCCCCATCCTGATGGTAATTGTGGATACCGTGCTGTAAGCCTCGCTGTTTTTGACAATGAAATCGCTTGGATCCAAGTGAAAAAAATGATGTTAGCTACCTTTACAAAGTATGCTAACACTCTTTACAACACATATGGGCTAAACGAAGCGTATACCTCCAAAAAATTGCAATCAACAAGAGCTCCCTGTCTTGATGACTTAAGTCTTTGGTTTGACTGTTACGGATGCCCACAAATTGTTGCTGACACTTTCAAAAGACCAGTAATTTTACATGCTACAACACCAAAAGTCGATAAGTATGAAATCACGTGGAGAGATAATGATGGAAACATCATTTACACCAAAGATTCTATCACTTTTGTACCACTTCTTGGTCTGGATTTGGAAACAATGAATGATCCTATTCAACTTTTGTTTGCCAACAGTCACTTTTACATGATTTTACCTCAAATCGATAACAAAACGAAGAAAGCTTGCAAAGTCAAAAAATGGCCAACATTAAACTTTTCACACCAAAAAGTATTCGACGCGCACCGAGACATTTGTGTCAACGACGTGTCTCACTACTTTCAAAACAACTAGACAGGATAATTTTATAATTTGCTTCCCCAATCCTTAACATTCTCCCAAACTTTATATTTTATCTCATAATAATCAAAACCCAAAAACAAAATAAAATTTAGACTAAAAGCATGAGCTCACACTCAAAACCACATTGATTCTCTTCATCACAAAGTATGGTGCGCCAGCGAAAAAAAAATATATTCCGCCAGCGAAAAAAAAAGTATGGTGCGCCAGCGAAAAACTATGGTGCGCCAGCGAAAAAAACTATGGTGCGCCAGCGAAAAAAACTATGGTGCGCCAGCGAAAAAATGTATGGTGCGCCAGCGAAAAAAAGTATGGTGCGCCAGCGAAAAAAGCATGGTGCGCCAGCGAAAAAATGTATGGTGCGCCAGCGAAAAAAAGTATGGTGCGCCAGCGAAAAAAAGTATGGTGCGCCAGCGAAAAAAGCATGGTGCGCCAGCGAAAAAATGTATGGTGCGCCAGCGAAAAAAGCATGGTGCGCAAGAAAAAGTCCAATGTGCAAAAATCATTTTGGTCCGACCCGGAATTTATTATTTGACCGGCACAGAAAAGTATGGTGCGCGAAATTTTTTTTTCAAGCAAAAAGTATGGTGCGCGTATAATTAGCCAAAAAAAAAGGGTGAAATCAATTCACTAAAAAATGAAGTCTTTATAAAAAATAGATGACGTCTAAAAAAAAAATTGTTCCCGTTTTTTTGACTGCGCGTTCTTGAACGCGTTTTGTTGGAAAAAAAAAAAAAATTTAAAAAAGCGTAAATTGAAATATCCTATATTTTTTTTTTTTTCTACAAACGCGATTTTTCCCTTTTTTTTTTTCTTTTCATTTCCTTTTTTTTTATATATATATATATTTAATAGAAGATGATGTACGTTATTAAAAGAGGTAAATATACAGTCTGTGATATAAATGTCCATGTTGTATTAAACAGTTTTACGCACAGACGGCCGTCAAGAAACTGTTGCCTTTGACAAGGTAAAAATATTTATAAAAAAAATTCAAGAGAGAGAGGGGTTGTTGTGATACTAATAATAATTAAAAAAAAAAAAAAAAAAAAATAGATTACAGCTAGAATCAACAAGCTCTGTTATGGTTTGGATACCAACTTTGTTGACCCTGTCACTGTGACCCAAAAGGTCATTTCTGGTGTTTATCAAGGTATTACGACGGTGATGCTGGATACCTTGGCCGCAGAGACTGCTGCCTATATGACCATTAGTCATCCCGACTATGCTATCTTGGCTGCTCGTATTGCCGTCTCCAACTTACACAAGGAAACACACAAGTCATTCTCCAAGGTCGTTGACGATTTATATACCTATATCAATCCCAAGAATAACACTCATTCACCCATGATTTCGGACACCGTTTACAAGGTTATCCAAGACAACGCTGAACGTTTAAACTCGGCCATCATCTATGATCGTGATTTCAACTTCAATTTCTTTGGTTTCAGAACACTCGAAAGATCCTACTTGCTTCGTATCAATGGTAAAGTCGCTGAAAGACCTCAACACTTGATTATGCGTGTTGCCATTGGTATTCATCAAGATGATATCGAGGCCGCTATCGAGACTTACCATCTCATGTCTCAAAAGTACTTTTTACATGCTAGTCCTACCCTCTTTAACGCTGGTACTCCTCGTCCTCAATTATCCTCTTGTTTCCTCTTGACCCCCAAGGCTGATTCTGTCGAAGGTATCTTTGAAACTCTCAAGCTCTGCTCCAAGATCTCCAAGAGTGCAGGTGGTATTGGTTTGAACGTGCATGATATCCGTGCCTCAAACTCTTATATTGCTGGCTCTGGTGGTGAATCCCACGGTCTTTTACCCATGCTCAAGGTCTTCAACAGTACTGCACGTTATGTCGATCAAGGTGGTAACAAGCGTCCTGGTGCCTTTGCCATCTACCTCGAACCTTGGCACGCCGATGTCTTTACCTTTTTGGACTTGCGTAAGAATTTTGGTCGTGATGAGATTCGTGCTAGAGATATGTTCTATGCACTTTGGATCCCTGATCTCTTTATGCAACGTGTTGAAGAAAACGGTACCTGGTCTCTCTTCTGTCCCAACGAAGCTCCTGGACTCTCTGATGTCTGGGGTGACGAATTCGTTGCTCTTTACACCAAGTATGAACAACAAGGTCTTGCTCGTGAAACCATGCCTGCCCAAAAGCTCTGGTATGCCATCATGGAAACTCAAACTGAGACGGGTAACCCTTACTTGCTCTACAAGGATGCTTGTAACCGTAAGAGTAACCAACAAAACTTGGGTACCATCAAGTGTAGTAACTTGTGTACCGAAATTGTTGAATATTCCAGCCCTGATGAAGTGGCTGTTTGTAACTTGGGTTCGCTTGCTTTACCTTCCTATGTTAAGGACGGTGTCTATGATTTCCAAAAGTTGCATGATGTCGCCAAGGTCTTGACCAAGAATTTAAACAAGGTCATCGACATGAATTACTATCCCGTTGAAGAAGCTCGTAACTCCAACATGCGTCATCGTCCTATTGGTTTAGGTGTCCAAGGTTTAGCCGATGCCTTCATCTTGATGCGTTATCCCTTTGAATCCAAGGAAGCCAAACAATTGAATTTAGAGATTTTCGAAACCATTTACCATGCTGCTTTAGAAGCTTCTTGTGAACTTGCACAAAAGTACGGTACTTATCAAACCTATGAAGGCTCTCCTGTCTCCAAGGGTATCTTGCAATACGACATGTGGAATGTCACACCTACCGATAAATGGGATTGGGATACCCTTAAGGCTAACATTGCCAAGCACGGTGTTCGTAACTCCCTTCTTTTGGCTCCTATGCCTACCGCCTCCACCTCTCAAATCTTGGGCTTCAACGAATGTTTCGAGCCTTACACATCCAACATTTACATGCGTCGTGTCTTATCTGGTGAGTTCCAGATTGTCAACCAATGGCTTATGAAGGATCTTGTCGAAATGGGTATCTGGAACGATAAGGTCAAGAACAAGATTATGAACGATGATGGATCTGTTCAAGGAGTAGCTGAAATTCCTCAACACCTCAAGGATCTTTACAAGACAGTCTGGGAGATCTCTCAACGTACGATTATTGATTTGGCAGCTGATCGTGGTGCCTTTATCGATCAAAGTCAATCGATGAATTTGTTTATTGGTAAGCCCAATTTGGGTAGATTGACCTCTATGCATTTCTACGCTTGGAAGAAGGGATTGAAGACCGGTCAATATTACTTGCGTATTCGTCCTGCTGTGGATGCTATCAAATTCACAGTCGATCAAAACGCCATTGATAGTTACGATGCTGAAAATGAGGTCCAAAAGGTCGCAGTTGAAAAGGTTGAAGAAGGTGATTTGCAAAGTAGAATGCCTGTTGTTTGTGATGAAGATGTCTGTGTCAGCTGTAGCGCTTAAAAAAAAGAATTTACTTTTGACACCTTTTCCCCAACACACACACACTTTCCTCAAAAAAAACCCCCATTTTTCATCTCACTAAAATACACACACACAAACACATCCCCCCCCCCCCCATCTCTTGTAATATAGTATAAACATTTTAATATTTGCTCTTAAATTATTTCTCTTAAATGCACTTTATGGCAATGTAAATCACAAGGATAGCCAAAACTGACGAGAAATCAAAGAATGTCAGTCGTCTCTCTTTTTTTTTTTTTTTTTTTTTTTTGCTTTTAAATGTGTGTATATTTTTAAAGAGGAAACTTACATAGGTAACGCCATGCAAACCCATCATCACACCGCCACAATGTATCAAACCTTTGTTCTACCTGTTTTAAATACCCGGTATGATTAAATATCCGTTCCTGTAATGCACTCATCCGTCCCTTATACGATTGAAAACAACCCGAACATGCTTTCACTTGTTGATGCACATGGTCCAAGATTCTCTCAAAGGCTTGTAAATGGGTCGTTTGCGTTGTACTTTCCAAAAGTATATCCAACGATCGCTCTAGATCCAATAATTGCTTCACACAATGCGAGATGGTTCCCTTTGAATTCTCCATGTGTTGTGTGAGTTGCTGGATACGCTCCACTTGCGCTTGATTCCCACGCACCATGTGGTCCACCCATTGCGTTGCAGACAGGGTCTTCTCTTCTTCTTCTTGAGGCACCACGGGCTCACTCAGCCTCAGAGACTGTTGCTTTAATTTAACCAGATTCATAAACATCATCTTTTCCGAATAACAGCGACAGGTGAGTCGAAGCACGGTATGACGTGTTGTCAAGACAACCGTATTGTCAAACACATTCACATCATCGGTCACTGTACAAGGTGCATGAATCCAACCTGATTTCAAACTGGGTTCATACGACATGACATTGCTCAATGTCACATTGGACGGTGTGGACGAAGGTGTATCGGTAGGGGTCATAGGTGGTTCGTCTAAAATGAGAGTATGTTTCCATTGCTTAAACATGTATTGAAGACGCTTTGTTTGATGACCTGAGGTCTTTCTTAATTCAGCGGGTGAAGGATGACTAGGTAATGGCGCATGGTGAAAATAAAGAAAAGCAAGTCGTGAACGAATGGGTAAAATGGCAATCGTCTTTTCCAATACACGTACCAATACATAGGAATGCATATCTGGCCAATGAAAACAAAAGGTGTCAATCACTTCAGCATTGAACGGTTCCACCACTCGTGACATTTATTACACTGCAAAAAAATAGAACTATATAGGCCCGTAGATTAGGGTTTGTGTGCAACAGCAAATAAATAAAGGCTAATTATACGCGCACCATACTTTTTGCTTGAAAAAAAAATCTCGCGCACCATTTTTTTCTGTCCGGTCAAATAATAAAATTCCGGGTCGGACCAAAAATGATTTTTGCACATTGGATTTTTTTCTTGCGCACCATGCTTTTTTCGCTGGCGCACCATGCTTTTTTCGCTGGCGCACCATGCTTTTTCCGCTGGCGCACCATAATTTTTCGCTGGCGCACCATACTTTTTTTTCGCTGGCGGACTATATTTTTTTTCGCTGGCGCACCATACTTTGTGATGAAGAGAATCAATGTGGTTTTGAGTGTGAGCTCATGCTTTTAGTCTAAATTTTATTTTGTTTTTGGGTTTTGATTATTATGAGATAAAATATAAAGTTTGGGAGAATGTTAAGGATTGGGGAAGCAAATTATAAAATTATCCTGTCTAGTTGTTTTGAAAGTAGTGAGACACGTCGTTGACACAAATGTCTCGGTGCGCGTCGAATACTTTTTGGTGTGAAAAGTTTAATGTTGGCCATTTTTTGACTTTGCAAGCTTTCTTCGTTTTGTTATCGATTTGAGGTAAAATCATGTAAAAGTGACTGTTGGCAAACAAAAGTTGAATAGGATCATTCATTGTTTCCAAATCCAGACCAAGAAGTGGTACAAAAGTGATAGAATCTTTGGTGTATATGATGTTTCCATCATTATCTCTCCACGTGATTTCATACTTATCGACTTTTGGTGTTGTAGCATGTAAAATTACTGGTCTTTTGAAAGTGTCAGCAACAATTTGTGGGCATCCGTAACAGTCGAACCAAAGACTTAAGTCATCAAGACAGGGAGCTCTTGTTGATTGCAATTTTTTTGAGGTATACGCTTCGTTTAGCCCATATGTGTTGTAAAGAGTGTTAGCATACTTTGTAAAGGTAGCTAACATCATTTTTTTCACTTGGATCCAAGCGATTTCATTGTCAAAAACAGCGAGGCTTACAGCACGGTATCCACAATTACCATCAGGATGGGGGTTGACGAACCCAAGTACATCATTGACCCATGCATTATCTAGCAATCCAAACAGACCACTGTAATCTGCTTCACGAGTTATGACAGTGGAAGGCTCGTATCTAGAAAAACAAATAGGTGTTATTGTTGTAAAATAATTAAAAATATAACATAGACCAATACTTTGACTTGATCTGCTTGATCACGGCTGTTGATGGCTTGCGAAGACTTAAGGTCGTTTTGGTTTTTTTTTGCTTTTCTACTTTTATTGTTTCCTGCTTCATTTTTTTGGCATTTTTTTGCTCTATCGAGATTTTTTCATCTTCATGCTCCACACCAAGCTTGTTTCTTTTTGTCCCTTTAGGTCGGCCCTTCTGTATTTCGACAATTGAAGGGGCAAGAACAGTTTCCAGACGGTCTACCGAATATTTTTGGATCAAAGCATCCATATCTTTGATAAGATCGGCTGATTCTTGCTGACTACCTAAGACATTGCTTAATGATAGAAGCTTTTCCAACCTAAGTTGGATAGCACTGGTATCAATAGGCAATGTTTCATTAGACTTTTTGCTCATCTCAGCGGAAATTTCAGCAATTGTGGCGACTATGAAAAGTATTAATTTTGATTTCAGTCTAATTCAGTTTGTATATTAATTTCTTACCAGTTCCCTTCACATATGTGATCCTCCATCGTTCGTGAACAATGTCCAGAGGAACTTTATTCTCAACAAACGAGACGGCAAGAACATGTCTGCAAGGAAGTCGAAAGTTTTTTCTGAGCTTGCAGAGACAGCTTTCTCCAGGGCGCACATGGCTTACATGGTCAGGCTTTTCTTCAGCAGCCTTCATTTCCATCAATTCATTCTTGATATTTTCAAAAGCAAAGCTTGAAACATTTAATTTGATCAGAGCAAGTTTATCCATTACATCATCTTCCAAAAAAATTGTTCTTTGTGTCATGGATTCCTTGATTGATTGTACATTTCGATAATCCTCCTAATTTTTTTTAGAGTTAACAAAATAAAAATATGTTTAAACATTACGTACTCTCTTTTTAATCCAAAGATCTATTTTTTCAGTGACAACTGCCATGCTACCAGATGAGGTGCTGTTGCTTCTTTTGATATTTGCATGGGTAGACTCAACTCTGTTCGAAGTTCTGTTTCCCATATGCATTAAATTGTTAACATAATAACCTACCCAGTATTGCTTCTTTTTCATCATACTATATTTGTATCTAGTTAATAAAAAGAGGGAAAGAGGCATTTTTAAGAGAAAAAAACAAAACAAAAAAACCTACTGATGCAGATACTTAATCATCGTTTGGGCACCACCTTGTACACATTTGCCCTTGGCAGACACGAACGTTTCGTATTCATTTTTGGCAAGCAAAAATTCATCCTTTGTCGTGCATTTTAAAGCCATTTGCTTGATGATAGCCATAAACGATTTGACCTCCATCTCCATTTTGTTCTCTATAAGGTGTTTATTTGGTAAGTTTATGAGGACTAATGAACGTAACTTGTTTTAACATACTATCCAGTCTCTTTTCCTTGGCAAGATTCTTCTTGAATCTCAGAATAAAGTTTCTTTGGATATGAATCCAGCAAAGAATTTGTTTACTCTCGGGAAACTCGGACTTGATTGCTCCCAACAAGGCTTCATCGTTGTCAGTAACAAAGCACTTGGGCAATTTATCCGTGCTTGTTCCAGTAGGCCAAACAATATCACGGAAAGAGTTAAAAGCCCAGCAGTAGCGCTCGCTTGTCTCCCGATCCATCCAACATCCTGCAATTGGAACTGTTGTCAACTGCTTTGGCTTTTCTTTTGATCTTAAAGTACCAGCGACGACGAAATTCAACAAGACCATCTTATGTGAGTTGGTCTTGTAGGTGGCATCCACAATTATACATTCTGAAAGCTTTCTAGCTTCGTCGATTCCATGTTGGTGAATGAAAAAGACGCTGCAAATTCTCTCATCAGCATCTGTCAAAAATCGAACTTGGTGGCCACTTGATTCAAGATTCTTGACAAAATTCCACATGTCAATGTGGCTGTCCCGACAGAATTGTTGTTGGATGTTTGTTAAATCGGTTACAATCAGGTTGCTTACGCCTCTTGTTTCAAGCATCTAATTACCAGGAAATTGATGTTATTTTAAGATATAAATTGGGGACATATTTAGACTTATAAAGAATAATATTGGCAAAATAACTTTTATTATGATTACAGCTTTCCTAACTATTGATTTCTCAAAGGATCTCTTTATCTCATTTTTAAACATTACCTTTAACGTTTCACTGGGAGTTGTACCTCCACGCATAAGCGAAATGGCGAACTCTTGATCATCCGCATTGAGCTTTCGGTTGCTGTGATAAGCCCTCTTATCCTCGCTCAAAGGATGGTTGTGTTCGAAACAGCTGGATCGAACAGTCCAAGGCTCTCCAGCTAATTTTACATCCTTACGAATGTAGATGAAGGCTGAACAGCCTGTTCTCCCGGTGGTCCTGTTGGGTCTTTGAATGCTGTTTTCCAATTCATCATCATCAACGGCATCCTTTTCATCTGGTTTCAAAAACAACGTTAAATAATTATATCAATAAATATCGCAATTGTGTCAATCTTACCTTCTCCCTTTTTGGCAGCACGATATTTGCCAAAATGCTTACAGATCATTTTGATGTAAGACTTATCGCTTTTAAAAGTCTCAAAAGGAATATTGTTAGCCTTACTGAAAGACTGTATTTCGAGTCTTGCAGTTTCCTTGTCAGCAAAGGCTTTTCCAACAGGAAACTCGGCTTCAAAAATAGCCTTTACATTGGTAACACGTTCATTGACCGACACAGTCTCAGCAAAAGATGGAACGTGTCGTGTTGCCTTGACGCTAATGTCCTCCATCTCAGGTTCACTGAGACATTCCCAGTCGTATTCCTCTACTGTCACTTTTTCATCAGTGTTGGACTGTTCATAAACTTGTCTATCAAAGGCATCCTCGAAACTGTCCTTGATTTCGTCTACAGGATTGATGACAGATAAAAGACTATTGATGAGCAATTGGCTTTCACTCAAAGATTGTTGTGAATCGTTTGAATTCATTTCAAAAATAAAAGTTAAAAGAAAAAGAATATTGAGCCGTAAACAAGAATGGTGCGCGAGAAAAAGTATGGTGCGCGAAAAAGTTTGGTGCGCCAGCGAAAAAGTATAGTCCGCCAGCGAAAAAAACTATGGTGCGCCAGCGGAAAAAGCATGGTGCGCCAGCGAAAAAATGTATGGTGCGCCAGCGAAAAAAGCATGGTGCGCAAGAAAAAAATCCAATGTGCAAAAATCATTTTTGGTCCGATCCGGAATTTTATTATTTGACCGGACAGAAAAAAATGGTGCGCGAGATTTTTTTTTCAAGCAAAAAGTATGGTGCGCGTATAATTAGCCTAAATAAAAAGGAATTTTTGTGGAGAAAAAAAAAAAAAAAAAAGCGGACACTTAATCAAAGGGTCTTGGGAAGGGGACACCCGCTGGTCCTAGTTTAAACTTGGCATTAGAATCTGATATGAATTTCTCATTCATGAGAATGAAAAGAGAAAGGAGGCATGATGAATGGATACATTAAAACCCGCCTCTATTCATTGAGTACCTTTTTTGAATATTTAAGATAGTAGACAGACGTTCATCATCTCATACCAGCTACATTTATCAAGAAACTTTACGAATCGCGTTCTAATTTCCAAGAAAAAAAAAAAAAAAAAAAAAAAGGGTAGTGCTCATTCTTTGAAAAGACACTGCATTTATAAAAAAAAAATTTACCTAGTCATAATGATGACAAATGTATTCTTGTGTGCAGCTTCCCCCCTTGTTGAAATAACAAACGTTTTATGTAATTTGCTGTTTTTATTTTGGTGTGGGCGCGATCCGCGTGGTTGATAATGCATGATTTCTAACAGGCCATTTGATTTATTATCATTCATCCCATCTAATCCTGACGCACATAAACTAGTCTTGCTTTGTCGTATTTTTTTTTTTTACCGTACTTTGTCATCCCCTCCTATTTCCTGTAGTGCGTTACCTCTTTCTTTTTTTTTTAAAAAAAAAAAAAATATTTCCGTGTGCAGTGTATGTCCTAAAAACACGAGAGAGAACTTTAGCTCGTCCGGTAATTTTGATCTTTACTCGTAATATATAAGTAAACATATTAGATCTTTATTCCTGACACGCCCAATCAATTAAAGTTATCTGAAATGAATACATCTAAATCCTAATATGTATTTATTACATTGAGTGAAATGACTATGTCAGAAAAATCAAATGTCAAGTAGAACCAGCTCCTTTAAACAATGTTATGCAATGATCACGATGAAAATTTTTGAACAGCAAAAGCTTTAATATAATATACACTTGTCCTCTCTTTCACTACTAGCAGTGAGTATTCTAGTAACATCCACGCTTGCGATATGTATTAAAGGTCTTTATATATATTTATATAATAAATCATTTATTTTGACTGTACGATCGTTTTATGACACTTTGTAGCCCTGCGTGCATATATCTCTAATCATGGATGTGTTTATATCTCACGCTTTTTTATGTTCATATCACCTTGCACTCAAGATGCATACATTGTATCTCTTGTAGGAAATAAAACGTTATTCATGCTGCAAAAAGGTCTGACCAAAAAAAAAAAAAATGTATTTAATAACTAATTCTCTGTTGACTCACTAAAAAAATAATCAAGAGAATGATCCTATTCAAGAAATATGGGATACACTGCGGAGACAAGTATAAAGTGATATGTAAAAAAATAAACCTTGTATGCACACTCATTTTTAAACAACCAGTATTTTTTTTTGTGTAGTTTAGAAATACATGCGCAATAATCAGGTACAGTGATACTATGTTTAGCGCACTGCAAGAATGAATTCATAACAAAAATTATTTCCAATCGTAATCCAAAGTGCCTTTTCCAAACACGTAACCGCGTCAAAAAAAAAAAAAAAAAAAAAAAAAAAAAATATATAGTGTTTGATTACAGGGGCTAAATTTTAATTTTATAGCGCTTTAAACCAAAACTTTCTTGTAACACTTTTTTTTTTAGTCATTTCCATGAAAAAAGAATAGTTTTGTAAATTGAAAGGACTGGAACAAATCACCTGTGATTTTTTGTACTCATTTTTTTTTTATGGTTGAACGCAACTTTAATGTGAGACACATATTTACAAAATTACCCAAAAAACTTTTTTTTAAATAAAAGACGGGATTAGGGTTTTAAACATTTTGGGTTGTGTTTTTTTTTCCCACACACATTTTCCAATGGGCCATAGATAAGATCAGATGATTTTAAGCTTATCTCTAAAAAAGAGCGGGGATATTATTTTTTATTTACACATTTTGGGAAACATATACAGGAAAGGGAGAGTGTGGGGGTATTATTTATGGAGAAGAAGTCATAGAGGAAGAGGAAGATGAGTCGTTATTCACTGACCATTTGCCTCCATCGGAATCGACTTCAATATCATAGGAAAGAGATTTAGTTGAATGGTATACAAAGCCATCTTGTTGTCGGACCAAAAGAAGAGGCAATTCAAAGTATCTAGCACCATCCGGTCTGGTCACCAACAAATCATGATTCGTCATCAAGATCTGTTCTGTCTCTGGTAACCCGATCAAAAGTACATTGTTTTCTACCGTGGTATTTAATGGTCCATGCGTACCAAGCCAAAATTCTAATAGTCGAGACGATTGCATCAAATGTTGTCCAATCACTCGTAAAGAATGTTGCGCTTGTAAATATTCAACGCAAGAAATGACGGGAAAAGGAATGAGTGTACGTGGTGGTGAAGGTGGGGGTGACGAGATTTGTAGTTGTTGTTGGACTTGTTGCTGGACTTGTTGGACTTCGGAATAAGCATATTCAAACTTGCTAATACCCACAATGGTCCAACACAAGTAATCATCCACCGATTCAGTCTTGTTCTCATGCATGGTAGAGGGTGTGAAATCAATCCAGGCACTGGTATTATGATTGATATTACCTTCCATCGTAGGCGTATCTTGCATGTTCATGGCAGTCCCATTGGCGTTCAAATAGAGAGGTTTTGAATTGGAACAAGCTAATTGGAGAGCAATCTTTTGCATCTGAGACAACAAACCATAGGCACCAGGCACCACATTTCCTTTATCGATCTTGCGAATGATCAAGGGAGGTGAAGAAACACCGGTATTGACATCTTTTAAGATGATTTCGGTACCATAGGTAATGGGCACAGAGACACTATGATTATCTGGATTGACCACCTGATTGGGTTGTCTTACAACAATGATTTCAAAGGGGGACCAAGAAGAGTGTTTGGCACACAATTGCTTATTTTCTGAAGTCAAGTACTTTGTACGGACAGTTTGTGAATTGATGCGATTAAATAAAGAGACGAGTGAATTAGTGAATAAACAGGTGGAGACATTTCTGGCTTTGGCTGTCTTTTTAGAAGGTTTTGAGATGATGGAGATGGGATTACTGTAGAAGGATGCATAAGGTAATTGCTGTTGATGTTGCTGCACTAAATTGACACGCAAACAAAATTGTTTTGCTTTGGCGGTACCTGTGACGAAGAGATATTTAAAGCTACCTCTCAAGTTTTCATCCAGTAGTGTACGTTGTTCTAATGGCTTGGTGTCGGTGTTGGTTTCACAGACAACGGACATGGAGACGAGTGGGATGTGGTTGGATTCTGACATCATGACAATAGGCGGTGGACATAGAAACCTCTTTTCGGAGCCGTAGGATTTCTGAGCAACGGATGCATGATAACATGTAACCAGGTTGGATTTGGTGAGTGTGGATTGGTATAATTTGGGTGATTGTGTGGGTGGACTCATGGGAGAACAATATCGCTTGCATGGTCGCTCATTGTCCAACATATTTTGAATAGACATGGCTTGTTGAGGTGAAGTCTGTCTAGCACGTTTATTAGGTAATGGAAGATGGATAGGATGTGCACTATCAATAGCATTTAAAAGTGATTCCATTGGTGTCATTATATTTAATATGTAGAAAGGGTTTTTTTTTAAGGAAAATAAAATAAAAAAATGAAGAGAGAGAAAGAGAAATTTTTTTTTTTATTATTTTATATATTATCCCTATATTTATATAGAAAACGGGAATTGGCGTGTAACGAAAATAATAAGGAGACTTTTTCTACTGATAAGATGGTTTTCTTAACTCTTTGATCTTATCACGTGGGATTTTTTTCTTTTATATTTTATATTCTATTTAACTTTTTTTTTATTTTTCCCACCGTATAAATTGACTGACAGAATAAAGATTAATAATTTGAACTGCAATCCCTTTGCTATACACTACACGGTACAACTATAAAGCGAATCTCTCTTTAGATTGAATCTATATTTTATGAAAAAACAAGATCTACCGAATAAATAAATAAAATTCCCTTATATAGAAGTGATAAGGAAACTCGTTCTTATTCGCTTTTGATATTTTGACAGGCATAACATCTCATGTGATGCGAGCTTTTTAGACTTCCATAATTGGACGGATTATTTTTGCAGCATTGGGGGGTGGGGGAGATCATGCTCTCCTTTTGTGCAGTCTATTTTCTCTCTCTCCTAATTTAAATACCGTGAGAATTTTTTTAGATTTTTTCATGCCCAGTGTGTAATAAAAGATAAGAAAAACACTAAAATTTCCCCCCCCCCTTCCGTTCTTTTTGTTTAATTGTTACACTTTCCATTCATTGGTGGATCCATTATGTCATCAAGGGCCCATTGAACCCATTTATACCTTATCTTAATTGTCTATAAATGCGCTTTTCTCACATTATGTTCCCACAGTCATCGTGTGTGTAATCCTGTGTGTACCTCACTAGTTTTCTCCTTTTATATAATATTATATATAAAATAAAATAGGTCGTACAGTCCAACATCTCTTTTTATTATTATTACCCCGTTGTTAATCCAGCCAATCGTGCGCGTTATCTATGCTCATTGATCAATGTCGTGATCGGTGTGTATCCCGCATACGCTTTTCGGAGTTGATTTTCTCTTTTATACAACAATAAAAAAAAGTTCACAAGATCACGCGTGTCCAAACCACTTTTTTTTTTTTTATTAGTGAAATTTTAGATATGTACAAATATTATATTATTTTTTTTAGTCGGACGAAAAGCTACTAGTTGAATCCTTCTTTTCTTTGATCACGGGATCCTTTCGAAGCTTCATTTCTGCCAACTCCTTTTCTGCGTTCCAGACAAGTAAAGATTTCGTAGAGAACACCACATCTAATTCTTCTAATGTCTTGTTGCTAGTCTCTGGATACAACGCCCATACAATTGGAATAGCTAAAAAGTTAAATGCACCAAAGATCAGAAAAGTAATCCAACCAATACTGGCAATCATGTAAGGCGTGACTTCCATCACCAGTGCGTTACCGATAGACCAACCCACCACACTCCATGCTCCTCCCTTGGCTCGCACCTTGGTAGGATAGATCTCTACCGGATAAAGCCATGGGACCGTCAGCCATGTCATACCAAAGAAAGCTGTATACAAAAACGTAAACACTGTGGCACCAATACCATAGCCTCGAGGGTTTTGTGCCATGATATCAGGCTTTGTCAACACGGCCACCAAGATCAGCGAGATACCCTGACATACTGCGCCATAAAACAAGGTAAATCGTCGGCCCCATTTATCCAAGGTGAATACCGCCACTAGCGTAGACAACATATAGGTCACATTGTTGATACCCGATAAGAGTTGGGATGTCTGTGTTGAAAACCCAGCGCTTTGAAAGACAAGAGGTGCATACACAGTAATTACGCCAATACCTGTCAATTCCTGAATGATTTGTAACCAGACCGAAAGATGAACACGACGAGGAATATTCAGCTTGTCTCGTACCAAGATCATACTGAGATAACCTGGTTCTCCTCCTTCATCTTCCTCTGCTTGAATGGCGGAAATAATCTCATTGTACTCCTTTTGAGCTTCGGGGTGGTCTTTATCTCCGTTGCCACGGAGCGCTCCTAATATCTCGAGTGCTTCCTCTGTACGTCCCTTTTTCAATAACCATCGAGGCGACTCGGGAAAGAAGTTGATACCAATCGCAAGTATAACGAGCGGGATAAGTTGGAAAGCAATAGGAAATCTCCAACGGAAACTATTGTCATTAAACGATAGGCCATACGCCAGCCAATACTATTTAAAAAAAGTCATTTTAGTAAATTTATTTGATATTTTAGATCTGTATCACTTACTGCTACAACCACACCCAGGATATTCAAAGTAAATTCCATAGCAATCATTTTACCTCGAGAGGTATGATGTGAGGTTTCAGCACTCCACACAGGCACAATAGCGTTCCTGTTATTTTTTGTTGATGAGTAACTATACCAAACCATAAAAAAAAAAAAAAAAAAAAAAAAAAAAAAAGTTATTGGGCACTTACAAATGACCGGTTCCAATACCTGTAATGATGCGAGAACAAATCATCCAGGCAACATTTTGAGCACATGTCTGCAAAACAGCACCCAGAATACCTATAGCACAACCCAAGATGACAGTCTTGATTCGACCAATCTTATCACCAATCCAACCGCCCATGAGAGCGCCAATCAAGGTACCGCAGTAATATACAGCAACAACACCACCTAGCAAAGCTTCGTTCGAATGAAGGCCCATGATATTGATATAATCAGGCGAGATATTTACACCACTCATGACACCTTGATCATACTACAAATAAATAAAAAACGTCAGTCTAAAAAAAAAAATGAGTAATCAGACAGTTTAGCCCTTTAAAACTTACACCAAAGAAAAAGATACTTAAACCAGCTGCCAAATTAATTGCAAGCACTAAATCATCTCCTCGAAAATACTTGTAGGCATTAAACCTATTTTTCATGATCATTGTAAAATAATCTTTTTAGTTTATAAAAAGATAGACAAAGAAATAAAATAAAACAGTGTAAGGTTACTAGCTTATATACTGTATGTCTTTTTTTTCCCCACATTACACACACAGACATAGATACTCAAAGTGACATCATGTGTACACCTTCAAGAGAGAGAAAAACTACGATTTGTTGAAGCTCCTTTTAGTAATAAAGTATTCTCCGTTTTCTTGCATAAAACAGAAAAAATCAACACTGATCTCCCCTCTTCTATCTCTCTTCTTTTTTTTTTTCCCATCCTTTTTTTTTATAGTATTTTCTCCGTAATAATTGCAATTGACTATTGACACGAAAAACCGAGAATCTTTTTTTTTTTGGTTAAAAAAAATAAATATACGCAGTTTTCTATCGAGAAATTAGTTTTTAGTAGCCCTTTTTTTTAATTATTATTGTAATTTGTATGACATGATAGACTCTATAGGATATCAACTCATTCTCAGATCGAAATCTGATTTTTCGTCATATATAAATGGAAATATATAATTGTTTCTTATTGTTTCACATACACACTTTTCTATAAACAATTACCCAGAATTTTTTCAAAAAAAAAAGATATTGTAGGCATGTGTTACCCTTAACAACAGGACTCTAAGCTGAGTTTCGTCATATTTTTTTTTCTGCAATTTTTCTCTCACGCTGTCCTTCTTTTTATAAATCAGATTGGGTCAACAAAAGTTTCAAGTCTTGTTCAATGTCAAGTTTGACCGTAAATCTTTTTTCGCAGGGTTTATTTTGGGTGGAATGGTTTAAACTGTTAGGTTCTTTAACATCTTGCTTTGTACAGTGTTTAAATTGACCAATTAAAAATAAAAAAAGAGGAAGAGAGCGAAAATTTATTACCTCGGGGGGGGGGGGCGAGGGAAGTACATGAACTGAAAAAAGGTGCTACTGGGCAGTGGAGGGCGAAGGAGGGGAAAGAAAGAGGGGGGGAAAAGAGGATCCGTCATCAATTAGTATTTATGAGATAATAAAATAGGACGATTTTTATTGCTCCCTAAACCTTTTTTTTTTTCATCTTTCCCTTCCTCCTTTTTCCGTAAAGTGACCCAGCACAACTAAACACCCAAGTGAGGGTACATTGAAAAGAGTGAGAGAAAAAGAAAAAAAAAAAAGAGAAACAAACAAATGAGAAAAAGTCACGTCATGTTTCATACAAAGGATATAAGCTATCTTTCTTTTTCTCTCTTTCTCTTTGTTATCTTCCTTTTTTCATTATTATCAATATGTCTCACTCTAATTCACCACACCATCATCCAGCTCATACATCTGAGGTGCGCGACCCAATCATGGAAGATGACCATTTCTCGCTTCGTTATGGCAACCCTATTCAAGTGATTCATGATATTGCTCCACATAAAATTGATACATTCGAGCCTTCCAAGGAGCATGTCTCTGGTGCTTTGGCTGAATCCTTTGGAGAAAGAGAGAAAAAGAAACGTGTCCCATTAGCGAAAAACAGTTCTAGCTTTCTGCGCGATGCTACTCTTTACTCGGAATATAAGCATAATAAGGATGGTTCTATCACCGAAATTGATCATGACAAATAATAATAAACGTGTGTTCTTTTATACTTTTTTCTTTAAGGGAAGATCTAATTACGATGCATATTCCTTTCTCTTTTTCTTTTTTTATTTCTTCTTTCTTTTTTGCCTAACTACCACGTGGAAATTACTTATTGTATCCCGACTAAAAAAAAAAAGTTTTTTTTTTTCTTTTAATTCATCTTTTTTTTTTTCCTTCTCAAAATGTCTACAAGTTCACCCGTAAGAAGTCATTCACTTGTACATCATCAACAGCATACACAATGGATTCAATCACAGCAACTGAAATTACAGCCGAGCCTATCTGTCTCTACCACTCCACATCGATCAACTTCTGTCAATCACTCAGCACGACTTGTACGCTCCAGCTCTCTCTCACAACATAGTAAAAAGGTGAAACAGAACACATCCTACTCTATCCGGCAGGATGACTAAATTCTAATCCATAATCCAACCTTCTCTTTTTTTTTTGTAGACGCCCACACGATCCAAATCGCTTCCACAAAAGCCAATCAAACCCACTCCTACCGGCCCCTTTGGATTTCTTCAACATGAACCTCCTCCATTACCCAAACATAGCGTGCTTGTAAAATCCTTACCACGCCGTACCTCCAGTCTAAAGAAACCGAAACAAATCAAAACAGACGAAGAAGTGACGAAATCGCTTTTAGAGTGGAAACACAAATCTGTCTTTAAAGTCGATTGGGCCACGCTCTTTTCTCCTTCTGTCACACTCTGGAATGAAAACAATATCTTTGGCTCGGTTGAGGATCTATTTAATTACTCGCATGGTCAGGAAAATGTATTGCAGGCGGCTCAGTCTCTATGGATACAGGATCAGAATTTCGTGCCAAAGAAAGAAATGGCTTCCTATCTGGGTAAATTGTAAATAAGTCACTCATATATCAAACGTTTTTTTTTTTTTTTAAAAAAAAAAAAAACTTAATCACTTACTCCATTTTTTTTTTCTTTTAGAGACCCTTTTCGTCATTTGGTTTTAAAGAGTTATATTGACTATTTTGATTTCAATGGTTTGAGTTTGGACCAAGCGTTCAGGTAAAAAAAAAAAATTATACATTTTAAACACCCGATATTAACATTCTAAACAATAAGAAAATTATGCTCTAAACTTTATTTCAAGGCCGAGGCGCAGGAAATCGATCGCATTTTGGAAGTATTTTCGCATAAATATTATAATTCAAGCAACTCTCAACACATGTATCAAAGCGCAGGTACCAAAAAAAAAAAAAAAAAGGCGATTGGCTGATTTATATATTGTTAAAATTTAACCTTTTATTATTTTGTTTTCCCTAGATGTTGTCTATACAATCACATATTCCATCATGCTGCTGAACACAGACCTTCATCTTGTCCAAATCAGTAGCCATGCCAAAATGTCCAGTGCGTTATTTTGTGAGAACACCATGTCGACTGTTCTGGAACAAGCGATTTCTTTAAAAGGTGATGAATTGAGTCTCTGGCAAGATGAATTAAAAACCAGTCTCAAGGTCAGTTCCTTTTTTTTTTTTTTTTGTCAATTAAACTCTCATCCCTCCTATTTTAACATGAATAGGAAATTTATGCATCAGTAAAGAGCAATGGTATATTACAACCAGAAGATGAGGATGAGCCAAAGTCCTTTTTAAAGAGAATGGGATCATTAACCCAACGAAAAAAGCGTAGTGTCTCTTTATCCTCTTCCCGGTCACAATAATTTACATAAGCATGAATAATACAATAAAATTAAAATTAAAAAAAAAATGACGTTTTGTTTATTTTTATCTCGCATCATCCTTTTCCCCCCCTTTCCACATATGTCACGATAAAAAACCATATCTATCACCTTGAACAACATTTATCCTTTTTCCATGAGTGATTAAAAAGCAGTAATACTCTCTGGGATCAAAATGATGCATATTTGACTTTTTCATGTTTTGTCAGCAAATGTACGCGGGTGATCAAAATTCCGCTTCTTCAAAAAAAAAAAGTAATAAAAAGGCCATGATTCAAAGCTTGAAAGGTTTTTTTTTTTTTCTTTATTCTCTTCTTTCAAACACAAAAAGAAAAAACTTTTAAAATCAAAAATGCAAGCTGTTATTGTTAAACAACCTGGTAAGTTTTCTTACTTGAACTTTTAGATATATCCCACCCCACCCAAAAAAATCTCACACATACTTTAAGGTGACGCGTCTCAACTTACCATCGGTACCTTTGAAAAGCCTACACCTAGCGATACTGAACTTTTGGTCAAGGTAAAAAAAAAAAAAAAAAAAAAAAATGGGAGTGTACTCATGCTTTTTACATATATTAACTTCTTTTTTTTTTTATATATAAACCTTTGCATAGGTCAAATGCTTTGCCCTCAACCGTATGGATATCATGCAAAGAGAAGGTAACTACCCCGTTGCCACCAAAGGCAGTCCTCTTCTCGGTGTCGAGATCTCCGGTACCGTTGAAGCCATTGGCAAAGATGGTAAAACTTTTTATATGAAAAAAAGCAACAGCAACAAAACAACATTAGTCCATTAACATTCTCATTAGTCAAGGACTTCAAAGTGGGTGACGCTGTATTTGGTTTAATGCCTGGTGGAGCTTATGCCCAAGTAAAGTATAAAAAAAAAATGTGTGCGCATTGATTTATTCATCGTGAAATTTTTATCTGTAGTATGCGGTCATCGAATCCGCTTTAACCATGCATAAACCTGACGGTCTTTCATTCGAGGAAGCCTCGGCTATTCCCGAGACTTGGTTTACTGCTTACCAAGCCTTGTTCTTTGTCGCTGAGATGAAAAAGGGACAGGATGTCTTGATTCATGCAGGTGCCTCCGGTGTAGGCATCGCCGCTATTCAACTTGCCAAGGAAGCCGGCGCGTAAGTCCCCCCCCCTCCCCCTTTTTTTAAGTGTATGACAAGTCTTATTTCATCCCTAACATGGTTTATAATAGTAACCGAATCTTTGTCACAGTGGGCTCAGATGAAAAGGTCAAGTTTTGTGAGAGCATCGGTGCTACCAAAGGCATCAATTACAAGACTGAAAACTGGTCCGATGTGGTAAAAAAAAAAATGAAGATTTATTTTGTCTTTTAAACATTTGATTAATCGTATATTTATGTTGATAGATCTTGAAGGAAACGGAAGGCAAAGGTGTTGATGTATTGGTGGATTTCATCGCTAGAGATTATTGGAAGCAAAACATTGAAGTCATGGCTGTCGATGGTCATTGGGTTATTTTAGCTTACATGAGTGGTAGCGTCATTGAAACGTTTGATATGATCCCTTTGCTCCGTAAGAGAATTCGCGTATGTATTCAAAAAAAAAAAAAAAAAAAAAAAATTTAAAAAAAGGAAGGGCTTTTAGGGCTAACATATCAATTTCATACATATATAGATTGAAGGATCCAATTTACGTGCTCGTTCGCTTGAATATAAGGGCAAGTTGCGTTGCGCCATTTACAACAATGCCGTGCTTAAACATTTTGCCAAACAAGATGGTGAATTGAAGGTGCTTGTTGACAAGGTGTATGACTGGGAGGATATTCAAGATGCTCACAAGTACCTCGAAAGCAACCAATCTATGGGTAAAATCGTTGTCAAGGTTACTCCCAATCAATAACTTTTTTTTCTTAATAAAGTAAAACATTTCAAAGCATAAAAATAACTCTTCTCTCTTTTTTTTTTTTTTTTTGAAATCAATGATAATTGTATCTACTTCATTTTCCTAATAACTTTCCTTTGGTAATGAATCAGTAATAAAGTACGCGATAACTGTTCTAACTAATCTCTTTGTAATGAATCAAAATGATAAAGAAATAAGGTGTTTTTTCGACAATAAAAGGTTTATTTATCTCGTTGCGGAAAAAAAAAAGTATAATTCGATCAGTGAGCGAGTTAGAGAATAATTTATTTCTCCTGTTTAAAGAAAAAAAAAAAAGTCAGTTTTGGGGAAAGTTGAAATGTCAAAATGTCAAAAAAAAAAAAAATTAAAAACTTACGGGGATCTCGACCTCACCAGCATCGATGGCATGACAAAGGTCCTTGGGGTTTTGACCATCGACGGTACAGCCAACGGAGAAAGCAGTACCGAGGATTTCCTTGACGGTACCAGAGAGTTCACGAGCAAGAGACTTGAAACGCATGGTACGGGCAATCTCAATAATGTCCTCAAGAGCAACGTTACCGGAATGCTTGATGTTCTTCTCCTTCTTACGATCACGGAGAGGCTCCTTAAGAGCCTTGATGACCAAAGAGGAAGCGGAGGGAACAACGGAAACTTGAGCTTGACGGTTTTGAATGGTCAATTGAACAGTGACACGGAGACCCTTCCAGTCCTTGGTACCCTTGGCGATATCTTCACCGACCTTCTTGGGAGAAAGACCGAGAGGACCAATCTTGGGGGCAAGGGCACTAGAAGCACCAACTTCACCACCTATTTTTTTTTTTTTTTTTTTTTTTTTTTATATTTATGCGTTTAATTTTCTGTTTCTGGTTTTTTTTTAACATCTCGTCTTTTTTTTTTCTCTCTCATTATTTACCAGTGGCACGAAGGTAGATAATCTTAACCTCAGAGGGATCGAACTTAGGAGGCATCTAGAATGTCCAAAAATAAAAATAAAAATAAAAATTGAATTTTTGTTGAAGAGGAGGTGAAATCGATTCAAGTCAGTATGGGGCTGGATGGATGGATTGTCATGATGTTCTAATCATTAGGTTTCTAAAGATCGTTTCCTTTCATTACCTTTGAACGTGGAGAAAGAGGGTTTAATGGATGCACCCATTTGCGACTCCATTTGCGGGCTGGCCGCGCAACTTTTTTTTTTTTTTTTTGGGTGCCCGTTTGGCCCGAACAACGATTTAAACGTCCGCCCATAGTGATCCCCCCCCTTTTCATTATTCTACACACATGGCAACACACTTTTAAAACTTTTTATATTTATTTACAATTATATGTGTGTCATGGCAACGTCAAGACTAGGCATGCTAGCTCCACGACTAAGACGATGAGGTAAAGAAGGTCGATGTTCTAGAGGCGGCGGTGTGGTTTCTATCGGTGTCAAGGGTTGAGTAAACGACGGTTTTGGGGAAGGTGTCTTTTGTTGCTGATGATGGCTGTAATCTAATAGCTCGGCCTGGGATAACCGATGGACTGACACTGGCCTTCCTGTTGCTGTTGTTGTTGTTGTGGGCGAAGATGCTCCTGATCTATTTGAGTTGGGGCTGGGTACGGTAGAATGTTCAGATAGGTTATGCTGAGATAAAAACTCTTCCAAAAAGTCTACCACCAAAGGTTCCTTCATTTCAGATAATTTATATTCTTCAAAAGACTAAGTTTACATGATTCAATAACAAAGAAGATATTTTTATGTTATAAATATGTTAATTTTGAAGTATCCATTTACCAGTTTACCGTCACAGTCTACATCTAAATCGCGAAACATACAGTCGATAGCACATTGCACCTCTTCTGACCGATCCTCATCTGACATTTGTGACTTTTTAGGAAGAGAGAAGGGGAAATGAGTCGATTTTCGTATTATGAGGTCATGGTACTCAGCTTACTAATTGTAACATGACTTGTTCCAATTCGGTTTTTGAGATAAAGCCATCTTTATCCACATCGTATAGTTTAAAAGATACTGACAAAAAAAGGGTAATACGTTGAGTTTCGTAAGTCATCACACATATACACAGACATACATACGTTTTAGCTTTTCGTCGGCAGTTCCCTTTACAAAAATGCTCAGCCCATCCACAAATTCACTAAAAAAAGGTTTTAATATAAAGCGAAAACGGAAAATCTCCCTTCTTGTGTAATCCATTTACCGAAAATCGATTGACTTTTCTCGATCACCGCCAAAAGCAGCATAGAGTCGTTTTAAGAACGGTTCATCGTTTGCAGAGACAGTGGGTAAATATTGCTTTACACTCTATTGGGAGAAATTAAGTGGGTTAGATGTCGCTCGGAAATCTACCTAAAAAAAAAAAAAAAAACTGACATTCTTGAATACGTCTTCGGTAATCTTGTCTTGATCTTGTGAATTCACTCTTTGTCGGAGATCTTGAATTTCTTTTGGAGAGACTTTTTTTTTTATAAACAGGGTAAACATGACGGTAATTTTTTCCGTGTGTGTATCCACTTACAATGAGTACTTTTTGACAATGCATTGTTTTCTTTACTCTTGCTTTGTCCCATAATAGTTTTCTTGTAAAAAATAAAAAAAAAAATGTAATGCACGAAAAAAAAAAAATCGTAAGGCTGAATTTGTAAATTTTACAGTCTCCGCTACGCTCATCCCAAATTCACGTTTTTTTTTTTTTAAGGATGCACTGACCGGTGATGATTCTGTCAGTAATCCCGGCTTTTTATAATTCCATTGTTATCTCCCTTTCCGCTCTATTTTTTTTTTTGTATAATAATAACTACTACTTTTTCGTATGTAGATAGTTTTGAGATGTTGTTCAGTGCAGAATTGTATATGCCATTTGCAGGCAATTCCAAGGTAAGTTACAAGGCCAGACCCTGCTGCGGTGCTTGGGGGATGGAGTTACTTTCGGTCAAATATTGTGCCGGGCTGTGTAAAGTGATATCCGGGGCGTCAGTTTTTCCTTCCGCGCACATTTATCGAGTATAAAAGACATTTTTGTTTTTGTTTTTGTTTCAGTTTTTTCCCTCTCTCTCTAACCACACACAACCAAAAAAACTTTTTTTTTAAATTTATAAACAATGGCTGTGAAGGAGGTCAATGCCGAGGGAAAACCCGTTGTCAATGGTAACGGTGTGCCCTTGTTCAAGAATAAGATGACCAAATTGGACGAGAAATTGGATAATGAAGTTGTATATGAATTTGGAGGACCTATTGGTGTCTTCTGCATGATGTTGGGTTTCCCTTCTCTCATGTATTATATGTGGGTATGTCTTGAATTCCATCAAGGTAAAATCATCACCCCCTCTTCTTTCACCAAAGAAGGTATCACTCAATTCGTCATGGAGGAAATCATCGCTAAGGTCAAGTTGGGTGCTATGCCCACTGTCGCCGCTGCTAAAATTTACTTGGGTTTCGTCGCTTATTCTGCTGTCATGGCTTATATTATGCCCGGCCCTGTTATCAATGGTCTTCCCCTTCCTTCTTTAAATGGTGGAAAGGTAACAAACAAACAAATAAATAAACAAAACAAAACAAACAAAAAAAGTGACAGTTGATTTTAATCTTTTATATTCTCTCTTTAGCTCAAGTACCTCTGTAACGGTTTATCTTCTTGGTATGCAACCCTTGTTCTCTCTGCCGTGCTTCACGTCACAGGTATCTTCCGTTTGACTTCCATTATTGAAAATTTTGGTGGTATCATGAGTGTTGCCATCATCTGGGGTTTCACCTTGACCGCATTAGTAAACGGTATCGCTGTCTTGATGGGTAAGCAACATCGTATGTCTGGTAATGTCATCTATGACTTTTTCATGGGTGTTTGTTTAAATCCTCGTATTGGTAAATTGGATCTTAAAATGTGGGCAGAAACACGTGTTCCCTGGCCTGTTCTTTTCTTCACCTCTGTTTCTTGTGCCTTGAAGCAGTATGAATTACGTGGTTATATCAGTGGACCTGTTGCCTTTATGGTGCTTGCTCACTTCTTGTACTGTAACGCTTGTCAAAAGGGTGAAGAATGTATTCCTACTTCTTGGGATATCTTTTATGAAAAGGATGGTAAAGTAGTGAATTGCACATGGTTCGTGTAACGTGGAACAGTTATATTAATTTGTGTTATTATTATAGGCTTCATGCTTATTTTCTGGAATATGGCCGGTGTCCCATTCACCTACTGTTATTCTTCCATCTATTTGATGAAGTATGAATTGACCACTGGTGTCACTATTCAACACTCTTGGGCTTACACTGTCGGACTTTTCATCACCCTTCTTTTCGCCTACTATATCTTTGATACTGGTAACTCCCAAAAGAACCGTTTCCGTATGGAACAAAATGGATCATTTGTTACTCGTGCCGCTTTCCCTCAACTTCCCTATGGTCACATCAAGAACCCTACCTATATCAAGACTGAGCATGGTAACTTACTTTTGACCTCTGGATGGTGGGGTGTTGTTCGTAAGCCTCATTATACTGCTGATTTAATCCAATCCCTTTCTTGGGGTTTGATCACCGGTGCTGGTTCTTTCTTGCCTTACTTTTATTTCTGTTTCTTCCTCTGTGTCTTGACTCATCGTGTCTCCAGAGATATGGAACGTTGTGCCAAGAAGTACGGTAAAGACTGGGACAAGTACTGTGAGAAGGTTCCTTACATCTTTGTTCCCTATGTCTTTTAAAACAAGGGCAACCTATTACACACATTCCCCCCACCCCTCTTTACACCCTCTTCTTTTTTTTACTTTCATCAACTCTCTCCCACCTTGTATATTTTATAACTAATTTCATCTACTTTTTTTATTTATTTTTCCCGCGTTTTTTATTTTCATCTTTTTTACACAATTAATAATAAAAAAGAAGAGGGGAGGTGATTTTTCAAAACAAAAAAAAAATAATATGCTATTTTTGGAGAATTTATAGAATTGGCTTATTGCGGACAATAAATCTCTTTTTGGCTATGGCAGAAAAAAAAAAAAAAAAAAACGGCTCAAAAATAGCAGGCCAAATTTTCTGTGGGCTCACACTGATAAATCCTCTTTTAATCCATGTCCTCTTTCGCGTGATGTTTGAGGTTCATTATGGGCTCATACTTATCCAACTGATAACTAAACAATTTGCATGTGTATTCTAAAAATAATATATATTTACATCAAAAGATTAGATGCGGCGCAAGCTATTCCTTTTTTATGAACAAACAATTATCTCATTCTTACATAAACTAGTTTTTTGTTTATCGTGTTTTATCATTAATAAAATATGCCCACTCCCTCCCTTTTTCTTCTCTATTTTTTTTTTCTTCTAACGTAATGTAAAAGGTTAGTGAATAATGGTTTCTTTTCTCAAGCAAATACTAAACTATATCAAAGATCCATAAAGGCATATCTTTTCATTTGCAAAAACTTGTGGTCGGAGGGCTGGTCTGATACGACCTTAAAAAAAATGGGATAAGCGACCCGAAAGGGGAATCCTATTTTTTGTTGTAACGACGTTTTATGAGCTCCTCGGACACTTGTAAAGCCTTTAAAATTCTGTAGAGCCTACCCTATTGTCTTCTGCACAAGGAAAAAATTAGGCTCTGTAGAGACTGTGGCCGAAATGCCACTCACTTTTGAAATTGGAAGCTGCGCGCTATCTTTTTCACGGGTTCCATAATACAAGATGAAACAATTCTTGTTTTAACTTATGAAGTATATGGACGTATCGATGTTCATGTCAAAATGGCAACGAGTCATGGCCGCGTGGACACGAGAGATATATCCATGTCACGCGCGATCTATACAGAAAGGTGGATTCGTCCAATACTTCCACAAAATTAATGATTGGAAGTAAATCGATGAATGTTTTGATTACGATATCAACCACACCCATTCATAGTGTTGGGCTTTTAACTAACATAACTCTGTTGGCAATGTCCTCAAGCTCTTCCAAACTTTACTTATGTGCCAAAGGTATCATGAAATTGAAGGAGAGTTTTGACAGGCCGACCAGTACACCACCGCTTAAGAACTGTAATATCTCTCATCTTTGACAACTCACAAGCAGTTTTCAAGATAAGACTACGTATAGTATGCTCAGCACTTCGTTGAAGCCTTACATGATAAATACGTCACACCTCTCACTGATTGATACTCTCCACCACAAGCCCGTTATTATCTTCACCCTTTGTGGTCTACCCAACAACGAAGGTTACGGGTGTGGAGAGTAAGGGTAAAGAAGCTGATAATACCTCTATACAACTTTTACGATTGTTTGGTTAATTTCCACAATCATCTGCAACTACAATTATTCCATGGGTGTACACGCAATTACACACCCATAGAGTTTTTCGGACGTTCAAAGCTCAATTTTTTTGGTTAATCTTAATATGGACATTGTCGGGTTATAGAATTTTTTGTATTTCGGTGGAACCGTTTTTGCCAAAATAAAAATGGTTCAAATTGTTTAAAAATAATTATTTTGATTGGATAGAATTATAGGCTTAAAATGTAGATTTTATTTAAAAAAAAATAATGGATGGCTTGGATGCCATACAGCCTTGCCAGCCATTGGAAATCCCTTCAGGATGGTGTAAAAAATGCATAAATTTAATCCACTACTCCCAGAAGACTGTAAGACAGTATGCATTGTTCTATAGAGCATGTATAGCCAGATGCGTACAACAAACCTATAAAAAAATAGTTAGTAAATGATACTGGAATAGTTGAATAAAAATCACTTTACCTTATTTCTTGTGCCGTTCAGAGTAATCCGTATTTGACTAAAGAAGTATGAACGTTAATGCATGTTGTTTGTACACGAAAAGCAATAGACTTACCTCACTTCATTACGCGTTAAATCTGTTATAAAAAATTTTTTTAGTCTTCATTTGAACAAAAAAAAAAGTGCTAGCAATATACCTTCCACATAGATGGGTCAGTTATGAGTGTACTATTGAGCATAAAAGTGAAAAACTATAAGATAGATAGCTTTAGCGTTTATAAAGGGAATAAGAGAAAATAACTTACCAAGTTAAAAAGTTAAAGAAACGGAAAGAAAGACATGAAGAAAAAAAAAGAAGCTAAAAGAAAAAGAACCTGCTGGAAATAGCTGTAGTTCAAAATTCTGGTCTAAACCTTTGCATATAAAAAACCTCTAAGTCAAAAAAAAAAAAAACTATATCTCTATCTCTTTTACTTCCTGAATTATGAATACTCAACCTGAACAAACCAACGAAACCGAAAACCCCTATCGTTGCGATTTCAATGAATGTGGCAAGCGCTTCCGGCATCCAAGCGCCCTTACACGTCATAAAAAATCACATAAAATTACCGAAGCCTTCACTTTTAAGGCACCCATTACCCCAAGCAACACGGCCTTCAGGCGAGTGAATGGACCAGAAGTTACTGCATTACCTGAGTCGATTAGATCTACTCGCATCAGTCTGGATCGTATGGTGTTTCATCAAGAGGACGAATCTGAATGCCAAGATTACAGTGACGAGGAAGACGACGAGGACGAAGATGAACCTTTTGATGAAGACATTGAATTCACTGAATCCATTGTTGATGAACCGGAAGCTGTAGTCGACGAAATCGAGGATCAAACACCCATAGTTGTCAACGGCGAGTTTTTTCCTTTCAGGGATAAGATACATCAATTGATGTATCAATTCTATTATCGGTCTGGGGGTGACATATCTCAAAGTTTGATGAAAGATATTGTGAAGCTTGTCAAGGACGTCACTGAAGCCAAGGTTGCCTATCCCGAAGCCAAAGTACCTGCAGCTGATCTCATATTCAACTTTGATGATTCAAGAAGAACAAGAAACCAGATTCCCTTGCTCAGACAGACGAAGCACTACGTCAAGGTTCAGAAAAAGGTGAATGGTCAAGAAGTCGAAGAAGATCTCCCGTTCTATATGAATCCTCCCTCCGAAGTCTTGAAGTTGTTGGTTGCAAACCCTTCTGTCACTGATCATTTATCAAAACTTCCTGATCATACAGAGGGCGAGCTTGTCGATAGTTACCAGTCGAACAAATGGCGTACCCACAAGATGTTTCAACATCCAATGGTCTCTGTCATAATCAACAACATCCCAAAGGATATCTGGGTTGGTGATCTGATCAAAACAGGTCAAACTTTTGTGATTGTGGAGAGGTTTTATACCTTGAATCATTCAATCGTTATGGCTGAAGGTTACCAAGTTCTTCCCGTTGATGGTAGGTTATACCTCCACAACATGCCCAGGAAAGTTTCTGTCGAAGTGAATCTCATTTCAAGCATTTTGTGTGATCGCCCGGAAACTTTGTCATTGGATTTCGAACGTAATGTGCTGGATGACTCTAATCTCCTTAGAGCTTCTAGTACCATTATTAGTAGATTGAAAATGCCAAATCCTTTGAAGCGCCCCTCTCCTTCTTCTGCTCGTAAATTCAAGCCCGTTAAGGTTATTCCCCTGAATTTCTTTACTGATGATATGAGTGGAAATCGAACCAAGAAACACAACAAGTTTGATAGTTGGATTATGGTACCCGCCGCTTTGCCTCTTGCTGAACGACATGCACTTGAGAATACAGCCTTCATCTGTACAGATCATTTGCTGTCAGCAATGCAAATGCTTCCTGCTATTGTTGAAGATCTTTTGTTGTTGGAGAAAGGTGTGGAGATGTTTTTGCCTGGTGGTGAGGCTGTCGTTGTCGTTGCTCCGTTGCAATTTATCACTGCTGATAATGCGCGTCATTCGGAGCTTGCCTCTAGTCGCGGTGCCATTTCAAAGATGCCATGCCGAAAGTGTGTTTGGGAATTAAAAACCCCAGCTCGACTTGATGGCAGTGATTATCGTTGTGACCCTCGCTCTGAAAAAGTGGTTGCAGATATGTACGCGCGATATTTGGCTTCTGGCGGTGACAAGACTTTGTTGGTAAATGTCGATACTGGTTACAAACTTGTTGGTGGTCAGGCTCTGGTAGACCTTCAATCGTTCGATACGATGTTGGATTGTCCAATCGAGCTCCTTCATACGATAATGCTTGGTGTCGGCAAAGCCTTGGTAAAAACATTGTTGCAAGACCATCTGAATCCAACTGAGAAAAGTATCCTCGAAACAAGATTGCATGGTTACGTTAGCAAAGGGTTTACCCGAAAGCTGCGTTCATCATTGCGTCTTCATGGATCTTTCTTAGGTAGGGATTACAAAATCCTCGTTCAGCAAGTACCAATTCTGTTGAATCAATTGATCTGTTCTGGTGAAATTCGACGTGATGACGGTGTTCTCTTGATCAAGACCTGCTTTGAAAATTTGGGCAAGTTAGCTTCGCTTTCTTATATCAGCAAAATCAAGCATAAGTCTGATTCGTACCTGAAGTATGTGGAGTTCACTTACAATGATCTTCGTGTCTCGGTGATGGAGCATGATGCTTACATGAAGCGAAAGTATCCTAACAGAAGGGGTGGCTCCGTTTATAACTCCAGTAAAATGCACATCATGCATCATCTTGTTGATGATATTTATCGATTTGGATCCCCAATCTTTTATGAAACTGAGAAGGGTGAGCAATTTAATAAATTCATTCGAGAGTGTCTGTTTCGTACCAACAGACATAATCCTTCAAGAGATGCCGCTGTTGCTTTTGCAAAGAGGTTGATGGCTCGACATGTATTGACTGGTGGTTCTTGGTTGGTGGCAGGCCAGGATTATCCAGTTAAAGCTTCAAACAAAGTCCTCGAGGTTGCTGTGTCCTTCAAGTCTACTATTAGAGACTTTGTTGATAATGACGATGATGACAAGACCATGAAAGTTGGCTCAACCGGAATTTTTCAAAACGGAAACAACCTCTTTATCGGTGAAGTCGTCAAAATCGATGCGTTGACTGGTGCTCCCACCATCGTTGAATACGCTCTTTGGTGTGAACGTGGACCTGTGACAAGATTTGAACTTCTAAGCCAGTCCGACGGTTTAAACTCCTGCGTTTATTACGTTTGTAACAAAGACAATGGAGGAAATCTTGTTGTTGAAAAGCTGTTGCGGACGAAGTCGACATACAGAGAAACAGAGTGTCAGTTCGTGGAGATGCTTGATTTTTCAAGAAAGATGAACCCTCGTTTCAACTTAATCAACACCAGCAAGTTTGGCACCTTCTGGTGGGCATTGTCTCATAAAGTTAAAAATTTATAAAATTTGTCTTAATAAAAAATCATGTTCATGTACATGTTAATTTCGCCATGTTAATTTTTACTTAGAAGTTTTTTTTTTTTTTTTTTTTTTTTTCGTTATTTCATTGGATGAAATGATTTTAAAAGCATAATTGTTTCCCAGAAGAGACTATCTACAAATTGAGCTAAGAAGATTTGGTGGGCTGGCTATTTTATTGGACGAAAGATTTTAAAAATAAAGTTTACATTCAGATGAGGGCACCTTACTATATAAGTTGAGGAGACTCAGTTGGTGTGTAGTGTTGCACTTGACGTTTAGCTTATCAGAGTAAAAAAAAAAAACGAGATTTTTTATTTTATTTGAGCGATCTTTTTTTTTTTTTTTTTACTAACTTCTCTGGGAGAAAGAGAGTTTGTACACCGGGAAAAATAAAATCATCCGTTTATGTACATTTTTACAGTTTATAGATTTTCGTCATTGTTTTATCATGGTTGACATTATCATTTTATCTTTTTTTGTTATACATTGAGGGACGATCCTGAGATTTATCAAATTCAATTTATTTAAAGATTTACAATAATAAAAGAAACTATACAATTATTTACAAATAGCAGATGATCTACAAGATTTTTTTTTTTTTTTTTTTTTTACTGATAGGAAGGTAAACCATCATGAGCAGGAAGAAGAACTGAATGATAAGAAGGCAATACGGTACATGGATTGGATGGTTGATAAGCGAAATAATCAGCAGCTGGTTCCAACGAGGGAGTTATCGGGCCAGATTCATCGACAGGTGAGTAACAGGGAGAGTTTGAGTCCAAATAAGGCAAGGGAGAATATAAGGCAGATCGCCATGCATTTTCATATGTGGGTAACTCATTTTCATCCGAGTCGCCTTGTGCTAAGCTTTGGTTGATGATATTGATGGGCATAGAGGCACGTAATTCAGAAAGCTCCCCTTGTTTGTTGATCAGGGACATGGTGAATTTCAACTTGTGCTCGATCTTGAAAAAGTGATTCTGAGTGTCACATTGCACGGAACCAAATGAATGTGGTACAGACATGATTTCGGTTTTGTGCCAGTGTAACCCGGATGAGGGAAAAGTCTCGTCTCTGAAGAACCGAATGATCTTTGATTCGGTGTGCATGGCAGTGGTAGTACCACCTCGTACAAAACTAGTGTATTCTTTCAGAAAACAAGATAAATACCTCACTTGAAGTCCAGAACCAGCTTTGGGCATCAGAGAAAATTCAACAGGGATTTGTTCACCACGGCTATAGATTTTACGAGGCACACTGATCTTGTAGTCCAGTTTGTCGGTCCATTCATTGGAGATGTGCATGGGCATATTGGACATGTGGTCGTAAGATGGTGTGATTTGACGAATTACTCGCAGAGGATGTCGGTCAATCAAATTCGGTAGAAAAGCTGGTCGGTCAACTACCACTTTTAACTTGTACGACAGGGAACCGTACGAATTAGAATCAATGGATTCTGCCAATTGCCCGGGAAGAACGTATTCGAAGGGGTATTTATATACATTAGGAGCAAGTGAATGAAGTTTCTTTTGTGTCGGTAAGAAATTCCAATCATGACTCAGAACAACGAGTTCTTGTTTATGCTGATGATTGCCTATTATTTAAGCTTTTTTTTTTAGTTTGCGTGTTTTTAATCTAAGAAAAAAAAAAAAAAAAACTTACGTTCACTCCACTGCACCTTCATTTTTCCCATTAAATTAAGTGTGATGGATTTGGCCTTCATGGTTTCTCTAGTATGCAATACCACACAGCCTCGTAAAACACAACCAACGGATTCCTCAGGGTTGCCTCGCAACACCAGTGTCTCGTTTTCAACGTGAATTTTAATATGATGTGACATTGGGGTATAATTTAGTAAGTAAAATTAAAGAAAGAGAGAGATAAAAAAGTTTTCTTTTTTTTTTTTTATTCTAAATTTAAACAGTGATTTTTTTTTTGTTATCTTTATTTAGATCTACAGGTTTTGTATTCTAGAATCGAAATTAAAGACCGGCGATTGGTGTGACATCCAAACATATATGTCTTTGAATAAATTAAAATGGGTAAATATTTAGTTTTTATCATGCAAAACGACAATCAGAGAAGATTCCGGTTAAAACCACGTCTAATCGTGATGAGGAGTAGAGGAGGTTTGTTGTGCAAGAGATACACCCGTCATTATTAGTGTTGTACTCGATATGCTTGTGATAGAGGGTTCATTTACAATGTAATCAATATTAGTGTAATTAGACCAGAAATCTTCAAAATCATCATGCTTATCATCATCGTCGTCATATGGCTTATCAACCTCCTTACTATTATAGAAGGACTGCAGGCTTTGGACTACACGGACGGCACCGGTACCGTTTTGATGAAGAGACTCAGCGACTTTGATCGTAATCTCGTGCTTTCCAGCATCCAATAGATATCCTGCCTTTGAAAAACGTTCATCATCCAAGGCTTCTTCAGGTGTGGTAACATAGGCTACACCCTCACTATGCATCGTATCTTCAAGCTCAGATGTCTGACCAATAGACTTACCATTGTCCAATACCTCGAATACATCGCCACCTTTCATAAAATTTAAAAAGTTTAGACCCTTTTTTTTTTTTTTTAATTCTGAGCTGCAAAGTAATTTTTACCCATCAAGTAATCAATGATTTGGAATTCAGCAGGTTGAGATAGTTCCAATGTAAAGATTCGATCGGTCAAGGTATCATTCTTCTCCAACTTCCAATGAAACGTTTCAAATGTTTCTGTTATGTTTAATTCGACTTGTTCTTGACCCTTGAAGTCAATCTCATCGATGTCCATGTTCGAGCCAGCTGTTGTTGCACTGACCACGTTGGACAATAGGATCGCTGCTGGAATCAGAACCAATGAAATTCGCATTATTATGTTTACAAAGTACGATCCGACGGATGGAGAGAGAAGGGTCGTTGAGGAAAAACGTTTTTTTTTTTTAATATTTTAAAACTAAATAGATCGGAATTTACGTATGGACTAGTTGAATTATGCAAAAATGTTATTCCTTTCCCAGGTAAGATATATCATGTGTTATTTATGTATGTCTATCTTTTTATTCTATATACGTCTTTTTTTTTTTTTTAAAAAAAAAAAGTTTTAACCAGCAATAGGCTAAAGCTTACGCTTTGGTATCTAAACAAATCCAGATCCTTCCATTCTCTTGGCCTTTTTAGCTCTGTAAGCTTCAATCACCTTATCTCTCTCGTTGTCTAATTGTCTACGTGATGCAGCACTCATCTGTTTAAGACTTCTCTTGTGAGATGCCTTTAATAATTTCATGTTCTCATCTTCTTCAGATTCATATCCAGTCTCCTTCTTTTCTGCAGCAGGTGTATCTGTCTTTGTCTTTGTAGTGGCAGTCTTTGTGGTGGCTGTAGCATTAGGCTTTGACTTGGCAGCTTCCAACATCTAATTGTGCAGATAAGTAAATAATTGTAACCATCCTATCTCGTAATACTTTTTCATACCTGCTTCTCACGTCCACGAGCCTTTGGTATTTTATTCAAAGTAGGAGGTGCATCAGCAACCTCACCAAATTTGACGGTATCCTTCAAATCATCGAAATCACGACCACCGAAGAAATCAACTTCCTTTTGGATCTTGGCTGCCTTCTTTTGCTTTCTTGTCTCCTGATTACGCTTCTTTCGGTCACTGACGGGTTTAGCAGCCTTTTGAGCTGTCAACATGTCGTTCTTGTATTCGGTTTCGACTCTCTTTACGAAATCCTTCATCTTTTCTCCTGGTTGAATGCCCACCTTCTTTGTCTAATAAATAGTGTAAACATTCGGTTTCCTATTACATACATTTGCAAGTAACTTACGACAGTTGCAGCAGGATTGGGAATGGCTCCTGATTTAATATCCTTCTTCTCTTGTTGTCTCTTGAGAGCCATTTCTTTGAATCTCAACAAACGAGAGAATCCCTTGGGGGTATCAGAACTGGTAATAGCATCCTCGGGTGCAACAGGAAGATCGACTCTTTTTTTTTATATATATAATGCCAGATCAGTTCACTCATCCATTCATTACTCATCGCCTCATTACTTACTCGGTCTTTCTTGCTTTACGAATACTGGCTTTTGCTCTTTTATGGGGCATGGTTAATTGGTTTATAAAAAAAGTTATCACCCAAAAAGAAAAAAAAAATGCTTTGCTAAATCAAGATATACCAGTCACTTGAAACAGGTCACACACACAAAAATGCATAAAAAATAAATAGTTTTATTACAGATCTAGATGGCATGGTTATTCTTGTACTCGATATAACATCGCATATGGTAGGCTGTACCGGGAGCAGGATGGACAACAGATGAATCGCTTTGAGCCACAGGTAATTTTTTAGCCCATGTTCTGACCATGGGTGGAAGGTATCTATATTGAGGAGAGTCAAATTGAAGGATTTTATGACAACGATGACAAGGTGTTGTAAATAAATTGTGGTAGCTACAAAACCAATCCTATCCAAACAATACATTAATATAAAAAGCCTTCATGTCTTATATGTGTAGCACTTACAAGCATGTTGTGTAAGGATTCTTTAGCGAAAAATACAAGCATATCTTCAAACGCATCGGTTGCTAATAAATTAACTTTTTGGAATACAAGGTATTGAGAATCCTGCCAAAAGTGTTTCTATCGTTCCCCTTTTTCTTTTAGTTCATCTTCTCTCTTCCCATCTAGCAATCTAACAAACCTCCTCTTTCACTCCCTTAATATCATACTGATGAACAACGAGTGTATCTGAATATTTTTCATACTCCAATTCCAAATCTGCCACTAAAGCTTTTCGTGCACAAATCTGCAATTAAAATTGTAAATACATCATGTAAGAATAGAAGGGGTTGGGTTTACCTTGATATGACATGTTGAGCCGGTTAAGGTAGGTGTTTCCTCCTTTTCAAAGGTTACTGTAAAATCGATATCGGCTGGTTTCTTATTCGACATCCATTGATTGATACATGTGGTGAAAAATAGCGGTCTATGTACGATTGTCAATGACGGAATAACCCATAGGATCCACACCCTTTCATATCTCACTTACACTGAAATCGAGGTCGGCTTTTGTTCAAGTACAATGGAAGATAATTGTCTATCAACAGAAAAGATAGATCAATATTTTTTTTATTTTTGACACTTTTGTTCCTGGTTTTATTACTCACTTGTAAGCATAGTCTGCATTGGCTTTCACAAAAGATCCTGTCTCTTTTGCCTTTGCTGAATTGGCTTCTTCCTCTCGAAATCGTATTTCCTCCTCTGCTGCTTCCTTTTCTGCCTCACTATATAACATTGTAAACTTCCTCTTTCCCTTTCTAATTTTTTCGTTCTCCTGTACCTCTTGATCAATGCCCAGTTAAACTTGTTTTCATTAGCAACAATTTGAGCATGTTCCAAGGCACCTAATCAGAGATATAAGTCAACCATAAAAAAAGGGGGCATACCCTTTATATCTATACCTTTTAAATTCTCTCCTTCAGAAGACAGCGTATTTAAATCGCGTTTTACCGAATTCAATCGATCACTAAACGCATGAACAAAGCTCGGTCCCTTGTTTTCGGACTGAACAAGTTGAGTGAAATGCCTTAAAGATGACCGAATTTCGGATACCTATAGTGTTTTTTTTTAAAAAAAAATAAGAAGGGCAGCAGGAGGCGCGGTGTCAAAAAAAAGGGGGGGAAAGGAAGGATGGACAGGATTTTTTCTCAAGTAAAGTTTACATACGGTGAGTAAAGCATGATCAATATTGGAAATGAATTTCTCAATTTCGGCTGGGTCTCTCATGGACATTATGTATTCGTTTAAAAAAAAAAAGACAAATATCGCGTTTTTTTATTTTTTATGGTTTATTTAATTCTAGATATAACAGTCACCACAAAGCAATACTAAGGATCAGTAGCATTTTGAAGCTTAAATTTCAATCCAGAACATTGATATTGCCATTCCCTATCAGCATGAATTACACTGAATTAACTATTTCAAGGGCGCACATAACGTAAAACAAGATATATTGTTCGATTAAAAGGCAGCTTTAATACATTGTAGTTTTATTCAAGAAAGGTATGCATCCTACTACTTTTTTGTAAAATCATTCGCGGATTTCCATTCAGCCATAAGGACCACAATTTTCTTTTGCATAAGAGTGGAAGTCACAGTAGATCCTACGATCATTAGTCCAACTACGGCAGCAACAATGATATTGCCATAAAGTACAACCTTTTCGACGCTGAGAGTACTCTTAATCATGATGACTTTTGCAGCAAATTCTCCCATAAGTACTACGCCCCATAGTCCTGACACAATATAACAGTGCTTTCTAAACATACTGCTTAGTTCCCAAATGAACTCCATTTGATCTTTCTCGTGTTTCTCCCCTTCAATATCGGTCCATGTATGTGGAGGTGCTCCCTCCATCATCTGCTTACCGAAGACAAAAACAAGTGGTCTAATTCTGAACCATCTTGTCTTGAGCGGTATCAAAGATATAAAAAACAAAACACTAACAAAGGCTGTTGTTGCAGAATCACGTAGTAGCGCCACACGAACATCACCTAAAATCCCATAATAGTTTATTAGCTCGTCGATTTTTTCCTTATTGATCATGTTATATGCCCCTTCCCACTTACCACTATTAAGAGAAAGTACTGCCGTAAGTATAAACGTTATGACGATAATACATCCTAAAACATCGACCTTTCTTTTTTTCCAAAACTTATAAATGATATGCAATAAGGGAGGAATTCCGGATAGTACAAGTGCAACAATCAGGTTAAGCCATATTTTCAAGACATAAAACAGTATTAAGGGAAGTGCAACATCGATAAGTAGCATTGTCACCAGTGGCATTGCATATTGCATCATAAGCTTCATTTTCTCCTTGTTTGTGAGCGTTGCTTCTGGTTCTTTCTTTTCGGAGGTATCCATAGATACAGAGGTAGAAGACGGAACGTCGGAATCATTATTTAGCTTTGCCGTATCAGACCAAACTGTTTCTATAGAGTCCCTTCTTTCAATTTCTTCTGAGGTGTATTTTGAGCTCTGCATTTTTATTTACGTCAATGGTATGAAATAATGAAATAAAAAGTAACGATAAAAGATAACATGGGTTTTTATATTTATGAAAATAAAAATAAAAAATCCAAATATGGAGACATCACAATGTTCACTTATATCATACAAATTTTCTAGTCTCTTTTAACCAAATAAGGGGGTGTGTGTTTAATAAAATAGTGGGAGTCTTTAAAAGCTGCCAAAAAAGCAAAACTTATCAAGATGGCTTGGGTAGTTATGGTCACTGGACAAACACTTGTTTTTTTTCCATAAATAAAGCAACTACAATCGACCATTCCTTTTTTTTCTTGGGACGCTCACAACTCGTTGATCTATCTTATTTGTACTAGATGTATAATAGCAAGAATAACATCTTATGGCACAAAGTGACATTAAGATTGTTCTTGATATAAACTTATGTCATTTGGAAAGCCATTTTCGTTATGTTCTCTTTCATAAATTGTGTTTACTAGAATTATTAGAAAAAGAAGCTAGTGATTAATGCTTAGCAGTAACCTAATAAATCGCCGTTGTCGTCTTCGCCCGCAGCATATTTGACATCACTTGATCTAGTCAAATAAAACACGAGGGTTTCGTCATACTTGGGCACGCAGATCTTCTTCTTTTTTTTTTGCTAAGCTTTTAAAATGTTCACGGTACTAGTGTTCGGAATGAAGATCGAAGCTCGCTCGAATGCGATTTTTTGCAGCTCGGCTCGGTTGCAAATACGATAGCTCGAACTCGCTCGCCCTTTTTATTACACAAAGTGCACGTCAAAGTGATTCTAATTACAGAAAGTTATGATAATAAAGTTGTTATTTATTGAAATAGAAGTTGGAAAAAGAAAAAAAAAAACTTTTTTTCATCAGCCTTAATACCAAATTCGGTTACTTAAATCAAACTATTATTACATTTCTATAAATATAATACAGTTGGATTTGTGAACATGAAAGTTTAAATTAATTCTACTACGTCATGTTATTATGGTTGCTGTAAAAATTTGGCTTAGTTGGGTTTGGTGTGCAACACTGTATCATTTTCTATGCTAAATGTGTTTGTTGGTTGTACAATTAAATAAAAGTCTAAAGCATTTTAGTTGGAATTTTCAGAGCATAAATAAAAAAAATTGTAAAGGGAAGAAAAGATGAAAATCAAGGGGAAATGCTATCACTAGTCTTTCAAATACCTTAACTTTAAAGTGACTATTATCGACATTTTAGCCGAGCGAGCTTCGAGCGAGTATCGATCGAAGCTCGCTCGAGCCCAAAAAAAGTGGCGCAAGCTCGAGTACAAAAACCCGGTTCGAGCTTCGTTCGAACTGGCGCAAGCTCAAAAAATTCGAACACTACACGGTACCAATCTGCGGGTTAAATGACTTTCTTTTTTTTTTTTTGAATCACACACCCTATTGTGATTCCATCACTTTACGTGATTTCTAAGAGACAGCCGATTTACTGGTTCCTATACTTATCGCGCCCTATTTTAAGTCAGGGTCTCAACCAGTGTCGAAGTGAATACAGCGCGAGTATCGACGTGAGTGCAGACGCTACGTGTTGGGAAAAGTGAAGAAGTTGGACTTTCAGTGTTGAAGCCTGTGTAGAAGTTACTTGGTGTTTCGATAATGTCTATGTACGCATTGTGTTAATATCTGTACTACATAATACGACTCATTCATAGTTTTCGATGGTGTCTATTTATTTACTCATTATTTTAATGTCTCGATTATATAACACGTATCATTCATAATTAAAGATACCAAACCAAATAAACACCAAAGTCATCTATGTAGTAAATAAAGGATTATCGTACATTTGATTGAAATAGCTGTCTTATATTTTACAACAATATCGAATTGGACGATTTCGGACTTACCGCAAACATGTGTGAACCTCTTTAATTCAAGACGTGTAATGTATATAAGAAGATTTTGAAAGATGATAGCTTGTTAACTGGATTGAGAATTTAAATAGAGGTATCGTAATCAAATTAAACTGTCAGAATATCGGCTTTATTTAAAGGTGAGATATCAAAAGGATTCATGCGTCTTATTTAGTTTAATTATTTCATAAACCTGGGGAGGTTTCATATCGTATTGGAATTGTTAAGGCGAGAAGTCGATTCAAGCATAATGCTTCCTTCTTTTATTCACGTACTCAGTTGAGGTAGAAGTGACAGGCATAATGACGACGTTGTCATATTCCAAACAGGTGTTTAGCCATTCGCTGTTGTCCTTCGGGTAATTGCGTTTCTGGTTTAAAGACACTTTCTTTTTAACTTTCAGTATTTGTTGTTTAAATTGCCATATTAAAACAATTAAGGGTAAAATGCTTCTAGTAAAATGAGATATGTCACTTGATACAGACAAATCTTTGATTTTTGATATTCGTGTGATATAAGGCGTGGGTTTGTCTGCAGCCAACAAGGTAATAGATAGACCTGAAGTCTGGATTCCAAATATCGAGAGGCCTTGGTACTCGTTCTGATTACTTGTAACTAATTTGTCCAGCATATCCTTCATCACCTTTGGCAATTTTATCCCCTTTTCTTCAATTGTCTTGGTGTTTAAGTGATGTATAGCAGTTTCTCCAACTCCATACTCATCTGCGTATTCATGATCAGCTTTTTCTTCTCTTACAATCAGATCACACTTGTAACCAGTGAAAGCTCTTGCGATTTTGTCTTTGGATCCAATCACCCTATCCATATTTTTTCGTCTTGTACTGGCAGCATTTGCTGCTTCGCCACTATGTGATTATAGAATCAGTAGACGGCTTTTAATACCAGTCTTTTCATTTTTTCTTTTTTTTTTTTACCGAATAACATGTAGTGTGTCTATGTCGTCGAATATGGTGTCAATAAGCGACCAGACATGACTATTGTACCAAGTTTCTTTTTGGATCTTCTTGAGATTTCCTGATTCATAAAGTCTCACAAAAGAAAAGATAGTATGTTTGACCCAGTCAAAGTCGTGATATTTTTTAGAATCGTAAATATGTTCCCAATCCTGTACTTTGAGAAGCTGCGCTCGGAGTTCTTTAGCATTATCGCAATTGAAGCCGTTGATATAGTTTGCTAGGTCTGTAGGTAAAGTATCTACAAAACCGATCAAGTTTTTTTGCTTCATTTCAACGATTTCTTCTTGTGTGAAAAGTCCTTCTTTTATATAGGTCTTGTCATCCAAATCCAAAATCATTGAGCAAGAAGGGTGATCGACTAAACAAGACTTGCTAAGTTTGTTCAACACGTCCTCTACCACTTTACCTGTAGATAATATCCATTTGTTTTTCTCTTCAAGTCGATGAAAGCTTGCTTCCAGAGCTGGATGAAAACGTGCCACTAAAAAAAAAAAAAAAAAAAAAAAAAAAAATCCATTTAAAAACATATAAACGGTTAGTTACATCGTAAATGCGTACTGTGTGTGCTGGTAATGTGTTCTCCTAACGTATCAAGATTATCCTCGTATACACTGCAGCATACACAGGCATATTTGTCTTTGCAATTTGTCTATAGATTATATAAAGTCTTATTTAAAGTCGGTAAGGAGCAAAAAGTTTATTTTAAAACCTACAAATGTTTTTTTCTGAGCTGATGAAATAAACTTGATGCTTTTTTTTTTTTTTTTAAAAAAAAAAAACAAAGAAGGTCGACAGTCAATTATAATCGTAAGAGACGTTTGCGCATTACTTACTCTGGTTTGTTATATAAACGTCCGCTTAATGGTGGTAAATCATAATCTAATGTAAAACATTTAGTTACATTCTTTCTTTCTTTTTTTTTTTGAACAGTTGACTTTAGGTTATTACTTTCAACAGTACGATAATGTCGCATTAGATTAGCTTTCTTGTCAAATTCATTTTTACAGACATGACAGGAATATATCAAGTGAATGTGTTGACAATTGCTCATAATGTGCGGTGCTACTTATAAAAACGCGTCTGTTTTAGAGAAGAGGGTTTGATCTGTAGTGCAAGCTACTTTACGATCGTATGAAAATAGGTACGGAGGCCGTTGCTTTAGGTGACAGGAAGAAGTGAAAATAAAAGGCTTACACTCCGAAAAAATAAAATGATTCACTTTAAATCTTTAATATGGCGCATAACTTTATTTTATTATAGCCTTCTCATCAGGTACCTTCAAAATTTTGGAGACATATTATTTGAAGATGACATTGCTTCGTAGATATGACGGAGGAACCATATTTCTAAGGATAGTCAATACGTCCAAATATTAAATGAGGGTGAGATGGACAGTGGCAGATGAATGGATATGCTACCAAAAACAAAGTATAATGAAGTATGCTCCACCCAATTCAAAAAAAAAAAAAAAAAAAAAAAAAACTTTGGCCTACGGCGTCTGCAATCGGAGAAAACAAATTCGATTAACCTGAAGCGATTTGATGAAAAATGAGATTCTATAAATTTCGTGTCAAAGTAAAGTCCCTGGATATTAAACTTTTACTAAGGTAATATTATACAAAAAATGTGCAGAAAACGCAGGCACATCTTTTTATGTATTTAAAAAAATAACTTTATATGTAGAAAAAATACTTTGTCTAACGAAAACTGGTTTTTTTAATTATGCGCTTAAATGATAATTCTTGTAATAAAACTGCTCCAAAAACATTACCAGTGTAAAAAGCACAAACTTTGGACTATAGTTACTTAAGAACATGTTTTATCAAACCTACAGGAAGAGTATCTAAAAAGTGCATTTGTAAATTTTGCGATTTTCCTCGAGGTATACCCTTTGTGTTTTGGCCAATTTTAGGTCTTTTCAGAATTTTTTTTTTTTAAAAATATAATGATCCAATATCATATTTTTGATGATTCTGAGCATTTTTTTGGCTGGAGAGGATGTACGAAAACGATGTTTTACTTTGTAGAAAATTCAATTGAAAACAGCGAGTTAAGCGGGTGAAGGTGTAACTTTTTTTTTTATGGCTGTAGGTAGATATAACTTTTTTCGGACAAACTGCAAATGTTTCTGTTTCAATGAAAGGCCCAAACGTTATAGGTGATTAAATAAGCAAATGAAATCATCTTAACATAAGGTCTTGTAAATGGGTGGTTTTAGGGTGTAAAAAAAAAGTGGAGAGGTGTATACCTTTGGAGGGACTTTGATTTTTTGTTCTTTCATTTCAAAAAGGATTCAAACAAAAAAGAGAAGATGATTTTACAATAAAAAGAAAATGATGTCTATAAAAGCGGTATTTCTTGTACCACTTGATTGCTTACTAGTCACTCAATAAGTATACAGAAAGCTACAAATATAGCTGCTCCTTTCAAATCTGCTGCCCATAGTAGTAGTAGGTAAGAACAGTCTACACTACTGTAAATCCTAGTAATGCAATGAAATCGATTTAACAGAAGAAGCAAAAAAACACCGTCAAAAAAATATAGTGTCGCTACTGGTCATCTGGGTAATTATTCGCATATTGTCGTACGACATATAAAGAGCTTTCAAGATATCACTCCAATATAAACATGCGACTATTTGCTTTTACCTTTTTTCAAACGGAGATAGTTATTCCCATGGTTTCATTTTTTAATACAGTGCGGGACTTTGCTAAGAAAAGTTAATTACTGGCGCAGCTAAAGAATTCTATTGTACTCAGCAGAGAGTACAAAGATTACAAACGACGTACTTTCAAAGATTGAGTACCAATATCCAACTGACTGGAACGGTGTACGTGACAGGATGGGGAAAAAAGAAAGAAAGACAAAGCTTTGCAAGATTTAGAGGATATACATTAAAATCTTTCCTTGCGTTACATTGGATTCAATCGGTAGGAATCGTACACAGATTAGCAAAGTTATCAATCTTTGTAAATTTTGGGAAGAATGGATACTATCATCATTCAATCCATGTTGTGGAATAAGGGTAAAAGAAAGGCGAGAGAAATGTATTTTGATAACCAGCTTATTTATAGGCAACTTGTTCACGCGAAATCCTCCCCCATGATGACTTTTTTTTTTTTTTTAAGAACGCGGGGCTCTTGTGTTGAAATAAATTTACTTCCGCTTGATTGTATAACCATATGACAAATGCAGACATAACGGGTATTATCTTTTTTTATTAAATTTAAAAGGGTGGGTGATAATAATTAATAAAACTAACAGACATTTTGTTTTGTACAATAAATAAAAATACTACATCTATAGGCTTCCGCCCAAATCAGCGGCGGCGGGCGGATGAAGGGAAGATAGTAAACGATTACCCATGGTATTAGACGAACTCGAGTCGGTGGTTAACATCATACGACGTACGATTGGCGGAGATGGTGGATTGGTTCTGGGTAATAATAGTTCGGCTTCGTTATCCCAACCGAGTAAATCCCAATGCTGTTCCTTGAGTAAGAATTGTTGAAGACGTCGTTTCTTGGGTACACTGTAATTAGGTTGTAAGCGTTTTAAAAAGTCCACCATGTGTGGATTCTCAATGGCCTCAAAGGGAATGTTGGCAGAAAATAAAGCTCGGGCTAACTGGCAGTCTAGCATGGCTTGCTGTTGTTGGTGCTGTTGCTGTTGTTGTTGCTGCTGTTGTTGCTGTTGCTGTTGTTGCTGTTGCTGCTGTTGTTGCTGTTGTTGTTGCTGTTGTTGTTGCTGTTGGTGCTGTTGCTGTTGCTGTTGCTGTTGCTGTTGCTGTTGCTGTTGCTGTTGCTGTTGCTGTTGCTGTTGGTGCTGTTGCTGTTGTTGTTGCTGTTGTTGAGTAGCCGATGGAAATGCAGTCGAAAAGTTAGAAGTGGAAGGGGAGAGAGTGGTAGCAGTTTCGTAAAAAGAGGAATGAGGATTCAAGTTGGGAGGAGAAGATTGCAGGGTATTTTGAAGAGTGGAGTCATACTGGTAATCCAGAGTTGGTTCTTGTGGAATGTGATGAGAAAGTACGGGTGGAGATTCTCTCCCTCTGTCTTCATGTTTTTGTCGAAGGTGGTCTCGGATATCAGAAGAAATGCGAGAGCAACGATATAACAAGTGTTGATGAAGTCGAGTTATACCAGCTGCTTGTTCGTGACCACAAAAATTACATTTTGCCTTTCGACTTCGACCATTATTCGGTGAAAGTAACTCAAAGTATTGCCAAGAGTCACTCAAGGGTCGAGGCATCCTCTAAAAGCTTTTTTTTTTTTTTTTTTTTTTTTTTTATTATTTTTTTGACAAGCGCACTTCCCCCAATGGAAAGAGATTTTAAGATTAAAATCAGAGAGCAAAAACTAAAATTCAAAAATTAAGGTCCTTTTTAAAAAAAAAAAAAAAAAAAAAAAACTTTTTTTGACATTCAACAAGTGACGTAAACATCCCTAACAACCATTGATCATTTTGAAGTCCCAAAGAGTTTTTTGCTGGATGAAACCTTGTGCTTTTTATGTTCTTGCACCTGGTTGTTTTGGACTTCCGATTTAAGGACAATGTTTACACCCTTAAAAGAGATTACAGCATAACAATAAGAAATCTCAATTTATACAAGGCACTTGTCAAACATACAGTATTCAATCTTTGAAAGGGATCAATGAAAAAGTAGGAGTTTTCATTAAGCATTTACTCCTTATCGCACATTGTTTATAAACTATTATCCCGCGGTACAATGATCGTAAGACAAAGTAACAATGCAAGTACCCGCCAAATATTTCGTATTGTACATCTGCTGTCAAAAAAAACAAAGCCTACATCATAAGAAACACTTTTTATACGTGTGTGAATCTGTATGTGTGTGCGTGTAGTTGTGTCATTTTTACAAGTGATAAATGTCCAATATATGGGATCTCGGGTCGGAATTATCGCGCACCTAACAAATTTCTTGCTACCCCGCCCACATATTTACAATCGGCTAATCGTAAATTAAGCTTATACATGCACTTAATAAAGTACCTCCGTTTTGCATAATCGCGACTTTTTTTGTTTCAGAGATTCACCCCTAATACACATATATGGAAAAAAAAACTTTTTAGCATAACAATTACTATAAAAATCAATCAACATGCAAGAAAAAAATCTTATTGTTTATTAATGAAGGGTATGTATAATGATATATGTATATAGAAAGAGTGTTTTCCCGTTTAACAGCACCACTTTCGATGGGTAAACCAGCTGAGTTTAGGTTGACAGGATATCTCATATGTTATGGGGTTAGACCATTCGGGATCGAGCACAAAGGCAATGCCTTCTTTCAACATGACTGTAATCACCACATTGTTTCTAAATATATGCCCATCTTGAATTTCAAAACTTGCCAGTGAGCCACTTAACCGTCTTGTTAATTCGATTTGGTTCTTGTAATCAAAGGCTGTCCAATGGTTGGATTTACTGCCCACTGGTCGAAAGTACCAGATGAACTTTGGCTTATTGGGCACGTGTTTGAGAAACCTAGAGATAAATGAAGGTTGTTTCTTTGATTCAGGTGTTGGATGTATGATAATATCCATTTGAAATTGAAATAAATAGTATGGAATACACAAAAGAAGAGAGAAATGTATTCTTGTAATTACCATTTCCATATATAATTTTTTTTTTTTGGGTCAGATCACATGAGCTTTATTTATGTTATTTTATTTATCCCAGTAAATCATCTAGCCATGCCTCATCATCCATGACAGGTTCTTCCTTTTTGATCGATCCAGGTCTAGGTAAAGCTGTGATTTTCTTTAATTTGGGTGCTGCTGATGCTGATGCTGGTGGAGTAGGACGTAATGCTAGTAACTCATCCAGATCATCCTTGACTGGTGGGGAGGATGGTACTTCCTTTCTATGATTATTAGTGGGTATAGCGCGATCATTACGGACATAAATGCCATTTTCTTCGGATATAACGTTGGGTTTGACAGGTTGTTGCGATTTAAATAAGACGTACCCCTTTGCATTTTTAGAAAAAGAAGGTACAATGGGTTTATCCAATACAATGGGTTGTTCATGCAGTATATTCTCTATTAATTCTCCTTCGTCTAATCCCAAAAGTTGTTCCGTATCCAATCTTTCAAGTGCAGGCTCAAATATAGTAAAGTCCAAGTGCATCATATTTCGTACTGCATCTTGTTGATCCTGATTAAATAGTTGCTCTTCTTTGAATTTGAAAAATGTCGAACTTCCTTCCTCTATAAAACTTTATTTTTCAGTACATGATTGGGGGAAATTTAGGTTGCCAATATTACCAGTATTCTCGAGCATGGAGACTAAATCTGTTGTTTCACGGTCAATGCCCAATTCTGCATCTCTATCCACAATTTCTAGAGTAGAGACTTTTCTTGTCAGTGAAAATAATAATTAAAAAAATTATTCAACTTTCTTCCTGTAACCTTGTTCAGTTACTTCTTTATAACGATCGGCGTTGGAATCAAGCTTGCGTCTAGAGAATTTCGCTTGGTGTGCTTTCCTCGCTTCCTTCTCTTCCTCAGTCTCTTCAGATGGTTCTGCATTGCGTCTCATTACAGCTGCAAGGCCAAGACCTCGATCACGCGCTTTCGCTGCCTTCTTACGAGCTTCAGCAACATCCGCTGCCTCTGTATCGCCTTCCTTTTTTTTACGTGCTTGGTATCTACGAGATTCTTTGGCTTTATGATTGTCGGGTCTCATGCTTTAAAAAAAAAAGGGCTTTTTTTTAGAAGAAAGGGTAAGAGAGACAGGCTCGGAATTTGTATATAATTTTTTTAAAACAAAGCCCTTTCACAAAAAAAAAACTTTTTTTTCTAATAAAAAATGAACACCATGTTGACAGGTCATAAAGCATTACGAAAAAGCTTTGTGCGTTATTCCTCCTACAAGTCTATTGTGGTTGGAAAGCCCTTTACACCAAGTCACCGTGTCTATATTGCAGAAAAGGACAAGGTTATTTCTCCTTTCCACGATATTCCTCTCTATGTCAAGGATGCCGACAAAAGCATTGTCAACATGGTTGTCGAAATCCCTCGCTGGAGCAACGCCAAAGTCGAAGTAAGCAGGCCGGTTTTATTTTATTAATTTACCTATATATAAAAAAAAAACTCTCTCTCTTAACAATTCATATCAGATTGCGACAGGAGAAAAGTTCAATCCGTTAAAGCAAGATATCAAGAAGGGAAAACCTAGATTTGTGCGCAACTGTTTCCCTTACAAGGGTTATATTTGGAACTATGGTGCCTTGCCACAGACATGGGAGGATCCCAACCATATCCACCCTGAGACCATGGCTAAAGGAGATAATGATCCTATTGACGTGATTGAAATTGGACAGGAAATTGCTCAACAAGGTCAAGTCAAGCAGGTCAAAGTCTTGGGTATCATGGCCATGTTGGATGAAGGTGAAACTGACTGGAAAGTCCTTGCCATTGATACCAAAGATCCCATGGCTCATCAATTGAATGGTACGATTTTTTTAATGGGAGACGCGTCTTATCTTTACTAAAAACGTTTACACATAGATGTCAAGGACGTAGAAACATTGTATCCTGGTTTAATAGACGCTACAAGAAATTGGTTCAAGATTTATAAAATCCCTGATGGAAAGCCAGAAAATGAATTCGCCTTTAACGGTGCCTGTAAGGACAGAGAGTATGCAAACACCATTGTAGCTGAAACCCATCATGCTTGGAAGAACTTGATGGATGGAAAAGTAGATAAACACAGCATTGACTTGTAATGTATATAACACCCCCGTATGATTTTTTTTATGTATTAATGTGTGTCTTATCACCCATAGAAATAATACTACCCAAACAAGTCATCGTGTAGCATCTGAAAACATTGTGTCAGATGGAGACATCTCAAGTACAAAAGAAGAGGATGCCAAGGGATACGACCCCAAGTGGTACTTTGTATAAAGCGAAAAATGCAAAATCATCTGGAGTTGAAAAAAAAAAGAAGCTCGGTTGTATCATGTAGGACAAAAATGAGCTCTCTCTCTAGTGCGCTTTGTTAAGTTTGAAAGCAAACCATGTGCGAAATAAAGATACCTTCTCTTTCACTTTACTTTTACTTTCTTTATTTTTTTTTACACATACACACACACACACACAATGACAAGTCAAGATGACCGAGATTTCAAATTAGGCAACATGCCCGAAGGCTTAAATGTTGCTGCCTCATTAGGAGCTCCTGAGCATTTAAATACAAGCTCACTTTCTTTAAAGCAAGATGTCGAACAGTTTGGTCTTGCTGGTAAAATTTGGCAAAGGTAAGACGAAGAGAAGATGTTGAAGGGAAACAAGCGAGACTGATACAAAGACCTAGTGCTTATACTTTACAAGCGTTATTTGATGTGGAGATGCAACCACTGCTTGAACCAAATCATGTGATTCCAGCCAACTATTATCAAAAGAACACAGACACCCAACCTTACAGGATATTAGAACTGGGTGCAGGTACGGGTTATGTGGGTATTGCACTTGCCAATCTTTTACGTAAACCTTGTCAAGTGTATATTACGGATTTGGCACAGGTTGTACCTTTAATCCAGGAAAATGTCAAGCTTCACGCTATCGAGAGAGAGGACGCAGCCGAGATTATTGTGGATCGATTACATTGGGGTAACTCGGAGGATGCGACCCGATTATTAGCAGGAGGTCGATTTGATTTGGTCGTGGTGAGTGATTGTGTGTATTTCCCAGAATTATTCAGCATGTTGTTGGATACACTTTTGGATGTGTGTGATGAATCCACGCGTGTAGTGATTGGTTACAAGTGTCGGTCGCTGGAAAAAGAAGTTGGTTTTTGGCAAGATTATTTCGGGAGATACTTTGAGTATGAACCAATTAGAAGATTAGAGACCGTGCTTTATGATGAAGGAACAACCGATGAAAGAGAGGTCAAGGAGATTGCTGATTTATTGGGTGCTGAAGAACAGTTATTTGTCTTTATGGGTTCTAAAAGACTTCATAATCAGATCAAAGCAGCAGATGACACTTTTACTACTTTGTTATTTTGTTCTATGGGATTCTAGCCCCTTTTTTTCGCTTGTACAACCGAGAATTAGAAAAGGGTCTGTATAGACCGTTATTCCCAATACCCTTTCATAGACGAACAGACATAAAATAAAAATCAGGATAAATAGAAATTAGTTCAGAGACAATCTCTTCTATCGTGTATAACAGTTCATAGAAAAGGCCTTATAGAGAATGAAATGATTACCCATCGAAAGAAGAATCCATCACCAAATGAATCATCCATAATAGTATGATAGTTTGTGTGTCTCTCTTGACAGCAGTACATCGAGCTGTAATCATAGGTCATTTGGAGGACAGGTGTTTTTATCTTGGATGTTTGGATCTCGTACTGTCAAATGCTGGGACAGCTTCATTGGCTGAAAAATATAAAGGCTCTCCTGAAAAAGTAGTTTTCATGGTCGTACAATCGGGCACTCAAAAGATGATGTGTTTGTTTGAGAGTGGAGCAACAGGCGTGACTATAAAAATAAATATAAAAAAAATCGCGTGCATTACAGTAGCCCGGAAGACGACACATTCTTTTTTTTTTCTTTTTAATCATTTCTGCAATGTCTCAAACCACAGGTAAAAAAAAAAGAGAGACAAAGTTACATGGGAAAGAAAATTGAACTCCTCACTTTTAAAAAGCTACAACAGAACCGGTCGAAGTCACCAATGTGTATGACGCCACACAACTTAAAAATGCTGTTGATGATGAACTTGCTCGAGTACAGTAAAAGAGAAAAAAACATTCACAATGCTTAAAACGTGTCATTAACAAAAGTTATTGTGGTAGTTCTATTCCAAAGATTTAAATTTTGTTCAATCCCATATTCATACAGATATCAAATTATTGTTGGGTTACGTATCATGTTTGATTGCAGGAGGTGCTTTCTTATATGAATACAAGACCAGTTTTAACGAGGCTCTTCAGACCACCACCATGTGTGTGATTTCGTATTGGATTATTCAAATGGTTGCTTTTACTTATTCTTATGTATATGAAAAGGATGAGATTTTTGCTGGTACTCAAAAGGTGGATGGAAAGGTAATTCTATTTGTGTATTTCTTGTAATAAGCAGCCCTGTTTACCCATTTCTATTAAGGTGACAGGATCGTTAAAGATTTCAGGAAAGTTGGATAAATTCTCATCAGTATATGAATTAAAGTTCACCTACAAGGATAAATCAAGTGGAAAATCCGTGACAAACCATGTTCAACCCAATGTTGCTAAATGGTTTACGACAAAAGGTACTTTGGTATCAGAGATCATTGATAAGGATTTATCAATGTATTTAACTACACTCCAAAACAAATTACACCAACAATAAATCGTTTTTTGTTTTTATTATTTATTTCATATATGATTTGATACATATTAAAAAAAAAACTAACGCAAGGTAACTAATTCTTCAGATGATGTAGGATGGATAGCCACACAAGAGTCAAAATCAGCCTTTGTTGCACCCATACGAATAGCAACACCAAAGCCTTGAAGGATCTCATCACTGTCTTTACCAATCATATGAAGGCCGACAACTTTCTCTTCGGGTCCAGTGACGATAAGCTTATAAGCCGTGGGCTCCTTTTCATCAAGAACGCTAAAATACATGTTACCAAATCTAGTTTCGTAAATCTTGATATTCTCATCTCCATATTTCTCACGAGCTTCAGCTTCCGTATAGCCAACGGTACCGATTGTGGGATGAGAGAATACAACGGTAGGAATATTGACATAGTCCAGCTTAGAAGTACTGAAACGGGGACCACCAAAGAGACGATCGGAGAGCTTGCGACCAGCAGCAATTGCGACTATTATGATTGTTTAGAAGAGAGAGAAAAAAAATGAAGGATATCTATATTTTTTTTTTTTTTATTACCTGGAGTTAATTCAGCTTTGCCAACCACATCACCAAGGGAATAGATATTCTTTACGGTAGTATTTTGATATTCATCCGCAATAATTTGCTTCTTGTCATCGAGCTTGACACCAGCAGCTTCCAGGTTTAAACCCTTTGTATTGGGAGCACGACCAACAGCCCAAAGTACCACATCCACCTCGATTTCACCCTTCTGTCCATCCGACACAAACTCCACTGTGATGCCCTCCTCTGATTTCTTGAGAGAGGTTACTTTGGAATCAAAAGTGAATTTGACGCCTTGACTTTGCATATGCTTGAGTAAGGTGTCCTTGACAATGGGATCGAACTTTCTCAAGATTTGCTTTGTACGAGAAAAGATGGTGACGTCTGTGCCGAGTGCATGAAAAATACCTGCAATTTCAACACCGATGTAACCCGTGCCTACCACAGCCACACGCTTGGGTTGTTCTTCCAACTGAAAGAATCCATCTGAGCTGATACCAAGTTCGGATCCAGGGACGTTGGGAATAATGGGGTGACCACCAGTAGCAATCAAAATATGCTGACCTTGGATCTCGATAGGGTCGCTACCTTCCTTTGTAATGTTGATGGTGGTTTCATTCACAAAACTGGCATGACCATGGAAATGTTCAATTTTTTCTTTTTGAAGGTTGGTGTCGTAAATACCATTTAAGCGCTTGATATAGGCATCGCGTTTATTCTTGATGATAGACCAGTTGAATTGAACCGGCCCAAATTCGTAGCCATACCCTTTGGCTTGACGTAAAGTCTCATAGATGGAAGCGGTATTCCACATCACTTTCTTTGGAACACAGCCAACATTCACACAGGTACCGCCCAGAACACTATGGGCTTCAATCAGGGCAACTGTTGCGCCGTGAATACCAGAGGCTCGACGCGCTGCTGCCATACCACCTGAACCACCGCCAATAACCACATAATCAAAGATTTTCTTTGAAGCTTTAGAAACAGGAGCCATTGTTGTTGTATTTAGACACTTTTGTATATGTTGAATTCGGTTAATAGTATTTTGCTATAAAAAAGCAAAAAAAAAGAAAGAAAGGGGAGATGAGAAAAAAAAAAGATAAAAGATTATTTGTTTTTTTTTTTCATTGCTCTTTTATATTTGCATTACAAACCATTTTGTGAGTCTAAATAAAAAAAGGGGAAGAATGAGCGAAACGCACTCATCAGAAATACAATGATAAAAAAATAGTCCAATCATATTTGATTATTAATCGATCGCCCCCTTCTTTCCATCATCCGATTATTAATGTACGTATTTATCATGACTGATGGCCTTTTCATTTCAATCGATACTATTTACTTACCTCTTTTTGTCATTTAATAAAAAAAAATCCTGCGCTTCTTAACTACGCCATGTGTGTACATACACAGCCACACATTAGGATTACGTAATGCTCATCAATCGCGCAAGAAATGCACTCATTGGCCATGAGCTACTTAATTAACATTGGTTTATTATTGTTACTACATTTAAAAAAAATTAGAAGGAATTGACGTGCATCAAATTGATGTGATCCAAATGTACATGTTTGTTTTATAGCCGCTCCCTTTTTTCTGTTGTTACACTGTGGATCACTTGATTTTCCTTTAATGTGGCACATTTTGTGTCCTTTGTAGCATTGGGTTACGCTAAATACTTGAAATGTGCGACTCTAAAAAAAAAAGAGAAACTTGTATGGTCCAATAGAAAAAAAAATCATAAAGAAATTAAGTTGGTTTATTAGGATAACATGTACGTTAGAGTTAAAAGATATGCGGAAGGGGAGTAGTAGTTAAAGAAAAAGAATGATTTGAAAGCAGATTTGTAAAGTAATATTATAAGAGATTTTTTTTTTTTTTTTTTGGTGGCAAATTTTTTTACCAGGAAAGTTTTGCGATCAAACTATTAGGGTAAGTTCGAGAAATGAATTTTCTGGATTCATCCATGACCATAATAAAAGCAGCCCAACCAAAAGGAATAAACCAAAATGCTACAGGGATAGGAGCAGTGAAAAGAACGTCGTTAAAGACAGGAACATACAGGATAATAAGTGTAATAGCAAGAGAGATTATCATAGCGGCAAACAAGTACAAGTTCTGATTAGGTCCCCATAAAGGATTGGCTTGAGTGATAGAAAGTCGACGAGTTCTGGAAGAAAGAACGTTACCCCATTGACAAATAACAAGATTCACAAAGTAGATAGATTGGGCTGTATTGACCATTCTAGTGATTTCGTCAGCTGGAATACCTTGGTAACCTTCTTTTGCTGTCAGATCGGAGAAAGAGAAGAAAATCTTGCTTGGGGGAAGACCATTCATTCCCATATACAAGAAGAAGACGAAATGAGAGGTAACCATTTCCATAATACCAATGAAACCATAAGCATGTAAAAGAAGTTTAGCATTGACAAGACGATCATGTTTGGGACGACGGGGTGGACGATTAAGGAGACCAGCTTCAGGTTTTTCCATCATGAGAGCCATAGAAGGTCCCAAATCTGTAAGCACACAAATAACAATCATCTGGAATGAAGACAACGTTTGAGGACAACCCAAGAAAATATTCACAAGTACTGGCCATAACTCGGACCAAGAACCAGCAGGCAACAAGTAAACAATGACCTTTTTCAAGTTATCAAAGACAAGACGACCATTTTCAATAGCAGGGATAATACTGGAGAATTTATCGAGTAAAATCATATCCGCAGCTTCAATAGCAACATCACTACCACCACCCATCGCAATACCAACATTAGCAGCCTTTAAAGAAGGAGCATCGTTCACACCATCACCAGTCATAGCAACTACATTTTCACGCTTCTGGAATTCCTTGATGATACGAAGCTTTTGATCAGGGGAAGTACGAGCAAACACAATTTCTTCATATTGGCAGACCTGCTCCCATTGTGTATCATTGAGTGTAATTAAATCAGCACCGGACAATAAAAGAGATTTGCTGAATTGACTCGTAACAGCAGCACCTTCCTTATTCAATGTGCTACTCGTATCAGAATCACCATAACTTTCAACATCATTCTTAATCTGACCAAATGTTTTGGGGACATAGGGGACGACATCAGCAATATTCTTAGCATAATCCAAATCAGCCACGGTGTGAGGATGCGTGGTTGTAAAGATACCAATTTCGCGAGCGATAGCAGCAGCAGTAATAGGGAAATCACCGGTGACCATGAAAAAACGAATACCAGCACCTCGACAGACAGAAACTGTTTCAGCACTTTCAGGACGAGGAGGATCCACAATGGCAACCATACCAATAATTGTGAGTTCGGTATTCACCTTGGTAGCCCAGGCAGCAAAACTTGAAGTACCCGCAACAGTTTGCTCGGGTGTTTCATCAGACTTGATTACACGACGCGTCAAAAGTAGCACACGTTTTCCCTCACTAGCCCATTTGGTTTGAAGGTTCAATAAAAGTTCGGTACGCTTTGGTGTGAGTACTTCCTCAGTACCGTCAGAACATAACACCTTGGAACACTTGCTAAGAATGACATCAGGTGCACCTTTACAGAATAAAACCCAATCTTTAAGTCCAACAGAAGTGGTCAAAGTCGAAAGATTGGAAGCCATGGAAGCCTTAAGAGGACGGTTAATAGACATCATCCACTTATTCTTGGAGTTGAAGGGAATTTCAAAAATCTTTTCGGTGTCAGCACGCATTGTTTCAACCGTAGCCTTGGAAGGATCCATACCCTCAGCAAAACGTAAGATGGCAGAATCAGTAGCATCACCAAACACTGTTCTATGAGCGATATCGAGGTGTGAAGTGGTAGAATCGAAGGAGGAACCGTTACACAAAGCTGAAGCCAATTGGACATGACGTAATAGAGGAATCATACCATCCGTAGCCTTATTGTTTGATGAAAAGATCTCTCTACAGACAGCTGAAGTAAACTCTTCTGAGGCGACACTTGCATTGGATACAAACATTTTGTTTTCGGTCAAAGTACCCGTCTTATCAGAACACAAGACATTCACACTACCCAAAGTCTCTACAGTAGTCAATACTTTACATAATACATTGTTTTTCTTCATACGGTTGGCAATCAAAGTAAGACATAAAGTGACGGCAATAGGCATACCTTCGGGAACAAAGGCAACAATAACACTAATAACAGCAATCAAAGCAGCAGATACAGAAAGGAAATCAGGGTAATCACGTCTTAACCAAGCAGCCCAGGTAATCAAACATATACTACCAACGGAAATAGACAAGACAGCAATGATAATAACAAATCTCAAAATCTCAACTTGAAGCGTTGTGCGAGTATTAGGATCAGCCAAAGACAAACGAGCAATTCTACCCATAAGTGTCTTGTCACCAATAGAGACAACCACACCAACAGCAGAACCGTTCAAACAATGAGTACCCATCATGGCAACGTTATGAGTTTCCAAAACATTATCATCGGTAGCTTCTACAGTACCAGGAATAGCATCAGACTCACCAGTGAGAACAGAGCGATCAAATTTCAAATCATCCGAGACCTCAACCAGACGTAAATCGGCAGGAATCTTATTACCCATTCTGATATGAACAATATCACCAGGGACTAAATGAGCAGCATCAATTGTGACAGTCTTTCCGTCACGCATGACTAACGTTTGGGTGGGGAGCATATTGTTAATGGAGTTCATGACACGACTCGTGGACCAATCTTGCCAAGCGGTGAAGAAGGCTTGAACGAAAACAACACACATGAGAATAACAGCCAGGGCTAAATTGAGAGGAGCAGGAGCAGGGTTACCCAAGGGCTTCCAAGAGATATAACAAATGATACTAGCAAACCAAAGTAAACCACAGAAGCCACCGAAAAAATAACCAAAGATTTTTCTTGCCCAGTTACTGGGAGGAGGAGAAATTGCGTTTTTACCGTATTCTGCAACACGAGCCACTGCTTGATCGGTGTCGAGACCTTGTTCAATACTTGTTCTATATTGAAGAGTTAAATCTGGTAAAGAAATCTTGTGGTAAAACGAATCGGTCAAATCTATATGCAGAGAAAAAGAGGAATTTAGACTTTTTAATTTAATTAAAATTAAGTAGTAATAATTTACCATCTACCAAATCCTTTGAAGTCTTTTTGGTATGCTTTGCACCTTTAGCCTGACTTTCGGAAACCGTGATTGAAAGTGTTCTATAAGCGATAATGTTTTGACTGACAGTAGAATCTTTACGTCGAAGACGATTTTTCATCTGGGTCACAGTCTCGGCTGGCTGCTTTTCAGAACTATCAAACTTGATGACCGCAGGCCTGTCTTCATTTTTTTTATTGCCCATTTTGTCAAAAAAAAAGGGGGGGGGGAGATAAAGAAAGGATCTGATCGAGAAGTGAAAATGAAAATAAAAAGTTAAATCAAGATGGTATTTATATGATTGAAAGTTATTGAGCAGAAATAACTCTTGAACCTGTTTACACAACTTTACTTGTTAAGGGTTTGATAAATAGCTCAATCATGAGTTTTGAAAGAAAAAAGCTCTCATTTTTTTTTTTTTTAGGTTTGGGATATCAGAAAAAGTAAATTTTCAATGTAACCCGACAGTTTTTTGAATCACACACTGGCAAATATTTCCCTTTTTTTTTATAAGGGATCAAGAATTACTATAGTCGTAATATATGTGACAAATCTTATTGTCCTGTGATGAAATGAAAGGTCAGGATCCAAATATGTCTTGTTTTTTGAAATTAAGATGTACTTTTTCGCGTTAGGGCTATTTCAATTTCCAAATCAAATGTTGTATTTACTTTCGACAGCCAACAAAGTGAGATTATTAATGCTGTGGAACCAATTCTCAGATCAGAAAGTAGCAGTCTTTGTATTTGAGGTATATCAAATAAAGACAGAGTTTTGTGTAATTATCCTCGAGAGAATGCGTGGTGTTTTTTATTATTATGCGTTATTGGAAAAGTGACGCATGGGAACAGCATATATAAAAAAAATAAAAATAGATAACGGGTCGGACATTTCCATTACCAATGGAACAATAACATAAATCAAAGTATTTATATACAAAAAAAAGGGGGCGTCATTGACCATGTTATTTTTTTTCTTCTATGTATTATGATGTGCATACTGTATGAAGTTATTAAAGGTATAACTTTGGAGATTGAAACCATCATTGTGTCAATATAAATCGTATGGTAAAACTCTGATATAGATAGGCAAAAATTGAATACAGATGAATAAATGAGAGGTTTATTCAAATAATTCTTTTTCTGGTGCACACAGTGTGCAGGAATAGACCCTATTGCAAATTTTCTCCGCTTTTTTTATATGGTCGTGTTACCACCAGCCGTTAAAAGCTGCGGTTCAAAACTCCGTGGTAATTTGGGAATTTGTTCAATATTTTAAAAAAGATGTTCGCTCACTATCTCTGAAAAAAAGTTGCGGCATATTCATGACTTGCATTATCCTCCGAAGAAAAAAGTTTGGCAACTAATCAAAAGATGAAGTACCCTAAATGATGGAAAGTCAAATATGTTTGATCGTGCACAAAATGAAGCTTCTAATCGAAAAAATCATGGAAAGAGATATTTTTCCAGGGTCACAAAACGCGCTTAATATACCAGTATTTGTAGCGTGAGGTAAAAAGAGTATATTGCCTTATTAAAGCACGTTGGACGAAAAAGCAGTACGAATAAGTGCCAGTATGGTCCATCTTGATGAATAAATTATAGCTTACATTTACCAACATACGATAATATCTAGACGTTTAAAGAAGCAAAGATTGAAACATCTCTTCGTCTAGTCTGTAAAGGGTAACTGCTTATTCAAATTTACAAATCTATTATGTTTGGCAAAAAGAATAATTTCTGACAGACAAAACGAAAAAACACATACAGTTGTATTTTAGATATTTTGTTTAGTTAAACAAGGCTCATCGAAATTATCTACAACTTAGACTTAAATATAGAATAATCTTTTAGAGTTAGCCGAGAGATAAGATTACTTGATTTTGCTAGATGCAAATATAATAACATAAAGAATAATGCTTAAACGTGTACGCGCACATAAAATATGAGTGATATAATTTATATTTAAATATGTAGCAACGTGTTTTTTTATCCTATAATAACATTGCTGTACCTCAATTTAAGTAACTAAACAGTAATAAGAATGGTAGATAACTGTGCTTAACAAATTTGAGGCAATATTTTTTTTTTTTTTGGAAAAATATAAATCTCTCAATGCTAATAATAAAATCACTATCTGCTTTTTCAACGATTTCTAATAGCGATATATATAAAGTATATAATTATTTGAGTTATACTATTTCATCTTAACAAGCTATGCGTATGTATGAAGAAAAAAGAGTGATTTTTAAGTTTCCAATACCAACTTCCTCTTGTTTTTCGAAAATATAAGTAAAAGCTCTTATGGTGACACCAGGTTTATTTTGATGAGCGGAAATTTAAACATCTGTGTTTTTGTTTTTTAATAAAATGCCTCATTTCAAATTTTATTTTAAGAATTCTGTGCGAAAACTGAGTTGGAAGAAATCTTGGGTATGTGCACCTACAGACTCGACTTTCAACTGTAGAAAATTCATATACAACACATCTTGCCAGATCAGTCCATATCGTAAGGCTTAGGATTTGCTTCGCCTCCGCGAATGTTCTATAAAAGAAACTATGACCCGCATGTGTTAAAAGTTTATTCATGCAAGAATCTAAAAAAAAAAAAAAAAAAAAGACAATCGAAGTATATTCAGCAATCAGGTCGACTGCTTTTAGCCATTGACATCATAGCTGATATGAAGGGATAATGTCACATTATCTTTAGTTTGGTGACACATAGTTGCTTAAGGGGTGTGTTTTGTAGAAAAAAATAAATAGCTTAATTAGCTCAAAATTATAATAGTATAATATTCGGAAAATAAAGCCCACATGAGAATCGTTTTTGGTTGTCACTGTTATGTGATCATAGCAATCATGGGAGATAATTTTCAGTTGATCTGATTTCAACGACGTAATTAGTGTTTAATTGCTTTGAGTAATCGCAAAAAAAAAAAAGTCTATCCGAATAGATGTTTATTCAGCTAAAAATTGGAAAAGTGTGTTCTCTAAAAAAACCATTATAGGTATTCGCTGTTTTTTTTATCGAAAATATTTTAGGAAACGAGCAATTTTTGCCTGACAAACAGTCTGGTAAACTTAAAAAACAATTAAGCTATATGCCTTTCCAGTTATGATTTCAGACGCCATTGTATCAGGCCAATAGATCACCATGAACTTAATGGTGTTACTGATAAACCCCAAACAATAAAAATTGTGGCATGGGATAACTTATGTCAATAACGGGTTGGGTACTTTTCCACCTCCTGGTTTGAGGTAATAAACCTTATATTTTTTGGGCTTCCCGATACTGTGGCGCGTTAAAAAAATAAGGTTATTTGCACATATATGGAAATATAGAGCACTCGAAATTTGTGAAACCATAGTTATAATAAAGAAGATAATTATTGTAAGCATATGGACCCTTCTATCATAAATATAGCCATCTTATAAATAAATATTTATTTTGTCTGCATGAGTATATAATTGGAAAAATTATTGAATTTGCATATATCTCATATATATAAAGATATGAGTGTTGTAAAATAGTGCCCATTTTAGAAATAAGGTTGGGCTACAGCATCCGAGATCTCATCATTGGATGTGATACTAATGGGAACAAGCCAGCAAATAAACAACAGCACTGTTTGAATGGAGATAGTGTTAGATCTTGACAATTTGGACGTAAATGGCTCAATTCTGAAGCTTTTCTGTTAAATTGAATAGAGTAGGACAATGTCTTTCAAATGAGACCGTAATCAAGTCTCCTACCAGCTTATAAGCCGCCATTTTAATTTTATTGTTACACATATGTTACATTTATGGGAGAGGGATTTATTCCATTCGACGTCAAAATATAATATTTCATAATCACACAGGCGTAATACTAACTCATGATTGAGTTATTTATCGTTTCGAGGCACACGCAAATATTTACTAGCGAAATAAGAGCCATTTATGCGGGTAAAGATAATGCATTTGTTTTACAAAACTTATAACATAATTGGCAGTCATCATCTTTAATTTTTTTTTTTAAAAATCATATAAATACCGTAGTCTTCACTGACTTTTCCCATTTTATCACTCAACTCTCTTCGCTTCTCACTTTCCTTGTCTTCACAGTATAAAAAATGAACACAAGTTCAAGTAGTCATCAACAAGATGATCGTCCTAACATAATTCAATTCTCTGATAATCAAAATGCCAACATTTTGCACACCAGATCTCACAAGGATGAAAGACGTCTTCGACGCAGAGAGTCAACAGCAAGCCATGCCATTATTGCGTATAGAACATTATCTATCACTGTGTCTGAAAGTCAAGCTAAGGGTGTTAATAAATCGAAAAAGTCAAAACTTGAGAAACCTGATATTGCAGAAGGTAAAAAATTAAATCAAATCAAAAAATTTGGTTACACGTACTTATACAAATGAATTAGATTTAACTAGTGCAACATATCACCAGATATCTCTTCTTCAAATCGGTCAACAATATAGAACTAGTCTTGAGGCTGGTCTTGAAACAGAGCAAGCAATTTCTCGTGTTGCTGAATACGGCAGAAACGCAATCTCTCCCCCTCCCAGCAACTGGACCAAAAAAATTATCAGCTATTTCTTTGGTGGATTCTGTAGTTTATTATGGATTGCAAGTATTATTTGTTGGATTTCATGGAAGCCTTTGGGTAATCCAAACCCATCGCCACTTAATTTGGCTCTTGCTGTCATTATCATGTTTGTTATCTTGCTTCAAGCTTTCTTCAATGCCTGGCAAGATTGGTCCACTAGTCGTGTTATGAATTCAATCAACAATATGCTCCCCACTCAAACGTTGGTCTTGCGTGATGGCAAAGTTGTTACTATTGATGCCGCTAATTTAGTTCCAGGCGATCTTGTTCATATCAAGATGGGTAACAAAATTCCTGCTGATTTACGTCTTATCCAGGTGTCGGATGACTTGAAATTTGATCGCTCTGTGCTCACGGGTGAGTCTGATGCTATTCCTGGTACTGTAGATGCTACTGATGATAATGTTTTGGAAACTCATAACGTTGCCATGATGGGTACTCATTGTCTGAACGGTTCTGCTGTTGGTGTGGTTGTCTCTATTGGTGACAAGACACTCATGGGTAGAATTGCTCGTTTGTCTTTGGCTGATCCTAATACTCGCACAACGCTTCAAGTTGAGATTTTGAGATTTGTTATCATTATTGCTGTCTTGTCTATTTCTGTTGGTAGTATATGTTTGATTACTTGGGCTGCTTGGTTAAGAGTTGACTACCCTGATTTTCTTTCGGTTTCTGCTGCCTTGGTTGCTATTATTAGTGTTATCGTTGCTTTTGTTCCCGAGGGTATGCCCATTGCTGTTACCTTATGTCTCACACTGGTTGCAAACCGTATGCAAAGGAGTAATGTATTATGTAAAGTATTGTCAACTGTTGAAACATTAGGTAGTGTCAATGTGTTGTGTTCCGATAAAACCGGTACTTTGACTGAAAACAAGATGTTTGTCTCCGATGCTTGTATTTCTGCCGAAGAGTTTACATCTGATTCTATTCGAGGAATGTTCTCATCTCCAAATAAGACAACCAATGATATGCTTCCCCAATTCCGCCAGGTCCAATTTGCTGCTGCTCTGTGTAATGGCTCTTCCTTTGACTCTTCTACTTCTCACTTAGAGGTATCCCAAAGAACTGTATTCGGTGATGCTACTGACTCTGCTATCTTGAGATTTGCTGAAAGTATTGATCCCACCAATTATACCGTTGATACTATTAGAGCTGACACCGAAAAGATTTTTGAAATTCCCTTCAATTCCAAAAACAAGTGGATGATGTCTATTTGTCGCCCTCTCAAGAATTCTATGGCCGAATGCCTCTCTACTTTATCCGAAAATGTTGATGTCAATAACTGGATTTTATTCTGTAAGGGTGCTCCTGACGTTATTCTTAACAAGTGTACCAAGCTTTTACTCCCTAATGGTAATGAAGTTGAGTTCACCGATAAGCGTGCTGAAGTAATTTTAAATCTTCAAACAAAATGGGCTAGTGAAGGAAAGCGTGTTTTACTTTTGACTCGTCGTGTCATCAATCCTGAAGAAACCCCAGAAAACAGTATTGCTGGTACCTCTAGTTTCTCTACCTGGGCTACCAAAATGAACACCGGACTCACTATTATTGGTATGGTTGCTATTGTTGATCCCCCTCGTCCAGAAAGTGCTGAGACTGTACGTGTTTGTCGAAATGCGGGTATTCGTTTTTATATGGTAACTGGTGACTTTCCTACTACTGCTGCTGCTATTGCCCGTGAAATTGGTATCTTTACTACTCTTCATCCGCATACTATTAACGACTTGGACCCTACTGCACTTATCGAATATATCCCCAAATATGCTCCTAAAACATTTGTCGCTACGACGGGCAAAAAAGTTACTGATGCTGAAAGCTGTACTTCTGCTGATTCTAACAGTACTCTTGATCAAAAGGACGAAAAGGAACTTTCTGGTAAAGGTTGCAAATCTCTTTTGTTATCCGGTGGTGATATTATAACTTTGAATGATTCTCAATGGGAGCAAGTCTGCCAATATAAAGAAATTGTGTTTGCCCGTACTTCTCCAGATCAAAAGCTTCGTATTATTAAGGAGTTTCAAAAGCGTGATAACATAGTTGCTATGACTGGTGATGGTGTGAACGATGCTCCTTCTTTAAAGGCCGCTAATGTTGGTATTGCTATGGGTGGTGGTAGTGATGTTGCTATTGAGGCCGCTGATATGATTTTGCTCGATAAATTTTCCAGTATTGTTGCTGCTATTGAAAACGGTCGTCTCGTCTTTGATAACTTGAAGAAGGTCATTGTTTACTTGTTGCCTGCTGGTTCTTGGTCCGAATTATGGCCTGTCATTTTAAATATTTTCTTGGGTTGTCCTCAAACTTTGTCATCATTCCAAATGATTGTTATCTGTGTTCTTACTGATTTGTGGCCTTCCATGGCCCTGATGATGGAAAAACCCGAGGCCGGATTATTAGAGCGCCCACCTCGTCGACCCAAAAGCGATCGTCTAGTCAATGCTAAGCTCCTTCTTCACGCTTATGGTTTTGTTGGTCTCATGGAAATGCTTTCTTCTCATTTTCTTTTCTTCTTGTACATGGGAATGAACGGTCTTCCTCCTAACAAGATTTTTTTCTCGTTCTCTAATTTGACAGCCAAGGAAGGTTACGAGGGGTTCACATCTGATGAAATCACAGCTTTGATTAATACTGCTCAATCTATTTACTTTGTCAATCTCGTTATTTGTCAATGGGGTAATGTCTTATCTACCAGAACCCGAAGACTTTCGATTACTCAAGCAAATCCTTTGTGGGGACCTAATCAAAACTTGTACTTGTTTGCTTCGATGATTGCTTCCCTTACAATTGCCATTATTGTTCTCTATGTCCCTGTATTTAACACATATCTTCAAACCGCTCCTGTTCCTATCAAATTCTGGTTTATTCCTTTTGGTTGGGCTGCATTCATCATGGTGATGGATGAATCTAGAAAGTTTTTGGCTAGAACTTATCCTACTAGCCTTTTTGGAAAATTAGCTTGGTAAAAAAAAATGATTTTTGTCCGTCATCTTCTTGGCTTTTGCATATAGTCTTCTGTACATATTTCTCTTAACAAATACTTAAACCTTATCACATAATAAAAAAAATCGCTTTTTACTTTTCAATATCGTGCGGTACATGTCAAACAGTTGGTTCTGATGGTATCTAAATAACAAGTTTAATTATCTATTATCGTAAAAAAAAAAAAAAAATTGATATAAACAGGTCATGAGCAAGTTTCATTCCGCCAATAAAATTTATCTAAAAAACAAAACAAAAAAAAAGCCAGTATAATATGGTCTTTCTTATTCTTTCAACAAAAAAGATGAAAGACTGTTGGAAATATATCGCATTTGCATACGGAGGCATAGAATTTATGAGCCGTACCAATAGTGTATTTGATGATTATAATATGGAGTTTATCCAGCTTGTAACCGAATATTATTCAATACTTTATAATCGCTACGATTTTATGATACATATTGTCAGACAATGCGACCGAAACATCACTCGATTAAAGAGTATTGAAACTAAACTACATGCTTCGAACCAAAATATGCGGTTTAGTCAGTTGGATATGATGGAAATTGTATCGATATGTGTGGAATTAAACAACTGTCTTGATACTCTTGCTGAAAGAAATGCACACCTAAGACAAGGTTGGATTCTATACAGTGAAAAGATAGACAATATGTTGACAAGGTTCCAAGAAAGTAGATGTGCTTACTGGCTTAAATATACCTTGTTTGGTATTGCAGAAGGATCGATTTTTCTTAACACGATTCTTGACAACACTCCGTTATCTATCTTTTGTGGATTTTTAGTAGTTCAACTTGCCATGTTTTGTACTTCATATGAAAAGTTTAGTGTAGAGATGATTATGAGTAAACTAGAAGAACGTATTGCAGGAACTTGTCTGGAATTGTCTGATTACAACAACAGAATCTATTCTATAAAACTGTATAGTGAGAGATATCAAAGATCTGCGGATTCGAACGTACTACGTATTTTTTGTTCTGGTGCCCGGGTAAATGTTCAAACGGTTAAAATGATTAATGAAACAACAGAGATGCAAGTTAAATTGCAGGAGCTGATGAATGAATCGAGAAGAAACGCATTGAATATCAATCGAATAATTATTTCAGAAGGTGTCGATAATTTTTTGGCTCTTTCCGGTATAGTTAGATAACAGCGTAAATGAAATGAATAAAATATAAACCTAGTTTTTATTATTTTCATAAGGGCACGAGGGAAATAAAAATAAAAAGTGCCCAATACACAAATAAATTCTATACTTTATAAACAGGCTATGATTGTTGTTGGTTGATGATGGCGTGATAGTTTTCAGAGTTACGCTTTAAAATGTCCAATACAGGACCGAGAAGACGGGTGAATGCTTTTTTACCAAGAGTAGCACATTTGAGTCTACCATGTGCCACAACAGTAGCAGCTCTAGGACTATCATTTAATAAAGCCAACTCTGCATAGTGATGTTAGTTGCAATTATTAAACAAATGATGTATTCATAAATTTTTACCTCCGAAATAGGAGCCTCTCTCCAGTTGATTTACTTTGTTTTGAATGCCATCAGCATTAGTTTTTAATACGATTGCTTCACCAGACTCAATAATATAAAATTGATCTCCTACGTCACCCTGCTTTACAACCTCCTGTCCATCCTCGAAATAAACAGATTCCAAGGCATCAGCGATTTTGTGTTGTTCATAAGATTCAAGTGATTTTAACAAGTTGACTTCAGACAAGAAGATTTCATACATGCGTCTTTTACGCGATGTGTTTTCCATAAGAATAGTTCTGAAAGTAATACGATCTAAAGCCCAAAGAACAGAATCTGAGGTTGTAATAATTGTTGCGGCACGAGGTGCGTTATACATTAAAGCTAATTCACCAAAGCTACCACCTGCTTCGTAATTTGTTACTTTAGTTTCACCAATAAAACAATCCAAAGTGCCTGACTCAACTACATAGAAAAAATCTCCAACACCACCTTGCTCAATAACTGTTGTTTCATTGGGAACGCGTTTTTCAGACATGGCGTTAACGACGTCTAAATATTGCTCCTCGTCTAAATTGCGAAACAAGAAGTTATTTCCTATACTAACTTTGATACGTTCAGCTTGTGTTTGGGACTTGGGAATAACAAGCTTAACAAAGTCTTGATTGGCACTTGGTGCCATGGATTCAGCACTAACAGAAGTACGTCTACCACGGTTATAATTTGTAGGGGGTAAAGAAGGCAAAGGTTCGGTTGAGAAATTGTCATGTTCTTCATCATCTTCATCTTCATCTTCATCCTCCTCGTCTTGTTCATCTTGGTGACTCATATGAGTGTCACCCCAATTAATAGCTTGATGTTCTACATGGTCAAGCTGCTGTGCCTGTTGCTCACACAAAGGATGCAAATCATTGGTATTGGCTACAGTTAAAAAAATAAAGCATATTAATATGGAAAAGTGTGAAAGAGGCAAAAGAAAATTTTACTATCAAACATCTGGTTATTGTTACTGTTGCTGTTTCTATATGCCATACGTTGTTCCTCGAGTTTACGGATAAAGAAATTCGAACAGAACTGGAGAACATCGGCGGGTTGCTCCATACAGTATTCGTTATGTAAATCAGTTAGAAGTTGTGTATATTCATCTGTTTGAGGTGCAAACTCAAAAGGCTGTTCATCGGTCATCATTTTTTCTAATATAAAAACCAGTGGTAAAGAAAGCAAAAAAGAGGAAAACTCTCAGGCGATTTCACTTTAAATTCAGACACGGTAAATAATTTTTATTTTTCAGATGATATGCTTACCTTTTTTGGACGAAACAAAAGAAAAAAAATCAGATGAATTGCGGATTATATTGAGACGTCTTACTAATAATGGGTTAAAACTTGTGGAGGTAAAGCAGATTTATTGAACGAAAAAACATCATATTTTTATTTAAAGTTTGAGCCTTTTGACGGGATCTGTCTGTCTAAATTGTAACAAGAATTGATGTCCCTTTACCGGAGTAACGTAAAGGTTTTTTTTTACTCACGAAAATACCAAAGCCACAAACACCACCAAAGCTTCTATTCTTACATTTGAGTCAAATACTGATTAATGACAACTGCAACCAGATCACCTGCTTGGACTCTCTTTTGATAGGTTCCGATAGAAACAACTTGTGGCACCGAATTTTTAATCCGTTCAGGTGCACCAGGTCTTTCTCGAACATACCAGCACCAAATACTTAAATTGTAATTACATGCAAGAGGTTTAGTCTACTTCTTCATCCAAATTTTTCATTTTTTGTTCCCTTAACATCAACTTTCGATAGATTCACATAAAAGTTACGTGATAATTGGTGCGATCGGTAATAACCGGCTATTCAAGCAGTCAAGGAATTATTAATATTACGGGATAAAGATAGGTCACGGACTGACAGTACTAAAAACAATGAAACAAACTCGTTCTATGAGTTTTGTCACCAGGTGACTAATGTCTTTACTAAAAATGTATCTTACGCTGTAATCTCGTAAGTATAGGTTGCTATGTTCACCCACGAATGACAGCACAAGGTTATAAAAAGTTTAAATAAATACCCGCTTTTAAATTAAAGAGCATATTAATGTTGACTTTTAGATTAATAGCAGAAGACAAAAAAAAACGTGTTGCAAAATTACACAAAGCCTATCTTTATGGACATTTTTACTGCTACATATAAATATCCCGATCAAAAAAAAATATCAAGTGCGTCACTCAAGTGACAGGCTTAATTAACATCCCTGCCGGTAGTGCCGACAAACAGACAAAAAAATCATACAATTAAAGAGACAAATATATAAAAGACAACGAAGTTTAGAGTTTAAAAAAAATTTATTATAATAACAAAAATAAGATATTCAGGAGAATGAACTAAAAAATAAATAAGAGATTAATATGGATGATCAATGAAGATTATCTTAATAAAAAATAAATTTTATGGTTCTCTTTTTTTTTCAGTCTTTGGAATTTTTTTCTTTCATCGGAGATCTCAAACTGAGCTGGGTTTAGTAGCATTATAGTTGTAGTTCATCAGATAAAAAAAAGAGAGCGATAAAACCTATTTATTATTTAAGGTAGAAGAGTACTTACATTATTGTTATTTAGATAAAGAAAAAAAAAATTATTGCTGAAGAAATCGCGCTTTTATACTTTTGAATATTAACCCGCAAAAATTTTTTTACTGCTTTTTTTAAAAGTCCCTTTCGGACTGTCTTACAAAATTCTTTCAGATAAAATTTAATTTTTATCATGCTAAACCAATTATAAACAGTCTGCATATCCACTACTACATTGGGATATATCTGCTCGTAGCATCTCTTGTATACATATCATATTCTAGTTCGTATATATAAGCAAGTTTGTTGCAGTAACTTAAACATGGGTTTATCAACCTAAGGAGTGAAACCAAATTCTAAAAATTAACAGAAAACCCCAGCATAACACGACGGCTGCCGAATTACGATCAACGAGCGAGTTTATAATAAGTTTGATAAGATGAATTTTTTACGCGTCTTTTAATGTATCGTTCTATAAAGTTCCCAATTTCCCCCAATGTATTGTATGCCTTTCAGTGGCTTCACAAATATGTTAGTACCCGACGTACTTCCAAATCGAGAAGAAAATTATTTTTTCACGGACTGTCAATTATCACCATACATTTTTGCACTACGAAGTAGATACATAGCTGTGTGCAGATAGTAAATTCAATAATAAAAAGAAAATAAGGCAAATACAAATTCAATGTCTAAAACATGACTTTTATTTTTGTTTGTGAAAAAAAAGGATAGCAGGGTGTATGAGATATGATGATAATGTTTATAATGTTTATAAATGATGCTTTTACTCTTCTTTTTTGGCTTTTGCAATCGCCAATAAATCGGCATATTCACCTGAGCGAATACACATTTGTTGGAATATACTGTTATCTCTGGTCATTAAATCATAAGGCGTGTCAAATTCTTTGACTTCGCCTTGATCCAAAACCAAGATGCGATCATAATCTGCAACAGTACGAATACGATGAGCAATACAAAGCAAGGAAGAATCTTTGAATTCGGTACGAATGGTTTGTTGAATCTTATGATCGGTATCGAAATCTACAGAGGAAGTAGCTTCGTCCATGATAATGAAGGTTGATTTCTTGACAAGAGCACGAGCTAATGCAATCAATTGACGTTGACCTTGAGACCAATTACTTCCGTTTTCACTGACAGGCGAAGAAAGGTTGATGTTCTCGACAGTAGATCCATTATTTAATTCAACGTTGTTATCACCGCTTGTATTTCCTGTTTGACCATCAATCAGATGAGAGCGCTTCAAAGCAGCCCAGAGTTCAATATCATCGTGTTGATCAAAAGGATCCAAGTTACTACGAAGAGTACCTGAGAAAAGGACAGGGTCTTGAGGAATAATGGTTAATCTAGATCTAAGTACATCGAGACCAATGGTATGGATATCCACGCCATCAATTTCAATACTACCGCTAGTAGGATCCATAAATCTGAAAATAGATAATGCCAATGTAGATTTACCAGAGCCCGTGCGACCTACAATACCAATCTTTTCGCGAGGGTTGACTTTGAAAGATACTTCACGGAGAACTGGTGGATTCTCTGGTGCATATTGCATAACTAAGTTCTTCACTTCCATGGCACCTTGTTGGGGCCAGTTAGAGGCGGGCTCAGTTTCAGGAATTTCAGTTGGTGGTTCTTCTTCAACATCGAGATACTCATGTACACGTTCAATGGCATTCATATTCATTTCGTTAACTGCGTACATACGTACACACCAAAGGACATTGTGAGTAAAAGTCAATGAATAACTAAGGGAAAGACCAGCTAACCCGGGATTGATCCAGTTACGGCCAAGAACCAACACAAAACCGGTACAGAAACCAACAAAAGCACCAAGTACATCGACACGACAATGAAGCCAACGGTTAGTAGCCCACATCCACAAGAAAGGACGATTGTTGCTGTCAATTAAGTTGTGGTTCTCGTTGATGAATCTGAACTGAGCACCAAAGGCACGAATGGTTGCAACACCGTTAACACTCTCGTTAAATTGAACGTAAATTGGACTACGAGAGACAGAATTTAAACGCTTAAGATCACGAGAGGTCTGGAGATAATATGAACCGATAAAACAAAAGACAATACCGATAAGGACACCAGGAATAATAAATGCGGGTGTTACACTAGAAATTAGCAAAACAACGCATAATGTGGCGATAATAGAGTACATCAAGAAAGAAAGAGAGGGAGCAACTTCTTGATCGATAGTTGCCAAATCAGAAGAAAATCTGTTGACTATACGACCCAAGGGAGTGGTATCATAGAAGCGAACCTTAGCACGAAGAATACGATTGAGGAGTTGAGAATGAATCTTTTTAGAGGCACTCAACGAACCACTGAAGAGAATGAATGTACGAAGGGATGTCATGAGCAAGGCAACACAGCCGATTAAAAAGTATACACCCAAATAATACGATGCGTCAACATCGTTACCCTTAATAGCCTCGGTAATGCTATAAATAGGTTGATAAATATTCAAGATGTTGGTATATCCTGAAATAGAGTGACCAGGATTTGTAAGTGAGAAAACACCAACAGAAGCAGTAGAAGGATCCTTTTCAACCTCTCCATAAGCAGCAGACCAAACCTTAATCCAATAATCTTGGCTTAAAACACAAATTTGGGCTAAACAAAACAAAACAATAACGGTCATCCAAAACTTAAGACCACCAGATGCATCAATATATGTCTTGTAAACGGACCATGTAACACCACCTTCAGCACGTTCCTCGTCCTTTGTTAATTTACCGCCGGTAGCACCATCTTTGTTAGCCTTTTTAATCATATTCTTGGGTACAGTGGGAATAGGTCCATCTACCGCAGCCTCTTCGGCAGAGTTAGCCTTAGCTTCTTCTGACTTGGAAAGCTCTTCACCGAGTGCACCTGAATTCAACAAATCCTTGGGTTTACCAGCATCGACAACTTCACCATCCTTCATTGCAACAATATAAGCAGCACCGTTGAGACAAAGACCGACGTGATGTGTGACCAAAATGACTGTTCTGTGTTTCATTAGTTTACCGATCAAACAATGCTCGTACAAGTGCTTGGCCGTATGAGCATCAACCGCACTAAGACAATCGTCAAGAATAACAGTGTTGGCTTGAGAATATACTGCACGAGCAATAGCAACACGTTGTTTCTGTCCACCACTTAACGTAATACCTTTCTCTCCTACCTCTGTAGAATCGCCAAACTCAAGGATCTCAAGATCACGAGTCAAAGCAGTCATATAAAGTACATCTTCGTAACGTTCTTCATCAAAAGGCAAACCGAATAAAATATTATCACGAATACTACAATTTTGAAGCCAGGCAGATTGAGCAACATAAGCTATACCAGATACAGCACCGCCAAGGGGACTTGTCTTATTAGGGATAACACGAGGTAAGATGGCCTGACCAGATAAGCAATATGTCTCGCCTAGCAAACTGCATAACAGAGTTGTTTTACCGGATCCAGTGGGACCACAAACAATGGAAAGTTGACCGATGGGGAAGTTAAGATTGAGATTTTTGACGGATGGCTTGTTATAACTATCCCTGTGGCTGTCCCAACTAAATGTAGCATTATCAACAAAACCAAGCAAAGTACCATTATTAGAAGCATCGGTAGTTCTTTGGACAGGGAGTTCAACTTCATCTTCACCCAGGAATTTTTCAATACGCTTGATAGAAACATTACATTGAAGTACTAAAGATAACAAAAGAGGGAATTCATCAAGTGCACCACGGAATGTATTGAATAAAGCCAATGCTGTGAAAGCAATTGAAGCAGTCAATTCATTGTTTTCGGTATAAACGTAGAATACGGTCACCATGATTAAAATAGGTATAAAAAACCAAGCATTGACCATCCACATGAACATCATTAAACGGGAGCGAATTGCCTTCAATTCAAATTCTCTGGCTTTGATAATACGCTTTTTAAACTCGCTTTCCCAAGCAAAGAATTTAACAATACGAATGGCAGACAGTAATTCATTCATCAATTTAAGACGTTTATCGGTAGCTGCCATAACGGAAGTATGGAGGGATTCGAAACGAGAACCAACAAAGTAGGTAACAGGCTGGCACAATAACATGACAAGAACACCCCAGAGAGCAGCATTACCCAAAAGTTTATATAAACTCCAGATACTCAAAACGATTTGAATAGGATAGCAATAAACATAGAAAATATACGCCATAATTTCTGCAGCCTTTTGAGCATCGACAGATAACAAATTGTTAACATTACTCTTGGTATCCTTTTCATCTGTTTCGCCCCCTTCAGTTTTAGTTGATCCACTTTCGTCTCGTCGACGGAGGGACTTGGAGAATACTTCACCGATAATAACGGATTGCAGACGAATACCGAGGGTACGACCAATGTGAAGACCTTGCTGGAGTAAGAGCGATTGAGCTGAATTAGTGACGAATAAACCGAGAACATAAAGGAAAGCGGTGGAAACAGGCTCATCGTGGGGGTTTTCGATATATTTGATGATCTTGTTTAAAAAGAGGGGAGGTCCAAATACAAGAATAGTCCAACCTAAGCAGTACACAGTCTGTACAAAGTAAAGCCAATAGTAAGTTTTGGCAAAAGTTGCAATGATACTTGGGGATGATTTTTTTTGGTTAAAATCAACAAGTGTGTTTTTAGCCCTGTTGCTAGGAATCAACTCAAGCAAGTCTTTATCGTCTAATGTGCGCTTATGACCTTCCTTCATCATCACATTAACCCAGCTAAACATAAATTTAGAATAAAGTGAATCACGATTCTCATTTGTCATAACACGACCCTTAAAATAGATTAGATCACATTGCATACTCAGCATAAACAATTACTTACATTTTCGGTAATGATGGGCTTTGTAGTCGCAAGACGGGTCTCATTGATAACAATTGCAATTAAAACAAGGTCAATGAAGAAAGTGCAGAGAGCTATACAATAACCAGACCCAGCCTTTCCGGCCAAAATGTAGAAGGATCGAACATCAATTACTCCGACAAAGATATCGATCAGGTATAACAAATTCAATTGATTACAGATGGTATTTGAGAGGGGGTTGTATTTGTCAGATAAATAGATATTTACAATAGACAATATAAGAGAGTAAGCCTAAATTGCGCATGTCAGTATATACATCTGATGACCACATTACAAATTACTTACCCAAAATACAATATGACTGCCATAAGCTACAAGAACATCATATTTGTTGTTTTCGTTCGCTGAGAAATCATACTCCTTTTGAGATATTCTTTTAATAGCAACAATGAACAACCCGAGTTGGATTAAGGAGAACAGCAATCTTGACAAGTTAAAAATTGTCCAACGAGAGGCCTTGATTTCTACATCCATTGTGATGGTATCAATAGAGACATTGTCGTCGTATGAATTGTTTGTGGTGGTGCCATACGTATTAGAGGTAGGAAGAGTGCTGGTCTTGTTGATAAGAGGTGCGTAGCCTGGCTTTTGTGTTTTATAATATTTCACGCTTGCCATTACAACGATCTTTAATGACCAGACAAGAATGGCGATTAAGACAAAACCATTAATAATGCTAACAAACGACATTGCGGTTAGTGTTAAGAGTAAGTGGTTTTTTCTTGCTTTTCTTTATGGTACTAACGTTTCCCTGAAGCATGGCGCAAAATCGTCGTCTATCCATGGTTCCTAAAACATTGATACTATAAGAATTATATTTACTGATTCAATTGATATTTTATGCTTACAGATAAGTCGCAATGATGCTCCATCTAAAAAATGATAAAGAATAATTGAATGATCAAAGAAGGAGAAAATTTTTATTTAGATCCTACAAATAGAGTATTTCAATCCAAAATGAGATTGTTTTTTTCACTTCCGACAGGTAAACCCTTTTGCTTTGGTTTGTCTGGCCCGTGTCTGTGGCATGCACCGGATTTCCCCGCTTTGTTTTTCTAAAATGAGCATAAGAACATAAAATATTTCCGAAAGAATGGTATATAAAGTTCAATGAAGTGGTTAATTTCCATATTCGCCAAAGCGTACAAGATCACAATACATCTACAATGTTTGCCATTTTTTTGTAGATTCAAGTAGGCCGCAGCATCGGCAAACAAATAATCGGCGGGGTTTAACCTGATGTTCAAATTTGGTATAATTCAAACCTCGTCGGAAAATCTATAGTATCATCAATATTCGTTATAATTAAGGTAACGAAAAAAATGTCAAATTTCGATTCTACAATAACCGGGGGCGAAAAATTATTCTCACGTTTATATCATGGCCTTTTTTTTGCATTTCGACACGTTTATAAGGTATAATTACAGTCATTGTTACCTTATGTGTATGATTCACAAAGCATTGACGTTATTTAAATATTTACTTACCAATAGATTGTGAGTGATCAAACTTTTTATTTCTTGAACTAACTGGGATCATCACAAAAAAAAAAAGTGGGGGTGACTCGAACGGTCAATGCTCAATTCAAAGCACGACTGAATTGTGTGTTATGTGAATTACCTTGTAGTTTATTTAGAATTAAAGGTATAAAAATAAAAGAGAATATAAAAAAATGGACATGTTAAATTAAATTATATTGCTCATAATCGTTTAGTATAGAATTCTAGAGATCTATGGGATGGCACTAAACAGATTTAGCCATATTGTTGGCAGCCTCTTCATTAGCTTGAACAACAGGTTCCTTTGCAAAAATGGAGATTGGAACATTTTCATTACTAGCTGACATAGACATATCATCAAACAGGCCTTGGGCTACATGTGTAGGCTTGGCATTTTTGATTACAGGAATAGTCAATATTTGAGTAGATGTGACATGGATTGGTTCACTGCAGACTTCACACAACGACGCTTGTGGCTTGAAAATATCCTATAAACGTGTCAGCCTCAACCATTAATAATTAAATGTTAAAACTTACTGAACAATAAGAGATGCTTGCTGCAGAACCAACCGTTAGAGTTTCGCATTCTGTTACGACTTGAAGGGATGTATCGATAAAGGGAACGTATGAGCCATCAATTAAAAATGCTGATCTCGTGATCATAGGGTTATCATTTACAGTGTTTGAACCGGCCACGGTTACCGTTTTAGTTTGCACTGAGCACACAGTTGATAACTATATTAGACAATGTTAGTAGATACACTACTGGGTATAAAAAATCTACTTACGGCCGCATCTCTATTAGACTGAGTACTATTCATGGACGCGTTATTTATGAGCTGGTCATTGTCAGATACTATATCACCATTGTTTAATACTGAGCCCTCGTGTTCATGTAACCCATTATATCCATCATGTCCGTAATGACCGGCTTTTCCATGATGACCTTTGTAACCTCCATTGTAGCCTCCGCTGTAGCCTCCATTGTGGCCTCCGTTATAACCTCCGTTATAACCTCCATTATAGCCTCCGTTGTTACCGTGATGATTATGATGTTGATGGAACATTGTAGCTGTTAACCCATCTGAGACATACCCGTGATACTCAATTCCACCATCGTTTCCTAAACATGTAATTGTGGTATCGTCTTTATTCAGGACATGATCGGCTGTACCGATGTGGATGTGAATTTCAGAAGTAATTGTCGTAAGTGCGGCTGCGTTTGCCTGAACAGCATTTCCGTTGATTGTAGCGGTAACAATACGAATTTCTGGTCCAGGGTCTGTTGTAGTTTGTGTTACGGTAATTACATCTGTTTCATGAACAGTTGTTATGACACTGTTGTTGATAGTAGCTGTTACAATACGTATGTCAATATCCGTGTGATGTTCTGTAGTAACTGATGTAGCAGTTGTAGTAGCTAAAGAAGTTTCTACGTCTGTTACAGTAAGAGTGCTCAGTTGATACACAGTGTTATCTGCCTTCTCAGTCAAGGTGGCATAGTTTGTAGAAGTAACGAAATGGACTTGGACGTCAACTTGAGGGTATGTACTGACAGAAGTATAAGTGACAGTACTCGTCTCTGTTGCTGTTGCTGTAACTGTAGGGAAGCCCTTTGATAATGTTGGTATTCTAAGGTACAAGCTTGACAAGCATGATGAAGCCACAGAATCAGTCAAAGGTCCGTTTCCACCTTCACCAAGGATTGAAGCACACATATCTTGTCCTTTAAGAGGTAATACAGTGACAGTGTCAGTTGTCGTATCTGTCTTCGTGACAGTGTCAGTTGTCGTATCTGTCTTCGTGATAGTGTTAGTTGTGGTATCTGTCTTAGTGATAGTGTCAGTTGCAGTGGTGGTATCAGTCGCAGTGGTAGTATCAGTGGCAGTTGAAATGTCAGTCTTAGTGTCGGTCTTGGTATCGGTGATTGTTACAAAGTCAGTCTTAGTATCAGTCTTGGTTATAGTGTCAGTCGTGGTATCAGTAGAAGTTATTGTAACAGGTGGTGGGGTAGCACCTGCGACAGTTAGCGTAGATGTGCTGATGATAGTTGTGCAATCAGAGACGATAGAAGTTGTACAAATATTGGCTGCACCATTCACACCTGTATTGATTCCATTTGTACCTGCACCATTTGTACCTGCGCCATTTGTACCTGCGCCATTTGTTCCCGTACCAACACCATTGCCTGTGCCTTCCTCCTATTTGTTACGAAGTATAATTAGAAAAAAAATTGTTTTGCGATGACCTTTTTACAATACTTACTTCGTCAAAATAAACAGTTCTTGTGGCATATTCAGTCTCAATACTATCAGTACTAACAGTTTGCGTCGCAAATTCAGTGTAGTAATACTAAGGTAAATAAAAAATATTAGACTTTTAAAAAAAAGTGATAATGAAAGAACATTACGCTGAAAGTAGAAGTTGATGTACGTGTGAAAGGGTCATCATCCTCTGGTGGCGTCAGACCAATTTCGACGAGATAATCAGATAATTCAGGATCGTTTGGAATTCTTGCTGCAAAGAAGAAATGCACAAATCTGAAAAACTCCACACAGCTCGGTTGTTCCCACTCATTCATACAGTACATTACCAAATCCATATCTATATCCGTAGGATACTCTTCAAATGGTTCGTAGTCTGTATCTGGTTCTGAGGTTGGGGTTATAGTAGAGCTTGCGGAAGATGATTTACTGGCTGACAATGAGCTAGAACTAGATGACGCCTTGGACACTGAAGAAATCAACGAACTTGCGGATGTAGTCTTGAGTGATGATGCGGAGCTGCTTGAAGATGTAGATGAAGGCTTAGCTGTAGCTACGGCGGATGTTACGGCAGGTGATGTGGGCTTGGTCGTAGCTATGACCGGAGTGGCGGGCTTCACACTGGAAGTACTGGCAGGTTTAGAAGTTGTTGCTGGCTTAGTAGTTATGACCTGGGCAGCCTTTAATGCATGATCACTCATTGCCATAATAAAGCCGTTAGAGCCTATAAATCTATCTTGGACATGGTCCTCATTGTTGGGGGTTAGACTATGCACGTTTTCAACCAGATCTAAAAATAATTCTTCTGCAGCATATACTCTAAAAACAAATTTAACAGTTGGCAATTGTATTCAGTCATATCCAATCGTATGTCCTTACCTTTGAGAATATGATAATAAAATGTAACTAAGTATTGCGGGCAACGCAATGAACGCATTACGCCTCATTTGAACTGGATTTGAACAAGGTAAAATTAAGTAAAAGAAGAAAGAATGATGTTTAAAAATCACAACAATGTATTTTAATAAAGTTTTTTGTATTTAATTGATTGGGGACCAAAGCGCATTAATCGCGTTTTTCGGTCCTCCAATTTTATCAGAGTATTTGCAATGGTAAGCGGTATGAATGAATTGTTTACAACAATTATCGTGATCATTTAGCCTCTTTAGTACAATTTCAACACATCTGACAGCTTGCGTTATATCCTCTTTTTGATTTGGATCATTTCCAAAAGATGTTATATAATGTATAGCTGAATGAATAAGGTTATTTGAGTTATAAACATTTAAACCTATGTCTTTGGCAAGCTCGGCTAGATAAAGTATAGCTTGCATATTAAAAGCTAAATAGTGAAAAGGTTTTGTTCGTTTAGATTCCAGCGGCTGATTTCCCGTTCTTGGATCGATTTGTTTTTGGAGATCGTTCATAAAAAAATCGACAATTAGGTTCGATGGTTTCGTGGAAATGGGATTCAGGTAGAAATCTATGGAGGCTTTTTGAACAATATACCATGTATAGATATTATTTTTTGATTTCGAAGCTTGAAGTGCAACAGGACTAGTTGTTAACCAATTGAGATAGTTTGCAAACCAGAGCTTGATATATTGATTAATTGCATAATAAGCATGGAATGCATCCAAAAGCGGCAATAAATTAGCGATGCGGGATAGTCTATATGCGAAATAAGTTATGACAATTTAATTTGACTATAACCCCATAACTTACACTCTCGAGCTTATTACGCCTTCTCCACGCCCCATCTTTGTTGTATTTTGACTTCCTCTCACAAATTGTGCATAGTTAAGATTGGGATTCATTCTAGTCTTTTCATTTAAAAAAAATGTATCCAGCAACGATACCGCGTAGATTGCATAATTCTCATTATTAAGAAAATAATAGCCTAAACATAAGAATGTAAAGCTTTCAGCAAATGATTCTAGCTGAGACTGATCTTTTACACATCCTATGTCTAAACAGAATCATTCAGTAACAATGCATATTTTCGATAGGCTTCCATATTTACCAGGATTTCTTTTCCCATCTTTCCTTATATATTTTGTGTTTGTATCGTCCTAATAACAAATATTAAGTACATGCATTATTATATTTTATAAAAATAACAAAATTACCGGCCACCAATATCTAGTAAACATAGTTAGTATATTGTTGTTAAAGTATGTGGTTTTCATATATTTACGGTGCATAACTAAGAAAGTCGCTAACATCTCCACTTGGAGCAATGTGTGGAAATTTCTTTTCAAATGTAATACTAAAAGGTCCACTTTTTAAGGCACCGTCGGCTAGTTTTTCTAATGCCTTATAAGCATCCTTTGTCAATTCTGTCTGACCGGCTTGTCTTTGTGATCGGAGATTGCGAAAAGAAATGTATTCTAATTCAGGTTTTCTAGGGCCCATAATGACGTAAAGAAGGAAAAAGCTTTTTTTTATATATTCAACTGTTTTTGTGTAGCTGCTGAGTTAGTAACAAATACCCCTCTTACTTACTTCAGGTCCTGCTATTGAACGTATATATAATATCTCGACCATCATTTGATTCAGACATGTTTAATGAGCAAACTTTTTTACAAGCCTCACGAAAATAAATAAATGGCTGCTTCTTGGATATCCTTAGGTGATATATCCCATTAATATCCTTAATTTATGAGTATTTTTGCTATTCGTCTAGATAGTTTGAGCGGAATAGACTATAAGGGCATGCTAACTTATTGGATGTAGTTTAATCGTTATTTATTTTTGGTTGGTGGAGTGAATTTATCTGGACTAACAAACGAATCAGATGCGCTACACTAAATATAAATAGACGCTAGATAATTAAGGGGATAATACATACCTTGTTCAAGCCATAATAATCAAATGTATATGTAATAACTAGCAAGTTGAATATGAGTGTCTTTCCATTCATATGGTCCAATAAAAAGGTATCAAGTAGTATAAACAACAGTAAAAACTCCTGACACAGTATGACATCCTTCATACCTAATTATAAAATTGACAGTGCTCGTCTAAAAATCAAGTCATCAGTATCTATCATGAAGACAAACATAACATATGTTTATTTAATTCAGTGTGCTAATAGCCATATTTTCATCGGTATGATGGCTTTAAAAGAGCTATATGTCATTACAATTATTCTCATTAGGAAGAAAAATTATCCCATTATTTCCAATGTTAATGGAGTATGTTATTATTGCAATAGATAGATAAAGACTGTGTCTTCATAATGTTATTATATTGTTTAGAAGCAGTTATAAGGTTGATTGTTGTTAAACACAATGAATATAAAAATTGATCGCTCATCCAATGAAAATCGTGCGTGCTTATTTAAAACCTGAACGCAACAAGAACAATTAAAATCATCTCTCTTTCCTATAAAATAAAGATGAAAACTTCTTTCTACACCAAATCATCCCCCGTTACAAGACAGCTAAGACCTAAGTTGGATATTCCCAAACAAACGCTTTCGATTCAAAAACTCACTTTTAGTAGCAACAAAGAAGGAAAAACTTTTGTCACCATCTATCCTAGTCAAGTATATATCACATCCAAAGATCTGATTGAAATGATTGAAGAAAAAAAAGAGAGTATCCCAGTGAAAAATAACAACTGTATTCTTCGGGACGATATACTATATGCAATCCATAATTTTGCTTCTGACGAAAACACAACAACACCAGAAAACCATATCTCGGATTTAACAAATACAGGACAAACGACTGAGCCAAAACGCCCTACCAATGCTTTTATTCTTTATAGAACTGCACTCCGAAAAAAAATTAAAGCTTTGTTTCCATCTTTTAGCAATAGTGACATTTCAAAATTTACTGGTGCTATGTGGAAAGCAGCAGATAAAGAAGTTAAAGAAAAGTATATCAAACAAGCCATGGAATGTAGAGCCCTTCACAAACAAATGTACCCTAACTTCGAATACAACATTAAAAAAGAAACTTCTGATCAAGCAGCTTCCGTATCCCAAAATCAGGATCTTTCAGGTGACAGATGGGATAATTATTTCGACCAATGTTTACAAAATGCAACAATGGAATTTTTCAACGAAAACCACAGTATTGGAGACTTGAAAAATGATCAGGGGAGCTCTAATTGGATTGATAACGTTAACCCCAACGTCATTTCGGTGAACTCAAATAATCTTCTTTTTGAAGGTTACCAGGAATCAAATGAATGGAAAGAGGTGTGTAATATAGTCTCACAGTTCTTTCCCGAAGACTCAGATCAGAACACATTAATGGATGATAAACTATGGGCAAGCCTCGGTGGTATGGATCTGATAATTGATAAAGGATATGAATTACCGTCGTATATTGAGGACAATGAAAACAGTCATTAAAATCACAGGACTAATCCTGCTAGTTTTATCGGTTAAATTTATCAAATAAAATAATCGGACCAGAATAATTTTTCTTCTCTTCGTTTACAATTTCTAAATATGACTTCGAGGGGACAATCGTCTCGTCCACGTTGGAACAATGTTGACTGGGACTTACCTAAGTAACTAATGATTTCAGTTAAAAATTCCTTACAAAGAAATAATTGACTTGTTTCCGATAGTTTATCAAGCACACCTACAGTGAATGCAACGTTAAACTCACTTACGAATGAATTTGAAGTATATGAAAAGAAACCATCGCGCTCCAAATTTGATTTCGGCTCGAACAGTAATAGCACACCTAGTTGGGTATTTGATGCAGAACGAGGGTGGGATTCAAAACCGGGAATAGAAGAAAAGAGCTGGGAATCTTTAACTAATCATCATGATCAAGACATTCAACCCGATAAATTCAGCTCAAGGGAGACCGCAACATTTCGCTTGAACCTCGAGATTGATGACACACCTATATTCTCTAAAGTTACTGACTACACTTCATTCCGTAAACAAGAAATCATTCCAGATTTCGACGATATTATTACTTCTGAGGAACTAAAGGATCCAGAAGAATGGCAGGATCGCGATTACCGACTACCACTTCCTGATATACCTATCAATCGCGTTAAAACGCCTTACGACAGCGCTGACCAATATTTATACACCCACTTTGAATTGATGCGTCAGGATTTTCTTATCCCGCTTCAAAAGGCTGTTAAGGCATATAAAGAAGTTTACGCTTATACAAAGACGAAAGATGACCAAGGTTTAGCCATGGAAACTGCTTCTAATCAGCAACCATATAGGCTATATGAGCACGTAAGTTTGGTACGGTAAATGGGAACCTATACGACTAATTGAACAAATTGACTAGGTCCATTTAAATGCCATCGTATTCGCTTCAAGACAACCATTATATAGGATTAGTTTCCGTTTACCCTACTATTGTCGGGTAAATTGGCCACAATCCAAAAGATTAATGCCTGGTACATTGGTATTATTGTCTAAAGATCACTTCCAGAAGGATTTAAAGGTTGCGACAATTGTAGAGAGAGGTGATGAACCCATGCGTGGTGCCAACAGATTTGAGTATTTGTTGGATTTGTATTTGGAGCGTGATAATGAAAACCAGCCACTTGGATTTGGCGATCCCTCCATGAGCGATGAAGATACCTATGTTATGATTGAAGCAACAGACGGTTATTTTGAAGCTTATAGACATGTATTGAGTGTATTCCAAAGAATCAAACCAACTGAATTACCTTTCAAGCCTTATTTAGTCGACCTGTCAAACGAAGTTATGGTTCCACATTATGCTGCGCGAAAAAGAACATATGACATCAACGTACAAAAGTACTTTAAAGGGCGTGAGCGTTGGCCGGTGGATATCAACGGTGAATGGCCACAATACAGAACTGGAATGGATAAGACACAGCTCGATGCATTAAAGACTATTCTTTCTCACAACCTCTCTATTGTACAAGGTCCACCTGGTACTGGTAAAACTTACGTGGGAACTTATGCCATGCAAGTCCTTCTAAATAACTTTGATGTCTCTTTGGGACCAATTGTTTGTATCTGTCAAACTAACCATGGTAAACAAATTATATACCATAATTCGTGTACATATACTGAATCTTTTTTTTTCTTAAGCTTTGGATCAATTTTTGGAGCATATCTACCCATTCAACGATAATATTGTTCGTGTTGGAGGACGATCCAAGTCTGAATTATTGAAAGAGCGCACATTGTATGAACTAAAAAAGACTCATGAAAGACCTCGGGGTGTCAGTAGATTGTATCGCACAAGGGATGAAATTGGAAAAGAAATCAGAAACACGATTATTGAAATGTATGAAGAACCCTGTGTATCGATCGAATTTATCACATCTATTAGAGGCTTGAGTCCCAGACAGATAGAAAGTCTTAAAAGAATCACTGAACGTGAAAAAAATCGTGCCCCCCAATCGGCTGCCAACTCCTTTGTTAGTGATGATGTGGACTCTGATGATGATTGGGAAATCAGTTCTATTGAACCTCCTACCCCCAAAGCACCTCAAACTAATAACAACAAGAAGGGAGGTCCACCACCAAGAAAAAATCCTATTTCTAATAATTGGGCAGGCGGCAACCCAAACAGAGTGGAGACAGTAAAAGAAAAACCACCGAATCCTGTTGAGGTATGGCTGAAAGAGGCTATTGAATATGTCGACGATGCTGGTGTCATGTCTACACTTGCGGAAGAAATGAAACAATCATTATTGGAGCAAGAAAAGGGTTTAATATTTGACGAGGACCCAGATGAACGCGAGTTGATTGAAGAAGAGGAATTGAAAGAAGTGACACAAGAATTCAGAGGTGATGATAACGTAAGAACCAACCCATATATTCAAATTGGAAAGTCATACCAAAAACAAAGCGAAACCGGCCCCGGGGAACGCCCAGAAAGAAAAATCATCAACTACCAAAAGATCAGAGCCGCTGCTAGCTTTGACCCACAGAAGTTCAACTTCTTCAACGATAATAACGAGGATGGTCTATTTGATACTGACAATAACAAATATTCCCTGGAAAGATGGATGAAGGAAAGTGATGTATCTATGTGGCCCCTTCCTGTTCGCCTAAAAGCACATAAAAACTGGGCTGATGAAAGAAAGAGAACCTTAGAGGCTAGGACTAATATGCTCATGAAACGATACTACGACTTATCTAATGAAATCCGTAAAGTAATGGCTGGTTTCGAAGCTAAAATCTGTAGGGAAAACAGAGTTGTGGGAATGACGAGTACAGCTGCTGTAAGTAACTTTCTCTTTTACATAAATACAAAAGATACTCATGGCATTTAAATTAGGCTAAATATCATGATTTATTGGAGGAAATGCGACCCAGAGTGATGGTTGTTGAAGAAGCGGCTGAAATGTTGGAATCGCATATTATCTCTGCGCTAACAAGATCTCTGGAGCATCTTATTCTAATTGGGTAGGTAGATAACAAATTTAGAAATCTTAAAATTCTAACCATATATTTAGTGATCATCAACAGTTGAGACCCTCGACAGCGGTTCATGCTCTTGCTGAAAATCACGCGTTAGGTGTATCCCTCTTTGAAAGACTGGTTAAGAACAATTTTCCTTTTACTAGACTTTCTCATCAGAGACGTATGCGACCCGAAATTCGCTCTCTGATTAACCCAATTTATATTGATCCACCACTTAACGATCATCCCGATGTGTTTAATTATCCACCTATTAAGGGCATGGCACAATCTTTATTCTTTTTGAGTCACACCGAAGATGAAACACATCTATCAGAGTCTGCTTCCAAGGTGAATGAACATGAAGCAAAAATGGCAGCCAAATTATCTGTTTACCTCTTACTTCAAGGATATCGTACAGAAGATATTACAATTATTACCATGTATGCAGGTCAAAAATCCTTAATCAAGAAATCACTTCGTGAAGAGAGACGTCCCCATACGGATCCTGAGCCTATTCAGGTTAGTAGTGTTGATGGTTTCCAAGGTGAGGAAAACAAAATTATCATTTTGTCCCTCGTAAGAAGTAATACTACTGGTCAAATTGGTTTCTTGAAGGTTGTTAATCGTGTATGCGTATCGTTATCAAGAGCTAAGCATGTGAGTATTATATTTTTATAAATTAGATTAAATATTAATTTACTTCTATAAAGGGGTTCTATATACTTGGTAACGCTGGACTCTTATGTGAGCGAAGTGATCTTTGGAATGAAATTATTGGAAATTTGGAAAATCAACCTGTGAAAATGATTGGTTGCAAATTACCTCTGAAATGTAAGAAACACAATGCGATAACTGAGGTGCAGTGGCCTGTAGACTTTACCGAAGTTGAGGAAGGAGGTTGTACAAGACCTTGTGGTGAAGAACTCCCATGTGGACACAAGGTAAATATTAAACTATTCTATGAAGATATTTGTTTGTCGAACATTAATATATTTTTTTGCGAAGTGTTCGTTCAAATGTCATCCATTTGATCATATGGATATTCGTTGTAATCTTCAATGTGAAAAGGTACTATCTTGTAAACATCCATGTTTAAGACGCTGCTGTGAACCGTGTGGGTCGTGTATCTATCGAATCAGCGTAAGATTGCCTTGTGGCCATACCATGGAAAATGAATGTGGTGTGATTCGAAAGTTAGCAGCATCGAAAAATAAGGAAAGATGTCCAGTTTGTAAAGCTCCACTTACTGCTTAATAAAGTAATACTATCCTTACAGGACATTGTGGGAAGTTTAAAATGTACCATGTGCCCTATTTCTAGTGTGGGGATATTTCATTTGCCTTTTTAGAAGTGGGGCGGTGTTATTTTTATTATTATTTTCCACGGATGATTGACTGTTAGCGATAAGCTTTTTATATCAAATTTGATTAACAAAGTAGGACGATCCTGTTATTGGTTACTGTTATTAAAACAAATTTGTATCACGACATCTGAGTATTGCTCTGACTAAAAAAAAAATCTTTTCACACAACTCTTCTTTCACTTTATTACAACAACAACCAAACAGAAAAAACATAAACTTAAATGCCGTTTGACACTATTGGAAGATCTCAAAAACGCATTAGGTCTTCACCCCTACAATTTGATGAAGAAGATGATTTTTACTCCATTTCCTTCGACGATAATTTACATTCACCTTTTCCAATCAACCAAGATAAAGATTGGTTACAAGAAAATTGGATACATGGCAAAAACGACAAATTATCGCCCACAACATCTTCTTCAGATACAACAGACAATCCTTCCGTCTATTCCCTATCACTCCCAACTACTGATAGTACCTCATTTTGGAAACAACCAACCATATCTATGCCTACCACTTCAGAGCTGGATATCTGGTCTAAATTTCATCTATCTTACTCTGATATTGGAATCAATATGGAAGCCAATGTTACGAGTGCATCAGATCTGCATTCTCTCATAGATGCCTTTAGTAAACTATGTAGTACAGACTCGTCTGTGGTGGCACATGACCCCAGCTCCCAATCACCTCCAATTCCCCAATCACCAATATCTTCAGGTGATGACTACATTTCCTCAAATCAATCTGTCACTAGTGCAAGTAGTGGAATTACTCTTTGTAGAAACAAGTCGCATAAATTAAAGCCCGTAAATTATTTTGCTACTGTTGGTAGACTTGGTCAGCTTAGTCACCCACATTCAAAACATGGTTTAATTAGTTTAAAACAAGTAGCTGAGGCTTGTATTGACACTTACTTCACGTGCTGGGTAAGAAATACTCCTGTGCTACGTCGAGATGAGTTTATGACCTGGTATGAGGCACAAGAGGATCCGACAAACACCCTTATTGTAAATGCCATTTGCTTATTTGTATTTCGACACATGGTTCTACACCATTCAATACCTGGAGTAGAACATTTTGTTTGTGACCAAGACAAGATTCAAGAGCAAGAGGAATATTTTTTCGATACCGCTCGTGAATGTTTATCACAGTCATTTGATAGCCCTGATCGATTTACAATCGTAGCCTTGTTGTTTATGGTATTTCGTGCTGAGCCTAGCCGCAGACACCATTATGCTGGCATGGCGGTATCTGCACTTCATGAGCTAGATATTTATCCTCGTACTATTGATGAATCCGATGATGAATCGTATGAAAAAGAAATGGATACTCGTCTTTGGTGGTTTGTTTGGGCGTGGGATTTCTATCTTTATTCTTCAGGATCTGCCAAAAACACCCCACAACCAAGAATTCCTGGTAGTGAGATCGACTTTCCAAAATTGTTGGAACAAGATATTGATGGAGATGAAACAAGTGTTATCGCATACATTCATTGCTTGCGCGTTTGGAAAATCCAAGCTCACCTTATTTCAACTGTGTACGAACAAGAATCAGATATGACAGTAGAACAACTTCAAGAATATGATCAACAACTCTTGGCTTTCTATGCTGGCTTACCAGACTATCTGAAATTCGACAGTGGCTTTGAATATGGACACGAAGATTTGTTTTTAGCCTGTATCCGTGTAAATATTGAATACAATGCCACTCGAATCATTCTTCACAAATTATTCGTACCTGACCAAAATGATCCTCGCCCAAGCCAATTCTCACTGGAATCCTTAAACATTTGTTTAAAGACTGCTTTAAAACAGTTATCGACATTAAACTCGGGCTCTTTTCTCCCCAATGGCAGATGTACCTTTGATCGTGATGAATTATGGAGAGCAAGTGAAGTTATTTCAATCGCTATGGATGTATACCGTGCTTGTGCCTCAGCAGAAGATTGCGCATTGATTATCAAAGATATTCGTCCGGAAGAATTCGAGAATGGCTTAACAAGAGCACTGGAAATCCTGAAGAATACCATGGAATTCGAAGCACTCAATCGCAACTGGATTCAAGTAGCAGATTGGCTCCAAGTCGAGATAAGAAGACATCAACTTTATTCAAGCCCCCGTTTCAAAACAACAGACTCAAAAAGCAAAGATACTAATTCCTCTCTCAATAATACTCATCCTGATTACTTTCTTGCCAACCTCAAAGCTGATGCTGAAACCAAAAGACAGGCAGGTATGGTCGATACCAACAAAATTAAAAGCGAACTTTTGCGACGCATGTCTCGCTCATCACTCTCTCAAGATACCAATTCTATTGCCAATGATAAACACCGACCGGTAAAAAATACTTACAACAATAACTCATCATGGATGCAACATCAGCAGGTGTTCTCCAGCTATAATATCAAAGACTCATCTCCGACTCCACCTACATCAACTATCTTTAAAAACAATTCTATGCCCATCTCATTTATGGATCAATCTTATCGATTTCAAAATGAAAACACTTCCAAACCGTTCATCTCCAAATTTTCATCTATACCTGCCTCATCTACACCTATGTCCTTTGTACAATATCAACCTCAACCTTCATTAAACCCACCTTCCGAAATCAAGAGTAATGTTACTTCCATCCCTAAGAACCAATCAAAGTTTAGATACTTTAGTCCAAGGAAAATGAACAAATTTATGTTCATTGATGATACCCCAGTACCATAAAACTTTTATAATTCATATCTAATAAACCATCTCCATATATACTATTTAATTATTTTATAAGTCTATTGTTATGCATCTAAGTAATCTAACGCATAGTGACTAACTCCTCAGCAGCGGTAGGATGGATTGCAACACAAGCATCGAAGTTAGCTTTGGTAGCTCCCATACGGACAGCAACACCGAAACCTTGGAGGATTTCGTCACTGCCTCTACCTAAAATATGAACACCAACAACCTTTTCATCAGCACCAGCGCAGACAAGTTTGTAGGCAGTGGGTTCCTTATGTTCCAACATGGAGAAATACATGTTGGTGAACTTGGAGGTATAAGTCTTTACGTTTTCATCACCGAATTTGGCACGAGCCTGATCTTCAGTGTAACCAATGGTACCAGCAGTAGGGTGAGAGAATACAACGGTAGGAATGTTTTCATAATCAAGCTTAGAGTCCTTGAATTGCTCACCGCCGAAAAGACGATCGGATAATTTACGACCGGCAGCGATAGCAACAGGAGTTAACTCAGCGACACCACAAGCATCACCTAAAGCATAAACGTTCTCTTTGGTGGTGTTTTGATAAGCATCAGCAACAATATAACCCTTCTCGTTGATTTCCACACCGGCAGACTTTAAGTTCAACTTCTTGATATTAGGCAAACGACCAACAGCCCAAAGGACAGTATCAACCTCTAAAGTATCAGCCTTTCCATCAGCCTCATATTGAATAGTGATAGGTCCGGTTTCGTTTTCACGAACTAATGCTGTGACCTTGGCATCGAAAGCAAAGTTAACACCAACAGATTGCATTTCCTTTAATAAGTTATCCTTAATAATACTATCAAAGCTACGAAGGATTTGCTTGGTACGAGAGAAGACGGTAGTTTGAGTACCTAATGTATTAAAAATACCAGCTAATTCAATACCGATATAACCGGTACCGATAACAGCAACACGCTTGGGTTGATGTTCAAGATCGAAGAATCCATCGGAATCGATACCGTAATGAGCACCAGGAATATCAGGGATCAAAGGGTGACCACCTACAAAAAAAAAAAAAAAAAAAAAAAAAAAAAAAAAAATGGATTAGTCAGACAAAGCATCCCAAACTTTTGTGTCAGACAAACTAACCAGTGGCAACCAAAATTTTCTTGGCTTGGACTTCAATGGATTCAGTTTCAGAGGTTTGAACACGAATAGTGTTTTCGTTGACAAAACTGGCAAAGCCCTGAATATGGTCTACCTTATCGTTACCCAAGTTTCTTTCGTAAATGCCATTGAGACGCTTGACATAAGCATCACGCTTTTCCTTCATAAGTTCCCAGTTGAACTTGACAGGTTCTTGGTCTCCAAAGCCGTAGTGTTTGGCATCGCGAAGTGCTTCAGCAACAGAAGCAGCATTCCACATGACCTTCTTGGGTACACAACCAACATTGACACAAGTTCCACCGAGACGATGTTGAGCTTCAATGAGTCCAACCTTGGCTCCATGAATACCACTTGCACGTCTGGCAGAAGCAAGACCGCCAGATCCACCACCAATTACAAGGTAATCATAGACAGGCTTAGAGGAGAGCATTCTTTTTGTGATGTAAGACAGTTTTATATTATATAGTAAAAAAAAAAATCTCGAGATATTATTCGAGGTTTTTTTTTTTTTTTTCAAAAGGAAAGTTTAAAAAGAAGAGGCAGGTCCCCACTCTCTTTTAAGATCTTTAGATCAGTTGTGAGAATTTTCGGTAAATCAAATCTTCCGATGCAAAGCGGTCACCCAAATAGAACAAGAGTATCAGTTTAAAAATGACAATGTGTACTCAAAGCTTGCAAGTGGACATTAGATTATTGTGCATTTAGACTTGTAGTACTATCTAGTCAGTTACTGGATGATTTAAAGACTAATTTCAATAACATATAACTTATTTTTGAGGCATTTAAAAACTTTCAGTAACCATAATTCAGGATTATCACGCAATTCACTCTATTTTCTGTATTTTTACAATTGTCAAACCAACTCAATCTTTAACATATATTGAGTATCACTTAAGTACAAACATTGAAAACTCCAAATAGATATCCTTTACTTACCTTTGAGTTAAACTTCCTGCTTGATTTCATACCGCCTTTTTAAGTCACGTGACCTCACGTGATTATCACGTGATTGTTGTAATAATATATGGAATATATATTACGTTTATATTTTAAGAATATATCATCCTCAATGGTCCAACGGCTAGGATTTATCGCTTTCACCGATACGGCCGGGGTTCGACTCCCCGTTGGGGAATTATCATTTTACATTTTTTTGGTTGTTGCTTACGTAATCTAATTTGCTTTTGAGGACGCCTCTCCATTTTCTAAAAAGCATCTCTTTGTTTCTTCTCATTGTAAATAAAGCCATCCGTGTAAGATTTTTGTTAAATGTTATGACTAGCATTCTGTAATACAATACGTCGATTTCATCATGGCGGAAACCTAATTTGGAGCAACTGTGCTCAGCACATCAATTTCCTAATATGCCCGTATATCCAGAATCTCAATGGAACATATTTTTCTGGGTTGTTTAGATTAAGTGTAGATTTATTATTGATACAATGGAGCCGATATCTATATATTATTAATCAGTTTGCGGAATTTTATGCTCCAATCGTCAAAACATAATTTAATCATTTATTTTAAATGAATTCAGATGAATAAACACTTTAGCAAGTAAATATATTCGATTTACGGTGAAGAGGTTAAATAAGTGTAGTGAATTTTTAGAATTTTTTGTTTATAAGACCCATCTAGCGTAACCTACAACTGCTGAACGATACTAACACAATAAGCTCAGCAGAAAAGCGATCTGCATCGGCATCACAATAGACGACCTGTGTACCCCTTCCTTTTTCCTAATAAGTCTTGTGGCTTTATGCAGTAGTTGCTGAGCGCAAAAAAAAAACTTTATTAGCAAAGGGGCAGAACACTAACCTAAACTAAAAGCCAAGAAACCAAAATGACAGCATCTAAATGAACAAAGTTTGTGGCAAATTAAAGCAATCCGCATATGGATTGCAGTCTTTACCAATATAATTTTTTCGCCGCAGTTTAATTTTGTTTTCTATTTGGAAGGCAAATGTTGTTGTTATCTTGGCGAATTCTGCGCGAAGCCACTTTTCAGGAAATATATGTCCATATATGGACATTATTGACCGAAAGAAAAAATTCTATTGTATCTAATTTTAATCTTTCCAGAACCTGTCATGTATATAAAGACGGGCTCTTTTTTTCTGTTACCTATTCGTTCTATAATTCGATACTTACAACAAACACAAAAAGAACAGAAATGAAGACTTCTTTAAAAAACAGCTCAGAAATAAGCGAAAGAAGGGGCTCTATTGAACCCATGGTTTCAGCCACAACAAAATTACAGGATTCCGATACAATTTCGCCTTCTACAGTCTCATTTGATGGTGAATCAACAAAAGAACCAGAAGTGAAGCTTACACGTATAGAAAAATTCAAGCTTACTATGCAGTTTTTAAAACCATTAGCCATCACGATGTTCATTGACGTTGGTCTACCACTCGCCATATATTATGTCCTGAAAATCTGGCTCAGTGTCATTATTGCACTTGTACTATCCGGAATACCCCCTTTAGTGCATGTAATCTATACATTTTGGAAAAAAAGAAAGGTTGATGTTTTGGGATGTATTATTGTTGTGTCATTTATTCTTTCAGCAGTGCTCTCGGTTATCAGTGGTTAGTGTACATTGCTGTGAAATTTTTATTTGAAGGGCTAAAACGGTAATTTTTTTACAGGTGATGTCCGTGTTGCATTATTACGTGATTCTACAACAACAGCAATTGTGAGTCTAATGTTCTTTATCACTTTGATACCACTTCAAACAAGATGGTTCAAGATTCGACCACTTGTCTTTATTATTGGTCAACAAATGATGGCTGGAGCGGCACCTTATACATGGACAGATATCGAGGGAGAGAAACACGAGGAGGAGAGTATGGAATTTATTTGGCAGTTTAGTAGTATGTTCCGAAAATACTGTTATATTATGTCAGGCTTATGGGGTGTCTTGCTTATGGGTGAATTTATTGCCAAAGTGATTATGATCCAAAGTAGTCTCACTGTGGATCAGGTTGTGTTGTATGGAAATATCATTGTGATTGTAGTTGTTGTCTCAATGACTGTTGGATCAACCATTGCTTCCTCAATTATGAGAAAAAAAATTGCCGCTTCCATAGCAGAATGGAGATTAGAGAATGATTTTACAAAAAAGTAGTAGTAGTATTAAACCGTGATTTAAATTGAAATAAAAATATGGATATTGCAAAAAATAAGCAGTGTACGCCAAAAAAATCTATTTAGCCACAATATCAATAAAAGTAATACAATTTGTAGCTTAATAAACAATTCATTCAGTTTAAATGCGTACACTACCATTGTGATCCATCCTTTTGGTTACTTTTATCCTCAGCCCTGAATAAAATGGCCATTGTCCAGTCGCCCCACCCTTGATACACTCGTTCATGTCATATATAAACCATGCAACTACATTTTTCATCCCCTAATTTTGGTGTAATGCTATCATTTTATTTTGCACGGGTTTAAACGTCAAGCGCTGTCTAAAGGACTTTCAAATATTGGAAAATTTGTTGAATTGCAGGATTAGAATCAGAAGTTTAGGCACCAAAGAAGTCACTGTGAGTTATTTCTAAATAATATCAAAGAATGAGTATTGGTGGCCGCTCTTTTACCAAGTTGCTTATTTGTTCAACTAGTCACATATTGCAGGACTACCTTCCTTCATAAAGCTAGTAACTTTGACAGAAGAGCCTTATAACGATTGGAAGAATCTCTTTGTTGGGATCTAACGGGTACTTTCTTTTTTTTTATTGTTGAAATTGTTTAGAATTATTAGACATGCTGGAATAGAATGCTTTTTATTTTATGGCAAACAGGCCAAAATTAGTTTGCAAGGTATTTAAAATACTCTTGTGGGTCACCATAATGTCAGCCCCCATTCAAGTATTGGTAGAGTTCACATGATGCTTTTAAATATGCCTTGTCGTGAATTAAGTAATTTCAGCTGCAAAGAGATGGCCCGTGTAACGTTTATTTGACCAAATTATCCCGCTTTAGTTACTCAAAGCAGCTGTCGAAACTGATGGAAACACCCAAAAAAAGTCACAACTTTATTTGTCTTAATAGCTCTGGAAAAAAAGTATAAAAGGGAGGGATTTTTTCTTGTTCCTCTTTCTTTTCTTTTCTTCATCGATCTGTTACGCGATAAGTGGTGCTGGGTCCGGTGCGGGTTGCTTGTGGGTGCTTTCACTCCCTATTCGAACATTTCATATCATTCCCTTTTATTTTCTTGGTTTTTACGAGTTTGGCGGTACCGGGTCAGGTGCATGTTGCATTTGGGTGCTCTCATTCCCTCACAGAGCAGCATTTTTTTATGATTTATCCATCAATTCTATTGGCTGAATTTTACATTAAGCTTAATGTTAAAATCATAAGGAAGCCGCGTGTTTTATACAGATTGGAAACGTATTTTGGACTCATTCATATTACATGCTCTACGAACGGTCAGACCTATTGACTAGCATGTAATTTATGGGTGCAAACTACGTCATATTGAAGATCCTAAAACTTTGGACTATGCTGGAGGTTATTTAAATGACAGGCATGCTTAAGTTTTTCTTGTACAGCCAGGTTTGATAAACGTGTACAAGTTTCTTTAAGGAATTGATATACGACAATGTCCTTAAAACAGAAACCAGATACAAGAGTTAAAAACGATGGCCGAGACAAATAGATCTATGATTTTCATGTCATACTAAAAAAAAAAACTTGTCAACTTCAAGACAACATCGGATGTTCGTGTTTTGTAACTAGTCGGTCTAAGGCACTACATTTCTCTTTTATAACAATGATACAAGTGGGATTCCATAAATTATCCTATCTCTAAATTTCTTTCCTTATATCAGTTCCATTTAACATAAGTCGGACGATTTTGTGCAACGTTTGTATTAAATGATTTTGCCTTTTGAGAAGCTGTCAAGGAATACCCAAAGCCGCGTGTAAGTATTCGGACCTACCAATGTTTGTCATACGATTAGTTTTTATAAAATTTGCGATCGGCGCTCGTTAAGTAAAGGGTTTTAGAGATATATTATTTCTCCATACGAAATAAAAGATTCGGTAAATATCTGCTGTTTTAATGATATTCATGCAACGTTGCAGATCTTTATCTTTGGCACCCAATGGCTCGCTTGAACGGAGTGGTAGTACAAAGACTTGGCAGCACATCTTTAAAGCTGCTGTCTCGAAATCCGAGTATTTTCTTTTAAGCATTTTTTGAACGTTTACTTTTGTATACGTATACTTTTACTGCAAGAACAATCGAGATTGAGATACCATTTTTCTCATGCCATCTGAGGCTATTCCGTACATTAAGCACTCTGACAATGCTTGATCAACATTGGCTGTCAAGATATATTTAGTATTAACAAACATCCTTTACTTTTTGAAGGCTTTTTATTTAACGAGCCTGTCAAATAAAAAAGTCCAGGCTCTTCTTTTTTTGTTGGGTTAAAAGTGGGCCGATCATGACACAAGCGGGGATGTATGTGCTGTAAATAGACTTGAATATTTAGGGTTTGTTTTGACGTCAGATGTCATTTTTTTCGTCGTTGTTGTAAAAAGATGGAACCACGGAAACAAAAATAAGATAGCTCTGCCAGAACGACTTTTATTGTTGTTGTTTGATTTTTTTTTAAATATTAGTGACAATAGTATGTAAATTAGTGTACAAAACATTATAAGAGGTGCATTGACAGGCCCAGTTATTATTTTGCGGGCTTTTTAAACTGTGTTTTAACAAGGAGGGGTATAAGATGTATTAAACTGCTGGCTCAATCTACAGTGCCACTTGTAATACGGAAAGCAATACTTTAGTCAGATAATTTAGTTTCGAGATTATTGTTAGACAGAGGTTGAAGGTTGAAAGAAAACAATTTATTATGCTCATGATTTCTATTGGACAATGTCTACCAATGAAAAAGCAGAATAATGGCGGAGATTTGTGGGCTTGTCAGGCCCCGCCGCGAAAGAGTTTTTTTTATTTTACACTCAGGTAGAAAAAAAAAAAAAAGTATTTTTTTTTCACACTTTTTTTCACACTTTTTTTTTTTTTCTTTTCCTTCTTTTTATATATACCAAACGCAAACAAATGAGTAAGAGAAAGAGAGTCTTGCTATTTGATATTTGAGGTACTAATAGTTTACAACAAAAAAAGTAGCAACAGTTCCTTCAAGAAACAAAGTTGCTAGTAGTGGAAGAAGAAAACAACAAAAGCTACCCGATCCCGTTGTGGTGTCTGACGAAGAAAGTGTAGAGGACGAATCCATAACGAGATGTGTCTGTGGTGAACTACGTATGTATTGCACCTCATTCATGGGTCCACAAATAAATAATGTTACTAAAGTACACAAATATAGATAGCATTGGCTTAATGGTGTGCTGTGATCAATGCGAAGTTTGGCAACATTGTGAATGTATGGGTCTGGAGGAACAAGAAATCCCTGAGCAATATTTCTGTGAACAATGCAAGCCTTCAGACCATGTGGAAGTAAAAGGCTACGACAAGTAAGTTTTTTTTTTTTCTTCTAAAAAAAAAAAACAAATACTTAAAATTTATAAATAGAACGCGTAGATATTATAAACCTTCGTCACCTACTGCTTCAGACTCTGACAAAAGAATGACAAAGAGAAGAACAACTTTTAACAGCAGAGAGGCTTCCATATCTTTGGAAGAAGTTTTAGCCTTTAGAAGCGCTATAGAACATTCAGGGATGGAGCTTCCCCATGCGGGTGAATACCACTCCATTGAAGATGGCATTACAGTTTTGCAAGATTATGGTACAAACACTGAATCAATATTCTCATTTATTTTCTCTCTTAATTAACAAAAAAAAAAAAAAAAAAAAAATGTAGACGAAAATGAAACTATTACAACAAGACAAGTTAGACCAAAAAGACAGAGCAAAAAATCTGAGAAAAAAGTATATACCCGCCGTACACCACAACAACAATCAGCAGTCGCAATATCCCCACCATCCCCACCAGCGCCAACACCCACAGCACTGCTACTGCAGCATCAGCAAGAACAACAAACCCCGATATTCTTTCGTGAAACCTCACCGCCAGCCAAAATACGACTTCCTTCACATCGTATGAGTATACCAGAAATGAATAGAAGAGCCAATCAGATATTAGAATATATTTGCTCTATTCAAGTTGAATTAAAGTCCAATAAAAGAAAGAAACAAGATGATGACGATGAAGAAGAAAATGTAAAACGTAGACAATTAATTGATGCTCAAATTGCTGAAGCAATGTCAAATCAACATTACAGTGCAGGCACTGATGAGTATGATTTAGATCAGAGAGACGAAAAAGAAAACAGAAGGCCAACACCTATTCTTATACCTGGCAAATTCGATCATTCTTCTTCTCCTTCTTCCTCACTCAGCAGTGCAAGTACTATACCTTTAGATGATCATCGCCTATTGGATGATCATCATGATGAGCACACTGAAAAAAGTGTAGCCGAAGAAGCCCTACAGAGAAAATCTGACCAATCTTCTATGGAAATTATGGACCATCTCACAAGACAAGTCGTCACCTTTCAACGTCGTTTTGGCTCCCTGTCTTATCACTTGGAGGACGCTGGCAATGAAAGTGATGGTCCAATCACAAGAAGAAGTCAGAACAAGTCAATAGTAGATAGGTCTCCTTTTCTTCTTTAAATATCTTTTGCACATACATCCATCATCTTTCAATTAAACTCCCCCCTCCCCATTTTTGTACATATCTATAACTTTAAATAAATGCTCTTTTTTTTTATTATTATTATTGTTGTCCCCAAGTGCTTGGTATGGTGGGATCCTTCCAGCTTGTCTTTTGTGCCTCCTTCTTCTGTGAAGAAGGTGCATCATTCAAATCATTCAAGCTAAAACTAACATTTTGTGTGGGCTTTCGACTCGCCCCTCCCCCTCCTCCAAAATCGGAAAAGTTCAAGGATATTTCTCGAGGTAATTTCGGCTTTTCATCATGTTGCAAATCGTTCAAACTAAAAGATATCTCTTGTACTGGTTTACGTTTCTTTTGGCCTGCATCATCTTGTAAATCACTTAAACTAAACGAGATTTCTTGAGGCTTACGACGACCTGGTGTATCGTCTAAATCGCTCAAACTAAACGAAATTTCTTGAGGCTGTTTACGTCTCTGTGCAACATCTTGTAAATCGCTCAAACTAAACGAGATTTCCCTGGGTTGTTTACCTTGCTGAACAGGTGCATCGTTTAAATCGTTCAAACTAAACGAAATCTCTTGAGGTTGTTTACGTCGTTGGGCTACATCCTGTAAGTCGCTCAAACTAAACGAAATTTCCTGTGTTGGTTTGCGCTGTTGAGGAGCTTGTTGTAAATCGCTCAAACTAAACGAAACTTCCTGTGTTGGTTTACGTTGCTGATGAGCTTCTTGTAAGTCGCTCAAACTAAATGAGATCTCTTGAGTTTGTTTCTGGGGTGGCTGAGATGATTGTTGTAAATCGCTCAAACTGAACGAAATTTCTTTCGTTCCAAAATTGTTGGAAGTGGCCTTTGATTGTAAGGGTTGTTCCACTTCACTTGGTGCAGCCCAAACGGCTGGTTCTATATTTTTCTCTACACTAGGTTTGGTGACTGGAGTAGTAGTAGTATTAGTCATCGTAGCTGCAACAGGTGCAGCAACAGTATCTGCAAAGGATTTCCATTTAGAGGCATTATCCTCTGCAACAGCTGGCAGTTTAGCTTTCCAAGAATCTTTGACGACAGGTTTTTCAATAGCAGTGGGTGCTACAACCTCTTCCTGTGCTCCCCAAGCATGGGTCGGCTCGGGTGCTACTTCGGGTGTCACTGCTGCATCCCAAAAAAAGTTACTAGTCCACGCCTGCTCCTGTTGTTTAGGTGCTTCAGCCACCGGAGCTGCCTCATGTGATTTATCATTGGCAACTTGACTCAAAGATCCCCATGCACGCAAAGCACTTTCCTCGTCAATCACAACTGCAGGTTCTTCAACAGCTTTTTGTTTGACTTCTGCCTTAGGTTCTTCTAAAGATCCCCATGTGTACATAGGCTTTGGTTCTTCTTTTTGAACAGGTTTAGCTTCTTCTTGAACAGGCGCAGCATTCCATGAGACTTCAGGTTGAGCGTTCCACGAAGCTTCTGCCTTTACTTCGGGTTGAGTGTTCCACGAAGCTTCTGCCTTTACCTCAGGTTGAGCGTTCCACGAAGCTTCTGCCTTTACTTCGGGTTGAGTGTTCCACGAAGCTTCTGCCTTTACCTCAGGTTGAGCGTTCCACGAGGCTTCTGCCTTTACCTCAGGTTGAGCGTTCCACGAGGCTTCTGCCTTTACCTCAGGTTGAGCGTTCCACAAAACTTCTTTTTCTTGCACCACAGATTCTTCAACCACTGGTTTCTTTGTCTCTTCCAAAGATCCCCATGCATAAATAGGCTGTGCTGGTTTCACCTCCTCCTTTTTAATAGGTAAAGGTTCTTCCGTGTTCCATGAAGTTTCTGCAGGTTCTTCCTTAACAGTGTTCCAATCACTAGGAGCAGAGGCTGTCTCTTGTTTATCTTCTACAACCTTGGGTTCTTCCTTCTTTACAACTTCCAAAGATCCCCATATATAAGTCACTGGTTTCACTTCCTCCTTGACTTCCTCTACTTCCTCCTTTACATCCCCTATTTCCTCCTCGATTTTCTCCACTTCCCCGACGGATTGTTGCCCGGCAGTAGCAGGAACAGTTTCCTCGGTCTTGGATTTTAATAACGGAGAATCTACAGATTCAGAAACCTCATTAATATCCTTGGATTCTTCCTCTTTTTGATCAATTAGCTTTGTTGTCTCATCTACAAGTTCATCCGCATCTTCTACAGTTTCATAATTCACGGTGACTGGTGCCTCGACAGTAGGTACCTCTTCAACAGCTTCGATCTTCTCTTCCACAGTTTCAACTACCTCTCCTGCCGCTTCGGCATTTTTCACCGCTTCGACCTTTTCTTCTTCGACTGTTTTAACTGCATCCGCAGTTTCAGCTACATGCTCCACAGGTTTAGTTTCCTTCTCTAAGGATCCCCAGGCAAAAGTAGGAGCAGGAGCCGGTTTTTCCTCCTTGATTCCGAAATCCAAATCCTCGTCTTCATCGCTTGACATATCCACATCATCAGCCCAAGAGAATTCAGAGGTGATGGGTACAAAGGAGATATCCAACAATGGCTTGGCTTCCTTTTTAGGTATACTTTTCTCAACCGTCTTCGTTTCTTTGACGGGATTTACTATGGTAGGGGGTGGTGTGGGTATTCTAGGCACTGGATCATTCTCATCGGGGGGAGGTTGATAATTGTTCCAATTCTTGATTGCCTGAATTTCCTCCTCGGTTTGAGGTTCAATACGTTTTCTGTCCTTTCTGAAATTATCCGGATTATCAAATCCACCATAACGATGATCATACTCCTTGTCATAATAATTCTTTCTTCCATATGAATCACCACCACCAAAGTTTTCAAATGTGTTTCGGTTTAATCTTCCTCCTGTATCCTCAAAAGTGCTTCGATTCAATCTTCCTCCTGTCTCTTCAAAGGCACTTCGGTTCAATCGACCTGATGTCTCTTCAAATGTACTTCTGTTTAATCTTCCACTTGATGGTGCACTGGCCCATTTACTAGCCATCGCACCCGATTTTCGACTCGCGCTTTCTTCAGAAATCGCTGCCCAACGTGAGGTCTTGGGTGCAGCCTCACTGGAATCATCGCGAGGTGCCCATCGACTGGCACTGGCTCCCTTTACAACTGGCTTTTCTTCTGTTGTAGGTTCTGCTTTAGCCCATCGACTGGCACTTGATCCTCTTACCACAGGTTTTTCTTCAACCTTTTCCTCTTCCGCTTTTTTTTCGGGTTCGACAGACTTTTGATCAGCCTTTTCAACCTTCTTTTCAGCTTCTTCGACCTCCTTCTCGGGCTCATCAACCTTCTTCTCAGCCTCTTCGACCTTTTCCTCAGGCTCTTCCATCTTCTTCTCAAGCCCTTCAACCTTTTCGGGTTCATCCATCTTTTTCTCAGGCTCTTCAATCTTTTGCTCGGGTTCATCAACCTTTTTCTCGGGATCATCAACCTTTTTCTCGGGATCTTCAGCCTTTTTCTCGGGATCTTCAGCCTTCGGTTCGGGTTCTTCGACTTTCTCCTCCTTTTCAGGTTTTCCTGTAACAGTCTTAGTCTCAATTGACTCTTCAGTCTTAATTGACTCTTCAGTCTTAATTGACTCTTCAGTCTTAGTCGGCTCTTCAATCTTAATTGGCTCTGCAATCTTGCTTGAATCTTTCATCTTAGTCTCTTCATCCTTGGCCTCTTCATCCTTGGCCTCTTCATCCTTGGCCTCTTCAATTTTGGCTTCTTCAACCTTAGTATCTTCAGCCTTAGCATCTTCAGCATCAGTCTCTTCGTTCTTCACAGACTTCTCTACTCGTACAGACCCCAGCTCTTGTACTTCTGCTGATTCCTTCAAAGGCTCCTCTTCCTTTGTAGGCACATCCCCCGTTGCGGTTTCTTCAGCCTCCGATGATTTATCCTCAGCGACTAACTCATCCTCCTTTACAGCCTCTTCAACCTTTGCTGGCTCCTCAACCTTAACAGGTTCTTCAATATTTAATGATTCGTCTTCCTTAGTAGTTTCATCTTCTTTAGTAGGTTCATCTTCCTTTGCGGGTTCATCTTCCTTTGCGGGTTTATCTTCCTTGACAGGCTCTTCAACATCAACAGACTCTTCCACTGCCAACGACTCTTCTTCTTTCGTAGGTTCCTTTGTAAGTAGATCATCGTTGACAGGGTGTTCAGACGAGATGCTAGGATCCACGGATTGATGCTGATCCTCAGTCTTCACATGTTCTTGGGGGTTACGAGAATCGACCGCAATTGTGACAGGGTCTTTTGTTTGCACGAGCTCGGTCGTGTGTTCAACTTTAATTGCAAGATCAGGTGTTTCTTCCGTTGTCTTTGACGCTTCTTGTACATCAGGTGTTTCCATTTCCACGTTTTCCTTGGGCTTTTCCACCTTGACAAAATCCTCCAAAGGTGTCTCTACCTTGACAAATCCTTCTTCATTGATAGATTCTTCTAAAGATACATCGTCCTTTTCTGATTCCACAGGATTCGCGATATCTGTATTTTATCATTTGGTTTTTTTATATATAAAGTATAAGCTTGTTGCAAAACCAAAAACCTTTCTTTTTTTTATTGTTATTATTACCTGCAAGTGGTTGCTCATTGGAAAGTATTTCCCCGGATGAAGCAAGCTCCTTACTTTCCACCCTGGTTTGTTTAGACTCCTTACTGACAGCCTCCTTCTCCTCTTTTTCTTTTGGCATGAAAAGATTGGATGGCGATTGTTCTTGTTGTGGTTGTTGTTCATGGTCATTGTCGTCGTCAGAGTGAAGTCGATTGTATTCTTCTTCTTCTTCGACAATATCGGCCCAGGATTTACCAGCTGGTTCGATTCGAAATGGATCTGACATGAATAAAATAGTAAGAGTACAAAAGAAAATAATAAAAGGAAACAAAACGTGTAGCGACAAAGGGAAAAATGCGCGGAGTGTTAAAATATATATCATCATGATAACATACAAATAAATAAGGGGTGTACGAGAGCAAGTAAGAGAGAGAGAAAGGAAGAAAAAGAAGGGCAATTGGAAAAAAAAAGAAAAGATTGGTTTTATGTAGGTTCCCTTGTTTTATAAATAAATGTTTTTTTTAAGAATTAGAATTCAGAAACAAAGACGAGTTCTTGGAAACAGTAACCATGGACGGTTGTCTTTTTATCACCAATGGTGATTTCGGCCGTAGTCATATCAAGCCATTGGTAAATATAAGGCTTGACGATGAGGGATTGAACAATCTTTCGAAGGAAATAAGGGATCTCTGACAAGACATCAATCTTATCAATCAGGTTCTTTGGCTCTGAAATCATGACGATGGACACATCCTCGGGTTCAAGACCTTCTTCCTTGATGGTCTTACCTTTCCAAGTCATCTTTACTTTTTCGGGTATATTGTAATCGGTATCTTCATCCTTCTTCAAGTCTAATAACTCCACCGTGTTTTCCACAGACACACATACCAATTTACCATTTAACACGAGTGAGCCTTGGTTGATATTCACTGAACCATATTGTTTTGTTGTTTGAAATTGCATCATGGCAATCGAAGCCTCCTCCGAATGAAAATTTAAAAAGTTCCAATTGGATGCAATCAATTGAGGTTGCATACCTTGAATAGCATGGATAAACATACCATCGCCTTCAATCTCATAGATGTCTTGGTTGACGATAAATGTTCCCTTTGCGACTGCCCTGGGCCAAAATTTATGCGAAACAAATCCTGCAGCGGATGATTGGTCCCCACCCAGATACGTCTTACCTTCACCTACTTTAAATCCTTTATCCACACGACTAAAATCAAGTGAGACCACCAATTCGGGATGCGTGATATTAATCTTGTACACACGTTGGTCTGCATCCAATTGAATATTAAAGAAATCCGTCTTAACCGATCGTTTATCTGCAGACAATTCGAATTTACTCATGTTGATATTCTTGAATACACTCGTCTTGCTTTCTGGGTCATAAAATCGACACGTAAAAGAAATCGTAGGGTTCCAAATACTAGTTTTGCTTTAGTTTCTTTATAATACCCGGTTTTCCCTTTCTGTCTTACCCAATATTCGAGTGAATCAACTGAACAAAGGCGAATCCACCTTTTCTGGTAGTGACGTAAAATACTTGGTTTTCAGTAGAGGAGCCGGAGGCCAAAGTCCAGTCCAGATCATGATCATCAAGAGCAGTGTAATATTGTCCATCAGTTACTGTTTCTGCCACTGTCTTGACTGCTTCCACTGTGGCGCCTAATCCAGTAACATTGGAAACTGTGCTTGAGAGTTGAGAAACTAACAATAAAAAAAAAAAAGAAAAAAAGCTTAATTTCTCCGAGTTCAACCCCTACTCCCCCCCTTAAAACTTACACCAAGAAGACATGGTGTGAAAAAAAAAAGGTTAATGAATAAGAAAAAAGATGCTTTAACCAAAAAGTAAACAATAATAAAAAAAATAAATAAAAAACGTTTTACTATTGTTTATCGTGACGTCTACAAAAAAAAATAAAAAATAACATACACACCCCCATTTTTTGTGTTTTTGCATGTATACATTTATGCATCCAATTAATTTTTATTTTTTTATTTTACTGCCTTGTAAACGCATTCTCTTAAATCTACGTGATCTTTTTGTCCGTGCTTGCATATCTTTCAATGATTGGGTTTATTCTGAGTAAAACTACTATTCTGTCTATTCACGGTTTAGAAGTAAAGGCAAACTTAATAACACGATACTTTTTTTTTTCGCCCGGGTGTCTGTTTTCAAAAAGATGACAGGTGTCATTGGGGGGGAGTGGGAAGGGAAAATATTTTCTTTAAATGTCTGTTTATCAACAGATATTAAAAAAAAAAAAAACTTTGTGGGTACACGTGTAACCTTTTTCTTGTGTGAACATTCGATATTTATTAAAATTTTATATGGAAGCGCATAGAAAGAGGGAAACCTTAAACTTGCTGAGCCCGTAAAATACAGTTCACTTCTAATAAATGGTGTCATTGTCATCGGTGGTCTTTTCGGAAATGGTAAGTTCTTATAATATCTCTTCTTTGTTGATGAACCCTTTTTACCTCTATCACAATGTTTATACAGCATTGACACGTAATTGCAATAAACAAGATATCTTTTTGTGTTCAAAAATGTCTGATTTTTAATTTTTTTTTGCAATCCCAAAGGTGGCTCCATATTTTTCATTTCCCAAAAACTTTTTTTTTATTTGTCATTTTGTCACACAGCACATACAATCCATCGGGGCTTGAACACACATTGCTCCCATATCTGCACAATGTGTAAAAACCATGGAAAACAGTACATTTATGCGGAGAGGGAGTTTTATTCCCAAGTAAAAACCATTTCAGTAGTAAACAGAGTCCCTAGAGACGATACTCAAAAGAGATTAGGTCTGTAATCAAATGGAGTGCACAATGATTCAAAATAGGCTGTATAATGCAACCTTTCATGTGATACTCGCATCATCATTATCAAGAAAGAGAGTACTAAACCTAGTGTGTGTCTACATTTCTATGATGATTGTGAACAATGATGTAGTTTTTTAGATCTTACACCATAATTCTCTTTTGAGGCTACTAGTTCAGCTAAAAAGGTGATCTTTTTTCTTTTTGAAATCATGTACGACCATAGAGTAGACCATGGGGGCGCTGTATGTAATAAAATGAGTACAGACTTGTCATACGTTTTTTTCAGGCAAATAATGAGAAAAAATTTTTATTAAAAAATGATGTATAATTTTCTTTGGGAGAGGAGGGAGAGGGGGGGATATAGAATAATACAGTATATATATATATATGAAAAAGGAAAAAAAAATAAAGGGGGGGTATGAGTGTGAGGATGAATATGTAATTAATCTAATTGAGATTCGTCAAACCAGCCTAATTGACCAAAGGCTGTCCACAAGGCACTTGTTTTGTTCACATCCACTCTACAGAGTTTTTGAGCCACTGACTTTGTAAATGGGATTTGTTGTAATTTCAATGTACGAGCAGCCAAGATGAGAGTACGTTTACAGCGTAAATATTGAATTGGAGACAATCGCAAGATAGAAGCCATTGAAGCTTCCACCCGATGCAAACCATCATAATAAGGTTGTTGATGAATTAAAAGCGGTGCACCTGAAACAAAAAAGTTAGTGTTATTATTTTAAAGTTTATATAAATGACTGAGTTTTTTTTTTTTTCTTGTTTATTTACCTTTCCAGCAGACTTTTACGGGAACTTGATCAAGCGCATTCCTGAGTGGTACCCAATGGACAGGATAAAAGTCTTTATCGGACGTATCAATATCAATTGAATCAAAGGCTAATGCAGCTTCTTTTCCGGTAGGCAAAATGGATGAAACGCGCTTTCGCTTCTTCTTATCTTGCTCACTAGGACTAGTAAAACATAGTTTTCTTTTTTGGGTATGTGGCACGACAGTTTCGTCCGACATGACACAGTCATTTTCTTCTTTTTTGATCTCTCTTCTTGATTTCTTGTTGTCTTGCTGACCCACCAACATTAAGTCTCGGTAGACATTCAATGCAAACATGCCATGGTTATCACTATCGTCATGCTCTTTTCGCTTACGAAGGAATGGCACCATCTTTGAGTAGGATGTAATAAATTCTTTTCTTCTTCGGGGATAGTACCAACTATCGTCATGTTCGATAGACAGTGTTGGATGATGTGCTTCCGTAGGCGTCAATGGCGGTGACATGAGCGAATCATCCCTTACTTGCTCTTTGGAATAATAAGGATTTTGCATAATGCGAAGGCTTTTGGAACAAGTCATTAGTATCACAAACAATTAGTTATGTAAAAGAGAGATAAAATAATCTATAAAATTTTAGTTGGCTGATTTTTATCATCATTCAAAAAAAAAAAAAAAAAAAAAAAAAAGTCTGCATCACACAGAAGCTTAAGAGGGATGAGACCCGATACGCCCGTCGGCCTCAGAAATTATTATTTTTTTTCAACTCCAAAAAAACTGCTTTTTAATTTACGCTTGCCTATTTGCAATGGGCTATTTATAATACAAGTATAATCAAAACGCATTCCTTGTACGTTTGTTTTCATTTCATTGGAAGCTTGGCGGAGGTCCTTGTGCATATACGAAACAGGGTGTGCGATTAAACCAAAACGTCATAACTTGGTGCTTGTTAAAACTCAGTACAAAGTAACATGACTCTATTCAATCACAGGAACTATATTTTAACAAAGGACCCCATGCATATAATAAACATATCTTTTCGTATCTGTTCAAATTGTCGATCTTGTAACTATGAAAACAGATCTTTTTTCTACGATGGATTGCAGAAATTCCTATATTTTTTTTTTTTTGTGGGTACCTGACATGTTATTTTGCGGGATGAATTTGTCGGAAGTCTTTTTACATGTTGTGTAGCTTGAATGCAGTAGTATATAAAAACTCTCTCTCTATCCGGAACCCTTTTTTTTTTCTTCTTTCAAAATAAAAGAGAAATGACCTTTTACGAAATCATCACTATTTAATGCTGCATCATTGTTATTTTTATATGTGGCAAAAGTAATAAGAATCCTCTCTTTCTTTCTTTTTTATAACACACAAAAAAAGTGAGTTACCAGCATTTTTTTCATTTCCCGGAAATACTTTAGTTGGGCTTTTACCTGATTTGGGCGTCAATGTAACAAACGCCCTTTCATTAGTAAAAATAGAGGACTCTATCACCACAATGCAGTGAACTCAAATGCGACATGGCTGCTGTCACCTGTTCAATATTCTAAAAGAGATACTAGAATTGAATCATTTTTTTTTTACCCATGATCTATGACCTTGACATGGATACTCTAATGGTTATAGAATGGATTCAATTAGATTCAATTGATTGTCTAGCAGCTTATAAACACTTGTAAATATACATTTCATATCTATCTATCAATGTAATCTACCCAACAGCGATTTTTATTTCATCATCTCCTTTTTTCCTCCTGTACCACAATGGGCTCTATCTATCTTTTTTTTTTATATCATCCTTTTGTTACATGTGGAATGATTGGATTACAAGAATCTGCAAAAAAAAAAAAGTTGATTTTAATTTTTGTTTAGTAAAATGCATGATATGCACGGTATTATTTATTTATTTAAGCTTGTAAAAATTCCTTTTTGACTCACACGCTCTCTCTTTTTATAATATACACACAGACGTGCTATACTTAGAATGGGCTTCTTCGTGATCCTTTTTTTTTTGAAAAAAAAATATAAACAAATAAACACATCACTGTCTTTTTTTACTAACATACATGGTTTTCTTTCTTGATCTCTCTCTCAACCCCACCCCCCAAAATCGTTCATGTCACGTCATGAATTTTTTTTTTGTTACATGACATGTTTGGATAAGCCCTCTTTTATCGGAACCTTCTTTTTTGTCACTTTTTTTCTTTTTTTAAAAAAAAGCTTAATCTAAAATGTATTGAGTAACGGTGGACCTGTTTTTGTTGTAAATAGCGTTTTATTACTGAGATCCTGTCCGAAAAAGGGACTTTCTCTATTTGATTGTTGTTTTAAGCATCCGACAACTGTTGCTTAATAACCAGTGAGACATTGTACCCCTTCCACACATACACACACAAAAGTTTACCCTTCCCAAAAGACTTGTTCTGGGCATGTTATCATTTTCTGGAAATTTAATCTCTTTCACTCATTGGATCGAAATCTTTTTCAGTGACTTTTTTTTTGAGTTTCTGTACACCCCATTCAAAAAGTCGTGGGATACTTTATTTGTCATGACCCCGCTCATAATAACAATTAAAATTAAAACGCGCACACACATATACCACAAAGCGTTTCTTTAATGTCTAAAATCAACATTCTGAACAAGGAAGGGGAAACCATTGTCGGTATACTCGAAAAAAAAGAGTTGCTTGACGTGGAACAGTCCCAACCTAGACTCGTTTTGATTACCCATGGCGTTTTAGGTATTAATAATAATAAAAAAAAACGACGTTGCCATGGTTATCATTAACATGCAGAACCATAAAAAACAGGCCATAAAGATTACTTGTACCATCGCCTCCTAGCAGAGAAATTACCTTATTCTTCATTTCGCTTTGATTTTAGAGGTAATGGAGAAAGTACAGGCCAGCCTGGTTATGCAAACATTCTCGTAAGCGTTTTCTTTCATTGTGTATTTTCCATGTTTTCATAACATCCCTATAGGAAGATACAGAGGATATTCATACCGTGGCAAACTACTTTGAAGACCAAGGCTACGAAATATTTGCCGTCATTGGTCATTCAAGAGGTTAGCATACCTAAACGAGGAGATACAGTAAACCGCCCTAACCACAATTTCAATTTTTTTTTAGGTTCAGTGGCTGGATTGAAATTCGCCACTACAGTGGAGAAACCTTTGCCTTTCTTTGTGAATGTATCAGGACGGTTCAAAATGAATGATAATCAGATCCATCGCAATCGACCTCAGATTGGCGAAGGCTTGCGAAAAGATGTATTTTTCATGTACACCATATAAAATATGAGGATATTCATGCAAGATTTTATTAGGGTTATTTTGATTGGCGCGTCAAACAACGGGATCGTATTGCTACGATTAAAGTCACTCAAAAGGAAGTTGATAAATTTATTAATTGGTCAAATGAACATGGTAAAATATATATTATACAATGCAATCATAGTTTTATTAATGAAAAAAAAAATAGTGTCGAGAATGCCAATGTCAACTTGTGTCTTGACATGCCATGGATTAAATGATACGGTAAAGTTCTGCACCTCCCCCTTTAAATTAACCCTTCTTTTTTTTTTCTTTACTTTTTATATAAAATATGTGTGTTTTAATCATTACAAAATATTTAGATTGTACCCCCTTATAATGCTGCCATGTTTGCAAATAAGATTCCAAATCATACACTGGCCTTGATTCCTGAAGCCGATCACAATTTTAAAGGCCACTTTGAACAGCTCACAGATACAATTCTGGCCTTTTTTGATAAGCATGAAAGCGACAGTCATGCTCGTGCATTGGCCATGGGCCAAAACACAAGTCTTGTAATGCCACGTTGGATTGATATCGAAGGTGTCAATAACTTTCGTGATATTGGTGGCTGGCCATTAAAGGATGGTAGTGGTTATATACGTGAACGCATTGTATTTCGATCAGGACAGTAAGTTCAATCTTCACATTCTTCTTTTTTTTTTTACCATCGTAACCTCATCAACCAAAAAAAAAAAAAAAAAAAAGTTTATCCAATTTATCCTCCAAAGGTTGTGCTAGACTCAATGAATTAAACATCAGGGCCACTTTCGATTTTAGATTGAAACATGAAATACAAAGAGACGGCGCAATGAAGTAAAACAAGTAAAAAAGAAAAGAAAAAGGACCCTTTATTTATACTCGAGGCATCCCCTCCCCCAAAATTAATCACTTTTTATTTGACAGAACAATACCGGGTATTACTCGATTTGAATATGATCTTTATGGCGAATCCGTGAAATCCATGGGTGATTATTTTAAGAAACTTAAAGTTTTTCTGGATGGAGAAGAAGGATTTGCTCAAGGTGAGTCTTAGGGAAAAAAAATAAAAGCACAATGATGACATGATTGTCTAACATCGATACAATGCATACTATCCCAAAAGGATACAAGGTCATTTTAGAATCTGGCAAAAAATTGATTGGAGATGTCTTTCGATACATGATTGGAACATTGTCTATTTATAAACGTGATGCGATTGTGATTCATTGTACAGCTGGAAAAGATCGTACTGGCGTCTTTATCATGGTGCTTTTAGGCTTATGTGGTGTCGATGATGAAATCATTGCCAACGAATACGAATTATCCAACCTCGGTTATTTTGGTATATTTTCTCTTTTTCTCTCTTTCTTTTAGCTCATCTCTAATTTTCACTTACACATTTAAAAAAAAAAGATTATGAAAACGACTTGGAAGCGAGAGCCCAAAAAGTGGGTGTCACGGTCAGTGATATGCGATCTGCGTTATCAGCAAGGTTAGATCCCAGAAGCATTCTTTTTTATACACATGTGGCTAAATTTCTCTTTTTTTTCTCAACAGTATCGGTGGAATGAGATTAACTATTCAACAATTAAAAGAAACATACGGTTCATTTGAAGGTTATGCTCAGGAAGCTTGTGGATTGACCAGCGCCGAAATTAATCTAATTCGAGAAATAATGACAGTACCTATCCGATTTGAAGAACGTCAATTATATAGACCCAAGATATAATAAATGAAATAATAATAATAATAAAAAAAAAGAGAGGGGGGGTGTGGGAGGGCTTTTTATATATGTTAATTTTTTTTTTGTATGAGTAATAAGTCATATTTCATATAGAACACGGTAGGGGAATACCATATTAACTGTTTGTGGTTTAAAGAAAAAAAAAAGGAGGGGGAGGGCAGAGGTTATCTGTCTGATATATTTAAACACATTATATGTGTTATGCAATGTATACAACAACATTGATATTTATTTATATTATGTCTCATGATATCAACTAAAAAGAATATGGGAAATCACAAGAATGTTTAGTTTGATAGAAAGTAGAGCATCCCAACAGAAAAAAAAAAAAAAAACCTCCGTTATTTTATTCTTACCCTTTCTCCGCAATAAATAAAGTGGGCAACCCCCTTCTTTCTTTTATATCACATATATATATATATAAAAGCTACTGTTTCATTTTTTTTATTTTTTTTTATCATTCTTTTTTATACATTTTCCCTTTTAAACTGAAAAAATGGAAACTACATTGAATCCACATTTAGCACTGTGCTTACCAGAAATTATCAGTCATATATTCTCATTTCTGGTACCTGCACATACTGGAGAAGAGCTCAAAAAGAAAATGTATGTAGATCTGTACCCCTGTTTGATAGTAAATCGTCTGTGGCATGATAATTCAAGTCGTATTATCTGGCGAAAAGCGTTTTTTGAAGATACCAAAGACGATCTCGATACATTTCTCAAATTCGCTTCCGTCATTTATAATGCATCCTCCACTTCCTCAATAAACAACACTATCAGTGCCGCCTCTGCATTGGCTATCGGAGATGCCGAGAGTGGCAACCATAATCCATTCTTCACCAATCCATTTGAGAATTTACCGCCTCCCCTCCTCTTGAACTACCCAAGTCGCTCATCCTCCATCTCTAGCGTTTCTTCCTCTCTCGTAAAGACACCTTCCGAATACTCCCTTAACGAAGACGACGAGAACACAGACTACCTCTCTGAAGATCGCGTATGGAACAAAAAAATCATCTCTGCCGATTCTCGCTTTGCAGAGGAGATGGACAATCATTATCAGTCTACACTCACCAAATTAGACACGGCCGCCAGATTAACCACCTATCGCAACGCACTCCGATATTTATGCATTCGCAAAATCAAGGAAAAGTCCGTCAACGAGCCTCTCTCTCGCATAGGTGAACATGCTTCCAAATTAGAGCATTTGGACATTTACATTTGCGACCATTTCTCCAATGAAGCACTTTACCCCTTTTTGGCTCACCAGAGCTTGACCTATCTCTCGCTGGCGGGTTGTCATAATATCACGGATGAAGCCATTTTGAAAGTAGCAGAATACTGTAAACGTCTAGAGCATCTGGATTTACGAGCCTGTGGTCTTGTCTCTGATGTTTCTCTCTCGGCCATTGCCCTGAACTGTCCTCGCTTACGTCATTTGAATGTGGGACGTATCCGAGATCGTGAAAAGGTTTCCATGAAATCCATTGCGCTGATAGCCGAGTTTACCCAAGCCGCTGTGCTGGGATTAGCGGGCTGTGATATCGATGATGGCTGTATGCAGGTCCTGGCCAAATATCGCACCACTGGTCTTGAACGTGTGTCTGTCAATAGCTGTTTCAAGATTTCAAATGAAACCGTCTATGCCTATATACGTTATTGTCCTAATTTATCTGTATTTGAAATGAAGGAATGTCATCAAGTGAATGATTGGGAGGCCGTGGCGGAATTGGTCAATCGAAAAGTCCTCTTGACTTTGTGTGATCAACAAAATAGAGCCTGCGCCGATTGGGCTCGCATTCGTGGTAGAACTTTGGATGTCAAGGCTCCTCTCAAGTAAATTTTTTTTTTTATCTTATACATCTTTTTTATTTCCCTTAATAGCCTCCCCCAGACAACCTTTCTTTTATCCATTAATTCACCCATACACACTAACTCTCATGTATTATATATAGTCCTTTTTCCATTATTTACGCTTCACCATATAATTTATTAAAAATAAAATAATCAATACACACAAATGTTGTTGGACTACAAAAAGTACTAATTTGACGGCATTCTTATACATATTCCTTTGGATCTTGGAATACGTTAGGAATTATTCTTGCTTTTCCTACAGTCATTCCTGATTTTGCTTATTTCGAATATGTCAAAAATTATATTAGCGTATTTTGCGAACAATGCACCCATCTCTTGTGACATCATTTTGTTTTGCTCCTCTTATGCTGATGATATCCCTTCTTCTAAAATTTAAAACAAGTTCTAAACAAGAATGAGAACAATAATCATATACAGATAAACTATTTTTTTTTATATTCATATGCTGTGATGTAGAACAGCATTATTTTTATTAAAGATAAAGAAGTGAGCGAGGATGCATTATCCGGATAGCATTTCGTAACAAGTTCGAATGTTCTACTGCTTTCTCTTGTATGTCTTGAAACATCGTGTCCAATTTTACCGAGTTTTCAAGCATCAAATTGGCTTGATAAAAGACTCTTGCTGGATTTGGGTGCACATAATATGCAATATTTTCTTCTGAAAGTTTAATCTGTCGATCAATATAAAGCATGGGTGATTTTAAATCATGCGCAAATTCATCCACAGCATGAAACACAGCTCTCATACGCGTATCCACTTTATCCAACACATGGACTAACCCATCCTTCTTTTTCTGTTTTTGTGCTTGCATGACGTGACAAGCAGCAGCGGCTGTAAGCGAGAAACCTCCTGCACTTATCGCAAGCGGTATCTCCAAACGATCCTTGTTTGTTTCTTCGGTTTTATCATGAAACCTATCCGAGACAAGACATCCCGTCGTGATGGCTGCACATGCCGAATTTACAATAGTCCCGACCAGACTGATCGAACAAGGTTGTCGATTAATTCTTCTTCTTTCCTTATCCATATCCTTGCCGTACACCGTAATGTCTTTTCCAAACTGCTTTAATCGCATCACCAAGATCTCTAACCCCACTTTTAATTGGCGAGACAAGGCTCTTAGTTCAAAGATATTCACTTGGTCATACGACCGATTTTCAATGGCAATCGTTAGTTCCATCTTCATCGTATCCAGCATAAATCGACTTTGAGTACACAGTGTGCCCAGTTCCGTCAAACACCGTAAAAGATCAAGATAGTGCCCATGACTCGATCCCACCAGCTCATACACTTCTTGTTGATGGTCTGTAAATCGATACTCCCATTTTTTATTAAAAGCAAAAATATCATTGATGGCAGAAGCGCATCGCAAGTTGAGCAACACAAGCTCAGAGGTTGTAGATACCGACATTGTCTTCAGCAACAGAAAGGAAAAAAGAAAGGTATCTAAACAGGTCTATGGGAACTTTTTGTAAATTCCTTTTGTAATTGATTAAACTGTTTTTTAAACCTGTATTAAAAAACAATTTGATAAAATACTTGTTGAATCGTCATGAGACATTAAAGTATTGACGTTGACTTTTTATGATAGAATACATCCCCTTTGTAGGGTAGACATGATTTTATTTGCCGTTATACTCGAAGCACACAGGAACAAATAATATAAAATAGAATTCAAGCTGGCAACCTGCCTTCTCAAACCCCCACACTATTTTTGAATTTTAACAGTACTTGTACCAAATAACAAAGAGGCCAATTGCAACAATTACACGCATAGCATACTCTACATTATCATAGTGATGATTGGTAGGTCTTCCACCTGACGCCAATTCCTCCAACACGTCTTCAAATTGATCTGCAAAAGCTTCCAACGAGAATTTAGACTTTACATATTCTCTTCCAACCTTTCCCATTTCTACCGTATCATATTTCCCCAAGATAAAATCACGCACGCCCTGAGCCCATATCTCTGGCTCCGGAGCCAGAATCAAACCGGTTTCTTTGTCCTTCACCGTCTCCAAGGGACCGCCACTATTAGCCGCAATCACCGGTAAAGAAGCATACATGCCTTCCACAGGTGTAATTCCGAAATGTTCATTGGCAGGTGTGTATAACAACAGCATGGACTGGTCCAACAGATACGTACGTTGTGCATCATTAAACGAGCAGACAAAAATAACTTGAGCACTGGCAGGTGGTTTCTCCGTTGAGGTGGGGAAAATCGTATACGTTTCTAAACCAAATGTCTCGCGAGCAAGTGTGTCCAATTCCTTTAAATATTCTACATTTTCTCGTACGCGTTTATCATAACCTCCTGCAAGTACAAGACGGTATTGTTCAAAGGTTTCTTTAGGTACTAAGTCATCGTTTTCAAGTAAAGCAAAAGCTCTCAAAGCTAATTCCACGTTCTTTTTCTTTTCAAATCGGTTGATGGAAACAATCGTGTGTTTGTGCCTAGTATTCATTGTTAGTACGAAAAAAAAAAAGTCAAAGTTTTTGTGTAAATGATTCCGTACGATTCAACAAGTTGGACAGAAGGGTCTGATAAATCGACTTTTTTGTCATAGGCAGCAAAATTGATGGGAGGATAGAGAACACGAGGCTTTTTAAAGATGGAAGGAAAAGCACGTCGAAACATACCGGCTGTAAAGTTGCTGTTGACAGTAATCGTATCTGCCATGCCTGTTGACCATTCCTCCAATTTATCAATAGGAACACGGTATATTTCTTTTAATTTAGAATCACGCTTTGTTAAAAGTTTGTCCGGGAAATGACAATAAAACAGAATCTAGAAAATAAATAAATAAAATTGAGATTGTGTGTGTTGTGTATATATAAAAAGTCATTTACTTTGGCAGGGCAATACCATTTTAGGATAGGTACACATGCACTTAATTGATCCACAAAGATAATATCGTAGGTTTCTTTTTCGTGTTTTAATATCCAAAGCACAAGCGCCAACTGACGAAGTATGGCAAATACAATATAAAGTCTTCCAAAGATGTCGCGAGGTAAGGAATTGCCGCGAACTCGCACTTCCAGTGTTCCATCTCGTGTTTCTTCAAAGCAATGAAGAGGATCGTGATGACTTGTATACATGACAACCTTGTGCCCTTTATTTTGGATACCAACCGCTGCATCCACCACTAATCGTTCCGCCCCTCCTATTGTTTTTTTGAAGGGTGTCAATTATTCTTTTTCATGATTTCTAACCATGTACATGCTGTACCTATTCCTAAATCAGGATGGATGAATGCAATATTAAACTTTGGGTTATCTGACATGCTTTTTGGCTAAAAGAGAAAAAGTTCACATTAAAACTCCATTGAAAGGCCTCAAAAAATAAATAGTGACTAGCGTTTTTTTTTTTTTTTTTCTTTTTTTTCAAAAGCTGCCTTTTTTATTTAATACGCGTTCTACACATTTCAATTATATACAATGAGTTTACTTCAACCTTTTGTTAATCGTGAGTCAGAACAAACAGCCTCATTAAAAAAATACAAAGAAATAAGCAACCTATTCAACAGAATGACTGACAATACCTCGTTCCTTTTTTTTTATACATTCTCAGTTAATGTTTTAGTTGTTACATTAGATGGTCGAATTTTGGTGGTAAATTTACTCATTAATAATACATTCCCTCTCTCTCTTCAAATGCTAAAAAAACCTTTCTTTTTTTTTTGTTTTATGTCTGTAGGGAAAGTTGAGAGGAACAGATCAATCATCAAACCTCATTTTAGAGAAATGTGAGGAACGCGTATTTTCCAGTGAAGGAACAGAAGTTGTACCACTCGGTTTATTTCTCTTACGGGGAGACAATTTGTAAGTTTGGATAACCCGTAAAACAAACATATCCTAACATCACAAAATTCCCTTTAGATGTACAGTGGGAGAAATCGATACCGAAAAGGATGAAACGTTGGATTTACCATCAATTAAAGCGGATCCATTATCAGAAGCAAGACTTTAACATCAAGACACAACACACACACACACAATACACAACGCGAACACCCTCTCCCTTCTCTCCCTCTCTCTCCCTCTCATCGACAAATCAATAACTGTATCATAAAACAAACCGAATGAATAATAATAAAAAAATATGAAAAAAAGGAATGTTTATTTATTGTAAAACTTTAAGAAAGGTTAATTTGGGATAATAATTTGGAAATATCAACATGTCGATATCCTGAACGATCAAGATGTTTTTGAACAGTCTGATATACAGCTAGTAATGTGCGATAGTGTCTGTTAATCAGGATTTCGGATTGAACTAGAGTGTCATATACATTTTGGTTAGTTACTTTTCACACTTTCCTGCAGATTTCAACTTACTTAAGGCCTGCCCAGTCCATTTTATGCTTTTTGCTTTCACAGGATCAAATACCATGGACAAGTACAAAAGTTGGGTATACAATTGCTTATCCGAATACTATATAAAAAAGAAAATTGTGTGAGCGAAAGAATCCACAACTCCACTATCCTTAATTTTTTTTTCTTACCTCTCGCTTCACAGAACCTCGACAGCTGGGGACAACACAGCGACGACCGAATACGGACAGTAGGCGTGTACGATTACCACAAGTGATATCATCACACACATACCAGTTATTATAGTATCGTTCAATATAGCTTCGAGCCGCAAGTTGCGCTTGTACCTTGAGACTCGCTACAGGAATCGTCTTTTTACATTTAGGACAATCTAAACCGCATTGGATGGTCTGTTCATCAATCTTTCGAACAATACCAGTGTATTCAATTCCCTTTTCTCCACATCTACAATTCAATAAAAGTTTGTCGCATGATTTATATCTTTCACTATCACTTGTTTGAGAATCCAGGGTAACAAATTCGACAGAGTTATCTGCTTGTCCAATATTGAAATTGTATCGCTTTGTATCTAAGCCGAGACATTCTGCTAATCGTGCAGGATCAGTACCTTCAATGGGGGAACAAAGACGAGTCAAGGGAGGATGTACTTGTTGATAAAGATACCATTCGATATCAAGTTGCATGCCCTGTTTCACCACATCATCTGGATGATAAGCTCGAAGTGCAGCTCCCTTTTTATCACCGCTCGTTTCCTCATTTACTTTACAAATCACATAAGGCACCATGTCACCGTTCTTTGCATTACGACCCGATTTCAACATGCGTAAAGCCACTTGCACATGGGGTTGCGTCTTGGCATCTGCATAATCTTGGGGTTTCTTGGTCAATTGTTTGTTAATCGTGTATTTTTCCAACGGAATCTCGCCCTGACGAATCTTTTCAGCAACCACTTCAAGGTACAGATGAATTTCGTTGATCACATCTTCTCGTTCTTTATCCGACAAGATCAGATCCAATACATGCGAGGAGACATCGTGTGATAAATCACACCAATCACGACGTACAAGATCAAGACCTTTCGTCTCAACCGTCTCCACTAATTGTCCTGCCTTTTCTTCCACTAAAAGTGCTGCATACTTTTTCTTTTTCAATAATAACAGGTGTTTATAATATCCATCAATACCGATCTCCAAAAGCTTGTATCTTTCATTTACACTCTTTCTTAATTTAGAACCCATTTTCTTGACTTCTTCTAAATCAGTAGAGTTCGTATAGACCATGATAGAATCAGTATCGCCATAAATGACATTCATTTCAAGATGACCAGCCAAGTTCACTGTACTCTGAAGAATCTCTCGACCTTTATGAGTAATCAACATCGCTAAAGGTTTGGCATAGAATCGAGAATAGGTGAAACCAAGACAGCCATACATACTGTTAGCAGTTAGCTTGAGTGCCTTTTGTCGAATATCCAATTGCATATAGGCCGCTTCCGAGATATAATTGTTCATCATGCGCTTCACTTGCTTACGACGATCGACCAACGTACGAATCAATCGAGGTAAAATACCTTGATCCAATCCTTCGTTGGGAACTTCGGGTACCTTTTCTTCTCCGTTTTCTCCTGTACCCTCTACAAACTTACTACGATCGACTGTGGTGAAACAAACGTTATATTCTTGGATGATGGAAGGATACAAACTGTTGAAATCAAGCAACATGACGTATCTATCATAGAATCCCTTTTTGGGTTCCAAAACCAGACCACCAGCATAGGCAGGTTTACGTTTGCCACTGCCCGCCTTTTTCTTGTTGTTATCGGTAGCCATCGCCACAGCCTCTTCATCTCCATCTCGTTCAGCTGCTTGCACTACGACGGCAGTTTTGGGTGCACCAAATGATTTTTCGGGACAAATGTATTTAGCCTTGTGAAATTCATGCAACAACAAAAATTCGTTTCGTTCCGCTCGAGCACCTGTCAATGTTCGGGACCACAAATTACCTGCCAAATTGGTCAATTGATGCGTCAATGGTAAGATCTGAAGCTTAAACATGAGCGCAGACGCCAAGAAAGCATCAAACGAACAATGCTTTAATAAATGAAGTAAACTTTCGGCATTTTCAAAGTATTCGGCAGTCTTGCCAAACTCGATATCTTCACGCGCAATCTTCAATTGGGATTGGGCTAAATCCGTCATACGGTAAGATTTACTTCGGATCAGATCCTTGGAGGCCAAATATGTATCACACACAAGTCGACCACTCATAATCAATTTCTCTTGATAGGTAGAATCACCAGCACCACCAGCACCCGCTTGTAATTTGGGCCAACTAGCATTAGAATAAATTTAGGTTAATTCATTTATATACGCATCAACACCTTTTTTCTTCTTCTTTACTTTGTACGCTTAAGTCTACCCAATCGATGCCAATGTTGAACACGCAATGCTTTCATACGATGCAAAAGTACATCTAAATCAAATCCAGCAAAGTTGTGACCCACAATAATATCAGGATCACACATGTGGATTCTCGCTAATCATGATATTTAGTTTATGATTCCCCACCAATTTTCTCTTTCCTAGTTAATCATGTAAGACTTACCAATTAAATAATTCAAAAGCGCTGTTTCGGTTCTATCTGTTTGAATAATCAATCCATTCTCTTTTTTTTCTTTAGCAACCGCCTCCAAAAAGCTAGCAGGATAGGGTTTGTTATCTAATTGACGTACAGCTGTGAATCTCATCTTGGATTGTAAATCAAGAGGCTTGGTATCGTCAATCATGACTTGATCACATACAAGTGCACTAAAAGCAACAATCTCGTTGACGTTCTTCTTTTCATTCAAGATCGTACGTAAAGAAAGTGACAGGACGACAAGTGGTGGTACTTCAAGAGGTCGGTTTCCTGCTGCATCCATGACAGGATTTACAGTTTTGGGATCATCTACAGAGATTTCCAATTTACACCAGGTTTCCTATCCACTTCAATTTAGCATTTTTTTCTCTCCTTTCCCCTACACCGTCATTCTACTTACACTTGTATTACTGAATTTGGCATCAGCAATATCTAACCAGCATGGACCCATAATATCTCGCTTTGTCAAAAAGTGTTCGAGAGGACCGGTTGTAGCGCCAAAAATATGACTGAAGGTCCTTCCACTTTCTCCTCCACTAAACGCAGGTTCTAATTTTTTCTTTGAGTCTTTGTAAATTGCCGATTTATTCCCCTCTTCCAAACTTACGTTCATAATCATACAGGACCTTTAAATAACTGGATTCGGCAGGAACGTCCTTCAACTCAAAGGCATATTTTCTAACGACCTCTTTGGAGGCAAATTTTTTGATTCTGTATTTCGAGCAAAGATCGGATATTTCGGAATAGACGTCTGTCATGTCCACTGGTGTGGTAGTTTCGGCACCAGAAGCTATAAAGAAATGATCAGCCTTTTTTTTTCTTCTTCTATACTTTTTGCTATAATAATTTTACCATCCAGTTTATATTTACGGGGTAAAACAAATAGATTTCGTTCGATATTTTTTACAGTAACACAGCAACTAACATATTTCTTGGTTTGCTTGTTCAAGACTTTACCAAATACATAAACATAACCTTTTTCTTTACGTTCATAAGCATCATACCACCACATTTTTAAATGTCCATCGGATTCAAAGATATCCATTTGTTTCGCATCGATTCTAATTTCATCTTGGTTGAACGTATCTACCACACTAGCTTCGGCTGCTTTCCAACTCTGGAGATCGGGTCTAGGTGCATTTTTATTGACAGTAAGAAAGTTGGGTTTAAGAGGGTCAGCTATCGTGAGACCAGCGACTTCCTTCTTTAAAAATTCATCGCCGAATACTATATCATCGTCAAACATATCGTCACCCTCATCCATCGGATCGTCATTCTCCACAGGTAAAGTTTCACGAACAGGTTCATCCTTTACAAAAATATCCACATCATCATCTTCAAATCTGACTGGTTTTGCAAACGTTCTGGGTCGACCCTTCACAATAGGTTTTTTCGTCATGAAAGGGTTCTTTGTCGTGTTCAGAGAGGGTTTACCAGTATCGAAACTAGATAATAAATCCTTCATGAAATCTTCTGATTCTTGTTCATCGATCTAGCAGCCAGAAAAAAAAAAAGACGGTCAGTATTCATGACTTTCCTCACATATAAACAAAAAGCTTACAGGGGCAGCTTTAGGTTTCATGGCAGATTTTAAAGTTGAATTGTTAAAGAATCGATTGATTTGTTGATTTGGTTTAGCTACGGTGCTTTCCTTTTCTTTTACTTTCTCCTTCTTTGTGCTCTTTCTCTTTCTTTTTCCTACAAACACTGTCAGAAACCAAGGATTTTCTTCAGTTCCCTTAATTTTTCTTTTTACCGTGCTTGGATTGGTCAGGGTCTTGTTCGTATTCATCAGAGAAATGTTGATCATCAACTCCATTATCAATGTATCCTGCATTATCATCGTCAACAACAAAGTCTTCGTCTTGTTGTGCATCTTCCTCATTCACTTCGTCATAGAGATCTACATCCTATGATTTTCGGCGTCAGTCTTACAATGTATGTCGTCTTTAGTTTTTTTTTTTTTTTTTTTACCTCCTGACGTTTAGGTTTGCCTTTTGAAAGTCTGGACTCCCTCAATTGTTTTAAACGATCCCCTCTTTGTAACCTGGAACTCATGAAGACACAAACGACAAAAAAAAAAAAAAAAGGTTTGAAGAAAGGGCTATATTTTTTTTTCCAATTCACAAAAATTCTTTTTCGCGACTTGGCGTTTTAATTACCGACGCGTTTATTGGTGGTTGTTTGTCGAAATGATTTTGATTAAAAATGACATTTTATAATTTTCCTGTCAAAGTAAACTCCCTGGATATTAAACTTTGACTAAGATAATGTTATACCCAAAATACTTGGAAAATTTAGGGGCATCTTTTGGTATATTTATCAAAGTAATTCGATATATAGAAAAAAAACTTTGTCTAACAAAAACTAGTATTTCAATTATGCCCTGAATATAATTTTTTTAATAATAAAACTGCTCTAAAAACAACACCAGCGTAAAAAGCATTAAATTTGGGCTATAGTTATCTAAGAACACTTTTCATCAAACTTGCAGGAAGAGTATTTAAAAGGCGCATTTGTAAAATTTGGCATTTTCCTCGAGGTATACCCTTTGTGTTTTGGCCGATTTTGGGACTTTTAAAAAAAATCATAAAATCAAAACCTAATGATCCAATATGATATTTTAGATAATTCTGAGCATTTTTTTGGCTTGAAAGGACGTACGGAAACGACAGTTTACTATATGAAAAATTCAATTTAAAACAGCCTGTTAGGCTAAGAAAAGGACTACGAAAGAATAAAAGATCATCTTGAGCATAACATGTGCTGTATTTTTAATGACAGGAACATGCAATCATGTTAGTGGCATCTTTTTCACTATAATATGGTATAGTCAAAGTCTGGAATCTGAGGAATTTACCTTGAATGAACGTGTTTATCAGTAATTTGAGGTTGAGTTGTAAATATAAACAATATTGTGGCCAAACGCTAAGTTGTATTCTATGATTTACCATTTTTTGTTGGGACAAATGCGTGAATCCATGCATTCTAAATATTTTTCATTATAAAATATTGTAATAAAAGTGTCTTTCCGCGAGAGTTTGCATTGACGCCTAAATGAACCTTTCTATTTTCTTCCTTCTAAAAATTGATGAAAACCAATAACAAGTCAACGTTTTTGTAATCAAGTCCGGCTTTCTAGATGTTATTCATTATCACATACCATAATGGATGTTTTGTATTTCGGATAGCACTTGATGTACCTATTCTGTAGACATTTTTTTTATCCAGAAGCTATTTGTTATTCGACTATTGTTTCGATTTTTTCTTTCAACACTTTCTTTTTATGGCCCACCAATTTTGACCATGCTTTTAGAATTCTTGATGCTGTCAACGATATTCTCAGACTGTCAGCAAAAAACTCACCTGTACATTGCGTCAAGAGGTGAGGATCCTGTATCATTTCTTTGTGTGATTGATGGAAATGAAGTCTTTAGTCATGATATAGTCCCTTTTTGTTGCTTGGGAAGAATGACATCTATTTAGAAAAAAAAAAAGGTTCACTTCATTTTTAAGACTTTGTAAGTGGATACATGAGACCCACAATTGACAATCAATGGTACTGTGATTAGAACTAAGCCCGTTTTATTGATAATAACACGCAAAAAAAAAAAAAAAAGAGTCCTGACCTTATCCCACATCTTTTCCTTTCAAATATCGCCCACCCCCTTTTATTTTTATTTCTTTCCCTTTCTCTTGTTTTTTATTTTCATTCTAAAATGGACGACTATATAAAACCAATGATAGATATATCGATTCCAGGCCCGTATATTCAACTCGATATAGTACCACTTACGTTATTCTACATGGTGATCTCCTACCTCGATTACTATTTATATTGTCGTACAACCTTAACTTTTAGCAAATATAAACACTGGCATCGTTTGTACCATCTAATCCTTCCGTTTCTTTTCGCTCCCAAACGACAAGCGTTTTCCACAGCATTTATCGCCTTTCCCTGGTTTGTAGCATCCGTAGGAGCCTACAGCGCACAGTTATACAAGTATCAACAACTTAAACTGGAAGGGCCGCCACAGTCATTTAAAGACTATGTGATATCGGTCGGGATAGAGGGCTTATCGTCACAAGGTCCAGAAGAGAATAAACAAGAAGGGGTTCGTGTGGAGGGAGTAAGAAGGGTGTTGAATCACATCATTATCATGGCGTTAGGAAAAGCTTTGTTGACACCCATATTGTTGCATGATCCCAAATTGTTACTTGCCATGCCTTGGTATTCATGGAACGGCATTTGGTTTGGGTTCCTCATGGGGTTTAAAGGGTATACGCTTATGTTGTGTACAGATATGGGATTAGCCACAATCCAGATTCTCACTGGCGTATCTACTTTGCATGTGTTCAATCGACCATTCTTGGCATCAAGGTAAAAGCCAAAAAAAAAAAAAAAAAAAAAAAAAGAAAGTTAAGGACCAAACCTAAAAAAATATTTAAAGCCCAAAGGATTTTTGGGGAAATCGATGGAATTTAGTTGTACGTAATCTATTTCGTAAACAATTATACACCAAAGAAAAAAAGCCAGCACGAGAATTAGCGTATCATCGATGCTTGGCGTTTCTGGTGAGTGGACTTATGCATGAAAGCATCATGACGTTGGCGAACCGTACCTTGACACTGGAGCAGTTTTGTTTCTTTACTTTGCATGGTTTTGCTGTCCTTTTACAGTCATTGGTTTCAACTAGAATTTCATCAAAATTACCACGCTCAGTCTCCATTGTCTTGACCATGTTATTTTTTGGCTGTACAAGTCAATTGTTTTTAGCACCTTTTCTTCGGTATGAAGAGCAATGTGCTTTATTTGGTCAGCACTCATTTATTTAAAATAATAATAATAATAAAAAAAAAATTATGTAGAAGAACGGCGTCGTTTGTTTGTAGGGTAATCGTCAGGTACGCATACGGTAGGGTCTAGGTTCACATCATTGTGTGTGATATGACCTAAAAATCGTCGAAAGGCCTTTTGTACAGCCTTCATTTTACCAGGCGTTCTTGTAAAGATCCTTATATTTATATCTTGGAATTTGGAGGGGATCATGTAAGACACTTTTTGCTTGGAAATATTAAATGATTCTATATAAAAAAAAGAATGTGGATGAGTGGATGGAGTTAATGATAGTTATTCCTAAAGTTTACCTTGATCATTGAACTTGGAAAAGAACCTAATGGAATCCACTGGGTTTCTTTCCTTCATAGAATAATTGATCTTTGTGAAAGCCACAATGATATCGTGCGCGACAAGTCCGGCATTATCGGTTTGTGAATTGGCGATATCTTGTGCTGTCAATGTGTCACTGTTTAAATGCGCTTCTAATTCAGGTGGTACTAAAAACTCGTCTACAAACTTGTACAAGTTACGCGTCCGAATGTTTTTAACGATACGTCTGGATTCGCTTAATTCCGGACATTTGGATCGCTCAATGGTGCGAATAATATCATCTGTCATGTACAGGTACGCTTCAGGATCGTCTATAGAATCTGCAATCTTCATGTAGTCATCTGAACATACCATGATCAGTTTTCCAATCTTTATATGTGTATATATTAAAACTTACTTGCTGCCATGAATGCATCGACAATCATCAGCTCAAGTGCCTTTCCTACGCGATGGTTATAGATCTGCCTAAACAATGTATAGCGTGTATGAAACATTTCGTAGACGTTATACACCTCCTTCTGATGATAACAAATCTCATTATTAATGACACGGCTGTATCCAGACAGTCTTTTTGGATCATATGAAATCCGAAGGCCCAAATTGTAGGCATCTCTTTCAATGTAATCAAACTTATCGACATCTACACCATTCTTCTTATTGGCCACAATATCAAATAAAAACTTTCGGTCTTCATATTTACTTTTTTTTTTGTTTTTTGTTTATTGATATGAAGTTTTTTTACTTTCTGTCTATTCAATTTCTTACCTGTTGGATCTTGGTTCGCCTGCAATTAAATCCTTGATTAGATGAACATCGCTTGAATCTAAATCGATATTGTTGTCCTCGACCAAGTACTCTAGCATCATTTCAGATGCTTGCTCATGTGTCCATGTTGATCCGGGTCTATTTTATCACATTAATTTCGGTTCTTAACCTTATTCTCTCTCTCTCCCCCCCTTTTTTTTTACCTCGCAATAGGCATAAATGCATTATCAAACACATGACTATATGGACCATGACCTACACTTTAATGGTTATATTTTATCACTCTTTTTCCTTACCACAGATTTTTTTACCTAAATCATGACATAATCTGAATCAAAAGAGAGTTTAGTCATATGTATACAGTTGAAAAGCAAAGAGAAGATATGTTACCCTGCAAGTTTGACACATCGAATTTCATCTTCGGTGATACGTAATTCAGGCTGCTCTCTTGCAAACCTTTCAATCAAGGTACCCGATAAGTGAGATACACCAATAGAATGCTCAAAGCGACTATGACTGGCACCGGGAAATACAAAGTAAAGCGGGCCGACCTATATTAAAGAATAGAATGAGCAACAAAAACAAATGGCCCAAAGTCATTCAAGTTTACTTGTTTGAGATCTCTAAGACGTTGAAATTGCACAGTGTCAATAAACTCTACGGTATAATCGTCCAAAGTTATATGGCCCTAAAGGCAATAAAAGTTTAGTACGAAAATATGGTGCCAACCCAAGGGTCAAGAGGAGATTTACATGAATCGGATCGTTAATGACTTTATGTCCATTGTAAAACGAGCCTGAATGGTGCGTAGGAGCACTGTCATAAGAGTTTACTATATCTCCCACGCTCATGAGGTATATTTTGTTTTTTTTAAAGGAAAAGTAAAAGAAAAAGTGGATTGTAGATTATTACATCATTTATAGTACATGCTATATTTTTTGTTTTTTATAATGCATAAATAATTCTACTCCGACTCTGCGCAGTAAAAAAGAAAAAAAAGTAAGGACAGGCAATGATAAATAATTTATTTAATTGTCTAAAGGAATTTCACTCAACCACTTGTTGAAGAAATCAAGGGCATTTTCAGGTTGATCATAAGGAACCATATGGCCAGCATCAAAAATTCTCAAAAACGTAAGGTTACCAGAAGAACGGACATTACCAGCATGTTGACCTGTGAGATCGCTATACCACTTTTCATCCACGGCAGCGTTATATCCCTCTTTACCGGACCATTCCATCTTTTTACTCCATTCCAAATTACCGACCCTATTCGAAAGAAGCAAACAAACAAAAAAAAGTTTAGAATGTATATTACAAAAGATGCAAGATAAAGAAAAAAAACGTACCAGTTACAGATCCAATCCATATCACCGACATAGAGTAAGACACGGATACCAGCTTCTAAAGTTTCAGCAACATGGCCCGAAAAGTCTTTACCACTAAATATTTCCAAATTAGTAAATTATGGATATTTCTGTAAAAATTATCATGTGTGTCACCCTACCCATCACCTGTTTGATAAAATCTGTAACCGACAGAATTACTGCAGCCAGAATATTTTCCCGCTTTCGCATCCACACCCAAGCTCTCCTTGACCTGCTCATCATTAGCGTATTTCTCAATGGATTCAATCAAGTCATAACACAATCCACTATCACCTTCACAGTCTTTACGGATATCATAGGGGTTCAAACCTGTCTTATCAAAGGCACCGGCTTGTGTCTTTTCACAATACATGCTAGCAGGAATACAAGTAAGCGAGTTCTGGAACTTGTAACAAGCATCCATTAATTTCTCGCAACGTGGGTATGAGCTCTTCATATTTTCACAGGTCTCGGCATCAAACAAAGGTTTATATTCACTATCGGTGGCGCACCCGAACGTTTCATAATGTTGGAACTGGGTACGAGGGTCGGTCCATCCATTACCAATCAACATGGACTGATAGTTAATCTTGATGGCACCAGGAGCTAATTCGTTATTGTTACGGATGATCTCTGTTGAGATAGCAGGAAGATAATGACCACCATAAGACTCACCAGAGATGTGGAAGGGGCTGGCGGCATATTTGGAATACTCCGAAAAGAAGAGTTGTAAAAATGCATAGACATCACGCGCAGATTCTTGCGTGTTTTTGACCTTAGTTTCGCCATAACTATAGCCTACATTGACAGGCTGGTCCAAAAAGACAACGTTGGCGGCTGTGTTCCAACTGTATGGGTTACGCATCGTATCGTTACCATACGCATTGACCTGACAAGGACTATCATTAAGACGTGTTAATGCGTGCGGCCAAAAACAAATATGCTGTTTCACTTCATTTTTTACCCTAATTCCATCCATAAACCCATCATAGAAGAGCAACCAGGACCACCGTTTAACCACAAGACCGTAGGATCGGTGGCAGGGTCTGTTCTGGATTCAAAAAAGTAGAAGAAAAAGTGATCATCGGTATCATGTTTATCGATATATCCAGAATACTAGTATAGAAGACTTGTAAATAAAAAGAAACTTTTTACAGGCAGAGAGAGAGAAGACTCACTTGAACACCTTCTTCGCAGGACTTGGGTTCCTTGATTCTAACGGAATATCCTTCCACGTTATTGCTTTTCAGGATACGGAACCCAAGTTGTTCATACTCGACATGACGCATAGTCACTTGCATGGGAGTCAAGGCATTGGTTAAGACCAAAGACCCAAGCCCAGCAGCGAATGCTAATATTTTCTTTGAAATCAACATGTTCTTTGCGATTAAAAAGAAAAAGAATAAGAAAAAAAAAAAAAGCGTATTCCCTTATCTTTAATTATTTTTTTTCAAAAGGCGAAAATGGGAGACGACTTCACTCACACACACAAAAAAATACCTTTTTCAGTTCAGTAATGTAAACAGTAAACATACTCCGAAGTATCGTTTATTTGTAAACAGACGAGAGCGAAACATTTATAATCAAAACAATAAGAAACGTGTCTCCTGGATTTTATCCACAGGTGACAAATGATCAGTAATGGCTCATAAATGAAATGTAATACTTTATTTTTTTTTGTCGGTGTTACTATGACAAGTGCATTTCTAGATTGACATTCAACAAATTGTTGTTATGACACTGTTTAAAAATGGGTGTTTGTCTCTTAGAATAGGATCGTGATCTATGACGTCAAATAGTTTACTTTTCGGCATTACTCGGTTGAATGAATTAGTAAGAGAGTGTAGTAGGAATGACACAATAAAGGGAGATATTATTTGTTTAACCGGGGAGGCAAACATCTACAAATATGGTAACTGCCTAGGTAACAATGGACCACGTATCAAAATATGTCATGGTATTTTTACTTTCCTGTTATCTGTCACCCAGCAATGAATCTCGTATCTTATCTTTTTTTTTTTTTTTTTTTTTCTCACAAAAATAAAGGTATGCAAGTCTACCATTGCTCCAATTAAAGTTATCAATTGTTTATTTCCCGTCCCTTTTTTTACTTCCCTTTCTTTTCTTTTTTTTTCCCTTATTCTTTTCCCTTTTTTATTCATTTAAGTAGGAAATGAGTTCACAAGATGGATATACATCCTCATCGTGGAAAGAACACCAACATGAGGTAACGGATGAATGTCGTGATTGTAAGCAGCAGTTTCGAAATACGCGATGTTACAATTGTGACACGGGCACCACACCGTTATGGCGCAGAGATGATGATGGTAATAACATTTGCAATGCCTGTGGTTTATATTACAAACTTCACAACGTTCATCGTCCACTCTCGATGAAGAGAACGATCATACATCGTCGTAAGCGAGTTCATATGGCCCGCAAGTTCCCACAAGAACAAACCTTACAGAGAAGACCGTCATTTTATGAAGAAAAAACAGAAAATCATGAGCATCCTAAATTGCTCGATATTATCCCACCACCAACACAGCGAAGATCTTCTTTCCACCAATTATCGCCCATGATTGATAATCACCCATCACCTTCAACTGAGTCATTACCTAATATTCAATCTTTTCTCAGTACATTGGAAGGTCCGCCTCCCTTTGAGGAAGAAGACTTGGCTTTGCCCACCAATGGCGCAGCATTAACCAACATGTTATTATTAGAGCCCGCCAAGTTCTGTAAGGCATTAGCCAATAGAAGGGATCAACTCCAAGATGAAATTAATAGTATCAATCAATTATTATCTCAATCTTCTTCCCAGCAACAACAACAACAACAACAGAAACAGCAGTAAAAGTACCACTCATCAGTCATTGAATCTAATAATAGTACAATAGTATCAGGATCAATTCATATACCATGGAAATAATATAATGATAATAATAATAATAATAATAAAAAAAAAAGAAGCATTTGTTTATTATTATATAATTTCATTGTGTCTCTCCCTGTTTTTATTTTTATTCTCCTGTAATTGATAGTGAAGTCTTGGAAGGAGCAAAGCCAATACGGGGAATATCACCGAAATCAAAAACGGTGACAAAGTCTCGAAGAACCATATTTCCAATAATAAATTTATCGTCAGAGGGAATAAACAAGAGTAAACATTCATCTTCGGAAGCCTTTTTGGTAATTAATTGTGATACGGGTAAATTGATATTGACAAGTGATTTATCAATGGAAGATTTAAAGTATATGTTAATGGAATCGAGACTGGAGCCAAATTGGCAATCAATGGTATAGACACCATTTTCATTTAGCGCAAAGGAAGTATTTTGGTTCATGGTGATGGAGAGTGCTAAATCATTGGCCAAAGCACGAGGTAAATACATGAAATTTGATCCTGTATCTACACCAAAGGGAGTTTCTATATTAAATTTGAAATTACGTGACTCTTCCACATTCTGGTGGTTGTGGAACTGGAAACCTTGGACATTGACAGACCATCGATTGGTATCCACCAGATTTGTATAGATGAACTTGTCTGTAATTGCTTCGGTATCAATGCCACCCAGCACCAATTTACCACCGTCATTGGTCATTGACACTGAGAATACCGGGTTTGGGATCTGACCAGCTTTGTAGAGTGAAATCGGGAACGGGTCGTATTTCTCTCCTTTCCCTTGCAAGAAGCGAGAAGTGCCGTCGGATAAACCAGCACCCAAGATTCCGTCCAGGATAATATGATCGACATCTGTACTGGCCTCTTGTTCTGAAATTGGCCCAACTGCATTTGTGACATAGGCCATCATTTGGTCTTCGATCGTCAAATCGCCCATGGAGATGGTATCCTTAAAATAAGTTCCTCTAGCACTACCGATACCATACGTAATTAAAAAATCGTCCTGTAATTCCCCAAAAGTACTAGATTCTGATTGCTTAAAATGTTTAAGAAATGTAGGGCAACCATCCATAGCTGAACATTCTGTTGAAGGTATCCATGTATCCGCACTGCCCGTATCAAATATCAACATAAAGTCTTGTGCGGGTGTCCCAATCGATACTTTGACTGCTAATTCACTGAGGTCAATGTCTTCCACAAGTGGGATGGTCGTTCCTCGTTTGCTGAGTCTATTGGTGGTGCTTTTCACACGGTGGAGAGGGACATGAATGGCTTTGGGAATTATGGCTGGTAATGCCATTACCTGTGTTGATAATAAAAATAAAAGTATACTCTTTTCTAATTGAATGCGCATTATGATAATAGTAGTATAATAAATAAATAAAAGAGAGAGAGAGAGAGAGATGAAAAAGATGTCTATGAAATAAGAAATTCTTATATTTATAGGAGGTTCTCACTTTCTCTCTTTTGGTAGAAGGGGGTCATTTTTATAAAACTTGAACAATCACGTTATGAATAACCAGAAAAAGAACCATGAAATAAAATAAAAATGCCTTTGTAAAGTTTCAATACAAAATGCAGGAGTGTGTGTATTTGTGTGTGTGTGTGTGTGTGTGTATGTGTGTGTGTATTTGTGTGTGCGCGTGTGTTCTTGTGTGTGTTATTTGTGATCCCCTTACGCACTATTAATAGAATATAAAAAAAACTGTCATTTTTATTCTCAAAGGCTTCTGTTAACAGAACGACGTAATGGTGCACCCTCTTTTGCGACTTGCTCTTGTTCGTGTCCACCACTGGAGGTCACCGAATTTTCTTTGGTGTATGTCTTTAAGCGGTTCATTGTGTAGTCCTTACTAAAAGTATAAGCTGCCAACGCAGCTAATGTCGCAGCCTCCATTAGTTCTTCCATGTTCCCATTAACTTATTCTACTATTCAGCTAATACTTACACACTGCAAGTGTTGTCCTATGCAAAATAAAAAACAAATACAAAGAAAATGGTTAGCCTTATAATACCACTTGTTCCCTTCCTTTTGCTGTCTTACCAACCGATCAATACTGATTTGGGTGTGTTCTTGATCATTTAATGTAGTTTATTGTGTGTAAGAAAAAAGAATTAGAAAAAAAAGTAGCCTGTTGATTTTTTCGCACTGACATGGTGCATAAAGTCCGCTCCCCAAGCTGGGATCTGTTTCCCGACCGTTATGGGATGCACTGATATAAATGACGAAAGAAAGAAATATATATACGTGCTTTTCCACTATATTTTATGGTTCTTTCGCCTAACGAGACAAAAAAGAAAGCGGAGGGGAGGGAGGGAGGGAGGGAGGAGGGGTTGGATGAGGACAAGGGCATCTTGGTCTCTTTCTTTTTCTTTTCTTTTTTGATACGTCTCTCGGAATGGGTTTTGGTCACCGGTATGCATGCACACAAGAGAAGAGAGAGAAGCGCATATAACAAATATTACGTGGATTATATTGATCATTTAATAAAATTACATGTTGGTAATGGTATCAAGCCACCGCATCCCTCCTCTTTTCTCTCTGCCCCCTTTCCTATCGACCCCCGCCTGTCCCCTTCCCCTCCCCATTGTGGCACATCCCAGTCAAATTTTATACACACACAGACTGATACGTACATTATGGAGCAAAGCAGCAGCAGTAGTATTATTCGCAAGCAATAAAAAAATAAAGATGGAGAACGGTGTTCTGAATAGATGAACCGGAAGACCTAAATAAAGCGAGTATGAGTTGGATCTTCATTCAGCATAATCGACACAAAAGGCAACGTGTTCTAAAATTAACAATGATTTATGTTTAATATCATGGGCTGTTGCATCCCTATACAGTAGATTTGGGCGCCATATGCACAGTGTCACGTCCTTGGATCACAAACGTTATGTGATAACGATGATAGGGAATGTACACTGTGGGAAACTTGGTAGTTTTTGATCTAACTCTTTTTATTATATTTTCGATACGGACAGTTTTTTTCTTTATATAAAATGACCCTCTTTTACAGAACAACCTAAAGTAAAACATAAGTGTCTTGATATTGCGAAAATAGTTATTATGTGAAGCGCGTCAACTTCAAAGTAGCATTCTTTAACAATTCGTTATTATACTTTTGGTAGTGCAACTTGATAAGGCAAAAAAAATGAATGCGCATATCGTACAAACCTAACCTCGATAGCTCTGGTCTCAAAAAATTTGATTATCTTTTGCAAAGACATATAAAGTATTCCACAAAAGTAAAAGATTAAAACACTAAGTCTAACTTTTTTATAGCGTAAACTCCATGGTATTTTTGTAAGTTGTGTTGCTATACAACATGATATATCTTGTCGAACTATCAAATTACTGATAATCAAAAGGGTCTCACATCATACCACATTCCAACAATAGATGTCGAATAGCCACACTAACAGAAAGAAAAAAATTAGCACTTTATTATCAAATTGTCTATACCAGAGATAATCGAAATTAGAGTCGTTAGTAAGGCAATCAAATAGTAAATGATGCGTGTTCTTAAAATAGTATGAGATTATGCATACAAAATTAATAACTAAAAGGGTAATGCAGATCATATTTGGGGACCGAGATAAAAGTCTGCCATAGATTGTGTAATACCCTGATTCTCGTTGGGATTTACAAAGAACAATGATTCGTATGTGCGAATGTCACAAAAGAAATATCGTTCCTTATTTTTATGATGAAATCACAAAAAACTATTGTTGTATGAAACAAATTCAGTTGATGTAAAACAAACTTCATTGTGTCTTTTATACGCAAATAAATGAGATCGTATTTCCATTAAAATAGGTTATAACAATTTAGAGTTTGAATGAATCCGACAATACTTCTCACACCATTATTAATATCTCGAGATACGACTTTCTTTGATGTATATGTTAGTTCTTAGATGTAAAAGAGTTAAGACTTTACGATGGTTTTCTGCAAGAAGATGTACGGATCGTATAATCACCAAAGACAAGAAACAGTAAAACAAAAGCGGAAGAAATACTACTTCGTATCAATTACAAGATAAATCCCAAATTTAGGTGAAGATAAAACTAAAGAATATTTATTAAACAGAAAAAAAAGGGGAGTATTCACAGGAAATGCTCTCTCCCGTGTAACAGCAAGCCATATTATTATTGGCTGCAACACTGTTTTTAATGCTTCATAATACTTGTAAGCTTCATTTTGCGAAAAGGTAAAAGATCGGTAGCCCTGACTCCTGGAGGTTTACCTTCATTGCCGTAATAACTGTTTAAGCATTTAGACACATTTGCTCTAGCTTCTAGATATTTTATAATAGCAAATGTTGAAATGATGTCTTTAGAATTCTTGGGCACAATAATTTCAAGTTCTGCTCCTGCGGAAAAACAAAGAACCTCGCACTGATAAATTTGCGAGATATCGTACAATAACAATGTCCCTGGGGGTTTCATGTTGTCCATTAAAAAGACAAATTATATAATCGACAGATGAATTGTGCCTATTTTCTTCAGCTTCCTTCACATTACGAACCTTCAGACCATGCCCCTTAAAGTATTTCAGGGAACAAACCAGGCTTTCACTAAAGCTGTACTTATGATTATCGTATGCTCTTGTGTACTGCAATCGACACTCATTATCAATTGTAATCATGTTCACCATTACACTACATTCAAAATAAAATAGTGCCATTATTTTAAAAAATCGGTATTTAATAGATATTTCATATACATCATTGTATTAATATAGTTATACCTTCATCTACATCTTCCGTCAGTTCTGGATACTGTTAGTGAATTTTATCAACACTGACTGTACCTCTTACTGGTTGCTTTCCCTGGGCAATTTTTTTTTTTTTTGATATTAGAATCTGAGGATATTGTAAAAGCTCTAAATTGTACGCACCAATTTATCATTAAAGTACTTTTTAAAATGCATTATTTAGACTGACCTTTAAAGAAAAGTTGTTCTTGTTCTTGTCAGGCCCTAATGTACATGTATATCATTAAACATTGTGTTATTAATTAATTTTTACGTAACATCATTGTACTCACCTGTTTTTGAATCCTCATCAGGGTCTTTAAAATAGCACCTTTTCAATTTGAACGAGAACTTGTGAATAAATACAGCCTTTTGGCGGGTACATTAAAAAGCAACGTCTGGAGTAGTTATGTATTGGTTGCTTATTGTTAAATTACAGATCCAGCAGCCAATAATTGAACGATTCAGATGTCTGAGTAACCCCAGCAGTATCCCAGCACAAAATTTTACCAGCCGCAATCTGAGAGAGATTTGAGGCATTGTCACGTTGAAAAAGTACTAAACAAGTAAGGACCCTGTTTATTTGCTTGAACAATGGAGAGGGTCTCCAGACAGTGTACCTGAATGTAACGAGAATAAAGAGGACTGGCCATGACGCAATTTTTCTTTTCTTTTACCCGTGCGCGTACTTCAAATTGTAAATGAGGGACGTCTATGGATGGAACAAGCATAAAAAAAAAAGTGGGATTATTTGCTCATCGTATTGCAGCTTCCCTAAGCCATAAATCGAGCAAAGAGGTGTAATAGTATAAATCAATACAGTGTGGTTGCATAAAAAGGAATGCACTGTGTAGATACACGCATCGGCGAGTTTATTATTTTACGACGTGATTTCATTGGTTATGAGGTTTATTATCGTTATTTTTTTTTTTTTAAGCTATTTTTATTTTTATTTTTTGTGTCTGAACCTCTTTCAGTTAAATAGGCTAGGGGTTTTACAATAGAAATGAATAACGGACATAAGAATTCGGTAGCATCCTTAGGAATCAACACACAATTTAGCACTAGCTCAGTTTCTTCAGGAGGCTCGCCTTTAAACTCGCCGTTAATATCGCCAGCACCAGGATCTCCTTTCCCTCCAGAAAATTCATCTTGGGACCAATTACAAAATCAGTTTACACAACAAATGTCACTTCAGCCACCTTCACCTGCCCCACCAGTGTCGAGTAAATCAACAGGTGGAAATACCTTTGTACATAAATTATACAAGTAATTTGGATTTTGTTTGTTTCACTTTATATATTTTTGTGTCTTACTTTTATTTTTTATTAGTATGGTGGTGGACAAACAATATCAGCATTTGATTGCTTGGACATATACAGGAACTTCATTTATTGTTTGTAATATCACTGAGTTTTCAAGAGATGTATTACCCAAGCATTTTAAACATAACAACTTTAGTAGTTTTGTTAGACAGCTCAATATGTATGGATTTCATAAAGTGAATAAATCACCAAGGGGCCATCGTACGTTAGCCGAGAATCAGATCTGGGAGTTCTCACACCCAAAGTTTCTGAGAAACAGACCAGATTTACTAGATGAAATTAAGCGTAAAGCATTAGAAACAGAGTCTGTCCGAAGAGACACTAGTGATATCAACTCGCACATGACGATGATGCAAATGTCACAAACAGACATGATACAACAAATATCTCAACTACAAGAGAATCTGAACCAAGTTGTTCATGAGTTGACAGAGACCAAAAGAAGACAACATGTTCAACAACAAATGATGAAAGATATGATGGATTTCATGACTAAACAGTATGGTGCGATGCCACCAGCAGTAGCATCATCGACCGTGCAAAATATGGAATTATTTGAAATCAAACAAGATCCAGATAGACCACCACCGCCTATTTTTATTACATCAGCAGATAACCATCATCACCAGCAGCAACAGGGTGGTAATTTCTATCTAAATGTCAATGAACAACCTTCTTCGCCTAATTCAGCTTCTTCTTCACCGCAAATCTCCCACAATAATAACAATAATAGTAATTCACATCCACTTTCTGTACAAACCCACACAAGTATGAATCATCAATATCAACAACAACAGCAAAGATCCCCTTCTTATCAATCCGCTATAAATACGCCTTTACCTCCGAGTCCTTGCCCAAGTAATGGGAATTATTTATCTCATACGGAAGACCCATATAATCCAACAAGCCCAATGGCTCCGAACTCTTTTATACAACAGCAGCAACAACAACAACAACAACAACAGCAGCAGCAGCAGCAACAACAACAGCAACACTATAACAACTTTCATCCATAATAAAAAATAATAAAAATGAGTTTTAAATATAAAAAATGTTTTTGAGTGACGTATAATTGGATTTTTTTTTTTTTTTCTCTTTCTTTCTTTTTCCTTTTAATCACGTCTTTAATTAGAAAGAGAATTCAAGTGAGCTAATGTAAAAGACCTGTTATAGAGACCTGATACTGATCTAGTTTATTACAGATTTATTCAAGCATACAACAAAAATAGCCGCTTTTTTTACCTCTTTTTTTGTATATAAACCAACAACAACAATATGCTCCCTCTTTCACTCTTACATACAGCAGCTGGTCACCCCATGTTGGTTGAACTCAAAAGTGGCGAAACATTCAATGGTCATTTAGTCAACTGCGACAATTGGATGAATTTAACTTTACGTGAAGTCATCCAAACCTCGCCCGATGGTGACAAGTTTTGGAGATTACCTGAATGTTATATTAGAGGAAACACAATCAAATACCTTAACGTACCCGAAGAAATTGTAGATATGGTTAAAGAAGATGAAGGTAGACAAAGACAAATGGCTGGACGTGGACGTGGACGTGGACGTGATAATAATTTCAACAACTCTCGTGGTGGCAGAGGTGGAAATGGTAGAGGTGGTAGAGGTGGAAGAGGTGCTTCAGGTCCTAACGCTAATGCTACCGTGATTGGTGCAAGATCATAAGGGATCTCATTTTATATACTTTATTACCAGATACACTCACTCACTCACTCGCTTCGCCCTCACTCACACAAAAAATATTAAAAATACATGAACCGCAATCCTACCCTTTTTTTTTTTTTTTTTTTATAATACTTTTTCTTTTTACATCTTTTTTTTTTCTTTTTCTTTTTTTTTTTTTTCACATATATATAAACACACATACATTGATCGTAGATGAATAAAATTACATTTATCTTCAAGCAAAACATCGGCAAAGAGCTCCCATAGCCATATCTAATGAACTTAAGGTTTCCTCGGAATACAACAACGAGTTTGTCATAAATCCGTGCAAGACGCCCAAAACACGAGTGCTGGTGACAGGTACACCAGCCTGAATCAATTTACGAGCAAAAATTTCGGCCTCTAACATGTTAAAAAACGTTAAGTACAAGCTCCCTATTTACAGTACTTCCATGTTGTTTTACCGTCTCTTAATATATCTGCTTCTGCAGTTATAATCAAAGCAGGAGGCAAATCTTTCAATTCATCCAGCGTAGCCTTGAGCGGACAAGCAAGAATGTTTTGTCGATCCACCTTGTCAGGTACATACAAATCCCAAAAATACTCCATCATCCTGCGAACGAGGCCAAAGTCTTTACCAAATTCGTAATAGGATCCTGTATTAAAAACTGCATCGGTCACAGGATAGAACAAGACTTGATAAACAAGCTTTCTCTCTTCATTTCGTTCCTTATCAAGCACTGAAGAAAAAAAAATTAGTGATTTGATACCTGTCTAGTTTGTTTGTAAACATTTTCTTACAGGTAACAGCAATGGCCAAGTTACCACCAGCAGAATCACCGCCGATAGCGACACGAGTAGGATCGATCTTTAATGTTCCGCCATGTTCCAAACTTGTAACCCAAGAGAAAACACTGTAACATTCCTCAACAGCGATAGGAAATTGAGCCTCAGGGCTTAAAGTATAATGTACATAAAACACTGCACATTTAACCGTATCAGCAATCTAAACGATAATTAAAATCACAATTTATCTACACATACAAAGGAACGCAAGTGTACCTTAGAACAAAGAAACCTGTACGCATCTTTATTTGAATGCAACGCCCATCCTCCACCATGACTATACGTTTCGCTAAAGATGAGCCACTCAGCTAAAAAGAAATCACAAAATGTACCTTACATGTAGATTAACGCGGGTAAAACGCTGTCTTTACTATCACTTGGTCGATAGACATCGACACTAAGATCTGGTGTTCCAGGCACGCTCATTGTCTCGACATTGACAACAGGAAAGACGGCAGGTGATTTAAGTTCAGGCCTTGCTCGCAACGCATTAATTTCCAAATAAGCTTCATCGAATGCAGGAAGTGCTTCTAAGTATTTACGTGTAGTACTTGTTACTGTTAAATAAGATGCCATTCTTTTTCTTTTTCTTTTTTTTTGCCGGGAGACACTAAAAATAAAATGACAAAGGAATCGTTACAGTCATTCGAGTTCTTTTTTTTTTTGATGATCATTGTTACACAATTGGCCGTGATTTTAAAACGGCATAAATTTTAATAATACGTTTAATGTCATTATGGTTCTCATAGATCCTCTTGCAATACATCATATCCAAAGATAGAAGACACATTGTTTCAGTGAGATTTTGTTGCAAATGATACTTTTTTTAATGGTGTATTATAACAGCTACGGAGAAAAAAATTGTACATTGTCACTTGGTAACGATTGAGCACATTGAAAATCAACTAACAACATTAAATTACGACTATATATACGATACGTAAAACCAATATTCAATCTAATCATTCAATCTTCTTCCAGTATTAATTAACCATGCCTCCAAACAACTCTCAATTCCTCAGCAAGTATGCTGTCAGCAGTAGCAGCAACAACAAGCAAATAAACATCGATGATTGCTTTGATGATCTTGAAAATACGATCAATAAATTGGATGCAGTTAGCATTCGCAAAGATCATACCCAAACTAAACCTAAGCAATCTTTCGCATACACCAATCCTACATCTGAATGTATTCCACAGGAACGACTGGAAGGTCCAGATATGAGTCGTAACTTGTCGCAATTCCTTTATCCTAAGCCTTCTATAACTACACATATTCGTCCTGACATGCAAGCCCCTAATTTAGATAGACATGTGTCGCAAATACTTGGTCCCCAAGCTTCTTCTGTGGCTGATTCTACATATGGTGGCTATAATACGCAACCAGTTCGTCCCCCAGCTTCTGTGAACAATTCTACATTTGGGTATAAGACGCAATCCTCAAATCTAGGTAGAGAAGTGTCTCAACCAGTTCGTCCCCCAGCTTCTGTGAACAATTCCACATTTGGGTATAAGACGCAATCCTCAAATTTAAGTGGACAAGTGTCTCAAATAGTTCGTCCCCAGACTTCTGTGGCCAATTCTACATATCACGGTCATAAAATGCAAAATCCATATAGACCTCAACGTATGGATTCTGTAATTTTGGGGAAGCAAGGCTTCAACGCTGGTAAACCGCCAGTAAGTGGATTTGCACCTTTAGCGGCAGACTCTAATGTCCCTGTAGCTCCGGAGGTAGCCTCTGATGTTCCTGTAGCTCCAGAGGTAGCTTCTAATGTTCCTGCAGATCCTACCAAGAAATATAAAGTGATTACTGTGAAGAAATTTTACCACGGAAGACCGCTTTTGAGAAAAGATTAGTCTTTTTGAAACTTGTGAAAGACAACATAGATTATTACTTTTCTCTCCCTTTAATGAATAAATAAAAATGATAATATTAATGAAAAAAAAAAGGATATTAGGTTTATTAGGAAATATAAAGTATTAAGAGAATAAGTGATTGATTAATAAAAAAGAAAGAGGGAGGGGGGATATCAAAAATAAAGAATTAAGGACAGTTCTCTTTAAGACCACCGGGGCAAGTAGCTGTGACAGCATGACCTGGGACATTGGCAATCTTAAGAACAGCAGAAACAATGGCACCGATACCTTGACCAGCAATTAAACCACCAGCAACACTGAACATAAGATCTCCATGAGCAACAGGTCTAATCTTCTTCCAAATCTTACCACCAGCCCAACCCAAAAACATGGCAACAGGGACAGCAGGTTGAGGATTGATCATGGCAATACCAACGGCACTGACAGAAGGATACCATCTATGGTACTTTTGGGGAACAAGGAAGACACGAACAAGAGGTACGACAACAGCGGCGACACCACAAACGGCAGTAGCAATGATGGAACCTTTGGAAAGAGGCTCACTCGTACCAGTCAAAAGTTCGGTAACCTTTTGCCAAGCAGTGACAGCAACCAAACCAAATTCACAATCAGAGACTTCGATCGAGCCATCAATGATACAAGGATAGGCTTCGGCGAAAAGAATGAAGAGACCAACAGCAATAGCGATAGCGAAGAAAGAAGCAATGAATTGGGCCAAGAATTGAGATCTGGGAGAAGCGCCAACTAATTGACCAGTCTTAAGATCACCCACCATGTCGACAGCTTGAGAAGCAGCAGAAGCAGAAACGTTACCAGCTAACAAATTGACAGTCATGACTTGTTTCAAAGAATCTCCAGGCATCTTGGCAAAGACAAGTTGGGACATTTTACCAATGGAACCGGTAGGGTTAATATCGGTCTCACCAGTAGCTTGAAGACCCACAAAGGAGAACATGAAGGCGAGAATGATAGAAACAATAGATTGGTAAACGGGCATACCAAAGTATTCACCCATGATGGCACAGGTAAAGATGATGGATATGAAAGTACCAGAAATCCACCACAAGGTAGGGACTAATTCAGCTTCAGTGAAGATTTCGGTGTCATCCACAGCAGAGTTATATTTGTTTTGTTGTTCATCAGAGAGATTCTTACGGAGGACAACACGACGGAAATGGTTGGTACCACGCATGAAAACCAAACCAAGTTCCTTACAACCACCCTTGATACCACGCCAGAGAGTCTCGTAATGAATAAAAAGTTCAGTGAAAGCAGTAAGAGTCATGAGAGCAATACCAGGCCATAAGAAGAAACGGTTAGTAGTTTCACCATCCTTAAGGAAACCCAGAGGTGCAACAAAGGTGCCGTTTTGGACAAGAAGGGGACCAATAATACCATAAACACCAATGGTAGCAATTAAGAAAGTGACAACAGTGTTACCAGGTGTCATGAGACCGGCACCGAAGAAGGGGAAATCAAAATGGAAGAACCAACCCCAGGCAGCATCAGCAGTCATCAAGGGAGAGTAGTTGGCAGCTTCACCAATATAGTAAAGGAAATGAAGGTTTTCAAAGAAAGGAAGCCAGTAAGAAATGATGCTCCAAAGGAAAGTGAGAACAAAGAAGAAACCCATATATTTGGCCTTCTTCATGGCAGCCTTTTCACCTTCAACGGTATCATGAAGAGAAATAATGGTAATGGCAGCAGCACGGGGAGTAGGGAAAGTAAGATCTTGGTTAATAACAAAGTGAGAACGGAGAGGGACAGCAAAGAATAAACCATAGAAAGCACAAGAGATGGTAAGAAGCAAGAGTTTGACAGCATCTTCACGAGGAGTAGTCAACAAACCGAGTCTATACATTGCAGGAATACCAGCGACAAAACCAGCAGAAAGACCACCAGAGGTAGTGGCTGCGGATTGGGCAGTACAATTTTCTTTGGGACCAAAATATCCGCCACCCCATTTGGGAGGAAGAGCCTTGGACATGGGCTTAATGATGGCAAAGGAAAAAATGGCACCGAATAATGAAGCACCGAAAGTCCAACCCATCTTTAAACCGAGATATGTGTTTGATGCAGCTAAATTATTATGAAAAAAAAAGTGTTAGATCATGAAACTGTTATTGGTTTTTGTTTTCGAGTCGTACCAACTAAACAACCAAGCAAAGAGCCAATAATAGAAGCACGCCATGTAAATTGAAATTCTTCGACAATGGCATGATGAACGGGCTTTTCTTCAACAGCGACTTGGCTATCGGTATCTTTGTCAGAGTAATCTAACTTTTCATTTTTGTATGATGAGGGCGAGTCCAGCTCGAATTTTTCATCAACGACGACGGGTGTTGTCATTGCTTTTGGTTTTTTTTTTTGTGAAGAAAAAATAAAGAAAAGTGATTTGATAATGGAGATGATTGAAATAGTTGATTTGTATTTATACAGAAAAATCGATCAGTGTAATCATGTGATGATAAGATATTTCGCACGACAAAAATAAAGTCAGTACGACGGCGCTCCATAGTATGTCGCGTGAATACAAGTCAAAGGGGACAAGTAGCATTTACAACTTGACATCCTACATCTGTTTCAGGTAATTCCTTCTTAAAAAGGATGTTTTAAAAAGCTTGTATCATTTGGTGAAAAAAAAAAAAAGAGATTTTTTATTTCCAGCTCAAATGATTAATGCGATCTAACCAGCTCATCTAATCTTGGCTAGTAAGTGAAATATCAACTTTTTTTTTTTGAATGTTTGTAGTAAAGAAAAGAAAAGAAAGCTTTTCTCTATCTAACCCTTTTTTTTTTCTTGGCCCTTTTCGGAAAGTGAATGTGATTTGACTGTAGGACTTCCATTAATTCTAATCATTCCTAACATTCTGCTATTGCCTTATGCAAATTCTTAACTTTACTGCCTAACAAGGTAATACATCTTAGGAATCATTTTATCAGCTACACATTTGCATGGAGCTTGTATGTTTCATTAACTTTCGTTCATGATGGCCTATAAAATTTCTTGAATTCTATATTTTAATCTATTTGATCACAAGGCAATCGGTCAGACCCTGATCTAACCCCTCAATGAATTTACCACAATCTTTAGTGCTACCAATATGAGAATAGTGTATAACAGTAGACATTAATTGATCCCTCATGAAACCCAAAAAAGAAACTTGCTTGGTTTTGTGTGAACGCCCCTGTGCATATTTTCTAAAATAACGAAATTGGTCTTTCTTTTTTAAAACTTCTACAGGTGCATATCGGGAGTCCGACCGATTGTCAAGTTATACAAGGTGTACAAGAAACATGCAGTTTTAAAGTAGCAGCTTAGTGGTGTGTGAATTTTCCAGAATGGCGATTTTCCGATTAGTTGGTCCAGTCTTTATCAAATAATGCACATGATTGTGTAAAAAGTTAAATTCTGCATTATATTATAGGTGGAGATCAACCCGGGGTTTTTCATGAAAAAACGGCACATTGATTTTGGAAATATTTTATCTGATGTTAATTTGATACTAGCAACACCATTTTTTATTATTATTCATTTGATACAAAACGCAATGGCCATTTAACCTACCATATGACTCATACCGAAAAACTCAGACTATTTTATATATAAATAAAGATCAGACATAATATCTCTAATTTAATATCATGCCACCGCTCTGGGTGCAGCACTTTCTATCTTTCAAAAGAGGAAAGTTAGTCAAAGAAAGGAAACCAACTCATTAAGGTTTCTTTAGCTTCCTTTCTTCTATTCTTTCTCTTCCAAATTTTAATTATCAATACCATTAAAGCAATTTTATCTCGATCTGTCAAAAAAGCTTTATAATGTTTAGTTGGTTACTTTAAAATCTTCTAATTCTTGTCAATCTTTTTTTGTAACTACCAAAAACTCATCGTTCAAATGTCACAGTGATATTCATAGTGCTACTTTTCGAGATCATCGGCCATCAGTTACTAGGCCCGGAACAACGGATTTATTGTAGTCATCTTTAACAAGATACACTAATTAGATATACTTGGCAATTTTTATGGGTGATAAGAACCAGTTATTACGGAATTATATCTGATTGCAATCCTAGACAAAAGGAAAAAGGGGACAATAGTAATAAAAAGCTTTGTGTAAATCCCGAATTTCTGGAATTGAACCTTGATCTTCCTCAATCAAGACTCTTGAACATGACCTTGGTTCCAATAGCCCTCCCTTTCCGCACTAAAGCGAATCAAGAACTTCCACTTAGCAGAATTGTGTCTTTATAAAGAAAACAAGTGAATAAAATTAGCATTGATTAGCACATGTGGTTAGAGCATACGGCTTTATTCTATTCTTTCCTTAACGACTTTGTTACACGGGCGAGTGTTATACTCGAAATAATTCGTGTTCCTATTAGCAGTTGTATTCCCGTGTTCCTCTACTGAAATTAATTTTTGTCGTGATCAATCTTTACCACGGACGTCGTACAGAACTATTACCATAAAAAAAAGTGGGCGCAGTAACAGGACAGAAAGGCGAATATTCATTGGCTATCCTCTAATCGATTCTGTTTTTAAAGCCATATTGAGATCATGTAATTCTACTTGTAAATGCATATGTGAACAATCATCTATCAGATAGAGATTTTTGAGGATGCTATCCCAACATATACAAATACAAAAAAACACCACTGTATATAGCTTTTATTTCAAATGTAAAAGATGGGGCAGACTTGGTAATACAAGATCTTGAATTAATAAAGGCCCGAACTTGGGCCTGCGCGCTTCTTTTTCGTCTAGATGATTTTATTTCCAAAAATCAATGTTGTTCACCTTAGTATCCCCAAGTTCAACTAAAATAATAAAAAAAAAGGTAAATACTAAATCATAGGACAATATTTTACGAGAAACAATGGGGCAATTAATCGGAAGACAAAAAAAATCGAAGAGGCGATATTTACGAGTTATGATTTGTTAAATGATCCAGGCAAGTAGAGAAAGTGATATTTGTACAGGTTTATTCAAAGAATTAGACATAAATTAGATGCATTAGAGAGTGAAAGAGAGAGAGTTTGTGGGTGTGGTTGGGAAATAAATTAAAATACAAGGCGGTAAGGGGAAAAGAGGGATTGTAAAAAGATCAAGTTGTTCTTTGGATACATTGGATATACAGGTCGACATCAGCGTCAGTCAGGATATGATTTGAATCAAATGAGATTTTTCTCTTCAAATCCTCACATAATTGATCTAAATTCAAGTCTGGGCAGTAACTTTTTACATCCTGATGTACTTCATATAAGCGGCGGTTAGCACCTTTGGCACGATCAAGCACAGCCAATATTTTTCGTTTGCATGGTTTTTCATTTTCAGGCGCGCATTTTAAGAGAGAACCATCCTCATTTAATTCATTGGTAAATAAAGGGTCTAGCGAAGAGTTATTGAATGGGGCAGGGTTGTCTAAACCAAACAAATCCATTTCATTTCCAAATAGTTGGGGCAATGGTTGGTTTTGAATGAGATAGTCAGATTCGCTGGCAGGGGCACGATAATCTGTGAGTGGTTTGTCATCAAACAAGTCCGCATTATCGTCCGTTCTACTGGAGTCAAAGTTTGTGAAGGAAGGAGTCATAATTTCGTCTGTTTCGGCAGTAGCGGGTGGGGAAGCCGGGTGTGATTTATCCGAATTCGCTGGGAATTCAAACGTGAATTTGGCATCTTTTAAAATATAGTTTTCCTCCTTCAAACGTTCATTTTCCAACTTTAATCTAGTGTTCTCCATCGCAAGTTCTTTCTCACGTTTATCTTTAGCGTCTTGTAATTGTTTCATTTGTTCTTGTAATTCACTGACAAATTGCTCTTTACGTTCACGAAATGCTCTCTGCGCAGCTCGGTTTTGAGCTTTTCTTTTTAATTTAGGATCAGAGGGTAACACCTATTAACCGATTTGTGTATGTTTTTAATATGAAATTGTAACAAATGTATCATCATCTTTTTTTTTTTTTTTTCGTTTAACTCACAGTGACTTTGGCTAATGGCTTACGGCCGGGTTTTTTGGCCTTCTTTAACGGTCCATCTGCTAACAATACATCAGATTAGTGTCAAAAAACAAATGCAATTTAAGATGCCGACCCGGACGTTTTTTTTTTACCCGTTGCATTTCTAGATTTAGTGGTGTCGGTGGTCTTTGCTATTCAATAAGCAAAACGTAAATACAAATGAACTTTGTTTCAAGTCATTACGCTTACTCTTTCTTTTCGTCTTTGGTGCAGAATCACTACTCCAGTCGAAAGACTCGTCCGAGCTTGAAAGTTCTGCATAGTTGGGTTTACTGGTCATGATATTATATCTGAAAAAAGAAACCTTATAGAACAAAGAGAGGACGAGCAAAAAAAAAAAAGTTGTATTTAAATGAAAAAAAAAAAAAAAGTCTGGTCAACTCAAGGCGAATGGCAATTGCTTAATAATCCTTAAAGGGGGATTATGATTGGTTGATTTTATTTGGTATAAGTGGGGTGGGGTGGGGTGTTATGGTGGGGGTGTGTGGGGGGAGATGTACAAATTTACAGATTGTTTTTAGTTGTTGTCAATTCATTATGAGACCAACGTTGGATTTTGTTTGCGCTACTGTTACCAATAACCATATCGTGAGTATGAGTATTGGCATTATCACTATTATAATACTGATGCATTAGACGACGCTCTTTTCGTTTCCCACTTTCTGTTTTATGAACCGACCTTCTTCTTTTAACCTCTTCATCAAATGATGATTCATTTGCACTGTTTCTTCTTGAATGTTCTTGTTGTTTGTTACTGCTCTCTCCTTGGGGTAAAGTAGATGACATGGATGAATAGGGTCTTTGTTCAAATGGCGGTGAATTGGGTGCAGAGTCTATACTACCCGAATAGTAGCCCACAGACGAATTAGATCCTGACGACAACCATGAACGTCTAAACGACGAATCCACCGGTGTAGCCGTATGTTGTAGCTCATCAGGTAATATTCCACCTACTACAATACTGCCTCTATTATTACTCGTTGCTTTCGGTGATTGGACTAAAAGTGATCTACGTTTAGCTCGATATTCCGAAGGTCTTATTGTCTTTTCTGTTGAAGTTTCGTGCGACTGATGATGATGATAATTATGTGGAGATAATGGTGACATAATAGGTGACATATTTGTTGGTGACAACGACATACCAAAGTCAGATTCTATCGGTGGTGGAGGTGAAGACGGTAAAGCGCTTATTGGCCAATGTCGTGATTGTTGTTCGAAATGAAATGGCAAATCAGTTGATGTGTTCAGTTCTAAATATTCGTATTGATTTAGAGCATTACTCGCCTTCAGATTCTTATAAATTGTGCAGAGTCCAAACACATATGCAGACCACAGGAATGCAACAGCCAGCGTGATATTGACATACGTGGTAGCATCTGTTATATAAAACTTCATGTAGCGAATCCATCCCACATTTGATCCCATGAATAAAATACCACCACAAATAGACAATAATGATGCCAACAATCCAGTCACAAGAGTGATAGTTGCAAATATAAAGGTGTGTTTACACTTTGTCCCTTGCTCTTCCTCTTCCTCTTCGATATCCTGATCAATTTGCTGAAACATTCGATGTGGTAAATTATCAGCTGGTGATTTACGGAAAACAATCTGAGTTAAACGTGCAATAGCTCCGATGATCAATATATAGCCAAGCATGGTATGTACTTGTGCTGCATAAGTATCTCCAACTTGAGTTAAACCTGCCACAATAGCTATATTGGATATATTTATATTTTTTTTTTCAGTCAGAGTGAAGTGATAACATATTTCGGTCTCTTTTACCTCGACCTGTCAAGCAAATAATCAGGGCGTTAATAATATTTCGTTCTCTGAGTGCCGGAATCCAAGTTTGTACGCTCAAACTAATTGAAAAAAGACCACCTGTAAACCATAATAAACCTAAATTTATTGCCCGCCATTCCGATCCTAAAATAGGTGTACCTAGAATAATAAAGTATATTAGTCTTTTTCAAACGAAAAAAAAAAAGGATAGAGAAAAGAGCAAGAAGGATAATGAATGTCTCTTTTGGAAAAATAAAGGGGGTTCAATACTTTACCAGCTACAAGTAAACTAATAAATCCCCAGAATGTGATAATCACACCCTCATAATATTCTGGAGTTGCAGGGCGTGGTAATTTAATTATGGCCAGTAAATGTAATAATGCTAGTGTTCCATACATGATGAATCCTGTTCCCATGGCAACTGGCATCAAACACTGGGATTGCTGCTGCTCATTGTTACAGCTTTCAGTGAATACAAGGGCTGCCAAAGTCAAATAGCTAAATGCCACAGTCAAACTAATCCAGCCAAGGGTCAAATCGATCCACTTTGGTATCTTTTTCACTTGTCGTGTTGATAATCGTCTGTAGATCGCAAGTATCGATTGGGAAACCACTAAAAGAAATAGTAACAGACTGATCACGTTTAAAATAGTGGAAGCCGTGCTTCGTTCGTTTTGATGTATAAAGTAACCCGAAATAAATCCAGTCAAACCAAAGAATAAAGCTGCACTAGCAATATACACTTTTTGTTTTTGAATCTTTCGTGTTAATAATAAAGGGTAGCACCCGAGAAACGCAATAACCATTGAAATGTAATGAGTGATGACAACAGGTTGTTTAAATGGTGCATGAGTAGAAAAAGAATGGATGGTCGAGGTTTCCATTTTTTATTTGTTGTTATAACGCACTCTGAGTATATTTTGGATATTTTTGTATAGATTATTTCAATAAAAACATATAAAAGGGAGAGAGAGAGAAAAAAGGGAAAGGGGAGCACAAAAAATAACTCTCTTTTTATACATTTTTTTTTATTATTATTATTATTGCTGTAAAATTGAACTTTATTTTATTAAAACAAACATAAAGACGTCTAACCGATAATGAGCTTATCATCTTGGAAGTTGTATTCTATTATGATAATTATTTATAAAAAAAAAGAAAAAAAAAAGAAAATTGAGTACACAAAGGAAAAAAACAATGCAACCATCAAACTATTGAAACTTACCAGGAATTTCGAGATTAAGAGGAGCAGGACCTTGACGAATACGGCCAGAAATATCATAATGAGAACCGTGACAGGGACAGTACCATCCACCGAAATCACCAGCTTCACCAATAGGAACACAACCCCTAATTAACAAAAAAATTATCAACATCTGCAATCGATTTTTTTTTTCTCTCTCTCTCTTATTTTCACTCTTTCTTTTTGCTTATAAAACTTACAAATGGGTACAGACACCCAACATGACGAGCCATTTAGGATCCTTGACTCTCTCAGCATCTTGTTGAGGATCACGTAATTCAGCAACATTGACTGTGTTGGCTTCAGCAATTTCGGATTCAGTACGATGACGAATGAATACGGGCTTTCCTCTCCACTTGATTGTAACGTTCTTTCCTTCAGGGATAGAAGCTAATTCAACTTCGGCCTTGGCCAAAGCCAAAACATCAGCAGAAGCAGACATATTGGCCAAGAAATCGGTAACTGTAGCTTGAGCACCGGCGGCACTCAACAAACCAGTGGTACCAACAACCATGTAAGCAAAGTTACGACTGGCTTCACCACTGCTCTTGGTCTTCTTATACTTGCTAAAGTCGGGAATAGAAGTGGTGTGGTTGCGACGTAATTGGAAATCGTTAATGGGTCCAACTAATTCAAAAAAAAAAATAACACACGACTTTCATTAATAAACCTATATAGCCTCATTACTAAGAGTGTTATCATTACCATTGACGCTGGATCTGTTAACTAAACCACCGACAGATCTTTGCTTGGTGGCGGCACTGAACAAAGGATGGCTCTTGTGAGATTCATGGTGTTCGTCGTCAGTAGTGTTGCTGGAAGCGTGGAAAACTGTCTTTAAAGCGTTAACAGAAGCAGGTGCATTGGTGTAAGAGCGATTGACGATGGCAGACGCAAATGAGCGTGATAATGAGGCCATTTTGTTTTATATAAAAAAAGTTATATAAAAAAGAGTGGGGAGAGTTAAAAGTTGAAGAAAAACAAAAAGAGGCGGGGCTTTTTGGGCAAAGGGTACCCACCCTCGACAAACACTTTTTTTTGAAACACAGCTGCCTTATACCCCGGGCATTTAAATCGGCCCTGTGACGACTGGCAACTCTGAGTTTGATTGTCTTTTTTTTTTGTGCATTACTGCATTGGCGAAATGTAGTTTTCTGTAATCAGAGATGACGAAACCACCAGCGTTTATGTTACATATTTACCTTAATAGCGTGTCGTAACTATCTGAGAATCAAGCATAGCAACACTCTATTAAAATTTTTCTAGAGCCACTTAATCAGAAAAACTACCAATCATCTATACAAAGCTTGATTATAACAAAATTACGGCTCTCAGTGACCGACTCTATAAACTTCTCCTCGTAGTTGTTTCAAATGTTAAATAGTCACTACAAAATCATTCATTTCTTCCTGAATGGGACAAAATCAACGAATAAGCTTTTGTAGTTATCACCATACAGAGTGAATTTGTAAAACATTCGTTGAAACACGTTATCACGTCGTGTTTAAACTGTACAATATTGGTCCAAGCTTATGGCTAGTCCACATAGTTCTCATGAATCATAATAAGCTTTCTCAGATAAGACTTAGAATGTATTTATAACCGTATACTTACTAGTGAAATACATTTTCCCCTCAATATGTTAGAACGCGTCACCAATTAGAAAGTCCATAATCGCATTTCGCTTTTCGCCTTTCTTAGAGACAGCCAATTTTTCCTTGGGGACAGCGAAAGTGCACGTAGTCGCAACGCAAGATCTGTGATTTAGATGTTCTGTAGACCTGGGAACAAGGATATATCATCAAAAACAATGTAATAATTACAAATAAATGTATATTAAACGATTTATACTTATCTTGACAATTCTATCATCACTCTTTCGCCTTTGAGCTCGTTTGATCTTAATCTTATGCAGAAATATTAAGGTAAAGTTCAAACGAGAAGCTGAAAGTAAGCTGTAACACAAGTATACTGGTTTACACTATGCTGGTTGTAATAAATGTGTATATATTCCAAGTTGTTAAGTTATATTGACCTCTTGATGTCTATAAAAGTATCATAATCCCAACACTACGACTACGCGCACCCTGGCTGCCCCTAAGAAAAATGGCTGTCCCTAAGATACCCGATCACATTTCATAGAATACAATACATTGTGCTGTCCTTTTAAGTACAATTCAAAGCTTTTATATCTAATGATGGAATAGCTCCCGTGAGAAGAGATTATAACTAAAATATTCGGATGGTAATAGTTCTCTGTATTGTTGTTTTCGATATTTTGTTTTTTCAATTTAACAGGTAGCTCCTCTTTTAAGCATGGCTGTTTCTATTGTTCGTTAATGATCAATGGACTGGCGTAAACTCTTACATTAAAAGCGTTAAATGACATGGTAAGATAGCCACTAAGAACAGAAATGCGAATACTTTGCATATAATTCTGATGGCATTTTACATTCTTATCACAGAGCTTAATAAGAATTTAGCCATGACATTATATCAACAATATTATGGCAAATCCACAGCAAGATATCGCTGTTTTATTCAGTGCATTTCAAATCAAGTATAACGTCTTCTCCACGCCAGCCAATGTCAATATTAAAACTATTCCGGTCGGCAAGTTTGCATATATGTTTTCCATCTTTGTACTCCTCATCGCCATGCAGCATCGAAAAAGTGTAGTAGTCTGGCTGTCCAAAATCCACGTGGATCAACTTCAATAGAGGGTTATCCAAAAACCATAGGTTGACGGTTCCGGAAAGTGAGTAACAACAGCCGCTTATATGGAATTCCTCCAACATTGGGCACGATTGTATTGCGAATCTTATGATGTTATTAATTTCCTTTACATTAAATCCTTGGTAGGCATACATTCTTATGTACAACCGCTTGATAGTACACACTGGTACTTCGATCCTAGATGAAACATGTCCTAAACATGTGATTTCAACTTCCAAAACGTCAAGCTTGGATAAGTGTATCAGTAACTGGAGAAATAAACCTGAACCGATACGCATCGAAATACATAGATGCTGAAGGCTAGGCAGACGAGCTGGTAAAGTATGAAGAAAGCGATATAATGTTCTATCATTCATACGGATATCACGGTATGACAGTATTTCCAAATGCTTTATGCTTTTGGATTGCTTGGATGATAAAATGATTTCCAATTGGTCTTTAAATCCTCCATAATCATCATCTATGGTGATCTTTTTCAACTGCAAATTTCTATCGTCAATAGCATCCATAATTGTTTTTGTAAGGGGGAATACACCGATTCCATAGCTAGCCAACTTTGTGTTCATAACGCTGACCATCGTGGCGATACTGTGTTCGAATGTATTGATCACGCGTATGGGCTCTATATTAGTTTGTGGTGCAAGAATGGATATTTCTTCCAATCTGTTGTATTTGCATTGTATATACTGTAACCAAGATACCATGCTTGTTCCTATCCTATCCATTTCGCGAACCGAGTCCGCTACCAATTTTATTTTCAATTCTTTGATACCACTTACCCCTGTCACGAAATTTTCTGAAGAAAGAAGCCATACATTATCAAGATCCAGGCGCTGTAAGTTCGGTGTATGTGCATGCAAATCTTCCATGTCGAATAAATCAATTGCAAGATCAGTCAATCGCAGATGCTCAACTATGGGTGCAGAACCTATATATCTGATGAACCCCTTCACATCCGATCTAATTTTGGCTATATTGTTTGAGATATACGCTTTTTGAAAGCCGAGTCTCGCAAAACAAATGGAAATAGATGTCAGGTGTGTCAAGCGGGCTGACATGAGTAAAGCTGGAATAAGCTGGAACTTATCTGTAATAGTACTGACATGGCACATCCACTTCCATTTTTGGAACTGTTGTTGATATACTTTTGTTGGCAAGTCAAATTTTTCTACCTCAAGATCTTTAGACTCGTGCCACTCAAATTGGCGCAGGTTTGGAAATAGAGTAGGTAATGATAGCAATGTGTATGAATCGAGATATATCCCTTGAAGCTGTAAAGTATGAACATGTAGACCATATTCTTTGTTTCTATCAAAAAGGTCCAAAGCCCCTTGAAACTTTGTTGGATTGTCGGTGAAATTCAAAGCTGAGTATAGTTGAATGCAGACAATCTGGTGCCAAGACCGATTAACAAAATTACATTGGAGTTTGTCATGTAGACCAACTTGTCCAAATATTAAAGTGGAGATCTCCAGCGGTAATAGTTCCATGTATCAACACTAAACAATAATAAAGTCGGTGCTACTGGAAAAAAAAGTTTTGTTATTTGATCGGATATCACTCTGCGTCATCAAATCACACCAGGCACATACTATAGTTATCCATGAGTTTTGTCATTTAGACTAAATTATTGGTTTCACGAGTTTTTTTTTTTTCTTCTATCACCCATTAAAATTAGAATTATCAAAAGCACCATCGATTAAACGAAATTTCGAAATAGAATCTTGGAATCTGGATCAAATGAGAAGGTCTATTAAAGTTTTCTTTTTGTGATGGAGGGGAAAGAGAGATGCAGGTGAGTTAAACATTGCATATTTAATAAGTCAAACCCCCCACTGGGTACTCCACATGTTGTTTGTTTTGACCGACGAACCAGTTTTTTTTTTCTGTTCAACTGAGTATGATATACAATTTGACCTAATCAAGGGGTACGCACCCTGAAACAAACAATGCAAAAGTTCAAACCAGAAAAAAAGACTTCTTTCTTTACGTGGGAAAAACATATTGAAACAACCCTTTCAGATCTGATGTCATGAAATCTTGTTATTTGGTCATCCACATGCAAGTAACATGCATTTATATGTACAACAAACAATCTGTTGTAATAAATAGCCGTGGTGATAAATATATATAAATTCTTAAAATAAATATTTGTTTTTCGCAAAAACCCAAAACTTTGCCACTGACTTTAACCCGTCTTTTTTCGCCGTGAGATTAGAAGAAGAGAATGCAGCGTCGATCTTTAATACTATCTCGGAAAGAAACGCGATTATTTACCTTGATAAGAGAAAGAGTTTGCGATAGAGAGTGAGAGCGAGAGGGAGAGGGATTTAATTATACATGAGGAATTCCAGCTGGCTCACGATTTCTTTTGTAAAAACTATACAAGTGATATTTTAGCAGTGGTTCAAATGTAAATACAAATGAACATGTCCCCGTTCTGATGTTGATAGATAGCAATTAATAAACACCCTGAACAAAACTTTCTTTGCGTATATTTTCTTTCGCTTTAAAAAAAAATGACAAGGAGAAAAGAGTAAAATGTACAAGGATCTCGGAATGAAAAAAAACCATATAAATTAAAACTCAAACTATTTTTTTTATATTTCAAAAACGTCACTAGTACATAATTTGTAGCCGTAACGTGATTTAACTTATACTTATTGAAGTGGCGTGTGCGCTAGATTCTTTTTTTCTCATCTCGGTTTTTTTTTTTATAATTCCTCTTTTTCTTTTTTAATTTTCCCCACTAAAATTCAAAGATGTTGTACTGGCCAAAGCTGCTGATCACAGCTTATGCAATAACAAGTACACTGGAGCCCTTCATCCCTCTTTATTTAATCAATCAGTTACAGTTGACTGCTTTACAAGTATCCTTCCTTGTGGCTCTTGTTTATATCCTGAGATTGTTTTCTGGAACTTGGACTGCTGTTGTGGATAACCGCCCTCACCTATACGGAGCTGCCATCGCTAGTTTAACAACACTCTCTTCATTTTCATTCATCACATTATTATCATTATCATCGCCTGCCTTTAACAATGGAGACAATGACAAACCATTATATATCTGGGTCTTATTGGTTCTTTGTACTGTATTAAATGGATTGTTCTATCAGCCGCTAGGAAGTTTGATAGATAGCGCCATCATCAAGACCTTGGGTGATTACAGGGTACTGTTTTATGGTAGGTCTATCCAAAAAAGCTATATATATTGACGTGCATAATCTTATAATGCCTCCCTTTTTGTATCTAAATTATCTATTAAATCCAAATTAGGATCCTACGTACGATGGAGTAAAACAACCACAATAATTATGACGGGATTGGTTGGATGGCTTATCAATATAACAGAAGATAGATTCCTTGATACAGTATTGGTGATAATGTGGATGATTGGAATGGTCTTATTATTATTGATTGCGCTTTTATTTACATCGGTTGAGCCAGCAAATGCAAATCAGCTCGATATCAGTGAAGAACAGGCACCGCTGTTATTAAAAAATGCCCTTCATCTGACTGCTGATCAAAATAGCATTTCGTTCCCATCGTACAGACCATACAGTATCTTTGGTGAACAGTTATCTCATATATCTGAAGAAGATGCCAGTCAACTGGATAGAATGTTTACGAACACCGAAGATTCATTAAGACATGTTGATAGTTACGATAGCACCCCTTCCTTTTACAGCGGATTACATCATCATTACTCTTCCAGAAATAACAATAACGACGAAGAACATCATTTATCAATGACAATTATACCAACCGTACCATCAAATGCGTTAGCTTTATTACCATTACCTACACCAACAGATCCATTAGTGGCTTTTTTTCCTTGGATGAGACCAGAGCAAGATAATTTACAGGATGACTTACTTGTCCATCCCTACTATGGCTACAATAATCATCAAAATAATGCAATGGCAAAAATCAATAACTGGAAAACTCAGACACTCTCTCTCACATTACTGTTATTGGGCATTGGTTACACATTATTGAATACATTTTTATTCATTTATGTCTATACCATACTCCAAGTATCTATTTACATGATTGCCTGTCTAGTCATGGTACATGCAACGGCTGAAATGATTGTGTCATATACTATTGAAAAGGTATTATTTTATTCATAGATTGGTTATCAGTAAATTAAAAAAAAACTAATTATGATTATAGTGGTTTATTCATAGATTGAACTTGACTCTCATCACAACATCCGTACATATTATTTTAATCTTATGTGCAATACTATATCCATGTTTGAAACCTGATAGTGCCACAACACATGTCTTTTTACTCGTGTTACAGGCATTACAAGGTAATATATACAAACAAATGATCTGATGTCGGTAAACTTATTTTTTTTTTGTAGCTGTTGGATTCCAATTGATTTGGCTAAGTGGTGCTGATCAAGTTAATTTGATCATGTGGAGTCAATACGATCGAATGAAGCACAGATCAACTATATCCGCTTTATATAGCAGTATCGGGCCTGCGATTGGAGCTCTTGCTGCTGGTTATATCTTGCAATCCAGCACAAGTGACATGGAAGACTTTGCGCTTATCTACAAAATTTGTGTTGCATTGTTTTCTCTCAGCTTTGTTGTATCTTGGGGCTGGACATCTGACGATTAAATTTTCTTTCTCTCGTCTCTCTCTCTCTCTCTCTCTCATAATTGTAATTCTATATATATATCACTTTCTTTCATTCCCCCTTCAAACAAAGGAGTTGTTTCTTTTTCTTTTTTTTTTTACCCTTATACATATTTCCCCTTTCATTTTTCTTCATTGCTCATTTCGCTTTCCTTTCAAAAAATAATAAAAACCAAAAAAAAAAAGAGGCATCATTGTAGATCCTAACTAAATAGCGAAACACACGACGTCACACCCCAATAGAAGCGTTGTTTCAAACTCGAATTCAAACTACACACCCCTCCCTCCATCAAAAAAAAGAGAGAACTGAAAGTGTGTATTTCATTCACTTGTTATAGACCTTCTTTTTTTTTTTTTTTTTTTTTTTTTAAACAATCTTCTCCGTACATTGATCTATTCATTTCATTTTTTTAAAAAAAGAAGAAGAGTAAAATCAACGCCAAATAAAAATGATAACTTCCCCTAAATAATAACCTGATTGACTTTATAGAATCATGTTGAGAGTCTCTAAATTATACAGCACAGGTGCCATTCGCACCAATTTACTTTCCACAAACGCCACACAACGTGTCGGAACCGTTATCAAGGTTAGATTTTTTTTTTTTTTGTTTTCATTGATTTCACTTGTTTTATCTCAAACATTTTTTTTTCTCTCTCTTGTTAGCGTTGTGAGAGCACAGTTACCACCGAAGAAAAAAAGTCGGGCTCTGTTTTGAACAAACTTCTTGGCTTAACATTTTTGTTAGGTTCAGCCTATGGAGGAGCAGCTTATTATGCATTGAACGACAAAGCTTTCCGCGACACATACACCACCTACGTACCTGGCGGAGAACAGACATTGGAATTGATCCAAGACATCCAAAAGAACCAAGACATGGATAAATATCGTAACGGTGCTTTGGATTTAAAAAAGCAAGCAGAGGAATATGCACAATCCGCTAAAGTGTACGGTGCCAAGATTCAAGAGTCTACTGCCAGTGCCGTCGATTACGCCACCGAGGCCTATCAACAATTGACCGGTCAAAAGGAAGCACCCAAACCCTTTGATCATAAGACACCCGCTGTTAGCATCGTTTCCGCTCAAAACAACGTGAACCAAAAGACACCTACGGATACCACTACCACAGCCGCTTTGACAACCGATAACAAACAAGCTCCCGCTGTTGTTGCCGTCGCCATCGAAAAGCCTGAACCCATCATTGTCAAGTCTGTCCAATCCGACAATGCGGTCATTCGTGAACTCGATCAAATTGTTTCCGAATTAGCTTCCATCTTGAACGATTCCGGATTAGCTGGTTTGGGTCGTGAAATCATTGGAGATGCCCAAGCCAAGGTTGAAAAGTTGAACAAGGGGTTTGTATCTTTGGATGCTGAACAAGCTGCCATCTTGAGTGCATTGAAGGAGCTCAGTGCCAAGGGAGAGCAAATCGAAGGTAGTCTCGAAAAGTTCCATGTGGAAGCTGGTCAAGCCATTGAACAAGCCCATATCCGCACTGCCGAGCAAATCATTGCTCGTGAAGCTCAATTGAAGAACCAATTCGAACAAACCCGTGCTGAAATGAAGACCTCTTTTGCTCAACAATTAGCTGCTGATTTAAATGCTCAATCCGAGCGTTTGGAAAAGGCTCGTTCCAATGCTTTAGCCGCTCAAGCTCAAGAATTGCAACGTCGTTTTGTCAAGGAAGTCAAGTTGCTTGTTGAACAAGAGAGAGCAGGTCGTTTAGCTAAATTGGACGATATCTCCAAGAGATTTAAGGCACTTGAACAATCTTCTGTCCAAAACGCCGAGGCCTTGGACAAATCTCGTCAATACCATGTGATTCATGTTACTCTGGATGCCTTCCAAGAAGCCCTTCAATCTCAACAAAGACAACCTTTCAACAATGAATTACAAGCTTTGAGCCTCAACACCAAGGGTGATAAGGTCATCCAAACCGTTTTGAGCGCTATCCCCAAGGATCTTGCCCAGGAAGGTGTCAACTCCATCAGTGAATTATCCGCTCGCTTTGAGGAAGTCGCGGATGAGGTTCGTCAAGTGGCTCTCGTACCCGAGGATGGTGGTTTTGGTTCTCACATCATCAGTATCATCATGTCTTATTTGATGTTCAAGAAATCTGGTTTGGTCCAGGGTGATGATGTCGAGTCTGTTTTGTCCCGTACCGATTATTACTTGAAGAGAGATAATTTGGAATTCGCTGCTCGTGAATTGAACCAACTTAACGGTTGGCCCAAGAGATTGGCTGCTGATTGGATCCAAGCTGCCAGACGTCATTTGGAAGTGAAACAAGCATTAGAGGTAAAGTTTAATTATTAAATGGGGGGGAGGGGGACATACAAATAAATAGATCAAAGGAACTAAATACATGGTATATAGGTTGCAGAGACACAAGCTGTTTTATTGAGTCTTTTGGAAGTTTAGATTATTAAGGATACATATATAAAAAAAAAAAACCAGGAAAAATTATTATACATAAAAAAGTCATATATAAAAAAAAAAAAGAGCAAGCTGATTTAAAAAAACCAGTATGAAACAAGAAATTTAAATTTGGCTAGGAGTTTATTATATAATATATCAAAAAGAAAACAAAACTTACAAAGGAAAAACAAAATCTCTCTCTTTTTTTTTTTTATTGTCGCCTACGAAAAAAAAAAAATGTCATCATCACCTTCTGCTAAACTAAAAGACGACGTCAAAAACCATTTAAAAGATGGCATCACCGTCGTTGTTTTGGGGGCTTCTGGTGATCTAGCCAAGAAAAAAACATTTCCTGCCTTATTTGCATTATTCTCAAACAACTTTTTACCAAAGAATACACAAATTGTGGGGTATGCCCGTAGCGAAATGAAGCTGACTGACTTTCATCGCCGTATCAAGTCCTTTATCAAAGCGGAGGATGATGATGGTAAGATTGACGGCTTTTTAAAATTATGTCATTACGTACAAGGCCAATACGACAAGGAAGAAAGCTGGCGGAATTTAGACAGCTATGTCACTGATCTAGAGGATAAACAAGGTTTGACGGATGAGCAAAAAAATCGATTGTTCTATGTGGCATTACCTCCTAGCGTCTTCGTCACTGTGGCTTCCGGCCTCCGAAAATACGTCTATGGTAAATCAGCCACCAACTCCATCGTCATCGAAAAACCCTTTGGTAAGGATCTCACTAGCTGCCAAGATTTGGTAGGAAAAATCAAGGCGTTGTACAAGGAAGAAGAGCTTTACCGCATTGATCATTATCTTGGCAAAGAATTGGCCAAAGATATCATGACCATCCGATTTTCAAACATGATCTTTTGTCCGCTCTGGGCAAGAACACATATTGATTCTGTTCAGATCACTTTGAAGGAACCCTTTGGTACTGAAGGCCGTGGTGGTTACTTTGACGAATTTGGTATCATTAGGGATGTTATGCAGAACCGTAAGTAATTTTTAATATTATTAATCATCCGCCTACAGTTGACATAATCGCACCCCAATTATAGATCTTTTGCAGCTAATGTCGCTTGTGGCAATGGAGAGACCAATTGGACGAGATGCGGAGGCTATTCGTGATGAAAAAGTAAAGGTGCTAAAATGTATTCAGCCAATCAAATTAGAAGACACCTTACTAGGCCAATATGTCAAAAATGGTAATAAGCCGGGTTACCTAGACGACGAAACCGTTCCCAAGGGAAGCCTATGTCCTACATTTGCAGCAATGGTACTTTGGATTGATAATGAAAGATGGGCTGATGTGCCATTTATACTCAAGGCTGGTAAAGCGGTTGACAATGCCAAGGTTGAAATCCGTATCCAGTTCAAGAAATTGCACGGTAGCCTATTCCATGGAGTCGCACGCAATGAGTTGGTGTTCCATGTACAACCTGGTGAGGCAGTCTATATGAAATTTAACAATAAGTGCCCTGGCTATTCCAATGAGAGCATGGTGACCGAATTAGATCTTACCTATCGATCTCGCTACAAGAATCTAAAGGTACCGGAGGCTTACGAGACATTGATATTGGATGTCATGCGAGGTGATCATTCTAACTTTGTTCGCCACGATGAATTGTTTGCTGCATGGTCTATATTCACACCTTTATTACATTTAATTGAAAAGGAAAAGGTCAAGCCAGAGCCTTATCCTTATGGATCTCGTGGTCCCGAGAAATTGGACAAATTTGTACGAAAATACGGTGTTGAAAGACTGGCACATGAAAATTATCAATGGCCGTTACAAAGCCTCGAGAATTAGGAAAGGTTAAATAAACTGTTGAGTTGCGCATAATTGGGATCGAGTTTACATAAGCCTTGGCTTTTTTCTTTTGTTTATAAAATGTCGTTGGAGCCATTCATTGGTCCATATTTTTAGTGTGTGTTGCCTTTAATTGACAAACGTATGATTTTTGCCACCCCTGAGTATTTCCCTCTGAATATAGCCACCCAATGGTCTTACGCGTCGGATAACACCATAAAAGGAAATGTAATCTTTTGTATATGTTATTTACAGAAATGAAACATGAATTGCCACTTCATTTAGACTGCATCCCGTCTCAAAAAAGTTATGGTGTCTTTTGTCTGTATTAGGTTGTTTTAATTTGGAAAGCAGCATAGACCACAAAAAACTAATTACAAATGACAGGAGTTAACATTTTGAGCCAGCTGGTGTTCAATTGTTTTTTTTTTTTTTTTTTTTTTTTGGGACATAAGCTTCTAGAGGAAAATGGAACTGCGGGACCCTTTTTTCTTTATTTAGTCTTGATGAGATAAAAGAGCTTCCCCCTCATTGAGTTTTTTTTTTTTTCCCAGAAATAAAATAAAATAATGTCAAATAGTTGGATCTCAATTTACGACAATTCCCAGGAAGCAAGACTGGTGTACGTCTCCGAAAGCATTACAGATCTTACAGGCTGGGAACCTGAACAAGTAATTGGAGTGGGAGGTTACGATTTCTTTCACCCAACCGATCATGCGGCCTTAAGAAAAGTTCATGTCGGTAACATTATAAATGAAAAATTGTCGTCCATGGTGTCTTATCGCTTCAAATGTCGGAATGGCAGTTACGTTCCTATAGAGACCATTGTTCATTACTGCCACGATGTCCTTATAACTTGCAATTTTATGTACGACCCTCATTCGACGGACCATAAAATGAGAGCCAACACAGTGGACCACGTTTACAGATGTTTATCCGATGGGTCTTTACAACTTTCTGGTGCTTGGAATGATAGGGCAGATCTATTGGAGGACGCAATGGCAACAGACGTATGGTACTTTCAGAATGGTAACTACTCTCGAGAAAAACGCTTTTCTTTAATCCTGAATAGATATTCAGATGCTCTCAACATTGTATACGCCTCTCGATTAAGTCAGGATTTGGTGTCTCTCGATATCCCCAATTCAATTGGTATGTCCTTTTTTGATTTCGTACCAGAAAGAGACATTGAAACTTTACATGCTCAGATCGATTTGGCAAAGGAACATGATATGATTGTACGAATTAGATTTGATTGGATTACGGATTATGAACGCGGTTTATATGAACCCCTTGAAGCCATCACTAGCTGTACAGATGACGGCTTGGTGATGGTACTTCGCTCATCCTCTAAAGTCATTCTGGAATAGCACTAGACAGCAAAAAAATTAAAAAAAAAAAAAATTTGTGATTTTATTCTAAATTATACATATTCAATACCTTCCTATAGTATCACCCCCTCTACCCCCTCCTTCTCTTTCACTCCTCTTCCCCTCCCATTTTAAAAACTAATAAACACATGAATTTGAAGGAAACCAATCGATTGTTTATCTCTTGTGCATCTATCTCATTTCTGGGATTTGTGCATCTATAATTTAAATTGTCCGAATCATTTACAGATAGAAAGGACAAAATTAATATATTTTTACATTGGTATGTATAAACCTTAATGCTCAAACAATAAAGCATAACAACTTGTTTGAATAATACATAATATAAACCTAACGAACATAAAAGCTTTCCATTCCCATAATGACCCATTCTTTCATTTCTGTCTAAATCCTCGTCAGAAAACTCAATCTATCGATGCAACCAAGAGAACTGACCCCCCATAAAACTTTGGCACACAACTTATGATTAGCAAATGAACCTCTTACTAAACACAGAGTCATTTGATCAAAGAAAAAAAAAGGTTTATCCCGAGGCCGACATGTCTTTTTGTTTGTTTGGGAGATTTTCTTTTCGAAGGTATGTGTGGTGTACACCTTACATATAAATTTTTCCCTGGCCTAAACCAAACAAGTCAATCAATTCCGAATCTGTGTAGACCAAATTACCCATTAATTGAATTATGCGATCATTTATTTAATAATAAAAAAAAAAAATGCGATTTCTTTGTGGGATTTTTATGAACCGAGATTCAAAAATAAAAATAACGCTATTTAGTAGCCTCGTAAATTCAACTCTTGGCTGGGAATCCATTAAGGGTTTTTGATCGAATCTCCGTTTGACCAATCAAGAGATCAAATCAAAAGAAAAAAAATATGTCCCTGTAACTCTATTTTAGATCAGCGTTATGGGGCATCATGGAAGCTACTTGATCTACCCGCGAGCCTAGCCTGTTACTTTTAGGCCCGATTTACTGACTTTATAATTTATTTATTTTTACCGTCGTTTGCTGCGGTCATCGAGGAGAGTAAGTGATTTATCAGCATTTATTGTAATTCAATGCCATTGATTTGGATTTCCATCAAGAGAGGGAATTATAGTTTTTAACAGAGGTGCATCTACTTTTTTTAAATATAAATTTTTTTTTTTCAAAAAAAAGAAACCCAAACCGTAATCATGATAAAATATGTTTTTATCACTGCTTCTTAATAAACATCAAGTTATTTATGACCGTTCATGATAGGCTGTTAATATAAAAAGCCAGATACGATATGTTGTTGGGACCTGTTCACATTTATTTCATCATAAGTCTTAATGGGTAATCTATTCATTAAGACTTTTTGTACATTTGCTTCTAGTGGCCGTCACTTATTCCTTGTAATAAACATCTGATCCGCCCTCATTAAAAAAAAAAAGAAAAATCACTCCAATGTTTTTGCTTCTGTTTACCTTTTTAAATCCTGTAAGACTAGTTTAACTTGTCAATGGGATGTACTCCCATAGCTCTCCGTGTATAAATGAAATTTTGTGAGAAAAAAAAAAAAAAGATTATAAGCAACTGGTTCATGACAGGATAACCTATAATCACTTTATTTACGCCATTGCTATTCAAAAATAAATAGCTATACCTTATATGGAGATCTATTTTTTTTATGTAGATGAAGGAGAAACACATTTGGATGTATTTATCAGACACACTTTAACTGCTCATATCAGTAATTGAAGGAAAATACTGAAGCGCTTTCCTTATACAACCTATCCCCTTTGAAAAAGTCAATTGAAAATTATCAAACAATTCACATGATAATCTTTTTTAGAAAAAATTGAATAAACAATCCATATGATCCAGAACTTTCTATAAGAAAAAAATTGACAATTTTTTTTTTTTTTTTTTTGCTCTTTCTTTCAACATATAATATTTTTTAAAAATCAAGTGGCTCTATTATAAGGAGAAAAAAGTAGGCGTTCTCTCAGACGACCACTTGTAAGCGTGGCTCATGACACCGGTTTTTTTTTTAATTTCGAAAGATAGGATTGATTTTAAGCCGGTGTCGTTGTATTAAACAACCACGTAAGTCTTCGTATGGGTTTTTTTATTTCATTTATTATTTGGCAATGTATTTTCTTAACTAATATTGAAACAGGGATATCCAATGTGGGAGGGATCTCTAAGATCTCTGGGAGGTCATCTTATCTTGTGGGTACAGCTTACCGTATGTGTCCCGCTTTTATTCTGGGAAAGGAAGGGGGGAACAGCCTGTGATCGAAGGCTGTACCCTTTCCAGGAAACTGAAGACACTCGTCTTATATTATTACAAAGAATGGTGGACAATCTACGAAGTCGAGTTTTTGCTCAAAAAGTGTTTGTCTCAGCTTCATCCAAGGCTTCAGATCCTTTACACGAACGAGATCTCCACAATCATTTTAATTATAACAAGCTCAACAACGTTGATGGAAACATACAAGGTATAATCTAGTAAAGTGTTTAAGTAAATCAATAAACACTAAAATCAGCAACTTTATTTTATATACAGATTTCCTTGAGTACATATACTCCTCCGACAAAAAACTATGCATGGTAGCCACTGACTTCACTGGTATAACAACCAGACCTACCAATATAGTCAAGCTACTAAATACCAATGCATCCATCAAGAAAGTGGCGATCGAAACTTTCCATACCTCAAATGATGTCTGGATTTATGATTCAGAAAAAATCATAACTGACAATAATCTCTTGGAAAGATTTAATTCAAGAAAAATCGAGTCTCCCAAAGCCTATTTGAAAATGGAATATTCAAAAAAAAAACAGCATATGTCTGTATATTACAAAAAATTAAAAAATAAAAAGAATAAAATTATAAAAACATAAAACGATCTTTAACGATTCTACCTGAATCAAATATAATAAGACAAGGGCTCAAAAGAAGCTTTATGGACGTTCTCACTTCCAACATTTCATAATACATATTATAATTTTAGAGGGTAGTTAATAAACCTATAGTCATTCTTTTTATCGATTTCTTGTATGCTGTCAACCGGCTATGTAATTTAGTACGGGAGGGGGGGGGGGGGCTTTTTTTAGAGTAGATTATCTGTATCAATCAACTGATACTCTGTGTAAATAGGTTCTGCTTTGATGATGAGCGGAAAACCGGTTTATGGCTTACTTTATCAAACCATGTTTACGCCTATTTTTCAAAGAAGGAATAGTAGCGAATGACACACATTTGCAATCATACTATTTATTGATATTAATACGCTGTTTTTTTTTCTGAAAGGAGTGTAATAAGCTGGTGAGTTATTCAGCCCAGAGTTGGGTAACTGCTATAAGAAGCTAATTAATTTCTATTAAATGATTTACAGGCTTATCTAATATAAACAAAAACCAATAGGATCCAGAACTTTCCAGTGGCTATTTTAGCTTTGAGTGGGCTGAATTGCTTTTAAAAAAGGGAGCAAGTTTTGTAAAACAATGTTTTTTCTTTCTTTTTCATAATTATCATTCTATCTTACTTATAAACAAAACGGTTCTTTCACAAGAAAAAGCGGGGACATCCTCTCAGATGGCTTACTTGTCGTGTCTTCAATGCCACCTGTGCGTATTTTCGTAAAAAGATGGTTGGTTCTAATCTGGTGTCACTGCATAATTAAGCAGTACATCAACTACGTAAGTCTCGTTTTTTATTTTTATTGTGGTAACGTAGTTTTTTTTAACAAACAACTATATAGGAACTTGCCCTTTTGTTTGTAGCAAAAGGGGGCCCATCCAGATGGTGGTGGGACCATCATGCCTTGTCCGGGTCCATCTTTAAAGATGCGTATCTTGCTTCTTTATATTCCGGAAGGACAACCTTTGATCGAAGGTGTCTCTGATTTCTAGAGTTGGGGATCGGATCCTAAACTTCAAGATGAGAAGTTTAGGAGTCCTTATTATCTGGAGCCACAATAATTTAATTGTAAGCTCTAGTTAACATAAGAAATGCCTTTTTTTTTTTCTTTTGTACCGGAACCTTAAAACAGCATCCTCTATGAACAGAAAGCCATCACAATCGGTTATGTTTTCGAGGTTGTGTCCAAGTACACCTCTGTATTGGACCTTCACTCTGCCAAACAGTTCTCGCCGTTTGGTTAAAATCCAATAACGCCGACCTTTTGAAAATAAAGGAAAGCCGAAAAAATAAGGCCAGAGTCCGAATAATATCTGTTTTTAAAAGAGGAATACCGAGGTAAACAAAAAATAAAGAGAAATGCGAGAGTATCTCTGAGTGACTTACACTTCTTTGTATAGACTTTTTGGTAGAGTCCATCTCAAAGTACTTGCCTCGATCCCAAAACAAAAATGAAGTCATTGATTGAGGAGGACTTTCAAATAATTGGTTATTACTGCCGAAAGTCTCCATCTCAGGGAAACTGAAGAGACACGCTTTCATTTATTACAAAAAAGTGGTGGACAACTTGAATAATACAGCAAGGCTTCGGACCCATTGCATGCCATGGGATTTTGGAGCATCTAGATAGATTCTTTAAAACAAGCTTGAAAGTTTTTATTTTATGCTTTTTTTTAAAAATAAACAAGTCTCTCTCTATAATAAATTTTTAAATTTTCAACATGTTTATATCAAGTTTAAGCTTTTGATTGTTTCAAGTTGAGTGATAGATTTATGTGGGAATGATACAAATATAAACCAAAGTGTCCTATTGCAGCTGAATATGAACAGTCTATACATTATTGATATATTTTGTAAAAAGGCTAGAATCATACTTACATCACAATCTAATTTTTTCTTTCTAACTTTACCAAGAAAAGTATAGAGTCATAAGAACTCATGTGATGTATTGATGCGCCCAAGTAAAATACCTTTTTATCAAGAAAAGTTCCTCTTTGTTCGGGGTAAAAAAAACTAACTGTATTAGATAAAAAAGTAATGCTTACCAAGACGGATGACTCGGGGTGAACCTCATGTTTTACCTTACAAATAGCCTTACACAAAAAAAAAAAGTGGATTAGCCATCAATCTCTATATTTAGACGGTATATTTATTTTCGTATTGGTAAAGATAAAATTTACTTTATGCACTAAACAAACTCATGAAGATGGCGCATTTGGTGTGTCAAACAAAAAGTAAATGTTTGTTTGTACAAACCTCCCCTTCCATCTAACATTTTTTTTGGGACCTTTTTTTCTTGTTGTTGTAGTTGGCTCCGATCAAATCATCTTGGCAAAATACAACATGATCCGTTTTACAGAGCGGGACTTGTTCAAAATACAAAAAGGGATGTTGGATTTTATCAACTTATAAGGTTTGGTGTTACTTGTCAAAAAAAAACACTGCATAAAAAAAAAAAAAAACGAAACTCCTTCATCGGTTCAAAGGTTACCCGTTTTATACATATTGTCATTTTCCCCTACCACCAAAGAAAACCAATTTAATTTTTAGTTACCATGGACGCCAACTATTATACATGATGTAAGCCGTCGCTACCATAAACGGACAGAAATAACTCCTCCCTTATTTTGGTATAATCGCTAGAAGATTGTTTTTTTGCGCGTTACCCGCGGTTGAATCATTTCTAGAGTGTAACAAAGTGATAAATGATCTGATTAAAATAATGCAGCCTCCCCCTTTTTCACACTATCATCATTGTGAATGGGGGTACGAATAATAGAAAGAGAAAGGATGATAGCATTACCACCTTATCTCGAAAGACGACCCCCATTTTCTTCTCAATGTTGAAATGATCCCGCCCCGCCTTTTCTAATTTTTTTTTTTTTTTTTATTGAATCTCTCCACCTTTTGTTGATATGTTCTCGGAGAGAGAGAGGGGGTTACACTAGCCAAAGAGAAAGAAAACATGGAAACTCGGGGGGGGGGGCACTCAATTCTTATTAAAATGGAGGTGAACCTTACCTATTTTAATTTTGGAAAACGAATCATCATTTAAATGAGGTGTATATTTACACATCCCGTATACAAAGACTCTTTTATGCCACTTGAGGATGTTACGGACGTACATTTTTGATGCAGCAGTTATTTATAACCTCTCACAACCAGTAATAGCAATAAACCTGTTACAAAAACTGAACCCCCAAAAAAAAAAGAGCTTTTATGATTTTAATGGCGATACACTGGGAAAGAAGAAGAACAAGTTGCATGAACTTGTGCTTATCAGAAACAAACAGAGATACGGCAGGAACGTCAACGAATAAGAATAATAATAATAAAAAAAGGGGGGAGGTCGTTCAAGAAAAGAATTTGAATCATTGAATTGCTGTCTGTCAGACCTTTTTTAAGCAAAATTTGTTTTTTTTTAAAAATTACAAAATCATGTCATGCGCTGTTCTATCTAAAGAACGATTTACAGGTTGATCTACATGTAAATCATCAAATTACCTCTTTTTTTTTTTTTTTGGTCTGTAATAGACGCGGTTACAGAAAACACAAAAAAAAAAAGGTGTGTGTGTGTGACCAGCTGATAATAAGTCCTCATTCATGATTTCTCAAGGTGCGAGGATGAATCGTGTCAAGTAGATGAAAGAGAAAGAAGACATGTGTTTTTTGGGGGGGAAAAAAGATTTATTTCGTGTTTCCTTGTAACCTTTCATACCAAGTACTAATTAATGAGCCTTTCATGATTTTTGACAAGAAAAGAAGGGCTATTCATTCTGACATACCTTGCGGGTTGAAGTAATGTAAACAAACAAAAGATGCTTTTTTTTTTTTTGTCTATTTTATTAGTGTTATTTCGTACCCTCTGTTATTTTTGCCCTGTGTGTGACAATGACCTTGTAACAATCAGTTTTATTATGATTCACATCAAGATGTGATATTTCCCCCATCTTTTTTGGAAGAAAAAAAAAAAAGGACACCTAAAGGGAAAATCCCTTTTTCTAAAATCATATTAAAAAACGTGCGATTGTAACTCCTCAAGAGAATCCCTTTGGTAAACAAGAAAATGATGATCATGATGAAAACCTGCATCCTTTTTATTTGAGTTTTTTTTTTTTTTTTTTTTTTATATATATATATATATATTTTGAATATACATGCTATGGTAGGATACACCTCTCATCCACATAAATATATATATATATATGTATAATCACACCAATTTTTTTTTTTTTTTAAAGAGATGGATGCACGGTAACACCAATCCAGTTGGTGGGCTTGGCAGCCAAAGGTTTGTTGATAAGCTGAGCTCGGTCAGCCGGAGAAATTAACCCCCCGTTTCTTTTCAATGGTCGACCCAATCGATGAACTCGTAAATGGCGTCGCATATTACTCTGCACACTAAATTTACGTGAACATCCGTTCTCCGGACATTCAAAAGGTCGTTCTCCCGTATGTGAATACGTGTGAATACGAAGTGAGGAAGGTCGTGAAAATCCCTTGTTACAGTAAGGACAGTTGTATTTGTTATTACTTATTGCTGCTGCTGATGGGTCCGCTTCCACAAGGTGTGCAGGAGAAACGGATCGACCTGTGGTGGTGACAACGGCTGCCACAACAGATTCTTTGCTTGTGGGCTTTATCGTAGTGGTAGTGGTAGTCATGAGGATGGATTCATCGGATGAATATCCTTCTTCGTTACCGTTGGTATCTGCGTTGGTAGTGACAGTGGAGGTAGAAGAAGATGCACAGAGGGAAGGAGGGTTATACTGATCCAAAGGTCTTTGCATCAATGGTTGAAGAATCAGATCCAATGTGTTTGTGGAAACAGCGCGACGATGGTGCTGTTGAAAAGTATGAGGTTGAAGAGGAGCTAATTGAGTACCGTTGACATAAGGGTGGGTATAATCAGAAAACGAACGGGAATGTAAGTTTCGTGGTGATCGATGGTGGTTTTGAAGATGGGAGATACGAGTAGGAAAAGGGTACAATGTGTGAGCAGGTATAGGATCACTCAGTAGTGGTGGTGAATGACTTGCACTACGTGGATTATGGAGTTTAGGCTCCAGAGGTATTATAGGGTGGATAGATAGCTTTTCCAGCGTACCGTGCATGCTCGTCATTGATGATGAAGAAGAAGAAGAGGCTTGTGTAAACGCACCCGATTGTTCTGATGCATGTCTTTTATGCCCAAGAGAACGATAACTTTTCTGTCGTGGGTTGTCCGTAGTCTCTACTAAATGGTTTTAATAATTGTAAATAAACATATATTTATATATATACTAACCAGACAGAGAAACACCTTCAAGCATCGATTGTATTGAAGGTAATTTAGGTATTTCGTTTTGCATTTTTATTTTTTTTATTATTATGTTTTAGAAGAAAAAAAAAAAAAAGGAGTGGAGGAATAAATTAAACAGAAAATAAAAAAAATAAAAATAAAAAAAGGGATTTGCGAAAAAGAAAAAAGATTTAAAGGCGATCGTTTTTTCTGATTATTTTTAATAAAAAAAAGTGAGACGAGCAACTAAATATGGGTATCTTGGATATTTATAAATTCAAGATGCGCCAAATTCGACAGTTTGGAGTCTTGTCTATTTATGTTACCTAGGCTCGTGGGGTGTTTCTTTTTTATTTTGTCGGATGATCCCCCCCCCTCTCTTGTGTAGGACGATTCAAAGGGGGGGCGGGCCAATCACCCTTTTTTAGGCCAATCGACACGAGTCTACAGCAAATCTTGTTAAAATATAGAATTTATATAAATAGTCTTTCTCAGTCCTTTTTTCTTTTTCTTTTTTTTAAAATGACGTCTCTCTTTATTCTAATTTATGCGTACCCTATATTTTTCTGCAACTTTTTTTTTTTTCGGGCCACGTTAAACCATGCTAAATTTTTTTTTTTTCACTGATTGTATCTGAAACCTTGTATTCGTCATTGAAAGAGAGATGCACAAAAGATAATAAAACAGGTCAGCGGCTAGTTTTTCCCCCCCTCCTACTTGAATGACAGCTAAATAAATAAATAAATAAAAATGTCCCCCACGTATCCGAGGGAGATGATCCATGAAGCCATTTATTAAAAAGTTATATCACACTATTTAAGAATCACTGTCCATGTACTACAAACATGTTGGAAGATCTTTTTTTTTTTCACGGCTTTAGAAATCCCGAGATATTAATAGACCTTTCTATATGTAGTTCTCTTACAAGAAAAGGGATCTACTTTTTCCACGTTGCTAAAAGTTCCACGTTTTATTATAAGAGACCCCTTCCCTGCTGTAGGAAATTCACACTCCAGCTAATTTATTAACATGTTCCACCCCCCCCCCTTTTTTTTAAGTCACACTCATATAATCGGAGGACTGATCATCAAAAGGATCGTTTGAGTCCCATAATAATTTTTTTTTTTACAGCAGCGGTTTAATTTGTTATGTAGGAGAAGAGACTTTCTGTGGAGGACTTTTAAAAAAGCACCCTTTTTCCCTTAAGTGCGCGTTTTTTTTTTCTTTAAAAAAAAAGGGGGGTAATCATTTTTGATTGGATATTTTGGGTTTCTACCTTTCTTTTATTACAAATATTAGAAAAGGGTTACACACTATTTATTTTGTAGAATTCAGATTTTGAAAAGGGGTATCCCCCCTCTCCTCATTTTTATTAGAATGTATCATTTTAGCTTTTCCCAAAAAAAAAAGATGGATGAAAACAGGTCTAAAACTTCTCCCCCCTTTTCTTTTTAATACAGAAAACGTGTTCGACAAAAAAAAAAAAAAAAAAAAAAAAGAACTAATTTCTGCTAAAAATTGGATGAGGGTACCCTTTTGTTTGTAAAAAAAAGAAAGAATTGATTGATCTGCTTACTTTGACCGAATGACCCATACATGACCCCCAAACCCTAATTTAACACATGGGCAAACATACGAGTGTTAATAACTGACACTTATCCTTGTGAACAGAAAAGAATGACAATTTAGCTACTACTTTTTTTTTTAAAAAAAATGTGTGTCCCCCCCCCCAATAAACTGACAACCTTTTCTTTTTGGTTGGTCTGCTACTGTTGTTGTTGAATTCTAGCCGTGTATCAACATGTTGCACTCCAACACATAAAACCTTTGCGAGTAAAGTAAATATCCCTCCTGACTCTGAAATTAAAAGAGGTTGCACACACACACACCCCACTGAAAAAAAAAAAAAATCCCACAAAAGGTAATATCAAAAAGAGTGGACCCCAAAAAAGCGATAATTCCAATGACCAAAACATAAAAAATCAAAACATTTTCAGCTCTTTCCCTCCCATTTATTCACAAACCCCTTTTCTTCTTCTTATCTGTTCAAAATGAAGGAATGGGTAAAGTCGCATGGTTTGTTAATACCCTTTTTATTTATAGTGTAAATATAGGATGCATTTTGTAAAAAAAAAAAAAAAAAAAAAAAAAAAAAAATCGGAGTTGATTCATATATATATAGATTGTTTGGCTTTGGTTATCAAGCCATTCCTTTATTCACTTGCTTCTATCTTCCTTTGGTTCTCATTTACACTCGAGATAAACCATGGCAAAACATTATTTTTATTTATTTTGTCAGTAGCATGGGTTTCGCTTTGGCATTCTTGGGTAATTTTCGTACCACTACTACTCCTCGATTCCCCATGGCATGGTTCATGTTTCGTAAGTTGTCTTTCTCCCTTTTTTTTTTTTTTTCCTTTGAAAAAAATTAACCCACTCCCCCTTCTCTTACATGTATTTACCTTTAACGGACAAACAGTCGCTTCATTCGTCATCAATCTTGTTTTAATCGTGGTTTTATTCTCAGAGCGATTCATGAGAAAACACAACACAGACATGACCACACGTGTCTTATTCACCCCTTTACTCTACACATCCTTATGGTTCCTCATCGGTCGTTTAGGTCCTTTAGGTGATTACCCTTCTCTCACCACTGTGACCATCGGTTGGTCAGAATTCGCTCAACTCTCCTCATTAGGAGGTCGAGCATTCCTTGATTTCCTCTTGGCCCTTTCAGCTACCGTCCTACTCGAACTACCTACTTTTCCTCTTCATCAACTCTCTATTCGTACAACGCCTCATCTCTTACAGGATACGCATGTTTCCGAGGTCGAACATAAGGAACGATCCTTTTGGCTTCATCCTGTGACCCTTTACACGATACTCATGGCTGTACTTTTATCCTATGGCGGTATGGGTAATATCCGTCGTGGTTCGTTTTATCAAACCATCTACCCCGATTATATACCAAAGACGGAGCGTGTAGGTTGTGTGGTAGGACCCGGGGATAACTTGGGTTTACAGTTATCACACGATACCTGGTTTAATCAATCTCAGGCTTTAGTTGCCTCGGGTGCTAAACTCATTCTATGGTCCGAATTAACAACGATTGTACAAGAAGAAGAGGCATTTTTAAACAAAAGTAAAGCATTTGCACGAAAACATGGTGTCTATCTTGCTGTCACCTATGGGTTAGGTCAACCTGTACGTGAAAACAAGTTGGTGGTCATGACAAAGGAAGGTGAGATTGGTATCAATTACAATAAAGCACATCCCGTACCTGGTATTGTAAAGTATTGAATTAGAGGGGGGGGGGGATGAATTCTTTTTTTTTTGTGTGTGAAAGAGAGGCAATGGTAACCCGTATCTATATCTAAAATAGGAATTACAACCAGCAGGACCCAATGTGCTTCAATTCATGGATACACCTGAATTCGGTAGACTCGGTGGTGCCATTTGTTTTGATTTCAATTTTGCTCATTTGATAGGCCAAGCCAGTGATCATGGCATCGATATCATGCTTCAACCAAGTTGGACATGGGGACCGATTGGTACCTATCATGGACAGGGAAACGCATTGAGACCTCTGGAGAATGGATTCACCTTGTTTCGATGTGTCTCACAGGGCGTCTCGGGGATCTTTGAACCCACGAATAGCGTCTTTCAACAAAAGGTGGCTTCGAATAACGTGGAAAGCTATCTGTTTTATCTACCCCTTGTGAAAAGAATACGTACATTGTATGCGTCCATAGGGGATTTATTCAGTTATCTCTGTATTTTAACCAGTGGTGTATGGATGGCTCTCACTCTTTGGTGGCATGTCCGTCATGCAACGGAAGAAGAGCAAATTAGGATTTAAGAAAATAAATATTTTTTTTATTATTGTTTGACATGGACAAAGCCTCCTTGTCTGTCCTCTACCCCGAAAGAAAGTTGAACAAGGTCGTCTTGGTGATCTCCAGGACAAAGTCCCGCTGTGACATGTTCACCTGCATAAATGGGACCTACACCTTTAGGTGTGCCTGTCAAAATGACATCGCCCGTTTCCAATTTCATGATGGATGAAACATATTCGATCAGTGTGGGAATACTAAGAGAGAGAGAGAGAGAGATGAGTGGGATGGGATTGAATGGTGTGTGTGGGTAGAATAGATTTCCTAACCTAAAGATCATGTCGCGTGTGTTACCACGTTGACGGTATTCGTCATTCACCTTGATCCAGATATTGACATTGGCTGCATCGGAAATTTCGTGTTTGGGGATAAATGCACTGATGGGCGTAAAGGTATCAAAACCCTTGGAGGCTGTCCATGGTAAACGCGCTTTTTTAGCTTCCAACTAAAAAAAAGAAAAAAAGGTTTAGAAAATTAAAAACAAACAAATAAAAAAAAAAAAATTTATATACATTACTTGAAGATCTCTGGCAGTTAAATCGATAGACAATGCGTATCCTTTGAATAATAAATGAGATTCCTTCCCCCTTTCTTTTTTTTCTTTCTTTCTTAGTTACCTCCAATGTAATCATTTGCTTCTGTTGCTGGAATATTTCTACCATTCTTTCCAATAATCACAGCCAATTCAACTTGAAAAAAAAGATGTAAAGTTTGATACTTTTTTTTTTCATGCATGCGCTTAAAAAAAAGGGGAGGGACTTACTCTCATGATGTACTTCACAACCTTGAGGAATTTCTATCGTACCTCCATTTTCGAGGTAAGAAGAAGTAGGTTTTAAAAAGAAAAAGGGACTTGTAGGTACTTCGTTGTTTAATTCCTTTGCATGTTCACTTTTTTTTTTTGAGAATGTTAGCATCACCCTCCCTTTTGTTATTTTTTTTTTTTTTGTATTTAAAAAAAAAAAAACCTGAAATTTCTTCCAATAGCAATGATTTTTTTGCCTGTGGTTAAAAAGGTACTGGCAGACATTTAGATAGAAAAGAGATAAGATAGACCCATCCCCCCCTCCTTTTACCCCAAACCCCATTTATAGAATTGTGTCTAGATCTCCGTGTGACCACACAAAAAAAGCGCAGTAGAATTAAGATACAACATCCCCCCCCCCCTTTAAGATGGGCGATAAAAAAAAAAAGAGTCATTGTATGCCGGGGATCTAATAAAACTATATTTTGACAAGTGTATCTACTACAAGAAAGAATGGAGAGGATCTATGACTCTTTTTTTTTATTATTTTGTTTAAACGATTTTCTTAAATCTCGTAGAGTTTGAAAGAAAGAAAAAAAAAAAAAGGAACTATGGTGTCGAATGTCATCACACGCAATAGAGTAGAGAGAAAGAGAAGATTTTTAAAAATAAAGGTTGCCATGGTGATTTTAGCAAAAACAAAAAAACAACAACAACCTTAAAATAAAAAAAAAAGAACTTCTCACGGAAAGGGTATTCCCACCCCTTCTTTATCTCTCTCTCTTTCTCCCCCCCCCCTTTTTTTTTTTTTTTTTTACTTTTCTCAAAAAAAAATGTTAGTTGGACAACAACATCGTATGGAGTTGGAGAGCAAAGAGATAAAGAGTAGTATCAAGGCACCTAATTCCTTTTTACTATACCAAACCAAACGACGCAACGATTCCAACGGTCAAGAAGTTTCATCATCCCAATTACTTGCTGAATGGAACCTAATGTCAAACGAACAAAAGACAGAGTTTCAAAATCAGTCTCAATGTATTCAATTCACGCTCGATATTGATAATCGCCCTCATTTCATCCATGGTAGTCGTCTACCCAAAATTGTGGTCCCGCGTGCTCCTTCTTCCATGCTCATTCCTAACGACCACGCCTCACCCACCAATACCACCACAGACCAATTGTACAATCATCACGCGCATCCTCAACAGCATCATTATCAACCTCATCATTATCAGCATAGTCATCACCAATTATCCGATCTCCTTTTACACCATCCACTGGAGAAATCCTTTTATTATCATCCTACAACAACAACAACAACCACTTCAGCCGCTGCCACAGCAGAAGCCGCCGCTCTCGAATCCCTCTCATTGAAACATAGTGTACAAGATAAGAACGAAGGGAACCTGAGAAAGAAATACGGTACATTACCCGAAAAGGTGAAACGTCCACCCAACGCTTACCTCTTATTTAATCGCGATATGCGTCGTCAACTTAAACACGTGAATCAAGGTTTAACCTCGGGTGAGATCAGTAAATCCATTAGTTCCAAATGGAAACAACTTTCACCTGTACAAAAGGAATATTATATTGGCGAAGAAATTAAATTAAAACAATTGCATAATAAACAACATTCGAATTTTATTTATACAAGACGATCGAAAGCGGAAATGCGTGAAGCTGATTCTCTAAAGAAATTACAAAAATCTGCCTCTGCTTCTGTGACAACAACAACAACGATAACAGAACGAAAGAAACGAAAAGGTTCACCTAAACCTACAACAACAACAACAACAGACATGGTGGTGGTGGTGGGGGGTCGTGACCCAAGAGGAAGAAAGAAAAAGAAACCAGACGCTACTTTACCAAAACATCCGATGTCTGGTTACCTTCATTTTGCTAAAGAAATGAGACCCATCATGAAAAAGAAATGTCCTGACGCAAGACTAGTAGAGATCAGTAGACAAATTGGATCTCAATGGCGAAGTATGACAGAAAAGGAATTAGCACCTTGGCAAGAAATTGCTAATCGAGATAAACAACGTTATGCTCAAGAAATGAAGGACAGGATCCTCTATCATCATAGTAGTGTGGACGAAGAGGATGAGGAAAATGAAAGTATTCAAAGTCGAACATCTACTGTACAAGATACATTGGATAGTCATACCATTGCTGCCGTAGCTCAAATGGTGAATCGTAATACCACTTTTCAATAAAATTTTTATTGCCTTTCTTGATCCGCGCGCATTTATGTGTGTTACCTTCTCACACTTCTACCCCACACTTTTTTTTTTTTGCTTTAAAAAAAATCTCGCGCGCATGAATTTACTTTTTATTTTAGGCTTTTTTTTTTTTGTACAAAAGAGGGTATAATAAAAAAAAAAATATGTTTCCCCCCCAAAAAACAGGTGAAATATTTTTTAACAAGTAAAGATCTTTTGAATGTCTGTAATGGGTCTTCTGCATAAAGCACATTCCTTTAATTTGAACGCGCACAAATGACAATAAGCTATCGAGAAAAAAGATAATCAATATTTCCCTCCAATCATCATCATGACATACATATAGACTTACCAAAATGATAACAAGGGATAAGCGCATACTCAATGGATCGATGAAAGCACACTTTACACTTATTAAACTCATCTTCTTTTCCATACTTGACACGCATCGATTCCTTATAGACCTCTAATTCCTGAATTGCCTTTTCCTTTTCATTTAATAAATTCACCACCTCTAATTCAATTGTCGATAATCGTTCCTGACTACTAATACGCATCAACAATTCCCCTTCCAATACCTGACGTATTTTTATCATTTGCGTCTCGTATTCATGTTGTAATCGTTCACGTTGTTCCACACTTGTCGCTAATCTCGTTTCCACTTGTCCAATACGCGATTGCGCTTCTTGTTTCACTCGATGGATCGCTGCTTTTAGGTTGGCATTCAAGGTCTTGTATTCCTCTAATTCATGTAACGCTTTTAACATGGTCGGTGAGGATCCATCATGGATCGGTATCGCCGTCGCTGCTGCTGCTGCTGTCGTAGTGGTGGATGTCGTCGATGTGGAGGAAGAGTTGGAGACGCTCGGTTGTTTCTTGGCTAACACGGCCGTCGGTACAATCAACGCATGCATCAATCTTTGTTGCTGTTGTTGCTGTTGTTGAGGTGAGATGTCGACACTCATCATGTCATCTTGGACAGAAGAAGGTGATGTGATGGTTCCCGTTGCACGTGTCGCGGTTGCGTTTAAACTATCCAATAGATTATGAAAATGTTGTGACTTACTCAGCGTAGGTGATTTCTGATGTTGTTGTTGTTGTTGTTGCTGTTGCTGTTGCTGCGGGGTTTGATGATGAGGACCTTCTTCCTGTAAATGAAGACGTTGGAGGTAGGCTTCATGTGAAATATAGGTATGTAATCGATGCTTAGGTTTTGTAAAGGCAACATCTTTTGCCTCCAATTTCCAAACACATTTCTTAAAGGTAGCATTGGATTGACCTGGACAAGCGAAATACATATGATGACGTGTAGCACAAAATTTGACACGATGACCGCAGTAACAATCGGGTAAAACCGAGGGTGGTGTCTTATCGTGGTGATTGTTGACATGAAAGACGGCACAAAAAGTGAAATTGTATAATGGACAAGTACGAAGTTCTGGGTAATCGGACTGGATGGTCAAACCTTCCTTGAGTTGGTGTTGGTGTTGAAGCCAAGAAGTTTCGTGAACATGGAAACCACACGTGTATTTGTGCTGGTAGGAAGCTAAAGGAGGACCCTCGTAACCATAACTAGCACATTCGAGGACAGCCCCATATTCGGAGGTGTATTCACGATGGGCGGGCTTTTTACAGAAACAGTGCGTAGGATGGTCCAGAAGTTTGAGTTGAGAGGCGGTAGGTAAAAGGGGTTGTGATTTGGAAGGGGTTGGCTCGACATGGAAAGGACGACCATGAACGATCTTGGGTGAATGGGAGTCCTGTTTTTGATGTTGTGCTTCTTCTTGAGCCCATGTATGCCATTTACTTGTCATGGGTTCGTTACTGTAGGCAGAAGAAGAGCTTGAAGTTTCCTGCATATGAAGGGTTTTGGTTTGGTTTGGTTTGGGGATAGAAAAAAGACAAAAAAAAAAGAAAAAAAAAAAACTTTATTTGGGTGTAGGGGTTTTAAAAAAAAAAAAACTTATTTTCTAATGTTTCTTGGAGAATCACGTTGATTATAATAAGATTCAACTTCGAATTGTAGTTCCTTGACTTTCTCACTTTGACTTTCCAATTCTTTATGAAGACGATCTCTTTCGGATAACAATTGTTGTTCCCATTGACGGAACCGAGTTTCCTCCGACTTGACCTTTTCTGTGAAATTCTTACGCAACATTTCTTCTTCCTCTGCAAATTTAGCATTTTCATCCTTTTCGGCACGAGGGTCACCAAATTTGCGTGTCTCCATTTGAATTTGACGATAATTTTCATAATGATTTTCTTCTGTCGTCGTGATTAAATCAAGCATATGGGTACGGATCAATAAACTACGTAATTTTTTAAAATCACAATGATCATCGTTCTCCACTTCAGCAACACCCCAGGAATACTCGCGACCTTTCACTTTACGTCCATCAGCAGTAATCACATCTTGCGTAGAACCAATCACCGAAAATGGCATAGCAGCCATGATATTCACATTACGTTTTGTTGTCGTCTCATCATCACTTTCAATAGGAGAAGAGTAACATTGAATATTTTGAGCTGAAATCACATCTCGAATCTAATAAAAAAAAAAGGGGGCGGAGGGAGGAGATTTTTATGTAAGGAGAATTTTTCTCAATGTATATATAAAGGGGGGGTACTAGGGAGTAACTTACATTTTGCTTGAATTTAGCTAAATCAGAGGGTGTAAGCGTATCTGCTTTAGCAATGACTGGAATCAAGTTTACACGAGAACCAAGTCGCTTCATCACCTCAACGTCTAAAGGCGACAAGCTATTGATAAAGTTTAGAAATCATGTCTTTTTTTTTTTTTTTTTGGATGACTAACGTACGTATGACCGGTAGGTTTTACAAAGTACAGACAGACATGAACTCTCATATCAACAACGCCTTTACGACAAGGTTGTTGTTCTTGTCTCATGTAATTTTCGTGTTGGTCATCCAAGAAATCCACAATGGGAATCCAACCATGACGATTATTTACATAATCACCAAAGCCAGGGGTATCAATAATTGTCAGTTTGACCTTGAACATTTTCTCCTCCAATTCTAATCTTGCCAGTTTTAGATTTCTATCTCTTTCCTTCTTAAAAAAAATTTTTTTTTTTGTCTGTAGGCTTACCGGCTCGAGTGATTTGGATCTGTACCGTCTTGGAAGGTGCCTTGGTACGTCGCTTGTTTAAATTCTTGGGCTCCTTGATGGTAGAAGTGAACAATGTATTGACAAATGTTGTCTTGCCCACACCCGATTCACCTAAGAAACACACATTTTTTTTAGTTTTTTTTTTTTTTAATCATATCATTCTTATTTTATCTTGACTTACCGCAGACCATCAAGGTAAAATTGGCTCCATTCTTGGCAACAATCTTATGACGCTGATTAGGTAAATTAGCAATACCTGTTCCAGGCGATGTAATTGGTTCAGAAGGTGGAAGAGGTGCAGTGTCCATAGGAGATACAGTAGTCATTTTTTTAAAAGGTGATATGATTTGTTTTTTTTTATTAAAAAATAAATAAAAAAGAAAGAAAAAAAAGAAAAAGAGGTATTGTGAATAAGCTTCCTCATAAAAAATAATTATATAAACCCTCTCCACCCCCTCCCCCCCCCCGAAAAAAAAAAGGAGGTTCCATAACAACAACAACAACAACAACAAAAGGGGGGGGGGGGGAGAGAGAGGTGTAAAGAAAACCTCCCCCCTTTTTTTTTTGGTTACTTGTATTCAACTAGTCTCGCATTCCTTAGATAATTTTGATTTTTTTTTTTTTGAATGCATTATGTTGTTGTTTATAAAGTCAAAATAATAATAAGACTGCAGTTAGTATACCCACAAAAAAATAAAGGGGGGGGGAGGGTTCTTCTTTTAACCCTTCTCTCTATTTTATCAAAGAAGATAAATCATCACTTTACACGTTCAACCCATTTTTCATTTCGCGTTCATCATTCTGTATGTAACACCTTTCTCTTCTTTTTTTTTTTTCTTTGTCTACCTAAACCACGATGACAACATAGATAAAACGTAAGGGAGTAACAAAACAAAAAGATGCTTTTACTTTGGACCAGCTTCCCATGAAAGGGGGGGGGGAGAGAAGAGAGAGATAATAGGGAGGTAAATAAATAAATAAAAAAAACAGCCTTAGTTTGAAGTGTAAGGCGCACTTTCAACTCGCTGCATAAATGTGTAACCTGAGTTTTTTTTTTTTTACACAGATTTTATTCGCGTCAAAATGTTTTATTTTTCTGGTGTAATCAATTCCTCTTTTTGGAATAAATCGACATGATTTTATTATGCGAATTTATGAAGTGACCCTAATTCATAAAAAAAAAGGGCCTCATCTATTGAGATGGGAAATTGGCCTACAGTAAAAACATCCGTGTTGAGTGCGTTGATATAAAATCAATGTTGCGTGTCAACCAGCCCTTGTTTAAAAAAGATTAGAATTTACAATCTTTATCATGGTTACTTCTACTACAAAAAAAAGTTGCATATGAAAACATTTGAACCGTCCTGTTCATGATGAGCCTGCATAAATAATAAAAAAAAAATCGTGTCAACATTTAGTCTAACCCCCTTTTTTTTCGTTTTCTACCCAAAGGCCCATCGATGGCGTAAAAAAAAAATGAGTTATGCTGCAGTCTTCATTCCATCCATGGATGAACTATTATACAGTGACCAGTTTTTTTTTATAAAAATAAAACTCATCACGATATGATCACTGTCATCCCCCCCCACCCACCCGAAATACCACGACTCTATAAAAAGACTTGCATTTGTCATCTACCACGCATAAGTGATACTGTTTGAAGCATGTGTGCACTCTGAGAAGATTCATGGCTGACAGCACACTCCAAAAAAAAAAAAAAAAAAATTTGAAAACCATCATCAAAAAAGGTTTGGATCGGTCTCATTCTTTAAAAAAAGAAAAAAAGTAAATGATTGAAGAGTCAAGACAAAATATACTATTCTAATTCTTGATACTTGAACAAGTTCCATCCCCCTCACTGTAGATTCAATACATTGAATGAGACTTGAATGACAAATAAAAGTGAACTTATTTCTAAAATTACAACTATCGAGACAGGCTTCGAATTTTTTATCATCGTCGAAACTCGTCTTGAGTGGTTGGTTTCACACACTATACGTCAACGTGCTGTCAAACACAGAAACACAAATCTTTTTTTATTTTTATTTATTTGAATGTAAAATAGAGACATCTCGTGTGTCAACAGATACCCCCCATCTCTACCACCCCCATGTAAGCGCAATCGGAGCTCTTTTGACCTTACTCAAATAAGAGTAGCCTTCATGTTGCCTTGTCTTGGACCAGGTGCCCACAGACATAGATTCACTGGAAAGAGACATTCACTTTCGGTCCTTTCTTTTTAGTATAGTCGACAAAAAAAAAATGCTGGACTATTTGTAGCTGACCTGTTGATGACATCCTTAAAGAGATGGTCCATCGAAACAGACAGGATGAACAATGATAATAATGAGAATCATCTGTGCCAAAACCACATAACTTGGTCCATAATAAAAGTAGATAAATATAAATAGTCTGTATTACACATCGATCTGTAAATAACGTAACACTGAGAGAGGCCAAGTATGCCCATTTCGACATAAGAACATAAACTTGACTTGTGTATTTGACAGTTAAAGAAGACATTTATTGATGACTTGATACTGTCAAATATGAAAATAAGATTCCAGCTTTCATTTAGTATAAATAGACCCCCCAAATTATTATCTTCACATCTTGGTCAATACATTTATAAAGGAATTATAAACGTACGCATGTACTTTGTTTTATTAAATCACACTATTTGATTTATTACAAATGTAGAAAAAGGTTTCGTTTCGCATTCTTACAAGTGTTGGGATAAATTTTGAAACAGGGAACCAATATGTACTGACCACTGACCAAGATCTCTCACGCAGCATGAAAAAAAAATCGAACACCCCAGTAAGCTTCAAGAGGACTCCATGAAGGCAAAAGGTGGTGATTTGAAGACAAAAGGTAGTGATTTGAAGACAAAAGGTGGTGATGTGGAGGCAAAGTGCGGCAAAGATTGGGTATAATTGCATGTAAAAAAGGAAATTACTTATGCCAAGTCTTAAGTCTGCCTTTGGTATTTTTTTTTTTTCTGTAAATAGATGAAATGTGGTGTAAAGGTTAAGAATGAAATTAAATACAGTGTTCGTGGATAAGAGATAACGATATACAAATTTTATTTACAAATGAAAAAAAAACACTGCAAGTGGCAGTAATGGTGGATAAATTAATACATTAAGTTTCACATCAAGGAACGCTTGATACAACCGGGCCGACAATCAAATTTCTTAATTGTGGAACCATGGAGAACGTTTTGTCTTGGTATAGACTCAAATTTATGTCCGTGAGTCTTACCTGGTCACCACCAGCTCCATTCACCAGGAATAACCACCTCCGAACATTAATTCACCACCAAGAATCACCACCTCCAAGCATTCGATCACCCACCAAGAATCCCCACCGTACTTGCATCACGAATCATGTTTTTTTTTCACATGGGCAAAATATACAAGTACTTCCTTGATTGATTTAAGTTCTCTACAGATACAATAAAAAAAAATGTAAAAACTGTTAATACAAGAAATCCATGATTTATAGGCAGTTGTTTTCATACTTGGTGAATTTTTTTTATGTCTGTGGGATCGGTGGATAGGCCAGCGTAATCAAGCACAATAAGCCGTACGGAATAGTTGGTGGATTTAAGAAACATAATCAGATCTTAGGCAGATATAAAAAAAAATGAGTAACTATTAACTTCCAATCTCGTTGCTGCCTACCTTGCATTGATGCACGCTTTATACACTGTAGCCCAGCCATTTAGAGTCTGATCACAGCCATTTACAGTCTGACCACAGCTATTTTATCGCCATGCTTGTGGCGGACACTTTCCATAAGATCAGGATATGGTTTCGTATCACGTTGTTGTAATTTCGATGCGGATGGGCACTGGAAGGATAAATAGACTTTTGCGCAGTGACATTTTATTCGTAGACAATCTGTCATCTTTTGCATTGATTTGACCTTGCTCTCTACAGGTTCGTTGGTGCGTGACTTGCGTGCGTAGCCGATGTCAATCCAGCCATGTGATTCCACGGATGCTTTCTTTTAAAAATGCTTTAGTGTTGAAGGTGCCTTTTAAGATCTCATCTATAAGAAAAAAAGGACTGTTAATTTTTGTACTTTCGTTTTTTTAGTGACATGCACCGTAATCTATATACTCACCCCAATGTTCATCCTTGATAATCCACATCGATCGTCGCCTTTCCCTTTTGCTACGTATTCGTGCAACTTGGGAGTGTCCAAATCTACCATCCTTTGACAACCAATCAGCTACTTGTGCGGGAGAGTATACGTCAAGTATATCCGGCATAAAGCTCTTGACCAGGTTAAACAGTTCGGTAGTGTTCCAATGACCAAATGTATATAATTCGCTGTTTACTGGTTTATCAATTGATGTTACGCAGTTGAAAAAATCAAAAACACAATGTTTTGTTGGTTTCACTAAATGGTTGAGACAATATTAGCATTTACACAATCAGTATCACAATGCACTTGAATAAATCACTTACGATGGTTGAAGGAATTGGACTTATCTGACGAAACAGATGAGGAATCCGACCCTACAAAAAAACACAATAAAATAACAAGTGCTATTTCTTTCACAAGTTATTGTCATTGTGCTTACAGCTTATCTTTTGATCATTACTAATCACCGTATTTTTTTTTTCAAATGTATTTTTTTATACCTTACAGCACTTCTGGTTAGGACCAGAAGGCCAGCATGATTACAACTATACACAGCGTAATCCCAGCCATATACAGCCTGTGAGTTCCAAAACTCAAGAACCCTGCTTGGGAGGTCGCCCTCCTATAGCAAAGACTAGCCGCAGCTGCAATACCGCAATAATATCTTTTTTTTTCGGTTTAACGTCTTTTGAAAGAAACAAGTGAGTCACTACTAAACTAACCTTTTTTTACGTTATCGTTTACTTTCATACGATAAAAGAAGTATGTTAAGGGAAAAGAAAAAGGAGAAGAATAAAGTGTGTGAACCAGCTTTATTTATAGGCTGATAAACAAGAGCTTATGTCAGAATGATTTGATTGATTGTTTCATCATATATAATGTTTGGGCCTTTACTTAAAATAGAAACATATGCAAAAAAAACCCCCAAGCAAATCAAAACTTGGTAGTTGTATATCTGCTTTCCAGTAGTAGCTTGTAATGACAGTGAAGCAGATTTTATGGAAAACAGAAATCGATCATCCTATGAAGTTTAGATGATATGGCATGTCAATCGACGTGTAGACCATCACTTGATTCTAAAAAAATACGTTTGGAAAAAAATACGGAGTTCTAGACATTTCCGTTGAAGGTACCTTTCAAGACTTCATCTATAAAAAAAAAAAAAAAGGACTGTTTGTTTTTGCACCGATATTTATATACTCACCCCAATGTTCTTGCTTGAAAATCCACAAAGATCGTCGCTTTTCTCTTTTGCTACCTAGTCGTGCAACTTGTGAGTGTCCAAATCGACCTTCCTTTGACAACCAATCAGCTACTTGTGCGGGGGAGAGTATACGTCAACTATATCCGGCATAAAGCTCTTGACAAGCTTAAATAGTTCGATGGTATTCTAATGACCAAATGTATATAGTTCGCTGTTTACTGGTGCATCTATCGATGTAATGCATTTGAAGAATTCAAGTACACTGTGTTTGGTTGGCTTTACTAAGTGATTGAGCACCTTATCCCCATAACTAAAAAAAAAACCCCCCCATCATATTGAACATCCACCCCTGTTAATTATTTAGATATCTAATTTGTGCATTTACCGCACAGTTGTCGAGTAGTAACTCGAATAGTTACGAAATTCTGAGCTTAAAAAAATAAAAACTATTTTGCTTTACTGGGTGAAGTGACTAAATTTTGATTCCTTTTTCCTTTTTTCTTATAAACAAAACTACAATGACATTTCATACATTTGAAAGCATCATTTACAAAGAAATACTGCTGGAGACAGAAAGACGCAAGGCGGCCGACTTGAAATTGTTGGTCATGTGCAAAAATTTGGGAAATACCGCTACCATGAACACCATTCAGGAAGCCATTGGCAGGCACTATATTTCTGAGATCCCTGTGATGGAAAAACATAGATCTGTCAACCCTTATAATGTCTTTTGTCAACAAGAAAAGACAAGAGCTAATGCAGAAAAACTTGCTGTAGAAAACTCATTTACAGAAACCTCTTCTGTAGAAGACTCATTGGTTAGTTTGACACCTCGCATTTTGTCTGAGAGGTACAAGAGCCAGACTGAAGACGACATGGAAACACTGGGAGAAATGACCAGTAGTGTTGAGGCAGGCAAAGGATATGAGAATCTTCTTAGATCTGGCATGACCAAAACAAAGATCCGGTCAACCTTAATGAATTATATCACGGCCATGCACCGCTTTCATGACACAGAAACCGCTGTGATCTTTGGTAGCGGTAAATCTTGGAGTTCGATTGCTGTTGGAGGTAAATGTGTATTGCTCTTGTTTTAAATCTATTTTTTTAAATTTTATTGTTATGCAGAAAACGTTGAGAAGGCGGATCTCCAACGATGGAGGAAGGAAGTCAGGATGCTTGTAAATCCAATTTCCATGGCTCAAAAAAGGTATCTACAATACAATAAAAAAAAAAGTATGATTTTAACGTAATTTGTACACTCGTATTTAGCCCGGAATACTGCTGCTGGCCTTGAACAGTCCAAGGGGATTAAGGAGGTGAAAGATGCGATCAGGGCGAAGCTCAGTAAGTCAGAAATTTGCAAAGCTATGAAATTTGGCCTAATTGTATTACGTAGATGCCCAATGCGGGACATCATATAATGTACTGCCTTGGAGTAAAATGATGAAGGCTAAGACCTTGGGAGCGGTTGTCCCACTGCTCAAGTTCATCGTGATCAAGAATTAGCCTCTGCACCACTTTAACTTCTTGGAGATAAAAAAGGCACACAACATCCGAAAGATAAAGGCTAGCCTGGATTGCCTTGAGTTCAGGTTGACTCGTCATTTCAACAGTCGACTT